AAATGATTAACATTCCGCAACCCGTATCTACAACACCCTACAATGGTGGCAAGCGGCTCAGAGGGCTTTTCATACCGCAGATGGTAATTATGATAACTCGGTGTGTTTGTGACGTGAATGAAAGTCCCAGTTTTCACTGACATCGGCTTAGATAGTCCTTTCAAAAGAATTTTTAATTTTTTTCAACGACTTCAAGGAAACCTGCATTTTATACATCAAAGAGTTTTGGTCTGCAACCTCTAATTACTTTTAAGATGATTTTAACTTTACAGCTAATATGTTTAAACACAGATAAACAAACACGATACATTGAACATAATATAACATCAGTTTCATCACTTTTCAGTAGAGTTTTTTTTTTCGCAGTGGGTCCGAATTAAGTAAACAAAAAGTTATGATTTAAGTATTTTTTTTTTGTAAAACTTAATATTATCATGTCTCACACTACGGACCCATGATGTGGATGTTATCGAAATTTAATAAGTATTAGTAAAAAAAGTCAATTTTCTTATAAAAACGCAAAATAAATTAAACTCTGCAAGGGTTGAGCTTAAGGACCTCCCGTAGAACAATTTTTTGCAGCTGATGACCCCATCTAACCCCTAGTTGCGTACTTTGATCCACGACTTTTTGGCCAACCTGTATATTTGACTAGTAGTTGCGCGGTGCTACTCTTATCATATGACTTCCATTCCTAGCAAAACTTCCCGCGAGATGGAAGTTTGGTAAAAATAACAAATTATTTAACTTGGAGAGCAATACTCGCCCATAGAAAATGAATACAGATTTAATGCACGAACCGATTAATGAATGCAAATAAATTTTCAGTAATTTCGAATTTTTTACACTATCAATAGTTCAAGGTTTTATACAACTCTTGTTACAACATCTTACATCGCATATCGATCTCTTACGGCTTTGTCAGACCGTGGGCGTCTCTAGGGAAGCAGATGGAACGTTCTAGTTTTAATAATTTTTCCTATATCCCCAAACTGATGGAAGTTCAAAACTCGCAATTTTGCTGCATTATGCGTTTACTCCAAACAATATAGTTTAAGTTATGGCCAAAATTAAAAAATAGAACAACATACTACCCAAATTTGTTCGAGCACCCTCCCGATACACCATCTGTATGGGCGTGCCGTCAACTTTTTCGTAGTACGAAAGTTATAGACGAAGACCTTTACACCAGATTCAATGACTCCGCTGTGTGCTACCCAACCAAATAGACGACGCCTTTCTGGATTTCAGCCACAAGGCGATTTTAGCCAAGTATGGCCATCTTATTTTTGAGTTTTAAGCTATTGCATAGCTTTTATCGCGGGCTTTGAGCGCGGCGACCGAATCAAGAAATTCCGTAACGAAAAAAACCTAACACACGATGACATAATATAGGTGCGGTAGAGGCGGGACAGAACGCATACTGTATTCACGTCTCTCTGACAAGATCGGTGACGTAGCGTACAGCCGGTACGCGTTAGAGTGAGACAGACTATATAGGCGTGTTAGTCTGAGTCTGGTAGAGTGGTAGATTAAATTAATATCAAAGAAAATACTGAATGAATAAAAAATAAATAAATTATTATTGTTGCATAAGTTAATAAAAAATGCTATGCAATAGCTTTACCGCGGCAGTCCCCGAGTGCCACACATTTTTTTTTTGACTAAAGCTTCCATCCATCACATTCTTTTCCACTTCTCGAGTCTCATATGAAACAAAACCACCCCACCAAGCCACTCCCACTCCACACACATTCGAAATAAGCGGCAATGAATGAAAGAATGTAGTGTTAGTTATTATATATATTTATATAAGTTAATAAATTGATAAACAATAGGGTAGAGTGCATTAGTAACGACTGTATTAATTTACTTTTTATTTTAGTTATAAATGGGCTCCATCCCTGAAGTCAGCAGATCCAGTGCCAGTTGTGGTTGATACATATAAAACCAATAATTGTGATTGCCCATAGCATTAAGATCATTTTTTTTTTAATTTTAGTCTTTTCGAGCAGTAATGTAAGTAATAAAGACAAGTAATAAGACCAAAATACATTGTTAAGAGCGGCCAACCCGTCTATCTTTTCATACAAACGCTCGTATGTGATTATGGCGTTGTAACAGATATTTTTGAAAGTTTTGAACTAATAGGCATCTTGTGCACTATATCTAGGTTTCTATTAAACGCGAAATCAAAATTTTAAGAAACAAATTCAGTACAAACCTCCAAAAATCTGCCTTTTTGCACAAATTTTATATGCGGTTTGTTTTTTTATTTTTTCCTCCTTTTTTAAATTTTAAAAACCCAAATCTTAAAACAGACACTGTTTTTATTTCAATGTTATCGCGTTCTCACTTGCTTGTTAGCCATGTGGATGAAACAACAAGCTTTTTGGCCATGCTCGCGTTGCCGTTCGTCGGACGGGGAAGGGCGCTCTTAAACGTAAAACGTTAATAAACTTATAAATATCGCGATTTTATCGCGGGCTTTGAGCGCGGCGACCGAATCAAGAAATTCCGTAACAAAAAAACCTAACACACGATGATGTAATATAGGTGTGGCAAATACGCGTTAGAGTGGGACAGAACGCATACTGCGCATTCCCATCTCTCTGACGAGATCGGTGACGTAGCCTGAGCGCGGAGACAGACTATATAGGCGTTTTAGTTTGAGTCTGGTAGACTGGTAGATTGAAATAATATCAAAGAAAAACAAAAATACTGCATAAATAAAAAATGAATAAATAATTATAATTGCATAAGTAGATAAAAAATGCTATGCAATAGCTTTACCGCGGCAGTCTCCGAGTGCCACATGTTTTTTATATAATATATCAATATTAATACACCCTTTTAGTTAATTCCGCATAAACATAAAAATTATTTAAGTATCGGTTCTAAGGTTCTATAAATAAAGCGATATTTCGTAGAGGCCTACTTACTCCAATTCCACGAATGAATTTATCAGTTGAACCAAACACGTTCTCCTCAACAAGTAACTTGATGATATGAATAAGGGAACTTTATTATTGTGTTTTATAATCTTACTAACATAAATACACTTGACAGCACTATAAACAGGGCTGTTGTACATTTGGAATTTATTTATTTATTAAAAAATCTACATCCTTCCATACATTTTCACACTTTACATTAAGCTGTAACTTTTAGCTAAAAACAATTACTTTGTTAAATCAAGTACATATTAAAAGATTAAGATTTATTTCTTTTTATATTTTTTTTGCTTTATATATATTTACTTTATATTTCTTTATATACAGTCTTCAAAACTTCGCTTCGTCAAGGAAAAAAATGTCTCAACAAGGGATGGCTAATATAAGTCTGTTGTATGTTATCGGTAGTTTCAGCATTCAACAATTGAATATTTTTACATTAACCAACTTTTATAGGTGTAAAACAACAAAAGGGTCTCGGTGAGGGATATCGGGTTCGATTCCAGTTCGGAGCGCAAGTTTATTTTTATAAATTTAAATTTGTTCTCTGCCTTTGGGAGAGTTGTGCGGTACCGGGCGAGTGCTTAAACCGTACATGGAGGTTACGGTCAAATATATAAGACAATAGAAAAAAGACTGTGAAAGTATATCCTAGGCCGAGGATTTTAATTGCCAGTGGTTGGCAATTAAAATCCTCGGCTTGGCTTATCCAGAGGGGCTCAATGCGGTTTGGAGGGCCCACAATTCTTTTTTAGGTCTAAAACAATAGATGGTTGTAGGCAGAAATGTCTATTTTCTCGTTTGAGGTTTAGTTACCGCTCGGGGCAGATATACTGCATTTATTTAAGGTGACTTTTCTACATAGTGCTACACCGCAACTGTTGACTCTCTTCCACGTCAGGCGCTACACGGCGACTCGACTCGTGTTACCACGGCGAGAGTTACACGACAACTCATCTTCTTGCACAATGTGCAGGATTCTTTGTTCATCACCTTTCCACGGAAACAGTTGTATGAGAAGGAAAATAATGGGAATAGTAAGGGTAGGAGGCCGTGTGTCAAACCAAATACATAATTGGACTTTACGTGGCGCAACCATGTGCTATATGTGTTTTATAATATTTTATTAATAGGCAAGTTATCGGCATTCTATACCTGACACAAAGCCAACGACTTTTGTATCTAAGGCCTCCTTGCGATGTTTTCCTTCACTGTACTGCGCACATAGAAAGAAAAGTCTATTGGTGCACAACCGGGCTCGAATGCCCTCAGAGATCGTACTGCCAATAATAACCATAACATTAAAAAATCTATTTATATCAAACATTAAGGTTGGTGACTTCTGTCAAAATAAAGCGAATTCACAGAAAAACGTGCTGCAGAAATACGCTTATGTAGCGCGCTTTAATACAATGTTACAACTTTTTACCTTTATGCAATTTTATTCAACATTCCATTTTCAAAATATTAAAATTCCGTAAAGGGTGGAATTTCCAAAACACCTTTATTTGATGTTTTCTTCAGGCTTTTCTGGTTTGCTTTAACCGACGTGTCTCAGACATCAATAGCGATGCCGTGACAGGATTGAAATGCTGATAAAGAGAAGTCTACCTTATGCGATAAGGTAGACTTCTCTTTATATATATATATATAGGTTTGTAAATGACGAAACAAATATTTCTATGAAAATGTTTATTTGGTAACCATCAAACTAAAACTTCTACTTATATTACTTATAAAATTACACTTAAAACGACGACCGACACGTAGATATTTTTATGTACTGTATTGTTTTTCAATTTGCACATTTCCCTTATTACACAGTATAAACAATCTACGTTGTAACTTAAACGCATCTCAAAGAAAAATTTAACGTTGAAAATTTATGTCAATTAAATAATTGGTTGTATTAAATTTTCTAACAGATATATTAGATTTAGATAGATAGATTATGTTAAAACTTCATCGAAAAAATCTAAAACTACATTCAAATTTGATTCACAACATCTTATAAGTAACATACGTTACTAGATTAACATAATACTGTCATAAGCTTGTAATAATGACCCTCGAGTCTGCGGGGTGTAGGGTCATGGGGCATAAGGGATCAGCAATAAACGGCTGGGTGCGGATGTGACCCCCGACTGGTTTAATAAGAATTTGAGGCAGCAATCTCGCTAGGCAACACTTCATTTGAATTATAGCAAATCTTTTACCTGAAAATAAATAAACATTTATAATATGTAAACGGTTTAATTTTTGATTTAATATTGGTATTTGAATCTTTGGTGTTGCTACCAAATTTTTAAATGTTTTTTTTTTTCAATTTAAAAGGGTAATTAAACTGATAATAACAATTTAAGAGCATTGGGGATGTCAAACGTCAATGTCGGGACTAAAAAAACGGCTAGTGATAATCACAATATTGTTACAATCTAATCTAAATTCATAATATATAAACCCTCTTCTTGTTTTGAATAGTTAGTTACTACTCTCTGAAGAAAAACAGAGTACAAAATTAAAATTTGGCAATAGACAGATACTGCATTCAATTGACTTCTTTGTAAATCATTACTGGCTAGCATTGTCTCTCCTTAACGAACCCTTATGACGTCAACTGCGAAATAATTTCGTTATATCAATATGTGGTACGTAAACTAAATATTCGAAATATTAAAGCTGTTCCACAGGGAACATACTACGTTTGAGCTATAATCTAATAGGGATAATAGCGCCTAAAGCTGATTTAAAATCTCTAAAGTGATAATGATTGTATAATAATATCACTTTCAAGTTGTTTACGTAAAATTGACACCCGTTTCAACGCGTCTGCAGTAATTTAACCCGATCACTGACCATATTATAGATACATTTTAATTTAAACCTTAATACCTTATTTTAAAGTGCAAATTCATTTGTATTTAGGATATTTGCGATACCAACAAACCTATTCATACCACGATGGTCTTACAAATTGAAAATTTTTAAAGACAATTCACACCAATTTACCTAGTCCCATGCTAAGCTGGTGAAGCTTGTGTTATGGGTACTAGGCAACGGATATACATACATATTATAGATAGATAGACATATAAATACATATTTAAACACCCAAGACCTAAGCACAACACCAAATGCTCATCACATCGATGATCGTCTCAGCCGGGGATCGAACCCGGGACCCATGGTTTCGCAGTCAGGGGTACTAACCACTAGACCATTGAGTCATCTAAATATACCAAATCTAAGTAGTATATGTCTATGTTATATAACGGGATAAGTTAATATTCATAAGAAACACTTTTTTATAAGATTAAAAAACGAATTAAAAACTAGAATTGTACTAAGAAAAATATTTTGTTAGTTCACATGCGACTAAAATTTAAGAATACGTACAGAATAAAAATGTTATAGGCTCGATATGAAAAAGACTGGAGTGATTTATAATTAATATAACTGCCCTGCCCTGCGATTCTGTAACTCACTTTTCGAACTCACACAGAGGTTTTCGCATAGGCGGTCGCTCTCAAATAAACTACAAGCTCCCACCTTTTCAGAATGCCAAATCATAAAATGACTGCTTCACGACTGATTTGAGAGCGACCGCCGATGCGAAAACCGCTGTGTGAGTTCGAAAAGTGAGTTACAGAATCGCAGGGCTGGTTTAGCATAAACGCAACACTCGCAACTTAGAAATATGATTTCTGTATTTCAAAATCGGGACTGTATCTACTGATAGAGGGTAAACATCTTGTTCTTTATTTCCAGCTTTAAAGAACTTACCAATACAATATCTAGGTCCATCCCCAAAGGGCATGTAGACGCCAGGTCGAGGAGCAGACTTTCCTTCCGACCATCGCTCTGGGATGAATTGTGATGCATTTTCAAAATACTAAAATCGGTAAATATATAAATTAGTTTATTAGAATTAAAAAATAAGTTCATCCAAACCAAATGTCTTGGTTCACGGATGTCGTTGAGAATTTAAATAGTAGATAAGATAACGGTAATAAAAATTGGTAAATTTTTGTCATATAACCTCTTGCATTGATTTATTTTTTCCTAAGCTTATATGCACAATATCTTGATCTTATTTGCTTACAAGTTATGTGTAATATTTTTGGAATAATTAAGCCAGTTTTTAACTAAGAAACTTTTTTTTAAATCGTTAAGAAAGTCCCCAGAAAAATACATCTTTAAGTTATTGAAACTTTAAAAGAAGACAACTTATTATTTTTTAAGATTTGAAAAAAGATATCTCTTTTACTACCTAGAATGATATATACTTAGTACGACCTATTCTTATACTAACCAAATAAATATCAGTCTAGCCGTCTTAGAGGAGTGCGATCACAAATACCGTAATACCACATTATCGGAGAAATGGCGTTACTGACAACTGCCACAGCTGTCATTATATGACATAGGGCTTATAAACTAACAACTTCAAAGTAAAATCAGCTCAAACCCGTTAATAATTTTATTTGGTATGCCAATATTGCCAGATCTATTCAATAGTCGATAGTAATAGTGATTCCATAGTAATTATTATTAACAGTTATTTATTATATTGAATCAAAGCTGACAATACCTGCTCATCTCTTTGTACGCCAAGTGTGGGAAATAAGACTACGGTTCCCTTTTCCACAACTGCGCTGGTCTCTGGAATTGTGTAGTCTTTGGTACACATCCGTTGAATTGTCGGAAATGGGGGATACAAGCGTAATGTCTCTGAAAATTAGTTAAATTTTTTATATTCATTACGGAATGCGATTAATTTATAGGCTAATTAATCATGATTAAATAATATATTTTCCAAACATTTTATGTAACAAAATATATCTTTATATATTCCTAGTCAAACCTGGATAAGTGAGAACTGATTTTTTACGCGTGAACCTCTATACGAGAGATTGATACTTACCTATACCTCTATAAGCGACAGTTGAACGCGTTTAACTTTTGCTATTTATGACACATTCTTAAAATTCGAGTGCCCCTTATTTAATTGAAACCGAATATGCGTCTGTTTTTGTTTTGTTATACCTATAGTTCGAGGAACTCGTTCTTTTCAAAAAGCTGACTGATAAACTTGAGAAACATACACAAAATTTAAAAAAAGAATCGCAAAAGAAATTAACAGATTTTTTCAAGTAAGTTGTTATAATATTAATTAGATTAAACATTTATGTTCAGATACTATTTCAATAAATATGTAATTCCCATACATACACGTATTTTGTTTCTAATACCGTACGACCTCATAATAGACCTTATATTAAGACAGAGCCCTTCTGTAAGTCTGTAAAGTGAGAAACCTCTATGAGAGGAAAATGATCGCGGTCCCTCGAGCTCTTCCTTATCCAGGTTAGACGTATAATTCTACTGTAGGTGTGATGTCACTGAACTCCTATTGAACGGCTGCACCGATTTGAATGATATTTTTTGTATGCGTTTGGGTGGCGCACTTGATGGTTTAGATTCACAAATCAGCCCGGCAGATGGCGGTGTAGTCGGCTCTTTCGTACTTCGTTTATTATCCTAATCGCTTGAAATATCATGCAGCGCAACGTCTGTCGGGTCCGCTTGTTACATAAATTTTTATATTGACACCTCGCACACAAGAAAGCAATAAAAATAATACAGTTGCGCGATAACCTTAAATGTGTCTTCGCCTCCGATTGTATCCGACCCATTTGTCTGACACATGTCGTTGATTTCTGATTTGAGACATGCCGGTTTCTTCATGATATTTCCTTCCTTTCTTTATCTATTATGAACCTTGCAGAAAGAAGCAATACTGTTTAGCATGAGGCTTCTCAATGATAATCTCTCTTCCGCAGGTCTTCTCCAAAGATCTCCAGGTGTCTCTATCTTGGGTGAGTTGCATCCAGCTCGATCCAGCTATTTTAGTAATGTCATCCGCCCATCTCATGAGCGGTCTTCCTCTGTTTCGTTTCCAAAAAGCCCTCTCTGTTTCCAATAAGAGATGTCGGGTCGCCTTATCTCACACCTCTTTTTATGGGAAAGCTTGGGCCGAATTTCTCCAGTTTGAATCTGCTCGTGTTTTTCTGTACATACTTTTTAATATTGGTATAAACTCCTTCGCTACCCTTGCTCTATTAGTGATTCCAGATGTTTGTTAAAACTGGTGATGAATAAACGTTGTTAAAAAAATATTAAATTATGTTACCTTGAATGACCATCTCCATATAAGTCAAATCTTGCAATGCCTCATACGTGAGTCCCCCATTTCCCTCCACAACTTCTCTTATCTCTTTTCGCATCTTCTCTTGAACTTCAGGGTGCGCAGCCAGCTCAAGAAAGAGAAAAGCAAGAGTGGAAGATGTCGTCTCAAAACCTCCGAGAAAAATAATGAACGCGTTGGCCGATATAATCATGTCAGCTGTAAAGTAATATGTTTAATTAGACGTACTTTCCCATATTATTAAATATACCTATTACTAAACTATATATGTATACAGACAAAGCAGCAAAATTTTTAGTGACAAACTTATTACAGGTCAAAAATCTAGGTACAGTTTGTACATATAAAATGCGTTTTTGGGAGTTTTTAATTTCAAATTTGAATGTCACTCTAAAGCGTCGATAACACGGGGCTAGATAACCAGGTGCCAGTCGATGAGTTCAAAAGCTAGCGAGTGAGCGAGTTAGCAAGTGTCGATGACAAACTTTCCACCTGCTTTTTTTGCGGACTGTCAATACGCAAAGATACTCGTCACATACTAGTTCAGACTTCAGTAGTTTACTAAATTGTTGCCTAGCGCAAAACTCGAAGACCAATTCGAGTAATTTTTTAAATGTATTCCTTGAACTCTTATATTCCGGAAAAGCGAATAGTTTCAATGGGCTACATTAGCAAAATGTTTAATATGTTGGTATAAAGCTACTAAAAAGGTAAGCTATCTAAAAAATCATATTAAGGCGAAACAAAGACGGTAGTAAATAAATAAAAGTATCTTGTAGTATAGTTATCGTCATGATATACTAGATAACACTTTTTACGTTTATTTAATTGCGAGACTGTTACTGTCGGGATAGTTGCCTTTACTTGATCTGTGGTAAAACCGACCTATTCATTCAAATGTTGTAAATTCTAAGACTTCCACGATGAGATTTGTAAGACAGGCTTACTTAATGTGAAGAAGATATAGTTAAGGCACTTTTGCACCATGAAAGTATTTCCAAAGGATTTCGTCTTAGGGTCTTATTTAATACATTATCATTGTATGCCAGCGAGTTCACTAGCAGCTATGACAAGGCTTGTGAACTAGCTTACAAGCTAACCTTTATTATTTTATTGTCAACTAAGCTCGTTGGCTTGTATCTAGCTCCGTGTCATCGCGGCTTAAGAACTAAAAGTGCCATGAAGAAGTAAAAGTACCAGCAGTATAAGTATATATAAGTAGTAGTATACCTACAGATGTAATATAGTAGTATATTGCACCTACATTTAATAAATAGCCACATCTATTCTTTTGCAAATTACATTTTTAATCTACTGCAAGATAAAGTAATAATAGAACAGACACTAAAACATACGAGTATAAACACATTAAGTCCAATATGTAATTAATGAATTTTATAAATATTGTATTTTGTATATATATTTAGAACTAAAAAAATATTCACAAAAAGCGCCTACGCAAATTGTATTACAAATGTTTTGTTGCGTTCAACGCATTTGTGTTTATTTTTTTTATAACGGGAATATTGCACACCTTGCCCTTACTCTGTAATTATCTTCAAATAGCGATTCCGATCACAAGAAAAGTTTTGGTACACCGCGGTCCCAAGCTTGCGACATCAGCGCTACGGATATTGAAAAACTTGCATAAATGTCGGTGGCTGATGTTAAGGAATAGCACCGGCCAGGCCACTCATACCGCCACTCGCAAGTGTGTTGCCGGCCTTTTAATAATCGGTACTCTCTATTCTTAGAAAACCCTAAGTTGGGTCATGGTCATGGTAAGCTGGTTCCACATACTGGTAGAGCAAATAGTTTGTGTGTATAAACTATATTTAATCTTCTTCACATTTAGTAGGTAATCCTGTCTTACAAGACCCGTCGTGTAACTCTTAGAATTAGTAAGATTTTAATGAATAGCGGTTTTACCACAGATTAAACAAAACCAGCTATCTCGCAATTATTTGTATTATGAACGTAAATAGGGTTATCTAAGTTTACTCTACTTTTATTTATTTACTAGCTGCCACCGCAAACTTTGTTTCGCCTTATTAGATTAACACTTTGTTAACAGTACATATAGAAATACTATTTTAACTAAATCGGAGCATACTTTTTTAAAAATATACTGTTATTTACGCCGTATTTGAAGAGCCCCTCAAGCACGAGAATCTCGGGACCGTTTTATACATTTAAATAGAACTACATGTTTTTTATCAGCTAACTGAGTGTTTTTACATATTAATTAATAGATTATATTTATTTAATGCACAAAATATATAAATACATTTCAACAGGCTTTGAACAAATATACTCATACTAGTTTTGGATTAGTGATTACTATAATTTTATTTCAAAGTCAAACTAAAAATAACTTTAACCAAGTACACTTTATGAACGCCAACAGAAAAGATGTTAAATTGATTCTAAATTTACAATTACTACGTAGAGCGGGCAAGAAGAACTGGCAAGAAACTCTCTGCCACTCTGTTTAATTGCCAAGTTTTGAGTCATACAAATTGTTTGAACTGGTGCGATTTCACTCATAACAAGCAATACCACATAGATTTTATCTAGTTTAATTATTCGTCTAACTATGGGCTCCCACACAAAACTGCGAATTCCCACGAACGCACCGCAAGAAGTTCCGATCTGCTTCGCATCGCACATTCTTGCGATATTACGTCATCCTTGGTGACGCCATTTTAGTCCGATCTGAGACAGCTTTAGAGAAAGACGCGCGGCGCCTCCTCCGCCTTCTTTGTTTATAAAAAATTGCGGAATATGATATGGATTTTTTAATATTTTTAATTGAGGAGCGTCCCGTCTTTTGGGAGACAAGTGATGAACATTATAAAAATAAATTTATTGAGCAAGATGCGTGGAAGAGCGTCTGTGAAAGTTTGCATCAGAGTTTATAATCGTAATAAATGGATGAACCCAGAATCTTCTTTTTCTTTTATATCTATTTAACAATAACAGCAGTGCAATAATCTTTTGCGATCCATCTTACGCTTCCTAAAAACACGTCCAGTACGGCTGACTACGAAGGAATGGTCGCCCTACCAAACGGTTTGCCGCACTAAATCGTATCGCAGAAAAAAAAAGTTTTGTGTGGGAGTCCTATAAAATAAATATGGATTTGATTACCCGCTCACTATTTAAGTCGTTGTAGTTTTGAACAAAATTAAACTTATTGTGCCAATTTAACTACCCTGTGTGGACCTCTGAAAGACGACTAAAGGAACATGAGGAAAACGCATCAAAAGACGATACTAATGTTGATATAACAAGATCATTAGTGAAACAATGTTTCTATATTATTGAAGAGAACTTCGTTATTATTTCACATAATATACCTTTTTGAACTGCATACAACTTACCGGTTTCTAAATATATTTTAACACCTAAATTAAAGTTATATATAACAACTGATACTTTTGAATAAAATGTTGCTGGTCGTGTCCACATGTTTTAGGGACGGCAGCGCTTTTTATATTGTATGTATTTCAATTAATATCATGTGTTTGTCCTAATTTTGTGGTCCAAATTTAAAAAAAAAAGTGTTTAACGGAAGTTTTTGGAGATGAGAGAGAGAAAATGTAAATGATAATATAAATTCGCGTTTGTATCTATAAATGTATTACTAATTTATCTATCTATAAAATACATGTTATTTCAATGTTTAGTAGGTGTGAACAGTACATAAAGTCATCTGTCTCATTTCATCACAACTTAAACACAATTTGAAAGAAAGAGACGAAAGATTTTAGTTAAAAGAAGCTATAGTTAAGCGAGTGCAAGTACACTAAATTAACTTTAAGTATATTATTACTTATATCAACACTTACTTATTTTATAATCATTTTCATCGTCGCACTTTTCATCACTCTGAAGTGCCATCATCATGTCGATGAAATCTCCTCTCTTCTCCTGTACTCCACTAGACCTGTCCCTCAAAACTTTAGTCACGATGTTGTAGAAGAAGTCGTGAGTCTTCTTAGGGATTATACGAATTTTGAAAAATAACACGAACGCTGGCCAAAATTGACGCATTGTTCTGAAACCATTAAATTAACTATGAAATTTTAATTTCATAAACTGTATTGATAATATCTTATAACGAATGATTTCGATATATTATTATTAATGATATAAGAAATTTGCTTTTTTCAGTCTAAATTATCTTCATAGAAGCTAAGGGACGCGAAGATTTTAGTTTAATCTAAGTCAAATTATAAATTAGCTTTACAATCAAAACAGCTCATAGAACATAATTTTTTGACCAAAATCCCACCTAATTTAAAGTGAGATGTTGCCTAATGGAAGGCACGCCTGTCCAGGAGAAGCCTGTTTCACCGCCGCTTAAATGAACCTATGTTATGCTGTCTAGGGAAGATAGAGGGAGGCAAGGAGTTCCACTCCTTTGCTGTTATTACAAGAAACGACGAACCAAATCGAGCAGAGCGGTAACTGAAGATGTCAACAACGAAGGGGGTGAAACGTGCTTCTAGATGAGCGTTGTTTGAAAGGGGATGACGGAATCATAATGTGTAGTTCCATGGAACATTCTCCGGAGTGCAATCTATAGAAGACTGAAAGGCAGGCAGATAACATAAATATGTTTTAATGACTTACTTTTCAAAAATATTAAACCAGCTCATTTCATAGAAGGCGTGCAGGGCTACTGCGAATGGATCCTTTGAATTATACATGACATTGCTTTTAAGACCGAAAGCACATGGTACGATCGCATCGGCCGTGTATCCTCCTACTAATTTCTCTGCATCCACTTTTACACAGTTTTTCTTAGCGTACAAAATTGTATTATCCTCACTTGAACTTTTCTTCGAACGAATTTCTTTTATATCTTCACCTAAGTTTATTAAATCATCAATAGTTGAGTTATTGTTACCATCGATTTCTTCTTTGGTTTTAATATTTGAATTCTCATTTTGATTTTCATTATGTTCAATGTCATCTTGTTGAGTCAGTTTTCTGACTCGGTCAACGAATGCATTAGCCGTATTCTCTAAAATAGGAAACATTCCTCGAAGCTTATTTGGCCTGAAACATTAATTAAGTTTATGAAAATAGGCATATTATCAAAGAAACAGAATAAGTAGATAGAAAGATACGGATACCGGCAAACATCTTGAACAAATGTCCTTGCCTGAGATGCGCAAACCTTTCCCCACTCCCTTACTTAATGCTCAAGAAGTTTGCCGGTATCAGTTCGGTGACTGTATCCCAGTTTATAAACTTAAGGTCACATATAAGTAACATCATTCAGACAATAATCCTATAAAGCATATGTATTACGACAAATACTTACGAGAAAATGGGTGATATCTTTGCACGTAACCTTTTCCATTCGCTTCCTCGCAAAAAAAGTACGGATTCAGCCAAAGGGTCCGTATACTTATTGAAAAAGAACCCTCTATCGGTGAAGTGGTAGAAATCGTTGACACACATACGTTTGATAATATCTGGGTCACATACCACTAAAGTTCTTTGGTAGAACTGGTGGGTGCCTGTTAAATATAGAAACCTCTATAAGTACCTTACCGTACCAATCGTTATTAATAAAATTTATGAATCTTACAACACCCACTATTTTATGCAATGCAAATGCAAAGGTTAACTAAGTAGGTAACGTTTTAATTTTGCTAACGATTAGTACGACACATTTCCATTTCATTCACTAATTTTATAACTCATGATATACCCTCTAGGTTCAGAAACAATTATTGCGTCGGCTGATAGGCGTATAGCCAAATATGTTTCGGAGCAAATGCAATGCGATTTATTAATGTCCTAATATTAAGCTTCACTTGCTTTTTTGACACGATAATCCAAGTCTAAGAGCAGTGTTGGCCTAGCGGCTTCAGCGTGCGACTCTTATACCTGAGGTCGTAAGTTCGATCCACGGCTGTGCACCAATGTGCGCATTTAACATTTGCTCGAACGGTGAAGGAAAACATCGTGAGGAAACCGACATGTCTTAGACCCAAAAAGTCGACGGCGTGTGTCAGGCCCTGGAGGCTGATCACCTACTTGCCTATTAGATTTAAAAATGATCATGAAACAGATTCAGATACCTGAAGCCTAAAGAGGTTGTAGCGATTTATTTGGTTTTTTTAATCCAAGTCTAAATTTAGGTTAAATTACGAAAATACATTAAAATGAATATCTAAGAATAATATTGTTAAGACTCTTATGTCATTTAACTTATACGTATAATCGTGAAGTAAGGACTTATTTATGTTATTAAGTATTAATAACATAAATGAGTCCTGATATTTCCATAAGTCAATTTTACCATCCAAAACTATGGACAATAATAGTGGCGTATCTCCATCAGGTTATCATTCTACAGCGACGATAAAACATAAGCATTAAAGTTTATAAATTAAACAAATTGCATTATTGCATTTTAAGACGCTCCTGAACATTCCTTTGATCAGACTCTTCCGAGGAGCAAAAGAAAACTAATTGAAAATTTAAACTTTAATCTTGTGAATTGTCTACCGTCTTCGTACAACATATCATCTATATTCTAGCACAATAACAAACTGGCCGGGGGCCTCATAGCCTAGCGGTCTTATTAAGTGGCAGCTAGGTGAGGGGTACCGGGTTCGATTCCCGGTTCGAGGGCAAGTTTTAATTTAATTTAAATTTGTTCTTGGCCTTTGGGAGGGTTGTGCGGTACCGGGCGAGTGCTTTAACCGTACATGGAGGACACTGTCGAATTTCTAAAAGACAAGCCCGAATTATAAAAAATCCTATACTTGACGCTGGCTAATGCACAAATCAAAAATAAATAAAAAAATAAAAAAACAAACTGGCCTACATCTATATCCACTTCCCCGCATAACATCCGATTGATAATTGTTATCATCATAATCTGAGTTTTTAACTTAGACCTTCGAGTAATAATTAATTTCCTTCTAAATAAGGTTAAGGTAAGGCAAATTTGTGTTATATTAGTAGACAGATATCGTATAGCCACTGAATTAAATTTTATAGCTGAATAATATATACTCTCTCTAAGGAGTTTTGCTTTTGTTTACAGTGACTATATCTATAAAATTCGTCAGCAAGATAATGTTTGATTATGATAAGAAAATGAAGCGACTTAGTACGTCCTTAATTAAAAACTTAGAATAAAAAATATCCATAAATTAAATATAGACCAACTCCTATTAGGATGGCCTATTAATAATTAGGCTCCCAATAGGTTTTATTAGGACGATTGATTTACACGACCGGTAATATCTCTGCGTGCTCTGGAGGCACAGAGGGGTCTTGAACCTAACTGCCTTACAATTAAGACTATTCCCTCAGGAAGATTGCTTTATTATTCTAATCAGACGATATACTATAAATCCTATACATGATTTTTTATATAGCCAGACGTTTAATATGACCTCATGTCTGTCCGTTTAAGAAATATCTAATATATAAAATTCTCGTGTCGCGGTGTTTGTGGTTAAACTCCTCCGAAACGGCTTGACCGATTCTCATGAAAATTTGTGTGCATATTGGGTATAACTGAGAATCGGACAACATCTATTTTTCATCCCCCTAAATGTAAAGGGTTCTTCACCCCTATTTATTTTTTTAATTTTTAGATAAATTTTTATTTTTTTATTTTTTTTATGATACAGCATTAAAAAATACATTCAACCCCTAATTTTCACCCCTCTACGATCAACCCCTATTTTTTATTATAAATGATATACATGGCAAAACGACGTTTGCCGGATCAGCTAGTATTTAAATAATATCCTATGGTGAAGAATATTTAAATAACTGTTTATATAAATAATCATAACAAAACATAAACACAACAAAATATTATTAGTAAATCGTATTTAGGTTTCAGGTCTCTACGAGCAATAAATATGATTATTAAAAAATCTGTATAAACCTAGTAGCGCCAAAGTTACTAAGTAATATTTTTTTCTCTTAATAAAATAGGTGATCAGACTTCTGTGTCTTATCGTTGATTTGTGTGTCTAAGGGATGCTGGTCTCCGCAGCAGTTTTTCTTCACAGTATGAGCGAGTGTTATATACTAATCTCAGGTGACTTGAATTCTTGATGACCCTTTATCTACTCACCGAAAAATCGTTTCTCTTTATGTTCATCGTAAATCCTTTTAAAACACATGCCCCCTTGTTCCTTCATAGTAGCCACAGTTGCTATATGGCCGACGAAAGGTAATGCCGGGGGTGAAAATATGCCTCGTTTTTCCCAATAGTCATAATCGTATGTTAGCAGATGCATCAATAATCTTATCAGAACAACGCACCATAGTAAATAAAATAATATATCACTTTTGATGCAACAATTTTGAAACACTAAAATTAAGATCACGGACACTGTTGAAATTTTTCTTAAGCGAAACATTTTAATATTTTTCTTTAACTTCTCTTCACCATTATTGCGTTATTTTAGCATATTTATAACACACGTTTCTGGTTTAGGCTTGGTTTTGACTTGGATTATACAATTAGCAAACAAAAAAAATCTTTTAGATTTCTACGCTTATAGCTTATAAATTCGGCTTGACCTGCGCGCGCGCTGCAGTCAAATGAGCAAACAAAAGATCGTGCGCGCGATGCTGTAATAGAGAAAGTTCGTACGCAATTCTTAACGAAACCTGAGATTTGTCGGCCCTTTAATGCTATCGCGGAACGTCAGTCAAATTAAATTATCACTCTAGATACATTGGTTAATCGCCTAAAAATAAAATCGAAAATAAAAAATTCGCCCAAGAAAACATTGGCTGGTTTTCGGTTGTACGAAGTGCTGCAAAACTGAATTAGTTACAATAATAAATTAAGTTAGATTTTTTTTTAATTTATTCAAAAGTTAGAACATTTACTCGTATAATTTAGGACAATCCGTGATGAAAATTTATATCTATTTTGTATTTGTATTTTTACTAATTTACAATCACCTAGCAGGTGATTAAGTATTACTGATTGATTTTTCACAATATTTTTAATACTAAACATTTAAAACCAGACTTATATAAATGGCGCCAGAACCCTGCACCAAATGTACATTACCGCACATGCGTTAAACGTGACACTACCACAGATATATATAATAGTAGGTAAAAGTAAGAATCAAAATTTCTTTGCAATATCATTAACAGTCTTAAAATACCAAAGAGAAAAATATAAACGATGTTATTAAATTAAGGGTCACAACTGTCTTATAACATAAATATTTTATAATCCACATAGTTTATAACTGAAATTTTGCTATTCTATAAATAAGTAACACATAGTTGTAAGTATACCTAAATTCGAAGCTGTTATCCAAAACTCACGAAAATATATTGATTAGGCAAATGGGTCATACGCGTATAATGCATTTCCTTTACTCATCACGTAACTACAGAATTTTATGTTACTGTTCCCACGACTAATTAACAATCAATAGACGTGCAATAGACTGAGTTTGCAAAAATCGAGTTCCCACTAGCTATTAGATCACAATTATGTAAGTTTCTATAGTCGATACATCTGTAGTTCTAGCTATTTTCATCTTTTGCTTGTTTTTAACACTTTGCTTTTGTTTGTATTATTTAGGCTTTCTGTGGTAATTCTTCTTTCTTTTTTTTTTTTTACTTCTACTCCGCCTTTTAATGTAATTTATATCTTTATACTCCACATCTCGTTACTACTAATAATTGAGAATTATGAGCACGTAACTTGCGAATATTTAAAAAGGTTCCTAGTAGTAGCAAAATACCTTAAAAAACAAAATAGCGCATCTAATGTCTAACTTACCTATACATATACGAGTTTGTAACGAAATTCATTGATAGCTTATATAATCCCTAAGTATTTATATAATACTTTAATATGTTTGTTCAAGGTCTTCGTTCTACTTTCATTTGTTTCGATGGAAGTCATCGGACCTTGTTACGTAAAAATTTATTCGGATATCAATGTTTATTCGGCATTTTTTTATTTAAGTTTGAAACAATAAAAAAGCAGATGGTCTGTAAAATATTGTCAAATCCGTAGTATGTGATTTCTCTTTTCTACGTTTTTTACGTTTTGCAATACATAAAGCACAAGTAATGCCTTATATGGTAAGGGTTACTAAATACTTGTTACACGTATATAAGAGCAGTGAAAGCAGCATTCCACGTTTTAGTGACGAAACTATAGGATCTTAGCATTTGACATTTCTTAATTCATCCTTTCGATGATATTTTTGTGATGTACATTTATAATTATTGAGTAAATAATTAATTAATAATTATAAATGTACACCTATATTTCTGATCCATTGTTTTAAGGCTGTACGGGGCGGCAAGATTATTATTTAACTAAGGCAGCGCGCTTAGCTCAAAGAGCCGGTTAAGAAATACCTACCCACTACACTAACACGTACCTATCTTCGGCGTCGGGACGTGACGACCCCATCGCCCACTGGTGAAATAACCTGTGACAGAGGTTATTTCATCAGCGCAATCAGTCAACCCCTTCCTAGTGGGAGTGCCATGCTGTTGCCTTCGGGCTTCAGCCAAATGGGCAGGCACGACCGGGGCAGTACCACTGTCTCTCAGAAAACCGGCGTGAAGTGATGCAAAAGGTTCGCCTTCTTGTACTCGCGTTTCGTGCGGTGAGAGAGATTCCCGGAGCCCATCCCCCCCCACACAAGAAATATGAAGGTGCAGAAAAAACAGAATCTACCCCAGGGGGTACCACACGCGCTCGCGGTGGAGAATCCCCCTCTGGGCGTCCACCACCGGGACACTCAGCACCCGGTGGTGGACGCACAGGCTGCCCTTCGTATTCTGGGGGGGCAATTCTGCGCTCTACAAAAATAGTAATCGTCCTCGGGGCAAACGGAGCAATTATACAAAGGCACCCCCGTCCACACTCGCCGTGAACTTCAATGTTAGGGGGCTTAATTCTAACATCAACGCTGTCCACTATCATCTAGAGACTGCGAAGCCGGCCTTGCTCTTTCTTACCGAGACTCAGATATCCTCCCCGGCTGATACTTCCCACCTATCCTACCCGGGGTACAAATTGGAACATTCATTTGTGCCGCGGGCTGGAGTTTGCGTGTACGTCAGAGAGGATATCTGCTCTCGTCGCCTCGGGACGCTTGAAGGAAGGGACCTATCTAACCTCTGGCTGCGCGTAGACTGCGATGACCATCCGCGATTCTACGCATGCCTGTATAGGTCCCATAGCGGAAATACCGAAACTGACCGACTCTTTGAGCACATCCAAATGGCTACAGATTCCCTGCTCGAAAGGGTTCCTACCGCTGAAATCGTGATACTTGGCGATTTTAACGCCCACCATGCCAATTGGCTCGGCTCTGAAACCACCGATCACGCGGGAAGATCCTTTCACGACTTTGCTTTAGCCTACGACCTGACACAAATGGTCCCTGCGATTACGCGAATACCAGATGTGGATGGTCATAAACCCTCTTTGTTGGACCTTCTGCTGACTTCTCATCTGGAGAACTATCAAGTCTCTGTTGACCCGCCATTGGGTTCATCAGATCATTGTGTGGTCCGCAGTACTGTGCCATCTACGCGCCCTTCACGGCCCCGCTTTATGGGTTGTCGCCGTATTTGGCACTATAAGTCAGCAGATTGGGACGGGATGCGGTCTTTCTTTGCGTCCTACCCTTGGGGGCCTATGTGCTTTTCGCCGGAAGCTCCAGATTCCGTCGCCGCCTCTGTCGCCGAAGTGGTTCTGCAGGGCATGGAACTCTTTATTCCATTTTCTGCGGTGCCGATCGGTGGCAAGTCTCAGCCCTGGTTTAAACGTTCTTGCAAGGCGGCCTCACGTCGAAAGCGAGAATGCTTTAAGGCATGGGCGGAAGCGGCGAAATCTCGTGATGCCAATACCAGCGAACTTAAAAAAGCATATAACTCAGCCCACAGGTCCTTCAAACGGGTAATCTCTAAGGCAAAGTCAGAGCACATTGCCAGATTTGGCGAGAGATTGGCCCAACTCCCTTCAGGGACTCGAGCCTTCTGGTCTCTCGCCAAAGCTGTCCAAGGGAATTTTTGTCAGCCCGCCATTCCGCCACTGCACAGGGAGGATGACTCTCTGGCCCACACTGCGAAGGAGAAGGCTGACCTTTTGGGCTGTCTCTTCGCGTCTAACTCGACTTTGGATGACCGAGGGAGATCACCACCGACCATTTCGCGGTGTGATTCTTCGATGCCGGAAATCACATTCCGGCAACGTGCTGTCCGCAAAGCACTATCTTCCTTGGACATTCATAAGTCGAGCGGGCCGGATGGTATCCCCCCAATTGTGCTGCGTACTTGTGCTCCTGAGTTGGCTCCGGTCTTAACGCGCCTTTTCCGGTACCTGTAGTCGCTCGGCACTGTCCCGAAGTGCTGGAAGACCGCTTTGATACATCCGATCCCTAAAAAAGGCGATCGCTCTGATCCGTCCAACTATCGCCCAATAGCTATAACCTCCTTGTTCTCCAAAATAATGGAATCCATTGTTAATTGCCAGCTCTTGAGGTATCTAGAGGGCCACCAGCTGATTAGCGATTATCAGTACGGCTTTCGTCGTGGTCGTTCGGCTGGTGACCTTCTTGTATACCTTACACATAGATGGGCAGAGGCAATTGAGTCCAAGGGGGAGGCGCTAGCGGTTAGTTTGGACATAGCGAAAGCCTTCGATCGGGTGTGGCACAGAGCACTGCTCTCGAAGCTTCCAGCCTATGGGCTTCCCGAGAAATTACGCGATTGGATCTCCAGCTTTCTGGCCGATCGGAGCATCAAGGTCGTCATCGACGGAGCATGTTCCGACCTAAAACCCGTAAACGCTGGGGTCCCACAAGGCTGTGTTCTATCCCCGACCCTATTTCTTCTGCATATCAATGATATGTTGAAACTTAGCAACATTCATTGCTATGCGGATGACAGCACTGGGGATACTTTTTACACTGGCCGGGCAGGTATTTCTCGGGCAATTGTTGATGAGTACCGGAACAAACTTGTGTCTGAAGTCGAAACTCTACTACGTGGAGTCTCAGATTGGGGCAGACAAAACCTAGTCCAATTTAACCCCAAGAAGACACAAGTTTGCGCGTTTTCCGCTAAAAAACACCCTTTGTCGCTACTCCTCTTTTCGAAAACACTCTTCTTAAAGCCACAGCCAGCATTGGAATACTTGGCGTTGACATATCGAGCGACGTTCAGTTTCGCGGTCACTTGGAGGGAAAGGCTAAATTAGCCTCCAAAAAGCTTGGTGTGCTCAGCAAGGCGAGACGGTACTTCACTCCGGGCCACCGCATGCAACTATATAAAGCGCAAATTCGGCCCCACATGGAGTATTGCTCTCACCTCTGGGCAGGGGCTCCCCAGTACCAGCTCCTTCCACTTGACCGTATACAACGCAGAGCGGTTCGAATCGTCGACGACCAATCCCTCTCCGAGCGGCTTGATCCTTTGGCGTTGCGTAGAGATGTGGGGTCACTCTGCATCTTCTACCGCATTTACCATGGAGAGTATTCAGAGGAGTTGTTCGGATTAATACCTGCAGCTGAGTTTCATCATCGGACGTCGAGGCAGAATACGAAATTCCACCCGTATCACCTCGACGTCCGACGTTCCACAACTGAGCGTTTTTCAAGGCAGTTTTTGCCGCGCACCACCACTATGTGGAACCAGCTGCCCACTGAAGTATTCCCGAACCAATTCGACTTAGGGTCCTTCAAGAAAAGAGCGTACCAATTCTTAAAAGGCCGGCAACGCACTCGCGAGCCCTCTGGCATTGAGAGTGTCCATGGGCGGCGGTATCACTTAACATCAGGTGAGCCTCCTGCCCGTTTGCCCCCGTTCTATAAAAAAAAAAAAGAAATACCTACCCACTAAACTAAACACGTATTTTGTTCCAGCATGAACGTAGACCAGTACAGCATGAAGTATCCCTGTAGAACCGAGGTTTTAGCTCCAGTAGATACTATACAAGGAAGATCGTCTGAATGTAGCACAATTATTGACTGTATGTTCGAAGATGATTGTAGAAAATCTAAACAGATTTTATAGAAATACTAGCTGACCTGGCAAACGTCGTTTTGCCATGTATATCATTTATAATAAAAAATAGGGGTTGATAATTAGGGGTTGTATGTATTTTTAATGCTGTATCATAAAAAAATTATCTAAAAATTAAAAAAAAAAATTTGGGGTGGACTACCCTAACATTTAGGGGGATGAAAAATAGATGTTGTCCGATTCTCAGACATACCCAATATGCACACAAAATTTCATGACAATCGGTCGAGCCGTTTCGGAGGAGTTTAACCACAAACACCGCGACACGAGAATTTTACATATTAGATTTGGATACGTGCAAATTTTTAAGCATGTTGCAGTTCTTCAATTATTTCGCAACTTCTCTTAGTCTATGTGATAAACTTGAAAGTGCTGACCCACTCCGGCCCAGACCAAGTATTACGAAAGTGTCAATGATCCGTGTGAGCCAATATTGCTCTTAATAAAAATGTCTTTTTTTTTAAATCTCACTTAAATAGTGAAAGTATTGACTTTGTTTAACTCAACCGTTACTTTTATCATGCTACATATGTATTCTTTGTAGAATTTTTTTTATTAATTGCATGCAGATTTATTAATTTAAAATTGCTTTTTAGTTGCAGATTGAATTTCGTGACATTAAATTATATATACTCTTCAGATGACCATGAAACTTAGATATGAGTTCGACCCAAAAAGAGAGTATATTTTTTACACTGTTTCGTAGTTATTACAATATTTTTACACAAGCAAGCGATTAAATTTAAGGTCAAAGAGTGACTGTTCGATATAGCTATTTTTTTTAATAAATTTGTTAAGGGTTTAATTTTTTGACACGGCCGATCGCTACATAATATTGTATTAATATTACTATGCATGTTTCTAATAAAACGCTAGTTTAATTTAAATTATTTAATTACGCCTTCTATCATATATTGTTTAGTATTTGTTTGTGCATATGTTGAACTATTTGTGATTTTATTTAAGGCAAAGTATAATTAGTATAACCTCTCTTATTGTTCCTTTATTCAATCAATTAGTGTAAAGAACTGACAATTGTGTGCCTTCTATCGTTATTAAGTTCGAGTCAATCATATATCGATATGTATATGTAGTCAAGGCGTACCATTTATTGTTAAAAATCTATGTATTAACGGCAACCAAACCGTTCTTAGTGGTACAGTCCAGTCAAAACAAAAATGGAAAATTATTTAAAATATTTTTATTTTTACTATGCTATTTTAATGGATGAGAACCATAGGACCATTGTCACTCATTTTATATAAAAAAATCTTGGTTTTAACAAATACCAACGATTATTTTGTTATTGTATTAAGTAAGAATCCAAATATAGCTCTTATTAAAAATTGTATCTTCCGACGTAACCAATAAGAAAATTATTTAAAATATTTTTATTTTTATTTTGCGATTTTAATGGATGAGAACCATAGGACCATATTCACTCATTTTATATAAAAAAATCTTGGTTTTAACAAATACCAACGATTATTTTGTTATTGTATTAAGTAAGAATCCAAATATAGCTCTTATTAAAAATTGTATCTTCCGACGTAACCAATAAGAAAATTATTTAAAATATTTTTATTTTTATTTTGCGATTTTAATGGATGAGAACCATAGGACCATTGTCACTCATTTTATATAAAAAAAATCTTGGTTTTAACAAATACCAACGATTATTTTCTTATTGTATTAAGTAAAAATCCAAATATGTATATATAGTAATATAGCTCTTAATAAAAATTGTATCTTCCGGCGTAACCATTTAAAACTTTTAATCAATGTGAACAAATAAAGACATTAAAAAAATATTGTTTCCACGGGAAGTAATTATGCCCCTTATTTTTATTCGTTTAAAACATTATAATTGAATTTAAAAAGTAAGAATGGGCTCTGCAATGAGAACGTCGTCTCCATCCACAACGGAAATCTTTTCTTCCTCATCTTCAGGTTCCTTGTCAGCTGTCTCCTCTTCAATCCAGGCTACGTACTTAGACGTAGAAAGGAAGGCTAAAAGAAAAAACATCTTACTAAAATTCAAATTATTATTATTACTAATTGTGACAAAAATCTACAATACGAAATAGTTAGAAACAAGGAAATGTTTTTAATCGTAATTAAAATTATTTAAATAATATTAAAACACGGACACTATTTAAGTTAAAAATTATTCTTATTTAGATTTTTAGCTATTGTCTCTTGGTGTTTTTAGACATGCATTTCGTGAGAGCATGCATTAATTCAATTTTTATGAGTACATTGTTTATTTTTAAAATGAATACTATATAATACTTTCAAAATATTCATACATTTTCGTATTACGCGTATTTATTCATTTAAACAAGTTTTACCACATCATACTATATCTAAGGTATATGTGACAAGTTTTTTTATCCAAAATATATGACAATTTTGGTAAAAATAAATCTTACAAAAAGTGTAAAACAGCGAATTAGGTATGAGATAGGCACTTAAGAATGTTTTCTTTAAAATTAATCAGCCCATTACGAATATGTCCAGCTCCTGATAAGTACTGTTTAATCATTTATAATCGCGAAGAATTCAAAGTGCCTAAGTCCTAGTTGGTTTTTGTAGACGGAATTTGAAATTATCATATCATTGCTATCAGTTTATTTGATTTCTGTTATGGATTTATTAATATATTTTTCGTCATAAAATTGTATAATTATTATTATGTATTAATTTTTGGTGATTTATCTACAGATAAATCCAAAAATTGATTTTATCTGAAAACAATATTGTTAGAAAAAATTAAATTATTAAAAAAATACCATTTACGGACTATATACAATTTGAAGGTGTTTTGGGATGCGGGCTTGTTAATTTCACTAAACTAGCACTAGAAAGGTGTTATAAGTGTCCTTTTAACGGTCAAGCTAAAAGTTATTTCTAGTACATATACGAACCTCCTGCTGAGTTTTCATCAGCGGTGCGTACAAGAATACCATGTACTTTGCCTTCTGACACTAAAGCCGCTCCCAAGTCGTACTGCAAGAGGTACAGAATATTAAAAATTATTTTTTTATATTTCATTACTCTGTGTTAAAATTTAAAGGACATTTCCTTTTGAATATTTACATATATACAAAAGAACAGGCATAATTAGTTACATAAACTCGTACACATGAATATTGCCAAAAAGTACCTGAATTAAGTTAAAAAAGTGTTTGATTTGATTTTAAATAAGACCTATTTTTTACCATTCTGACGGAATAGATAAATAAGGACGTATCAGTTACGTGGACTCCGCAAGCGAACAGCAAGTTTAATATTATGTGCATAGTGTCAGTCATAGCGGTGACACTATTTCTAGTACAACATTTTTATTTATTAGCCGAATTATTTCTCATCTAGAAATAAATTAATTCTGGAGCCAAATGGCACACGCCTAAGACAAATGAAAATGTTTGCAGGAGACCTTTACCCAATATGGGATCCTCGCCGAACAAGATTAGAATTAAGAAATATAATCTATATATAATCTATCTATGTTAATTGGCATAGTATAAAATTAATTATTTATTATATTTATTTTAAGATCATATTTATTTTTTCTTTCCGCTTTTTTCTCGGGGGGGGGGCGGCGGGGTCTGGGGGGGGGATCCTAATATACATCTCTGACTTCATCCACTGTCATGACATTCACCATGACTGCATTCTCCTTGGTTATGGCTACTTTTTAGGATTAAAAGTAATAATTTATAGGTAATGTAGATTAAGATTAAAATAGTCTAAAGCAAGGAATTAAAGGTTTTTTTTTTAATATTCAGTGAATAATAACAAACCTTGGTAGCATTGATATTGGTCTGTGCCAATAGAAGACCGTCAGCTTCAGAAAGCGTGACATTCACACAGAAAAGATCTTCACCGGCCTCTGCAATATCGTAATAAAAAAGGGCAATGTATTTCAAAAATAATTAATTAAAATGCCTACGAGTTGTTCATGAACTTTCAATGAGATAGTCGCTTGGATTCCGGACTGATTGTATGTGTATCGAATTATATATGTATTGATAAACGATTACAGAATAATACATTACTATTGAAATTGTAGCCAAGTGCAATCCAATCAAATAATAATCCAGTATAACAACATAGTACATATAACAGTAGATAACAAAAAAGGCCTATGTGTTGGCCTCAGTCAGCGACTATTCCTTTGATTATTAAATATATTTTTTTCAAGTATGCCTGATTGTCGTAAAGAAATAAATATAAAATCAAAAATTACCTATCATATCTCTTACCTAAAATGAATAGCAAATTTACTAAAAGTGTTTTAATTATTCATTTTTGAATCTGTTTTGTAAACTAATTTTTATTGGAGTACACATAAAACGACACGTTATGTAGTGTACCATATCTTACAATGGATAACAGGCTATTTAGGCACCAAAATATTTAGTTGTAACCAATTGTCGAACAGCCGACTTACCTCCTTCTTTCTCGCCGTAGCCACAAGCCCGGCCAGTTTCAGGTACTTCAGCATCAGGGGCTGCCAAAGCAATAGGCTGGATCTTGTCTGAAACCATCATTTTATTTATACAAGTGCCTGCTGACGTGTGTTATAGTATAATGTATTTAGAGGACGAGCGTACTCAAACAAAACATTTTTTTTATTTTAAAAACAGAGTAAAAATAACAGAACATGGACTGACTATACATAGAAATGATAAATAAAATTCAAATTCAAAAACATCATTCAACCGAAGTCTACACCGGCTTCAACTTAATTTTATCTACTTATTACAAATGTTAAAAGCACACTGTTGCAAAATATAAACGTAATTGTGTAAAAATTAAAGTTTAAAATGAAAATTGGTTTGAAGAGTACACCAAGTACTAGAGTAAAGTTGTGCGAAGTTTTGAGAGGTCTGTAATTAAAAGAGCTTCTCTTGGGCTCGTTTTAATTGCCGCGCGACAATTGCTCTCAGGATAAAATAGGGCCTAGTGGTTGAGTTACTTTTTTTCTTACTATCTACGATTGTTTGCGGGCATTTTCGTATATCTTATAAAATATATTTGGTATAACTTACGTACAAACGTACGTACGTCTGCGGCTACAAACAGTGCCATTATGTTATACCCTGAATGGCCCTAACAAAGTTATTCCGACCGCTAAGGATATACAACTACTCGACAGGTGAGGTCGTGGATTCTTCCTTTAAGTCGGAGGAAACGCATAACATCCTTCTTCCTCAATATATTTGGTATACGGTATTACGGAGAGAATCAATCATTTTATAATAAAACGTGATATTTTTAATCCGTGCATGGAGTGACAGTACTACACAGAAAACTCTGAACTTTAGAAATGGCTACGGCGAACAAAAATATAATATTGGCTATATTATATTATAATTATTACTTTGTACGTTTATAATATTGTAAATATAAATATAAAATATATAGTATATTTGCTGTTGAATAAATGAGCTATAATATGTTTTATTAATTCCATGTACCTACAAGATAAGAAACGTGACTTACACTAACTAGCGTATGGTAAGAAGGTCTATGAAATGAAAAAGGTTTTGATAATTGTAATAGGCTGTAACAGGTAGGCTTAACCAAAATCATTTTAATCCATAAAATTTAAATACGAACGACACTATAAAAAATCATGTGATCTATATTTCACAAATTTAACTTCAAATTATAAATCGAGATTAATTAAGAGAATTCGCAAAGTTGTGTATCGTTACGGAATATGAAGAGGCCTCCAGTAATTGGGTACACCACGAAGTAATTTAATATCCTGTTTCGCGAAACATCACAATTTTGTTATACACTTTACAATAAATCATATGAAAGAAGTTTTGGTAAGAAAATATTGGTATTAATTTCAGATAGCCTTTTTATAAAAAAATATACCAATTGGTAATTAGTAAAATATTATATACATATATTATATATTGTATATATTATAATAAAAAAGGATAAAATAAAAGTCTTCATAAGGGGAAAAAGTAAGCCATAATATAAGTTATAAAACTTTTTCTAAATATACAGCCCAATATAACAAAAGACCATAACGCCAATGGGACGAGAGCCAATATTTGCATCGGTTTTATTAAAAAAAATTATGTATAGATCCTTCGGTACTCAACTACTACTACTACTGCCCAATAGGCAATACAGAATATTCCGTTTTAGATTAATTATGATCCAACAACTTAACTTATGAATAATAATGTCAAGAAAAACCAATTTTATTCCAAAATCACAAAATAACATTTTAAAAATCGTGATAATATCTTTAAATTATATCTTTCGGTCTTAACTTACCTGTGAATTCAATATCCCTGTCAATGTCAATGAGACCAATGTCATTGGCTCCAGTTTTGTGATCGTACTCAGGGTGGATTTTAAGCTTTGTGGTTTCTGTCACGAAGCCAGGTCTGAAGACATTTGGAGCGGCGTAGCGGACCCATATATAACGTGACCTGAGGAAAATAAAATTTAAGGAATTAAAGGCGTTTCTTTTTTTTTTGTCTGCCATTAGATTTGTAAATTTATCGATTTGTAACAAAAATCTTGGATGAACATTAGAGTTTAATAATTTGAAAAACAAAAGTGTTCGAAAAGTTTCAGTAATCGTGTAGTTACTTACTCTATTAGTGTGTCGTCAATGTTCAATCTGTAAAAATAAAAAACCTAGCATTAAAGTTCAAATTAATAAAAATATTAATAACAATAAATATAAATATATCCAACGAGACTTTTCTAGTAGTTTAGAGATTGTAACGTTTGTAAGACGGAAAAAACCAGGCATTTTAAAAGACATATTGCGAAAAATATTTACTTAGCTCGAATCAATCAAAATTTTTGAGATGATCATATCTAATTTGATTTGATGTTCTCGATTATAGATAATAATAGTCTCGACCAGGCAACACCAAGAGTCTATTACGTGCTCCATCTCAAAATAAAAACATGTTTAATTAAGACTTTTTTATTCCAAGACTTACTCAGACAAGCAGGAAGCAGCAGTAATGATCCATCTGTTGTTGTAGAGAGTTCCTACACAGGAGTTCAGACGTCCTCTGAGCGTCAGGCATGAGTAACGAAGGTGAACCAACCAGGGTAGGTCTAACCTGGTTTCTTCATCGTTGTACGCTAAAAGTTACCTTTTTAGTTTTTTAATAAGACTTAATAAATAAACACGACTAGTGGATTTCAATAAGTGAATTCCTGAAGTTTTAGCCAATTCCGTTAAATAATTTTGGACTTTTAAACTTATACGGTTTTTGGGAAATTAAAAAAAAATCTAGTAGCTGTTATCAACTGAAAAGTATTATTTTACATAACAAGCTATTAATTCATGTTAATTTAATGTATTTTTAACCTATGATTAGTATTGTTTGTAGCAAACTAATAATTTATTGCTGTCAAATTTGTTGTTATCGATGAGGCATGAAGTCTTATGTTTAGCTGTCAGATAACTCAAGAACGTATTTAGCAGTGTGCTAATTAGTAAATGGTATTTTTTCAGAAATATAAGCACTTACATGTGACGCGGCCCTGTAACAAAAACATATAGTTATTACTTAAAATACAAAATTTCGTATAAAAGCACCAAAATTAACAATACCAACAAATAATATAATATATATTGAACTATAATCTAATCTTCTAATAGTGATCTTTTCGAAAGCGATCATAATGGCTACTTTAATTTTGGATGACGCGCTTCTGAACAATGACTTGGTGTTTGACCAAACCATTGCCGAAGATTGAGAACTTGATACCAAATCATTGAGAAGTTTGGTCGTCTCGGCTCGTGTGCGGCCGGGTCTCCCACCTGCGCTTTACCATGAATGATTAGTGGAAGGCGCTCGTATTTTTTGGTGTTACGTAAGAATATCTACGCACAACAATATCATCTAACGTAACAATACAATCTGTCAAACAATAACTATATATATATATATTGCTTGATATATATATATATTTCAAGCAATACTTTTTAGAGTCATTTATATGTAAAAACAATGCACACTAGCTTTAAAGGTATGTAGGCAACGTTTTGTTTTAGTAATTAGCGTACCCAAAACAGGAGCTAATTATGCAGTAATTAAGGCATTAGGGCAAGATTATATGAGACGGGGATTAAGACATGATAAATGAGCATGAATTCAGATAAGATTATATAAATTACATTTTCAATCGTGACTATACCTAAGTAAGGATGTATTATCTAGGTATAAATAGAACTTTACAATAATGCTAAGCTTATTATAACTTAATTTTGCTAGTTAATTGTTTAGTTTCTTTCAATTTTACAAATATTCGATTTTACGTCGTAATCCACTATTGAATTTATTCTTGATTCTTTAATTCTTTAATTGAACCTATTCTGTCGGCTGATGCTTTGCTTTTATTATTATTATTACATTTTGTCTTAATATATCAAGTGAAGCATACTTATATAATAGTTGATTTTCTTACAATTTCCTTGTAAACCAAAAACTTGACGATTTGAAACAGTGGCAGAGAGTTTCTTGGTAGTTGTTCTCGCTCGTAGAGCGTATCTTGATTTGAGAACACGTTATGTAAATTTAATCCTTCAATTATTTTTAATATTGACATATTTACCGAAATATTATTTGATTTGAATTGTATTTAGTTAGATTTTGCTCCTTGCTAGATTAAATGCGGATATATCGGTTAATCGCTGCACCTAAATCAAAAAAAGGAATACGAATTATATTTTTAAATTTGTAGTAAAATCTCACCTGTACCGCGGCTAAAACGCAAAATAAAATAACTGTAAAGACCTTCATTTTGCACGATCCAATAACTACTAATTGAAATTTAATTTGATTAATTATAAATTAGCCATCGATTATTGATACGATATCGTAAATTCGTCCGTATCGCATTTAGAAGATAATATTATACTTAGCTTTTCATTATCAGCTAATCCGATGATTTAAATGCTATTTTCTGATAATAATTTGATATTTCTATTAATACTGATATTCTCTTTTTCACAAGTTTAGTTAAACAAACAACCAATTATTTTAAATAATATTTGATGTTTCTGTACATGCGTTTACAATCAGCCATTATAAAAAATATTGAAATACTTTAGTAAAAATAAATTTTGAAACAAGACTTGTCTATGTTTTGCTTTTATGTATACTTATAGAAATAAAAAAAAAATCGAGACTAATTTAAGGCTTTAATATTGATACAATTTTTAACACTTTTTTAAGCAACGTAAACAATACAAGTTAATTTTCCTTTCGTTCCTCTCTACAATGGTAATTATGAACATGCTGCTCTTTTATTTATTCATTTACACCACGTCGCAAAAAATACAGTACAATTACAATAATTAAATAAAAAGGAAATTAACTGGCGACCTTATCGCTTGCAAGCGATCTCTTCCAGGCAATATGAGGAAAGGAAAAAGTTAAATTAAATAAGACCGCAAGATGTGCAAAACTACATGAGATATACAATTACTTAGACATAAAGGATATAACAAACCAAGCTATTAAAATATATGTTGACAATGAAAAGGACTATAAAAAAGGACACATAAATCACTAGTATCAGAAGTTAGTATAAAAGTTAGGGCTACAAGTTTTTTAGTAACTCCTCGAGCGCGTATTTTCTAGTATAATTATTTATTTGACATACATGTTATAACAAAATGTATCACTAATGCCTTGATCACACGTACCGAGCAAACCGGCGAGACAGTAAAATGTTTCTCGGCCGAGACAGTGTAGTAAGCGAGTAGCTGTTCACACACATTTTGAAATCATTCAGTTCTATTGAGACTACAATTCGGACAAGATGGATCGTAAAAAGATAATTAGAAAATATACAAAGTTACTCATTCCTTAGAAAATTACTTATTAGAAATTTTCATAAATTTTCATTAGAAAACATACAAAATTATCCCTAGAGGACATATTTTAAGAATGTTATAGATACTTTAATCCTTAACAACAGTAGAAATCTCCCAAATGTATGGTGAACTGGTATTTTTTCATGATATTTGGGCCGAAAACTACTAATTTATGACCGGAAATATATTAATAAATTGGCCTCTTTCGAATGTTTGATAAATATTGAATTTCTAAACTGAGAAGTATAATACATTCAACGACGGCAAAAAAAAAAAAAAATTAACAATAAAAATAAAAATAGGGGATCAAGTGTCCCCAGCCCAGTGTGTCATGTGGCCGAGTGGCGAGCGGCGAGACAGTGTACGTTCAAACCTGCCGAGTGAGTGAGCGAGACAGTGCGGGGAAGCGGGAGGGTAGTCACTCGGTCTAGTAAGTAGAACGGTAGCCGAGCTATTGTCTCGCCACATCTTTCGGCCGAGCGCTCGGCCGAGCACTCGGCGCTATGTTTATACGTACCGAGTACTCGACCGAGAGTACTGTCTCGCCGGTTTGCTCGGTACGTGTGATCAAGGCATTAATAGGCCCGTTTCTCAGATAATGAGGAACAAATCATTCAGCTACAAGGACGTCATTATCATCGACCTCCAACGTCTCCTCACTTTCAGGTTCCTTCTCGATTGTCACGTTCTCTATCCAAGACAGGAACTTAGAGGTGGGGAGGAAAGCTGTAATGTTAATGCATTTAATTGTGTGCATCCTCTAAGCTTAGTCGAGTCCTATCAACGTTTTAAGGGTTATGTACAAGAGAGACACAGTTTTGTATACTCTATTTAAAGATGTATATAAAACTAGTTTTGATATCTTAAAACGGCACCTTTTAATATATTACAATTTCATACATTTACTCATAAATTAGACCTAACTCAAATCCATATTTATATCTTTTTATAGGAAATATATTATATTAGGTAATTAGGTTTTAATAATAAAATACGAAAAAAATGTAATTGTTAAGTACTCGTAGTTAATGGGATTAATATTCAGTACACACCTCCAGCTGAGTTGTCATCAGCAGCTCTTACAAGTATACCATGCACCTTGCCATCCGACACTAAAGCAGCCCCAAAATCATACTGGAATATAGATTAACAATATTATACAACCGACACAAGCGAGTCGCACTATTCGCAGAAGCTGTACGTTACGAACCATAACTAGAATATAGATATCATTTACTACACCCTAATTTCGATCAAACAAAACTTAGACGCCTAAAGGAAAGTAATAAGCAAACCTTCGAAGCATTCACACTGCTCTGTGCAATGAGAAGACCGTCAGCTTCAGTTACTGTGACGTTCGCGCAGAATAGATCTTCACCAAATTCTAAAACGATTACAATAACAATCATAAAAACAGAAATGTACAAAAATTGCATATAAATATTGTGTACATACATTAAATATATGAATAGAAAAGTAATCTTAGAAGGAAATCCTGCAACAGAACCTCTGTAGATTAAATAGTAGCTGAGATATAATTCAATTACTCACTCCCATCTTTTTCGCCATATCCGCAAGCAAAACCAGATGAAGGAGGTCCATCGTCACTTTCTGCCAACGCTATAGGTTGGATCTTGTCTGACAAAAAAAACAAAAATACAACTTCTTAAGTACTAAAATTAGTTTTTATGTTTGTTATGTTGAGGTTGGGTTGGTCTAAAATTCATTATAAAGAGGTAAAAAAAATTACATTACTTTCCTACTACAAACAACAATTATTCTTTTACGAACAAAAGCGAGTCGAAACCTGTCGCGACATGAATCATATACTATGAGATTAAAGGTGAGATCTATAGTGCGCACTTGGACTTTGCTCAGACTTACCTTACGAAAAACTTTGCTTAGTGTACACTAAGGTTAAACTATGATTTCGTATTTATAGACATTTTAACGGTGAGATTAAGCTAAGCCCAAGCTAAGACAGAAAATGTCAAAATACAAATTGATGTTTCATTTCATGCAATACTTTGTTTATTATCCTTTAAAAAAGTTAACGATAACAAATATTTAAAAATCTAAAACGGTACACATATATCTTCAATTTATTGTTATTTATGTATTCATTTATTTTATTATTGCAATAACTAGAAATTCACGAGTAACCTTTAGAAAATGTATTAATTATTTAAAGATGACAATAATTTTATTACGTAGAACGGATCGCAATGTTTTGACAACAGCAACAGAGCACTTGTATCAACTATCAACAATTGAAAATTTTAAACCACTTACAAGACAATTTATTAAATTGATCTTTCTTCAAAACAACGACTGGCTTTGTGACTTGGACCTGGACCAATCTGGATCGTATACCTACTTAAGACCTACGCATTCCCGAAACACTGTGACGTTTTGTGATTTGGCTTTGTTACATGGACCGCTTGGAAATATCAATATCGAAAGTGACATGATGGAGAGAGAGAGTTCTATCTTCAATAGAAATCATTGAAAGGGTAGGAACTGCAGCCGATATGAATCCACGAATGCCTAAAGTGTTGTATATGTTCGGAACTAATAAAACCAAAATCCTTCCATCCTGTACGGTGAGAATGAATTCAAAAGAAGGAACCGTATTTTGAAACACACGGTATTAAATGTGATCCTGACGCTGATCATTACAAACTTGCAACCTTATAACAACAGAGGATCGCCAAACCTACCGCAATTGCAAATACTTATTGCATTAAGGCATAAAAATGCAACTGGATGTTTTCAGGTAATATTGTGTTCATAAATATGTATGGTTTTTCAATTTGATATATTATACCTCTTCTCAAATGATTTTAAATAGTACATATGTTGAAGACTTTTGTCTTCTGACTTTCAAACATAACATATATGTGACTAATAATACTTTATTGACATTACAGATGGTGTGTGGTGATCTGAACAGCATAAGCCAATCTACAGTCTGTTTAATTATAAATAAAGTCTCTGCAGAGTTAGTAAATTACTTCCTAGATTTGTAAATTTTCCAAGAAATATGAACACAGCCAAAACGAAGTTTGAAGAATTAGGAAGATCTAATACTCCCCATAGCCTAAACAGTATAATCGGAGCTATTGACTGCACCCATATAAAAATTAATAGACCCAAAGGTATCGCTCACTCTGAAGCATACAGAAATAAAAAAGGGTATTTTTCTGTAAATGTGCAAGCAATAATAGGGCCTGATATGGAAATATTTGCTATAGTGACTAGGTGGCCTGGCAGTTCACACGACAGCAGGATATTTAGAAAATGCCTGTTTTAGTAGGTGACAACGGTTATCCAGCACTTAACTTCATGTTAACAACACTTTTAAATCCAATGACAAGAGCTGACAATATTTATAATTATTCTCAAATAAGAACTAGGCATATTTTTTAAAGGTTTTTCGGAGTGTGAAAAAGGAAATTTCCATGTTTACAGTTAGGACTACAGTCTAAATTGACAAATACTACTTATATATAATTATAGCTTGTGCTGTATTGCATAATATAGGTATACAGAGAGGCGATGCTTATGATGATGGTGATCTTGCTGACAGCAGAAGTTGAGTAACACAGAAACAATGAAAGATCTCCTACAGGTCTAGCATTCCGGCAATCTGTGATTGCACAATTTAACTAGGTAATTTGTTTGGTAATAAAGAATATCAAAACAAAACTTGTTTCATTTTAATCATTTATTTTCTGATTCTTTTTTTAAGTGTAATACATATTTCTAATACTAATTTATATTTTTGTTGAAGAAATTCTATTTCTAACAGATTTTTTAATTTCATATGTTCCACTCCTATCTCAAATTTTTTAGGGTAGTCAGGTAATAAATGGTAGAAGATTCAGGGAAACGAAAATAACAGATGTGAAGCGAGAGACATCGGTTAGGTTATGGTTTGAATTTCGTTGTCACTATTTTAATTTATTTATTTATTAGCCGGATACAAAGTCCATTGGCACCGTTGTCACTATAATATGCCAGGGCTGCCAGGTGACATACAAAATCACACCAGTTATTTTTAAGATTTCTCAAAAATGGGGTTTGAACAATTACATAAATAATATAAATAAACAACAATAAATACCATAATAATGTGTAATTATTTTATTTCATGCATTTCATAGGTATTTATCAAGATCATTTATAATTTCTTTGAATTCAAATTCTATTTTTCCCAAAGTCTATGGAACTCCGATACAAAATGGCAACACCGTTCATTAAAAACCGACAAAAATAAAAAGTCCAGTAAAAGATATGATGGTAAAGCAAAATTTGGGCCATTATTTTTGTTAGGCTTATAGTCAAAGTTTTTGGTAAGTCGTCGATTTCGTGGACTTGAGATTAAGCTAAGCCAACACTAGGGAGAGATTCGCAGTTTGCTCTATAAATACCGACTGTGTCTTAGCTCGATAGTTAAGTCAGAGCAAAGTCTAAGTGCGCACTATAGATCTCACCCTAAGAGTGATACATTGGTGGGAACTTTAGGTATATAAAGGTTTTCGGTTGTCAAAATTTGTTAATTAGAGGATTTATACTTTTTCTTGATAGTTGAAAATTCGTTATAACTGTAATTGTTTAGGTAAATAGATATTTTACATTAACTCTTATGGACAAGTCAAGGGTATTTTTTATGTTACGAAGCAGACGGGCAGGAGGCTCACCTGATGTTAAGGAAGTCGTTATATTGCGGTACCTTATATTAAGGTTGCACTGTATATACTGAGCGGTATAAAACTTCGATAGCGCGTTCCAGGGTATGACGGTTATCGCACGTTACAATTCCGTAGAATTTAGGTGTCGCTACAAATTAATGATTCTACCGTGAACTTACCCGTGAATTCAATACTCCTATTGAGGTCAAGAAGTCCAAGGTTATTCTCTAAAGTTATGGGGTCAAACTGAGGGTGGGTTATTACGTCTGAAGATTCAATCACGAAGCCAGGTGTAAAGACATGCTTGGTATCGAAGCGACTCCAGATGTAGCGAGACCTGATGGATGATACATGTTGTCTTAGACTAATATTTAGCTATGTTTAAGTTATAGTCTATGCAATGTGTAAATCATATCTAACCCCTTACTAATAAAAACTAAATCAATGTAATTTCACTCAAAAGTCTCGTTTAAACACATCGTAATTTGACAGAAATAGATTAATGAGTGCTTTATAAAAGCTTTTTTTTTTTTTTTGAATATGGGGTAAGAATATAAACCCTAATTAATTTTAGATTTTTTTTAGGTACAGACATAGTAGGCTCGAGAGGTTAAAGAAAGTTTTTTCTCAGAAGCAAAATGTCAAATAATTAATAGTGTTTAATTGTAGAAGCTATTTACTCATGTTTCTATAAATAAAGGTGTATGAAATTAAATAATTATTTATTTTTTTAGCTTGAATTAAAAATGATGGAGGATTGTACATAATGCGTAAATTTTATTTACATCTATTTAATTTAACAATTAGTTATAAAACAACATATAAATATACTTACGTTATATTATAACCCTCAATGTCCCTGAAACAATAAATTATGCTTTAAGAATCAAGAACCATAACCTAAGTAGGAAGTATGTACCTACCTATATATATAATTGTATCACATTTTAGGTGGTGGCGATAAAGCTTATTTATTAAAATTAGCGTCTAATTAAGTATACAGTTCCTGTCGTCTCTATATAGGTATATGCTCTTCATGGATTATTTTGTGCAGAATAAAATAAAACGTAATACTAAAAGTACCTAACACAATATATTTTACAACTTTAACCGTATGGTGATCGTTTGGCCGCCTGCGCATACTCGTATCGGCATCGGCGTAATATTCTTGCCGATAATACTCAACTAACCTAACCCTTTGGTAGCGTTAGTGCGCAAAATATTATTAGTCTAATATTTCCATACAAGAATATTATTTTTGTACGCCAACGAAACGTCTCTTACCCGGTCCTAGCACGGTCATGTTATGATCATAAGGATCTCTTAAATGTATCGCTTGCATCAAAATTATCTGGAATACTTACTCCATCAAACAGCTAGCAGCAGTAAGAACCCATCTGTTGTTATAGAGAGCCCCAACACAGGTATCTAATTTACCTCTGAGTGACAAGCGGGTAAAACGAAGGTGAACCAGCCAGGGCACGCTTAGAGTGGTTGGTATGTCATCAGTAGCTAAAAAATAAATTTAAGGTAGCTTTTGCTTATATAATCGATGTACCTATCATTAGGTATTCGATGCTACGAGAGCTTAAACAAAGTCATTATCTGGTGCAAATAAACAAAATCACTAATAATTATTGGTACTGGTGTAAAACAAGAGTATGACGCATCGTTTCAAATACTTAATAATTTTGATAATAATTAAGTGCTCATAAAAAGAATTTTAATTTTTGAATATACTTACATTCCGCACTTTGGCCCTGCAAGAAAAACAAAGGAATATTGTTAATATATTTACGATGGTTTGGATAAAAGAAAGCGTGTAATTTAAACTATACTAAATTATATGGAACATCATGAAAGCAAATCGCTGATACTTTGGCCTTTTTGATAAATATTTCCGATTGCGACTTCTGAGTAAGAAAACCAAGCTTGTTCTGCACAAAACTCTCCTGCGACCAGTGGTCCTTTTATTTATGGTTATTAAACCTCAAAGCAGGACGAGCTTGCTCGATTCTCGAGCGGAAGATTCTTCGAAGAACGTTGCGAACTGTTTGCGGCGACGGTGTTTGACGTATTCGCTTCAATGAAGATCTTTATAACATCCTTGGCGACGCCAACATCGTCCAATTCATATGAATTTATATTCAACAGGTGTTCACCGAATGGCGGACTGAATCACAACCAAAATATTATTTTAGTTTTTATCTGTTTTGTAATTTAGATTAAATTTCTTCCTATTCTGATAGTTATTTTTGTGAACCCTTTTCTTTGCTAATCATGTCCACTTCTAGAGGGCATATAAAAATGGTCATGACTAGCAAAGAAATAATATAATGTGTTTGTCCTAATATTGTGGTCAGAATAAAAAAATTGTAAAATCATTAAATTTATCATTAGTTAAAATCAAATTACAAAAGCGGACCGGATATTGAGCCATACAATTAAGCGTGAAGATTAGATAGAAATACACGCTCAATTTGATTTACGCATTTATGTTAATAATGAGATATAAGATAATACATTAAAATTTTAATTAAATCAAAAAAACTACTTATAATTTTTTTTAGAACAGGGGGGCAAACGGGCAGGAGGCTTGCCATGCTGAGCACACCAAGCTTCGTGGAGCCTAATTTAGCCTCTCCTTAATGACCGCGAAACTGAACGTCATTTGATATGTCAACGCCTAGTATTCCGATGCCGACTAGGGATTTAACAAGAGATTTCTTAGACTTAAATTGGACTAGATTATTTGGACGCCAGACCGAGACTACACGTAGTAGTAGTTATTTTCTTATACGTAGTAGTTATATCATGATCTTACATCCATAGATCGGCACCGCAGAAAAGAGTTCCATGCCCTGCAGAACGACTCCGGCGACAGAGTCAGCGACGGTATCTAGAGCATCCGACGAAAAGCACGAAAGGGTAGGACGCAAAGAAAGACCGCATCCTGTCCCAATCTGCTGACCATACGTCATATATAGTGCCATATACGGCGACAGCCCGCAAATCAGGGTCGTGGAGGGCGCGTAGTAGGCACAGTGCTCCGGACCACGCAATGATCCGACGAACCCAAAGGAATCGAAAGGGTCCACGAAAACTTGGTAGTTCTCTGGATGTGAGGTCAACAGAAGGTCCAACAAAGACGGTTTTTAACCATCCACATCTTCTATTCGTGTAATTGCGGGAACCATTTGTGTCAGATCAGAACCGAGCCCGTCGGAATATTTAGACAACCCAGGAAACCTAACCTATCAGGTATACGTAGTCTCGATAATTTCAACTAAAATTATGATAATTAAACGAACATTAAAATTTATATTTTAATGTTAGAAACACATAAGTACACTATTACATACCTGTATCGCAACTAAGATGTATACTAAAATCCCTAGGCTCTTCATGTTGCTGGATCAATTCCTTACTAGTTCAGAAATCACTTGACATTCATATACATTCACACCTCAACCTTATCGCATATCTCAAATCGATTTCAACAAATCGGCTGATTAAAATCTAATTATTTGTCATGAGATTTTCTATAACTTTTTAACACCTCTTAGGTTTGCTACTTAAAAATGTAATTAATCATTCATACCAAGAAATCATTTCGTCGGAAGATACTCTTGCCTCTTGCTAGTGGTTACTTGGACATGGCTAATATTTTTATATTATGTCTCTTTTGATAACCCAAAATCAAACTAGTGCCACATACTTTTCTTGGCCGGCGGCTAAAATTATTACTACCGTCGCCATTTTGGTGCGTACTATAAATAATTTTACAATCTATCTAACATCTAATAAAAAACCAACTAAAATGTATTTATTTTTATTCCTTGCATTATTAATTATAATGGCAAAGTTTTAATTATCGAACGGTTCTGATTGCTATGTATCTTAAAAGATATTATATTAATATCAGTTGTTCCAAAGTTTGTGTCACATTTGTTTATTAACCTAGAACTCTATTTTCTAGATACCAGTAGATAATAGGTTGTTTTCTTAAGACATTTCAATAAATTATTAAGTTAGCCTTCATGACTTTAAATTATTCCCCTTATAATGGATCATTTTTATTTACTAGCAATACTAATATCCATGACAGCGCTCTGTGCCAATGGACTTTGTATCCGGCTAATAAACAAATTAAAAAAAAAATATTGACAGCGCTCTAAAGGTCAGTACTCACATACGGTATTACTCGATCGAGCTAAACTGTCGAGTAAAACCCATGGCATGGGCTTTCGTCCACACATTGAGCATTGATCTATCGAGTGAGGCGCGCCGTTAAGTATTCACCGAACTGTTCGAGCCAAAGGATGTCTGTGCAACAAAGGAGACGGTGGCTGTATTTAGCAAGTCTTACAGTGCTTTATAAGAAAATCAAAGAAAATGAAAAGAAAAAACGTTAAGCACAGCTAGTAATTTATCATAACATTCATTTCTCTTATTTTTGTGGGAGTAATCTTTGGACTTGACATTCCATAAACACTCACACTGTCTATATGCGTTAATAAAGTCTTCTATAGCGCTTTTGGAATAAACTCGCAAATCCATTTCTCTTAAAAACACGTGTTTCAATCATGATAAACAATACCAGACTGACGCTTGCCTCGCTCCACTCGCAGTCACGTACACACGTTCGAGTCAAGAATGACGGCTCGCTTCGAGTAGGTTCGAATGAAATTACTTTAATTTAATTCCATCGAGCCGGCTCGGTGCGAGCCTTCGAGCTGTGAGTTTTGCGGTCCGCACGTTGATTTTTACTTGACTTCGAGTAAAACTATCGAGTAATACCGTATGTGAGTAGTGACCTTTACCGGCCAAGAAAAGTATGTGGCACTGTACAAGTGTCGCTTTATTATTTCATTAAAATTAAAAGCAATTTATTGAGGAGTTCTTTCCTATTAGAATCATATTTTGTTGGTCTTTTACAAACTTCTCCGTAGAAATCAAGGTTTGTGAACGTTTCCTATAAATTGACTTCCGATTGGGTATGGTCCTATAAATCCCAATCAATACGAAAGTCGAATAAAAAAATGACGTCCGAGGCGACATCAAAAAAACCAAAGGAGGTTATCAATTCAACGTGTAATTTTTTTAAATTAAATAAAAGCTCCACCCTCCGTTAGCCCGATTTGGATGAGGTGTCAAATAATCCAGATTACCAACAAATAAGTCCCGCCTTCCAAATTTTTTAAATTCCAATACAACATGTAAATTGTTTAAATTTCCAACAAATTCCTGAAATTATCATTTTAATGTAAGTATGCGTCAAGAATACTTGTTTTTTTTATATAATTGATTTAATTTGTAGGAACCTTTTTTATTATCGTGAGTATACTCCTACAGGAGTGTTTTAACTAGCTTTTAATGAAAACGGTGAAAGCGACAGGGAAGTAAAAATATACATTTATATTAATATGTATAATTATTTCCTTACAATATTTACTTCTAGAGAACTAGAATTTTATTCTTTATCGTCTTATTAATCAATTTTCGCCTTCTTTAGGCATAGACCAACTTTTAGATCGCCTAGGGGAGACTAGATTTCGTTCAGGAGTCCGGTCTTTTTTGGGGGTTGGTGTTCGATGTTTGGTCTTTGACCTAGTTTTAGATCTCCGTCGCGAATGAGACCTGGATCGCCTGGATCTTGATGGTGTTCGACTGCGATGAGACCTGAAATTATTTAATCGAAATTAAGTCCTCTGGCATTGAGTGTCCATGGGCGGCATCACTTAACATCAGATGAGCCTCCTGCCCATTTGCCCCCTGTTATATATGTAAAAAAAGTGAAATCAGATACATCTGGGGTCTATTCCCAGTGAAATTATAATGGTAGGCATAGACAACAGAAATAGAGAAAAACTCAATGACACTGATATTGTGCCGTTAGCACTCCGTGCCTTTCAAATCGTAAGAACTATTTTTACCATTGGATCAAAACTAGACCTTCTTTTGAATCCATTTACCAAATTAACCAACTACAGTGACATAGGTAAGGAATTAAAATCACCTAGATCGCCGACTTCTTGATCGTGATCGTCTACTCCTGCTTCTAGATCTGCGACTGCGTGAGCGCCGACTTCGCGAACGTGACCGGGAGTATGAGCGTCTACGTGACCGCGATCGTGACCGTGACCGCGAGTAGGATCGCCGGCGTGACCGTGAACGTGCGCGGTCGTCGTGTTCGTTGCGACTCTCCGCTTCGCTTAGTTTTTTGAAATATCTGTAAGAATACCATCATATAAGGGCTGGCGATTCTGACTTGCACTTAATTGAGTGAAGCCTTTACACATTTTAAATTATTTATATCCAAAAATATTAATATGTAAAATATTCATATTTTACATATTATTAAATTAAAAATAGGCAACCTCTGTTTCAGAGAGTTTCTTGCCAGTTCTTCTCACCCGCTCTACGCTCTCGATTTGGGAATTTGGTAGTAAAGAGATTGAGAGCATTAAGATTTTCCTTTTTATTAATATTGATGTTCATAATTGTACATATTTTTTATCAAAATATTGTTTGTTAGAAAACTTTTACTTTATACTAAAATTGTTTTTATCAAATTTTACACTTTATTAAATCGAAAATTTGAACAGGTCATTTCCTAATGCCCGCCTTACATATAGGGCGATACTACATTTTCTTTGTGTCCAAGACTGTACGCACAGATAGTTTAATACTATAATATATTTAACATTTAGCAGTAACTATAATTTAACTTAATTTATTCCCGAAATACAGAATACGTAGAATGTATTAAAATAATTTAATTTATTTTATCGTATTCTGTAATTTCCAATATAATATGTTCTTGTATATAAGTTGCTGTTGTTTTCTCAATACTACATATCGCCACGGCGCTGATGAACCTTGGGATCGCTATTGGAAGTTACAGAGTAACGGTGCTGTTCAGAGTTTAACTTACTCATAGTACTGCTGCGTCGCGTGCGGTCCTTCGAAGTGCGGCAACCTCGCTCGGCCCCTCCCTCGCCCGCGGCCTCGGTACCCCCGACGCGGCGCGTAGCCGTCCGGAGGAGGATAATACGCACCGCGGACCGGGTAATACATCGACGCTGAACACATTTTTATAATACAAAATTATGTTTGTGAGTAAATATATCCGTCGTGGGATTACAGGTCACTGCAGTTCAAATTACTTTTTTGATGTTGGCAACACTGTTACGTCATTATAGTTCGACAGCAATCTTTATACTTAATTTGAAAAAGTCATACATTTTGCCACACCGTTCTCTTTCCGCTCAGACCATAAATTCGTTGAATTAATATACTGTATAGTAACAACTCTTAGAGTTTTTGATTTGTGTATGAAGTTAATAATATCGTGTATAATAAGTATTATAAGAGATATATAAATTTTGTCCACTTTAGCCAATACATACAATTAATTACGGTGTAAAAAATTGTTCCAACAATTTATATCTCTCAGCAAATAGAAATATTTTCCAAAGATGTGAATTTTTAAGCAATTATAAGGGTCGATGTTATAATACGGAGATGTGGTGAATGTTATTGGAAATATGCGCACGCACTTTTCTTTCGAATTAAATTTAGGGTTAATATATATAAATTATTTTTAAAAAAAACACATATTTGCACAGATGGATGTTATATCTGCTATGGAGAGCTGGCCAGCATTTTGTATTGAAAGAATTAAAGTTCGGATCAATACGACAAAATTTACTTAATCAATTAAGGTGATACGTTGCTGCGTTTTTAAGCTACAGGGGTTTAAATCTGTAAAAAAAAGTGTGCTATAACAATTGCTCGTGTCTGCCTCTGGGGTTAGTAGTCAATATCATTTAGATAACTTATAAGTTTTACCATTATCACAGGAGTTAGATGTAAAAATGTAAAAAAAGCTCTACTAAATCATTTGCTCGTAGCTGTAATAGAGTCCATTTGATTTATTACAACCTCCAAAATAAAAAGGGTGCGTGTACTTACGTGTACACGCGTAAAAAGTTATACTTCTTTGGCATTATTAAAAATAGTTAATTAATTACAATTAAATAATCAAAGACTGGAAAAGGAGTCAATACAGACACTATTTTGACCGGATTGAAGTTATGTATTATTATAAATTTACAACTATTTAACATAATTTTAAATTTATCCGACGTTTCGCGTGCTTTACAGCGTGCGTGGTCACGGTGACCGTGTCAAAATAGTGTTTTATTAAATGAATAAAAGTTATGTTAATCAAAGACAATACTATGAGTCAATAAAGTTCAGTTTACATTTGAAAAATTAAATAAATAAATATTTATTATTATTCTCTTACATTAAGTGTAACATAAATTCTATTATTATTCGAATGTTGTTTTTAAATTATGTCCAATGCCGTAGCATCTTCCGTGGGCAACTTCATTCTGTTAATTTTGTGTCACGGTGCGCGCGCATCGTAAAATTTCACTCTCATCAATTTTTCATATCGCGCCTAAAGAAGTATAACTTCAAAAATAAAAATTGTCAGATTTTACTTACTGACTTTAACCATTACAGTTCGTTGAGGTCCGCGAATCTGAGGAAAAGTATTATGGCTAATTAATGCAAATATTCGTAGTATGACTTTTTTTTTAAAATAATAAATAAAATCAAATGGACTGCTTTCGGAATATCAGTGGCCTGAGTGTCTACCTCAATTATGTTTTTTTTTTTTTAATAAGCAATATAAACAACAGTCAAAAGAGGCAGACACAAGTAAATGATATAGCACACTTTTTTTTAATGAACACTGCAGGTCTGCCAAGCGTGCATTTGACATATATTTTTTTAAATTGTAAAAAATCTTTAAAAATGTATAACTTGAAAAGTCTGAGGCAATGATGTCTGCCTTTTTCTTTATTTTCATTTTGACAAGGTTTCTAAACATCAGCCTTAAAGGCAGACACAAGCAAATCATATAGTATACCTGTTTTTTTTACATATTTAAGGGGGTGTCAATTGACAACGCAGGGCAATGGTGGCAGACGTGGTCCATAATATTCCTTATTTAATAATGATATTTTGCTCGGCAGCTCTCTAACTATTATAGCTATTGTAAACGACAAAGTGAATCCTGATGAGACATGCTTTAGTACCAAATGTTTTTTGCTAAAGAAAATAATTCAAAGACAGATTCTTTGAATAATTTTTTTTAGATATGGATTGTACCTTTAAGACCAAAAGGCTTGTCTCCAAACAATATATTTGTCTTAAGGACTCAAATATTGAAACTGAAAATTAATCACTTTTCTTTCTTTGTAAATAAACTTAGTTATCTTGCATAAAAGTAGCATCGAACATAGATAATGTATGCATAAACATTATGTAAATAAAAAATCGGATACTCATACTTTGCGGGAAGGGGTATCCGGGCGCAGGCACAAACGGATATCCGTAACCGTACGGATTCGGGTACATTCCTGGAACTGAACAAATAATATCATTTTTATTCGAATTTTATTTTTATTGAAATTTTAATTAATAAAAAATTAAAGATCACCGTTCCAAAAATAAAAGTTACTCATTACCATACAGTTTCCATTATTTTTGTTCTAGAAACGGTGCAATTTCTTTAGTCAGTGACGTTTATCACAGATTCCTAAGGTTGCGCTGTTAATTCCTTTTCTAGAACCATACGAAGGCGATAAACTCATTTTACGATACTTTTGCTGTTTCTTAGAATGCTCAATATAATGCATTAAAGTTTCAATGGGCGAAAAATATATGTTCCTTACTCAGTCTATCCGTTTCTCTGTTTTAAGTAATTTCAATATACATACAAAAATTTACCTGCTTTGTACTCATCCCTCTCTGGAGAAGTCAATTTTTCTGTCTTGACCCGTTTATGGTTTAGATCCTCTGACGATAAGGAACTGGCTGATTCACGCCTCGGTTTCTTGGTTTCTAGCGCCGAACGAATTAAAATACGTCCTGAAATAAACAATGTTTAATAAGAGTTTTTATACAATCTCATTTGGTAATATTCTAATTATGAAATGAAATACAGACTTTTATTGGCATATTTTATATACACATACTTCTTTAAGAAAATTAAAAAATTTAATTAAAGCATTATTCTCCTAACACAACAATGCTTTAAAATATTTTTTTAATTATTTAAGTACAATGTGTCCCGACCAAGGAGGTTTCAATTCAATTTAAGTACACATAATCTGTGGTGAGCGCGTTGCGCGCGCAACTCGCTGGTTCCGAGCCAATAGACCAATAACAGACTTTTTCCATTGGCGCTATTTCGTACATACGAATTTGAGTAATATTTTGTTGGATAAAACTTTAGTATCAAAAATATCAAGCAACACCGACGATACCGATGAAAATTTAACTCGACGAATAGTCTTTTGCCAGAAAAATCAAGAAAAGCGTACGACAAATGTTACCAAGACTATGACTTGGAAACCTATAGCCATGAGATTAAATAAAGTAATGTATGCAACTGCATATAATTAGGTATTAAAACACTCGTGTAATCTTATTTTATCAAAAAACTACACTCATGTTTTAATACCCTCTATTATATTATGACAGTTGCATAAACTACTATTCTAGAATAAGGTTCTGTTTTTGTATGTGTGTAGTCAAAGATTCACCACAGTAATAAACAACAATTTATAAAAAATATTCTACTTGAAAATTCTGTATGCATTTTTCAATGTGTTATGAATTAGTAGTATAGTCAATAAATGTTTCTACGAAGTTGTATTTGAAGATTTAAAAAATTGTGAAGGATCATATACATTGTATAAAATTGAACCCTAACAAACTGAATGCATGATAACCAACAGCGCTAAATCATTTTGCTTTCACTGATACAAGAAATTTATATTATACTAGCAGACCGGCCAAGCGTTGCTGCGGCTAAGGTTTTTGTTATATTACATTAGTAGTAAACTATTCAAGGAAAACGGTAGGAGAACTTATGTGAAAGGTAGACAGCTTATGTGAAACGTTGGTACTTTTAACACAGCGCCATCTATTAGAATTGTATCAAATAATAAACAAATATTTGCAATAAAATAATATTGCGGGTATAAATTGAGATGTAAGCTATCCTTTATCTTTTAAGTTAGATCAAACTGCACATGGTGTGAAAATTCGATTGAAATCGGTTCGGTAGTTTAGGAGTCCATAGCAGACAAACAACGTAACACGTAATTTATATATATTAAGATTATATTTTACACCAGTATTAAGTTACTGTAAAAATAGGAAATAAGGAAAGTTTTTACCATCTCTAGCATGTCGAAGTAGGTCTTGCTGTTCATCTAAAATTTTCTCTTGTTGTCTTTTGAACTTGTCGACGATTCTTGATCGGGCAGCTCTTTCACTGGCATGGTAGTAACGCCCATCTCGAGAGCCGTTACGTTGAAGTTCAGGGCGTAACTAAAAACAAACACTTTACCATTTAAAAAAAAGGGGTGCGTGTACTTATGTACGCGCGTAAGAAGTTATACTTCTTTGGCATTATTAAAAATAGTTTTTGATTGCATGCAAATAATTAATTACAATTAAATAATCAAAGACTGGAAAAGGAGTCATTAAAGTCAATAAAGTTCAGTTTACATTTGAAAAATTAATTAAATAAATATTTATTATTATTCTCTTACATTAAACAAATAAAACACTATTTATCTTTAAAACATTTTTATTTCATTATACTATTTATTTTTAAGTGACTCTAATGTCTTCATCAGAATTTCGGTTTGTAATTTTAAATTAATCATTACTTGGTTATGCATCTACGAGGCTTCTCCAAAACTACTTGCTTTCTGGAACAAATAAGAGAATATTAATTTAAGCTCTGTCCATGCAAAACTTAAAATTTTTTATAATTCATATTATAAATTTTTTAACACATTTATATTAATATAATTATATAAATGTGTTAATAATATAATTTGTAGCACATGCTACAGACCTGGATAGCAACTTTCTTTTATTCCATTTAGAGATAGAGATAATTTAAATATAATACCGGTGTCTTCCTTGTAGGTTTCTTTGGAGTTGTTTGGGGATTCTTGTTGTTCAGTTCGACATGATTTTCTTTAACCTTTCTTTAATCCTACAAAATAATGAAATTGTTAAGTTATGTTGTCACTGTTGTGCACACCTTTGTTTGGCTTTTTTAGTATTCAAGTTATGTCAAAACTGATTTATTACCTTGTCATTGTTGGCTTTATTTGCTTTTGGGATATCAATTGTTTCCAAAATGATTTTATTTGTAATATCCTGAAATATATAAATAACATCTATTAATTTAAGTATCATGGTGAGTGGTTCGCACTCAGGTATTAAGGTGTATTATACCCACTGTCCATTATAAGTGGGAATGGGCTCACTTCTGGCAGGACAGAGTTTCGGTACTACAAGTGCAACATGGATGTTTTGAGGTATTACAATATCTCTAACTACCCTGTAGGGGAATAAAGTAATGTTGTAAGCATATGCCTATGCTTGAAAGGTTGAACCTTGAACATCACCATACATCATATTTATAATTAACATTCCTACCTCGACACCATCACAATCAAATTCATTGAAATCTACTTCAAACCATTGTGTCTCGAGAAGGTGATGGTGGCTTTGTTCCACCTCCAGTTTTTGATGTTTCACGGCGATAAGATGACAACTCTTTTTTTGTATTCAATTTAGTGCACTTCCACTGATTCATCAATTGTTTTTTGTCTCTTGTCCTTATATTTGCTAGATTAAATCTGATGTTTTGATTAAATAATGTGGTCATTTTTTTGAGATGCAGGTACTTATTAAAATGTTTACTTCTCTGTTATATCGCTCCAAGCCTTCATTTTCTCCTTATTAGTATTCGTGCTTAAATCTTTGTTCTCAATTATTGATATATAGGGTCGTAGAATATTTCTAAAAAGTTGCTGTAACAAACGCAATAAACAAAAGCAATGAATAATGGTTCATGTTTCAGTTTTAATCAACAATAATACTCGATAATACATACGGATAGTTAACCTCAATTGTATTGAAGCACTCAGGAAGGTTAGCACAGTTTTTTCACAAATATTTTATATTATTTCACAAATATTTTGTATAATGAAAATAACTAGGTATATAATTATTAATTTTAAACAATAATTAAAACTCCTATATTTGTTTAAAAGGTAAATGTCATTGTCAGATGTCAATTGTCATGGTCATTCAAAATTCTTGTTAAGCTGCTAAGCTAGAATATGCGTGAAGTTAGCTTCACGCATATTCTATTTCTTTTTACTTGTAGTTTGTCTTATTCCCATCTCGCTTGCGCACGCTATATCACACTGCCAATTTTGTGTCATAGGTGCGCGCGCAATCGTAAAATTTCACTCTCATCAATTTTTCATAACGCGCCTAAAGAAGTACAACTTCAAAAACATTTGAATTGCACCATTTTTCCTCATCCATCTCTTATCATCGCGGTTAAAACAATTTGACAGAAATAAACGAAATAGTACTTGAATTAGATGGAATTAGTTTTTATGGAGTGGAAAATGAATTACTTTTTATAAGGTTCACTGCATGCCAAATAGCCATAGAGATTGTAAGCCCATCAAACAAAATTAATTACATTTTACCAAGAGTGAAAGCCAGATTTATATAATGTGATTGGGTCACATAAGTTTATACAAATGTTTTGAATAGTGTTGTCCACATGTGACTCTCATTACTTAGGTTGTAGGTTTGATTCCTGGCTGTGTAGCAATGGACTTTTTATGTACATAAAGTTGCAGTGCCAATGTTTTTTTTTAAATGAAAATTATAAAATATTAACCTCTATCCTTTTGAACAATTCCTCAATAAGCCTTATAGCCTGCAACTTCTTCTGAACTCTAAGCAGTTTCTTTTGCTCTTCTGACACTTTTTTATTAAGATCCACATCTTCCCGTTCCATGAGTTTGGCTAATTGCTTTTTTTTCCGTCTTTCTTCCCGCTCTCTTGTCTTTTCCAGTTTGTCCTTTTCATTTCTCTCTATTTGTTGTCTTAAAAAGTGAAAAATTAAAGTTATTTTTTTTCTTATTTCTGCAAGAAAAGGCTGCTTGATTGAGAGATGACTACCCAAAAATCAGAAATTACAACTAATTTCTTTATTTGCTTCATGAATCCACCAATGAGAAATATTTTTTTAGTAACAATACTATTGAAACCTAATAAAGCCCACCCATAAAATTAAGATAGAATGTAGAAATCATGATTGCTAGAGAATGAGCCATTAAACCATGCAGTTACAATTTTATTGCCAAGGGATGATGGACAAATCAAATCCAAAAAAACACTAGTTTTAATAAAATGAATACTTTGATCTAAATATGAAAATTAATACTTCTGTGAATTTTTAAATAATACCTTTCTTTTGCTTCAATTATTGCTTTTCGCTCCTTTTCCTGTCTTTCCTCGTCATCCTTAACCCTTTGCCTGGATGAGAGCCTTTCTCTAACAATAGCCCTGCGTTTTACAGCGGCATCAGTCATGTGTTTAGTTTTATCAAAGTCAACTAAAATATTGCACCAATCAGCTAAATCTTCATTCTTTCTTAATAGCTTTTTTCCTCTTAGTGCATCCATGCATCTCACAAAACTTACATATTCACTGTATTGAATATATCCCTCAAAATAAAGAGCACTATCCTGCGGTGGTGTTAATATTCCACGCATTGATTCCTTCATTTGTAGACGAAAAGGGTCAGCTGCTGGCACATCCACTTGCCTAATATCTCCATATTTTTCAAATACTTTTTTAAACAATTTCTCTGAAGGTGGTGAATCTTCATTCCTATCACGATCATGAACAAACCAACGTATTGGTAAATTTGCAATATGAATAGTATCAGGTCTTTCTCCAGGCTTCATTTCATCCATATCAGTTGCGTCTCGAAAAAAAGAATCCCAAGCATGGCGACTAGGAAATTCAGACTTTGCCTCACAAACTCTAACTTTTAATGGTTCAGGAAAATCATTAAGCTGAATTATCCTGTCTTCGAGTCTTGCAATTACACGCTCCAATTTTAAACGATTCTCTAACTCCCCATCAAACCGGATCACTTCAGAACTGTGCTTGGACACTTTTAACATTGAAAAACTATCAGGTTGGATCATTTTTCGTAACTTTTCCATAAGCTCCCAATTGGAAATTGACTTGCCGTGTACCTTGTGAGTGGGAAGCTGGACAGAAACATTTATTTTGGCAAATGGCTTTAAATACAAACGTTGTGGCAAATATAACGCCACAGCGTCTGAGGTATCCCTACAAACTTGAATACTCATTGCAAAAATAAATCACCTAACCTAACCCTATGAAAATAAAACTTAAAACTAAGGTTAATTGAAAATATGACGATATTGATCGTAATTTTTTAATTTTACTAGTTTATTTAAAAATCTTATGACCGAAGTATCCTTCGCTGCCAGCTTCCATTGTCAATAAAACTGTTTATCTTCAAAAACAATCACTGAATTTAGATATAAACGAATGTTAAAGGAATAATTATGCTGTATTTTAAATTATAAAATATGTATAATTCTCGTATTTAGTTAAAACCATAACTAAAATTCTAAAAACTTCATTCATTTATATTTATAAAAAATTTATTGAATTTTCGGTAGGTTTTGACAAGTCACTGAATGGCGGTAATGTGTTAACTGACATTGACTGTCAAATAAATAAATTCTCTCTTTCGAATACAATAATAGAGGAAGGAAATTTATGGAGAAGCCCTTCTTGTCTTAATTCTTATAAATTCTTATTATTTTATATGCATGGATAAATAAGACACTAAAAAAAAGGTTTGATTGGGACGGCCACGCTTCCTTGCGGGTTCCAATCAAGTGCTTGCTTGGGGATATGACTGGAATTTCTTTGGAGTGTATGGCCTATTCATTTTCACTTGCGTCGCCTGCCTTGCGATTCTGTAACTCACTTTTCGAACTCACACAGCGGTTTTCACAGCGGCGGTCACGCTCAAATCAGTCGTGAAGCAGTCATTTTATGATTTAGCATTCTGATAAGGTCCCTCCCCTCCTTGTAGTTTATTGTTTATCAGAATGCCATATCGTAAAATGACTGATTTGAGCGCGACCGCCGCTCTGAAAACCGCTGTGTGAGTTCGAAAAGTGAGTTACGGAATCGCAGGGCTGATCTGCTGCCTATTCGGGGTTTCTCGGCAGCGCTCCCAAAGTTGCTCGTTAGAGATCTATTTGGGCCGGTAGATACCCAGAATACAGCGAAAAACAGGGGCCGACGAAGACTTGAAGTCGGTGCGATGTCTACAGTGACCTTGAGTTTGAATTATACAAATCCTTTCCTGTTTATGTAGAAATGCCCAGTTTCACCACCAATTATTTTAATTAAAACTTATGTGCAGTCGATAGCCCCTATCACGCCTCTAAATCCACTTATGAACCCTGCAGATACTTCTTCCTGTTCACGGATTGTTGCAGGCATTTTTATAAATTGATGATTTCTCCTAGCGAGGGCTTCTGCTACTCTTCGGCATATATTAGGTCCTTACATAATTTGGCGTTTTGTATGGGAGGAACAAAAAGTCGAATATTTTTAAATATAATATATTTAATTAATCAAAGTATGAACCATTGTTTTCTATGCACTTTTGCCATCTCATAGGTACCTAGTTCATTGATTCCTTTACTAAAAAAACAAGTCGGACGAGAATCAATAAAATCTGTGAAGGCGATTTGGACTGCCCCATGAGAGTTAAATTTTTTCCCTTGCAAGAAGTTGTCCAAATTTCGAAAAAAATGGTAATCTGTTGGACCAAGGTCCGGGGAGTACGGAGGATGTCTTAGACATTCCAATTGAAGCTCTTCTAATTTGGTACCTAGCCGTCTGTTGTGCAGTGTGTGGTCTAGCGTTTTCGTGAAGTAGCAGTGGCGTGGAGCGATTGACCATCCTAGGTTGTTTAGCCGCTAGCTTTTCCATCATGGTTTGCAATTGCTGACAATAGACATCAGCCGTAATAGTCTGGCCAGATTTGAGAAAACTGCAATGAACAATACCGGCACTAGTCCACCAAACGCTTACAAGTAACTTTTTTTGGGTTAATTTTCGCTTGGGGCAGGATTTGGCTGGCTGGCCAGGATCCAACCATTGCGCTGAGCGCTTCCGATTATCGTAAAGAATCCATTTTTCATCACAGGTAATGATTCGGTTTAAAATACCTTCATTATTGTGCCGGTTCAGTAATGCAACGCAGCAGTCAACGCGCGTTTGCAGGTTTGCTTCAGTCAATTCGTGAGGTACCCATCTTTCAAGCTTTTTAATCTTCCCAATTTGCTTCAAGTGAATTAAAACAGTTTTATCACTAACACCGCAGCCTGCAGCTAACTCGGACGTGGTTTGCGATGGATCCGCTTCCACAATAGCCTTCAATACTTCATTATCAACTTGGTTCTCAGGCCGTCCACGGGGCTTGTTCTGCAGGTCAAAATTTCCAGAACGAAAACGTTGGAACCAAAAACGAACTGTGCACAAATACATGAGTAAATAGCTGTACAAATTTGAATTTCTTCCTTCCTTACCAAAGAGGAGAACATCGTGATTAAAGTGGCCAGTACGAAATACGCCAATTTCATATGTAGGTAAGGACCTAATAGTAGGGGAGCCCAAGCGGGGATTTCGGGATTTACTAAAGCGCGGCAGATTAATATACAGGGGGATACCTTGTACCCGGTTAAGTACCTCCACAAAACATGAGGCCCATATAATATATAGGCCGCCCGTGAAGGATACAGGATCAGATTAGTAAAAAAAATTGACCATCAGAAATTCTCGAGCGCGTCAGATTAAGGTAGGGTGAGTTAAGCAGATTAGTGGAATATACACTTTTTAGGATGTAAATCCTAAAAAGTGTATATTCCACTAATCTGACAATTTGAGAGTGACGTAAAAAGAGGGGAGGGCAACAAAGTTGTAAAAAAAAAACGTCATCTCGACATTCTCGAGCGTAATAATAATAAATATATAATCTGACGATTTCCGCAAGCCGAAATAACAAAAATTCGTCGATAAAGTTAAATGCGTGCAGCTGCGTGATGCCTACATTTCCTTAAACCGATCGGAATCTCCTAAACGGCGTTCTAAATATTTCCCTCAAAATTAAATTTCCTGTGAATTTGAACCGATTCGGACCGATAGATATTGAGAAATTTTGAAAAATCTCAAAAAAAATAAGTTTTTTTCTTAAAGTGAAATGATTGCATGTTCTTACATTATGTACTTATTAAATCCTGTAAAAAATATAGGCAATATATCAGTTCAAAAATATTGTTACTAATAAAAACACAAAATAATATGATAAAAATTCCATTTATTTAATACAGAACAGCTCCTGAAAGAGCATTTAAAATTTGTAACTATAAATTTATCAAATAGTTCCTAAACTATATCATAAATAATTTAGCTTACAAATTTTTACAGCTTTTAAGTCACTTCAATTCGAAGCATTACTTTATGGTCTTAAAACAAAAATAAATATGATTACGTAAACTACCCATGTGATTCATTACATGTGTGATTCACAAATTACAACTAAACAAGACGGAATTTTATAAGAAGTTTTTCTAGGAAATTAACCATGTAACAAAACATAAGAATTATGTGTATTTAAACGATTCGTAAGCAATCCTGTTTAGTAGTACATTATCAATTAACGTAGCCAGAGATGGAGAAGATACCATTTTAAAAGAATATAATGAGTCTGCAGAACCTGCAAAGCTATCATTGAAATGTAGGATTGTGATGGATTCATGTAAATTTATAAAGAAAACCTAACCACAGGATTCGTTTTCAATTTAAAGAGAAATCAATCCTTCTTATGTAAGTGAATTTATATAATTTGTATAAAATGAAAAACCTTGCATTAGTTGCTACTAGCTTTACTAGAGGAACAAAATGTCTAAATTTTCCTAATAATACAAAAAGCTTAAAATTAAATCTTACTTTGTCACTGGTGGTGGGGGATTAATTAAATATTTGATTTTGAATCAAATTACATAGAAAAATAAATATTTAGCTATGAGATTTTTTCACAAATACTGTGTTACATATTTTAACTCCCCAAACTTAAAAACTAAATAAAATGCTTTGGAGTAAAGTAATTCGGACATTGATGTTATACACTACACGAGAATGGCTGGAATGTAAGCATAAATAAATGTATTTTACAATAATATTACATATAAAAATCTAAGAATGGTCAGCTAATTCCATATTATGCCTGAACCATTTAAAGTTTTTACTAATATTCCAAAGATAAAAATGTACACTTGAATGCTTATTATCCACCAATCTCTAGCATGTTAGGCAATTTGTTATAACTAGCGTTTTACGATTATATTTTATTTATTTACCAATTATATATTGAAAACAAAAATTGTGATGTTTAAATTAAAGCATAAGATAGCTGGCAATGTATAGAAACTTTACAATATAAAGAGTATAATTGTTAATTGTTTAGTCATTAAACTTTTAACCATTTATGAAACTGCTTATATATTTAACGAGACATAATATGTAATTACTGTGATATTTACATGTTGCACTTGTAGACATTGAAACTAACAATATTCGGATCTATGAAACAATTAAACAATCTCAGTCTTCTAAGATAATAGATCACTAAATTAAGATATCTGATTTACATTACATACAATTTGTACAGTAAAAAAAATCTTTCGTCAGAATACTGAAAGACTATTTAAGTATGCTAGAATTTCCTCAGATTTGTAATTTTATATGATATGTGCATGCATATATAATTAGCATGCAAATAGAGACAGCAGTATGTTTAGAGTAGCTCCCACATGTTATTGACATTACTATATTTTGACAATTGACACATTTAGATCTGAAGCAATGATTTGGTTTCACTTAATTGTTCTTTTAAACATCTTCTATCCATTTGCGTTTTCTTTTACTTTATGATCTTAGAATACAAATTGAAATAGTGATGTAAACATGCAGTGGAAGACATTGAAAGGTTTTTACTTTTTCATCATCTTTGAACTAAGTTTTGTTGAATGAATTTAATCAGATCAATTTTTATTTGAAAGTAATTTTATACAAGCTTCCAATGGTCAAACCCTATATTGTGGTCAATTCACTTTATGGAAGACCATTACTACTGTACATATATATACTAGGTACATTTTAGGCAGTGTTCCACCATCCTATCTTTTTTTATTATATACCTTCTTTATACGTAGGAAGGTGTAGGATTAATCAATCACACTTAACTTTATATCTAAAATTTAAAACAATTTTTTTGTCTCAATTTTGTTTAAATCCATTATAAGTGTTATATTCGTACAACAACCATATTAATTTATATGGAGGTCATGCAATACAATATTTATTGTGACAATTTGTTCATAAGATTAAAAAACAGTTCACGCACGAGGGCTCACATTAAATTGGGCACAATACAAGGCCCTATACCAAACCATACATGCAGAATGCACTATATCTTCAATTAAGTTCATTAAATTCCTGTAACTGCAGCCACTGTTGGTAGAGGTGGCACTAATTGGCCCTTGCCCGTTTGGCATGCGAGGGTGGCGGGGCATGAGCGGGTCTGGGAGGCTGATGGGGCGGCTCGTCAGCGGCCAAGCCAGACCGCAACATGTACTTAAACTGAGGCATATGTTGCATGACGTCGCGAATCTGCACAAGCGCTATCCCGTTTTCGCCAGCAGCTGCCGATTTGCATTTGCCCGAGTTCCGGAGCACTTGCAGTTGCGTTCTAGTGCAAATAAATCATTTGTATACATCAAATCATAATAGATTTTTATGATATGTAGTGTATGGGAAAATGTGTAGTAAAAAAACTTTAACAGAAAAAAATTTTAACTGAAACTGCACCACATGTAATATGTTATTTTACGTGTTAAAATCAGCGTTTATATAAATTTAAGTTATGAGGGAGTTTGTACTCAAAGGTCAAGTTCTATAAATAATACTTACGAATTAGGTCGGTACAGTGAAAGACCTAGTGCATCAAGCATAGCCCGGCAGGTATTCACTGATACCCTTGGAAAAAAGTTCTGAGCAAGGTCTGGTAATGTCATTAGGAGCTCGGTGTATTGATAGGGCTTTGCGTTTATACATGGTACCATCATGTTCTCTACCAATGCTTTCTGCACCTATAAATAAAAGTTATAAAATTTAATAAAGGAACTATTATATATAATAATAATAGTAGCACTGCACTATGCAGCATCTTATAACTTGTAGTTATTTAACCAAAGGTTATGAATCGACAACATGCAGTTTAATCCGTGACAATAGTGTTAAATAATTAAAAATTATAATACTAAGATGAAGTATTATATTTTATTAAAAAGAGACTGACAATAACCCTTCTTAACCTATGTGACCTGTTTTTTATATGTATGTATAAGGTAACAAAGTGTAAATAATAATAACCTCTAATGCAAATGGATTTTTTTAATGTGTTAGCTTATGACACTCATAGACAATAATGTCATTACATATTGCCATAATAACTTTTATCTCACTTTTTTCTTTATGCACAGGGTACAATGATCTAATAATAATATGCGAAATTTTAATTATATCATTTGTGGCTGTGACTTTAGTCTCGCAAGAATACATTTGAAAGATTATTTTACTTCAATTATGTTGTTGAAATAAAAACCTTTTTTGCCTATTAAAAAATGAGATAATGTTTATCACATTGTATAGTTGTCTATAAGTATAAAAAAATAATCCAGCAAACACATTAAACAACTTTGATAAATTCCAATATATAGTGACAAATCCTTATTTGTAAGTTTATATTTAAGCCTAAGCTCACTAATTTTTACCTTATACGGCGTATGGTTTCCACTGATATTGATGTCTGGGATAGCTGTGAGTCGTTTCCTTGTGTCCCCGGAGTGAGAGGTTGAGTGGCCATTCATTGACCCACTTGCTTGTGCCGAAACACTGCAACGTGAATTACCATGTGTTAATTAATTTTAACAACTTAATGAAAAAAATAAAAAAGCCAGTGGCGCTACAAAATCTAGATCTTGGCCTTAGATTCTGAATTTGTTGCGTGGTCATTCTGTTTACTTAATAGTAAGTAGATGATCACCTTCTATGCCTGACATATGTCTTCGAATTTTAGGTTGAACTCCGGTCCTCAAGATTAAGGTCGCATGCTCCAGCCACAAGGTCAACACTACTTTTAACTAAATATTTTCCTTTAAATCACTATTACTCGTAGTACATCATTTGATAAAAAATATTATTTTAAAGAAAATTATATTCACAAATCCACATAAAACTCTTCAATAAAAAAATATATATTCAATGATCTATATTGAAAAAATGAATCCCTATTTCTCTTGGTAACAGCATCACGCGTGAACGGCTGGACCGATTTCGGTAATTCTATTTTTGTTGTGTTTGTTATTGTCAGGAGAAGGTTCTTATGAAATAAAATTTTTGATGTAACCTTATGGTGTTTGAATATTGACAGAATACGTGCTGCAAATATCGTCAAAGAGCATGTAAGCAAAATGACTACCGTTTAAAACAAATGCTTCGATCGCAGTTATTATATTGAAAAATACATATAAAATAATTATATTGATAAAATACATCTGTTCCCGTGTCGGAATACCAACAAAACTATTTATATACGCGCCAGAAAAACAAATAAAGAATGTTGTATGTCATAAAGCATTAGAATAATAAACACTTTGTTTCTGAAAATTTTTTTTAGTTAATTATACTAATTCGTAATCAATTCATAGTATTCATAGTTAAGACAGGACGTCTGTCGGGTCCGCTAGTACATTTATAAATTTTTTTTAAATTATATCGTTCCAAGATTAATAATAATAATGTAGTTTTATGGTACTGGGTTACTTTTGTACACTTTGTAACTTTGAGAAATTAAAACATGACACCAGCTGAAGCAAATAATTGTTATTATTATTTATCACTGACATACTAATGCAGACGAAGTCGTGAGTACCCTACTGCTTAAGCAAGTTTTGAGGGCCCGGTATGGCGCAAATACTCGTACGTGTACTGAAATTAGCAATTTCAGTTTCTTCCTAGAAATTATCTTTTTATTTTCTTAGGACCAGTCTTTACTCTAAATATATTGGATTTGGTTATAATAATTGAAGATAAAAATAAGATGAACTTCTTAGAAAATACTAAATGAATAAATATGAGCAAAAATCTCCAACCAAGTAGTTTCCATCAAAATACATGCATTTAGGTTTTTTTTAAATTAAGAAAGAAAAACCAGTGTCAAGACAATGGCGATTTTGTCAAAAATAAATGGCAGCCTTTATAACTTAACGAAAAATATTCCCCCTTATTCAAAAAGCCAAAATCATGATATTGTAACTAAAGTACTTATGTCTCACAGGGTAAATATAATTTGACAGAAAAAGATGAAGGGTATTTTAGTTAATAGAATTCAGTTTTCATAAATAAGAGAGATGAAAAGAGTATAAAACTTTATATAACCTATGTAATATGTGTTAAACTGAAATTCCCTGGTAACACAAGAATACCAAAAGCACCCCTTCAATGGTCCTATTCTACATTTCGTTATACAGACTGCCTTTTTATTAAACTTGGTAAAGCAATGCTCACTTCATATTGTTGGAGTTTGCCGAGCTCCTCACCAGCGGTGGAGGTTGCTGGCCCATCGCCATTGGTATAGCACTGTTTGGAAACTGAAAACCATAAATTAGATTGTCAAAAGTAGCCCATACTTTATAGGCTAGAAACACCCAAAAAGAAATAGCGAGCAAGCTTCAAACTTTCATTAATAATAAATGTGTAAGCCAGAGTTGTACTACTTCCATCAACACAGGCTAGTTTATAAGACTAGACTGTCAAGGTAGTAATTATAGTTAGGCATTTTTCAGATTTAGGCATTTTATAAGCTATATTGTTTATAGAATTTTATACATAATCGCTAAATTGAAAACAATTATTAGTAATTGAGTTGAGGATAATAATAGTGCTAAAACAAATTCCTTAATTGTTAGAAATAATTTTCCTTAGGCCATTGATAAAGCCAACATGAATATAATTCAATAATTTAAGATGACACTAATGGAAAAAAACACTGCACTGAAGAGTCAACTAAGATAGAATATTATAAACCAAATACAATAACGAACCCTACGGTTTGTGTTATACAACTTTGTGCACAAGAAAGCAAAAGCAGTGTGAAATAGCAATTGGAAAATGAAACAAAACCAAGCAAGATAAAATTCTAAAAAGCAGCAAAAGGAAAGACAAAGATGAAATACAAAAGGAATTATGCAGTATGAAAGACACATGGTGAAATGCAGTGGAGAATGCAAATTTACCTGCACAGCTCTCTGGTTGTGCGACCGGTGAGGTATGCCAGCTGCAGCAGCTGCTAATGCATTTGCTGCAGTTGAGTACCGTGCAGCTGCTTGCGCCTGAGCAGCTACTTGCGCCTATTATATCATTTATATTCATTTCTCATACACGTAACATGGACACAGATTTTGGTCTAATTTGGTTTTATTACTGTCACAAATTTAACATAAGTTCACGAAAATAAAGCTTACTAACTCAAGTGAACAATCATTAAAATACAACATCAACAACTGTTACTAGGACCAGAAAACAGTTTCCTACAATACTATTCTTAACTCACTCTTTATAATTAAATTTCTCACCTGTGCCAATCGCAAAACTTGTTGAGTTTGCGCTGGAGTCAAAGACGCGGGTAGATTTGTCCAACCGTTGGCTAAGGCTTGCACAGCCGCTGCAGAGAGGCCTGTATGAGGCATTTGCATGGCTGCATTTGCTTGTGTGTGGCGCTGGGCGGGCCGTCGACCTCGTGATGGGGCAACCACGTTGTTCATCCCCACACCAGCACTAACGCTTCCCACTACTCCCGGTGGGGGAGCGGGTGGTGCTCGCGTCCACTGACCACCAGAAACAGAACCTGAAATGACAAAAAAAAAAAATGCTGCACCTCATAGTTTCAACATTTATCTCAGACTTACATTGGCATTATAAATGCACATCACATTCATTGAATACAAATGCTGCCTGGGACATTTTTGTTGAAAATTATAATTTGTTTGTGTACAACAGATTGTATTTTATTCACACATTATTTAAAGAATTTCTATAAGATTCAGAGCCAGATAGATACAACAAGACTTTATATGATATTAAGCCAGAATGTAAATAATAGTTCAGACATTGTAGTATATAAATAAGCTGCCTTTGCAAAACAATCTGAACATGATCACAACTTAAATGTGTTAATCACACATGTATCATTGAAGCCTAATCGGACACTACCAGCCCCTGCAACAAGCAGCAATTTAATTTATGTTTATAACATATTGTGATTATGATATAATGAATTGATTTATTGTAAAAAAAGTTTACATAAAACATAAAATTAATTATAATTTAATTTTCAAGCACTTAGTATTTTTAATAAAAATATTACCCATGTGGTCCTTAATGCTAAACTCATTTTAACTGTCTAAAAAACTTCATAACACAAAACTGAGAGGAAACATTTTCTATAGAACCATATAATGCAAATTATATTTAGCATGTCAAGGCTGACTTGAAGGTCCAACCTTGATTTCAAACAACTATTTTGAACAGGTTAAATATAACCTTTTGATATATTTCTATATATATATACTGTCTTTTTTATGCATGTAAATAATTAAGATGCAATAACTAAGAATTATTTAAGAATAATACACTTTTCCTAGATGGTTTAGAATATTCTTGAGTACATTCAGTGAAATAAATTTAATTATATATTTGAAGTTACTAAATTTTGCAGACATTTGTTTTTGTTGTTTTCTGATAAAGAGAATTTTAAATAAAATTTTATCATAAAAGTATATCTATTTTAAATTTTAAACCTTTCTATATTTAGTTTAAGACCACTTTTTGGATTAAACCATATTAAAATATTACTATCAGGTGCATTTACAAATTATATCACTGCATTGCTATTTCAGATGTAAACATACTTTGTTTATTTCTTTCTATTTTCTGTGAGGAACATGTCCTAATGTTAATGTAATAGAACAGAAATCAATTAAATTAAATAATATATGAGTTACCACGCTCGGTTAATTTAAGGGTGTCTGAGGATAACAATATTTGAATTTCTTACAATAAGATAAATTAAAATCTCACCTTTAGCAGAAATTAGGAGCTGGGAATCAACCACTTTGTTTGGCCAGTATTCCTCAAAGTCTGTACCAGGTGGGAAATAACTTTTAATGTCTGTTAAACTAATCACTGAACATGTCTCACTTGCAAATAGTTCATTCCTAATACCTTGCACTTTACAACAGAACTTCAGGTATGATAAATCCCAGCCTTTTAACTGGTCAGCTTTTAACTTTAGATTGTCTGTTTCACCTTCAAAATAGAACAAAGGTACAAATTTCTGATTGTCTCTAACTGTATATGGTACAACTGACTCCTTATTGATACGAATAAAACCACATTTGTCCTTATTATTTGTTGTTCCACGTAATAGTTTATTATAGCATACATCTAGGAAATTATAGAACTCATAAGCGTCTGATAGTCTCACCACCAAATCCTTCTGTGTGAAGGGATCCCGCCCAAACTGACCATCACAATGCCTATTATTGATCTCATTTAATAATAAAGCCTCAACATCAGTGATGTAATAGCTTCGAATACAGGTACAAGAGTATATGTCTGCATGTAAATAATTCAGGTACTTGTTCAATAGCTTAATTTCAACCATTCGCACTGCTACGTACTTCTCTCCAGATCGAAATATGTATGGTATGTGACATTTACCAAGCATGTCCCAACCAAAGTGGCCTTTCCAACTGGCTTCATCTGGAGCTGGTGTCTTTTTGTCGTCACTAACTGGACGCGTGTCGGCGGCGGACGGAGTACCTGGCTTTTGATTCCTTGTTAGAAAGTTAAGAATACCCATTTGACCTCCAACTGCTTGAGTCGGTCCTCCTAGCCGTGCACCAGGCGGAGGCCGCGCTGCCGCGACAGATGCCGCCAAAGCTTTCGCCTTGTTGGCCTCCACCATTTTTGCAGCCAGTTCTCTGATCTCCGCTTCATCTGGCCGTTCTGTTTTTATCTTTACCGCTGGTGCTGTTTCTGACATTTTGGCAAATTAGTAAGATATCACAAAAACAAAATTGTTTGAAAGATTACCATAGAACTAGGCTACATCCTGACTCCACCAATCCATGTAAAAACTTCGAACACAAGTCACACACAACCCAATGTAAGTATTATCTTTACGTTTCACTGACACTTTTATCACATTATATGTATAACAATCTGTTGATTACAGGATGGTATAGTTTATTTAGTACAAAATTCGAAATCTCTTGCGAGTCCAATACTGACTTCAAAACAACTGATTTAAAAACATAAACTTCCGTTTTGACACTTAAAAGTTTATAAAAATATTGTTTTCTCACGTAAACAATTCACGCTATATTATTTGTAGAAGAAAGAGTTCAATATTTTCACTCAAAAAACTAATTTTACTTCCACGCTGCAAACGGGGGAACATGAAACCCAAATTTTGTGTTCACGAGGGAAATGCCCAATACCGTTGTATAGTCTCGTGGGGAGTATGCATCAAATTTTTCACCTTTGGTGAGTCAGCATCGTCAAAATGGCTGCCGACAAGGCTTTGTTGGCCAATCGAGGCATGCTATTGCATAAACATACCTACAAAAATTATCTGTGACGTCAACGTACTCCCCACGAGACTAGTTCTCAAGGACTTTGATTTTTTACTTCTCTGATAAAAATAGAACTTTGAACTTAATGTGCCACACTACAAACTAGATACATTCTCAAGAACTTCAGAAATATCCGTCGTTATTAGACAAACATAATACTAGTATAATTTTATTAGAAATAAGATTTTATTATATTATAGTACAAAGTAGTTATGGATAGTCTCACGACAAGGTTTCGGTGTCACGACGGAGACCTCGTAATCAAGTCATTCTTATGTTCAACTTTATTTCAAACGTTATAGGGTTGAGCTGTTCAAAACGTAAGAATAATATCCGCCTTATTGACGTATATAGCGAGACTAGCCGACGCGCGCATTCCTCGAAACAATAATCCCCTGCATGAGTGAGCGAGAGGGAACTACGTAAAAAGTAGATGTCAAATCTTTAGGTATTTTACTATGGACTTTTATAGAACGTAGCTTGGTACATATTATACATAATGCAATTACCAACATACGTAAGAATTTCTAACCTACTTTGTAGAAAAGTAGGTACTATGATAACAGTTAGACCATAAAAATTCATTTTGCTTAATCGATTAATTAAACCGTTTCTAAAAGATTGTACATAAGTGATAAGTCCCGAAACGAAATTAGTTTTTTTGAAACACAATCACTATAAATGTAGGATCGCATTACATATTTTAACTTACTTATAAAAATAATTTTGTTGGCTAATAAGCATCTCTTCCAGGCAAGTCTAGTAAGAAAAAATAATAGGATAGTACTTCAAATCCTAGTAGAGGGTAGTAGATACAAAACAAATATATCGCTAATGATTACGCAAAAAGTGATAAATTAGGGAAAAAAAGGAAATAAAAGAGACGGAAAAGGAACATGTAGAGGAATTATATCGGACCAGCGACCTGAACTACCAGCGCTTCCAATAGCTATAAATTACTGTATAACGATCCTAAGTTTTCGACATCATCTACGTGTAGTAAAATAAATAAATAATGAAAATTATTGAAAAAAACGGAGGAAACGCTGCCAGCGTTAAAGGTACACTGCCACAGTGACCAAACTGTTTAAATTTGTTTAAATTTTCTTTTTAATTATATTTATTATTACTATCTAGGTTAAGAAAATTTTATACTTATTTGATTGATATGAATACTGATAAAAAAAAATTAGAAATTAGGTTCTTTTAAAACTTTGCAGCATTAATAATCTAGTAAAAAGAAAGAAAGGAACCAATGAATTCGTGGAGAATACGTACATAAATACATAAAATAATAATTATCGTTTAATATATTAAATTCCCTTGGTAATATGCGACCAATCAATATAAATAGAAAATATTATTATGAAACACTTTTTAGTGCATTTTGAAGACGGCTAATATTTTTTAAAACGAAGTTTTTATTCAAATGTGTTTGTAATGAGTAATGGAAAATAACGCGGGAAACCTTCGAATTTGGCGGGCGCGGTTTTGCTTTGAATTTGAATTTGAATTTTGAAGGGCAACAAACAAATTCTTCAATCGTTGTGAAGACCTCGTTCATAGTAGACCACAAGCCCATGAACAAAAAATACCTGTGAAATGAACCAACGTGAATATTAACGCTTAGAAGGCTGTTACTATATCAGAAACTCTGAGCACTATGCCGTCATTTCTGAGCGGTACATGTGAGTACGTGAGTGAATGGAATTTATCAGGTACAAATGAGGAATTTCGACGAATTATTAATGTACGGCTTTGTTATATATTGTATAGATGATTAAAAATAAATGTCGAAAAACCTAGTTCCGTACTAAAGTGATGGTACCGGAAGTCTGTGCAAATTTTAATTCGACGAGAGTTGCAGAAGCAATATAGGTCATTTATTACTGTACGGCATTTGTGTAATTCCTTTTGGACACATATACAGATACTTTACCCGTAAACGCCGTACATATTTCCAGCGGAGCGGTCGACAGCCAAGGGTCGCAACATATTTTTGATGATGATGATATAGAACAACATAAAATTAAATGATCTTGAGAGTACTTCACAAATAGGTAACATTTTCCAGCATGCCGTACATTTCAGATATAGTAACAGCCTTCTAAGCGTATTTCACGTTGGTTCATTTCACACGTATTTTTTAATGGGCTTGTGGTCTATAGTAGAATTCGGAATATTTGTAATATCTGCTAATGTGTGCATATTATATGCCTGAGATTTTTGCAACAATTGTAAAGGCTTGTTTTCCCTTTTCGGTAAAATGCAGCGCTGAATTGCAGCGCATGGCATCCCGGCAATGCATAGCATATTCCCAATTTTCCATAAAATTTGGTAATATTATTGAATCTTTGGAAATTCCCGGAACCAATGTGCATTGGAATGAGCTTCTTTGAAATACTGCCAAATGTAGGAGGAACGTGTTTCAATGCATGGAACATAAAAAATCCATCATAAATAAGTACGTCACATCTTTGTGGTGTGTTATAAGTTTCTTATTCAAGCATTTTGAGTACTTACTCAACTTACTTGTAACTTTACAAGTTATTTACTGCGTGACACAGGCAAGGGCGTAAGTGAATAAGACAAAACATTGCCGATATTTAATTTTTTCTCCAATTAAATTAATAGAAACTACAAATTAGTCGCGTTCCATGCGAACTTCTACCATTTCTTTTTATTCTACTCTTCTCGAGATTAGCAGTAATGTCCTGAGGCCTTTTTAATTCAATGATGCTGTGGCTTCTACACGAACGTTGGCGAGCAGATTTTTTTAATAATTTTTTTTTCTAAAAATACAATTTTTTTTTCTTTCTCGAAATATGTGTTTAAAAGGAAATACCGTTGTAGCAATGCTTCAATGTTTTAAGTCTTTACTGGGTCAGCTGATGCTCTTCCCACCGATACCCACACAGCTGACTATTATTTTCCAGCTCAGTTGGATGCTGGAAAAAAATTTCAGCTGGCGTACTACTGCTTATTTTTTTAGGAGTTTTGCTTCCGCCCACAATCACATCCACCGCTACTTGGGCGACCGGCTTACTATGACTTTTGTATTTGCAACGCTACTTTCCAGACTATAAGCTGTCCAAGGGGCTTCGTCAAGATGTCTTAATAGTAGTCTACAAATTAAATTTACGTACAATAATTTTCGACTTTCTAAATAAACTACTACTACTAGGCTTGGGCTCTTGCCCAGTTTAAGTTTTCACAAACTCAAACATATTGTTACGAATACGAAGACGGGTTGACTGCAATGTTTCTAGATTTTTCTAGACTTTTCTGCAAGCTGAAATGTGATTTATGACCGTTTCAGGAGAGGGTCAATCGCATATTAGAAAATCGTAATTTACAGAATGTTACCCTAGTTTTCAGGAGGTTGAAATATTTTTTCAGGCAGTTTCAGAACAAGTGAGGTCGAGTGGTACACTTTTCAGGAAACCCGTTCTCAGGCGTTTTCAGGCCTGGTTATACCCCTTTGATGAAGGAATATTCTAGAACTAATTTTCTAGGAGTGGGACAAGGACAAATGATACGCGAGAGAGAGGGAAGGTCGGAACCATCTCGAAGCTAGACCGAGCACTCTAGAACGCCATACGACAAGGACGGAGTAATGTGCGAAAGAGATAGAGAGTTTGTACATTCTAGAATTGTGCGAGCGCTCCTGCCTAGAGAGTTCTTGAATATCTTTCAAGATTATTTCGAGATTTATTTATTACCGAAGAGAAAGTGCGAATATAGTGAAGAGAAGTGATAAAGTACTGTGTGAAGTGCGTCAAAGTAAAGTAATTAGTGACAGTATTTTGTGTATGTGTAATTACTGAATTTCTGTGCGTAATTACTAATTAGCGGCTTTTTGTGTAAACAAATTCTTCGTAGATTTGGTTGAGAATAAACCCTAGAAGAGATTTAATGCGTTTTCTATACGATCCCCTAGCTCGTAACGATATTTCGTTCATTAAATTTTGATGTGACAACGTCTAATTTAATTATTAATTATGAATCGATGAACGCCGGCTGCACGCACGAAAAAGCATGGCTCATTGTCCCGTTACACTCGTACGCTTGCGCCGTATCTATCTCTCTTCCACTCGATTGGCCTAAGAAGAAAGACAGCGGCAGCACACAACTTACATCTACACGTGAACTGTTTCGTCGACTGTTTAAAAGTGAAGTGATTTGTGGTTTTCATTGTTTATTTTTTACAACAACAATTTCGGCAATAAAGGTTATTTATATTTACTCTTACATTTTAAAAATATGATTAAAGGTATAATTTTAAGTACCTATTTATTATTTTATTATTAGAAAGAAGTAACATCGGTCGGCAAGTGCAGTAATAATAGGTTGTGTTACAATTGACTAAAAAATTATGGTGATTCATATAATTGATGATAGATAAAAAAATTGCTAAAAAGTTTCCTCTTCTTTATTATTAAACGGAATTTTTTTTTCTTCACATTATTAGTTATTAATGTAAGATTAAATATTTTATTTTAACCTCATACAATGTGCCTAAACTTTAAATCGATTCGGGGGGGGGAGGGGGGGGGGAAAAAAAAAAAAAAAAAAAAAAAAGGGGGGGGGGGGGGGGGGGGGGGAAAAAAAAAACCCCCCACCCCCCAAAACCCCCAAAAAAAAAGGGGCCCCAAAAAAAAAAAAAAAAAAAGGGGGGGGGGAAAAAAAAAAAAACCGGGGCAAAACAAAATTGAGCGATATGGCGCAACTTCATCAACTGGCAATACTGTCTAGGTGGTATGTCAACGAATTGTTCTTGCTGCGAGTGAGGAAGAAATTTTCTAATATATTAAATAGATGATATATTATTCAAAAACTTTACTAGAATGTCACGAAAGACTTTGAGGTGCCCATTAATTAAGAAACAGACGACCAACATAGCAGAACCAATTTCTAAAAAAAAAAAAAAAAAAAAAAAAGGGGGGGGGAGGGGGGGGGGGGGAGGGGGGGGGGGGGGGGGGGGGGGGGGGGGGGGGGGGGGGGGGGGGGGGGGGGGGGGAACCCCCCCCCCCCCCCCCCCCCCCCCCGCGGGCCGCGGGGGGGGGGGGGGGCCCGCGGGGGGCCCCCCCCGGAAAAAAAAAAAAAAACCCCCCCCGGGGGGGGGGGGGGGGGGGAAAAGGGGGAGGGGGGGGGGGGGGGGGGGGGGGGGGGGGGGGGGGGGGGGGGGGGGGGGGGGGGGGGGGGGGGGGGGGGGGGGGGGGGGGGGGGGGGGGGGGGGGGGGGGGGGGGGGGGGGGGGGGAAGGGGGGGGGGGGGGGGGGGGGGGGGGGAAAAAAAAAAAAAAGAAAAAGAAAAATTAAAATAAAAAAAAAAAAAAAAAGGGGGGGGGGGGGATAAAAAAAAAAAAAAAAGGGGGGGGGGGGGGGGGGGGGGGGGGGGGGGGGGGAGGGGGGGGGGGGGAAAAAAAAAAAAAAAAAGGGGGGGGGGGGGGGGGGGGGGGGGTTTTTTTTTGGGGGGGGGGGGGGGGGGGGGGGGGGGGGGGGGGGGGGGGGGGGGGGGGGGGGCCCGGGGGGGGGAGGGAAAAAAGGGGGGGAGGGGAAAAGGGGGGGGGGGGGGGGGGGAAAAAAAAAAAAAAAAAAATATATTATTAAAAAAAAAAAAAAAAAAAAAAAAAAAAATTTGGGGGTGGGGGGGTGGGGGGGGGGGGGGGGGGGGGGGGGGGGGGGGGGGGGGGGGAAAAGGGGGGGGGGGGGATTTTTTGGTTTTTTTTTTTTTTTTTGGGTTTTTTTTTTTTTTTTCGCCGGGGGGGGGTTTTTGGGGGGGGGGGGATTTTTTTGCCGGGGGGGGGGGGAGGGGGGGAGGGCTTTTCAATAGCAGCAATTCAAAAAAAAATATTAAAATTGTCAAATGCGTCATGTCGAATTAACTTTTGATGTACATTAATTTGATGACAGTTTATTTCTATGAAAACTTGTTCATAATTATTCAAATGGAAATTTCAAGAACTATAAATAATATTCAAAAATTGTATATTATGGTTTTTTAATCAGAATTTCGATTTAGCAAATATGGTTTTAAAAAATATTTAGAAATTTTAATATCAAGTTGAACCGCCTAACCGACGTGCAAGAGCGTATACTATTTTAGGAGCCAATTGAACATTCCAATATAAAAATCACTTTCATTCAATAAGTTTAAACAAGTAATTTTTAGAAATATACAATCATGAATTAAATTAATTAATTGATAGTCTCATCTAAAAATGTCTTAAGGAGTAGGTAAAATATCTTTATTATTTAAAAATATTTTTTTAAAATTTCAACAATACATTACAAAATTATTAACATTTTCTTTACAGAACGCCCAATGGCTAAATAAAAAAGCATGGCTAAATCTGACAAGCCTATAGATCTCACGGTTTTGCCTTCGATGAGTAATGCACCCGTTGAGACGCGAGATGCTGCCGCATCAACGTCTACAACGCCATTTGCTGAGCCACCAACAATCGCTGCTCCAAAATCAATTGCACAGAGACAACGTGAGTACAGACAGCGCATTGCAGCATCCAGAACTCCTGCACAGGCGATAGCTATGAGGATATCAGATACCGAAAGAAAACGCAACTACAGACTACGCAAAGCTGCTAACTTGGCTCGTGCCAGTGGTTCATTAGAATCGATTACTGCATCCTCTTCTCGTTCAGCAGGAAGATCAAACGATGTCCAAAAAAGTACTCAACGACAGCTCACAAACCAACAACCTAAATCTTTAGCAGCAGAATCAGCACAAATAACTATACAACCAGGTACTTCTTCAGATCAAATTGAAGTACCTGACGAGCCTATAGATCTCACGGATCTGCCAATACCTTCAATGAGTAATGCACCCGTTGAGACGCGAGATGCTGCCGCACCAACGTCTACAACCCCATTTTTTGAGCCACCAACAATCGCTGCTCCAAAATCAATTGCACAGAGACAACGTGAGTACAGACAGCGCATTGCAGCATCCAGAACTCCTGCACAGGCGATAGCTACGAGGATATCAGAGACAGAAAGAAAACGCAACTACAGGCTACGCAAAGCTGCCAACTTGGCTCGTGCCAGTGGTTCATTAGAATCGATTACTGCATCCTCTTCTCTTTCAGCAGGAAGTTCAAACGATGACCAAAATAGTACTCAACGACAACTCACAAACCAACAACCTCAATCTTTAGCCACAGAACAACAGGCACAATCTACCTGGAACACTAAATGGAAATCCTCGATCATGAGATTTACATCAACTTTTCTGGACAACGACTTTGGCTACACATGCTCGGTTTGCGACAGATTGTGGTTTAAGCACGACCTCAAAACCATCACTGCGGCACAGCTGAAGGTGGTCTCGGATTGGTTCATCAAAGAAAATCTACAACTTTGCAGAGAAGAATATAAACTGGTTTGCAACACTTGCAAACGTTCACTGAACAAAAAATCAATGCCACCCTTGGCAAAGGTTAATGGATTCTCGTATCCTGACCGACCACCAGGCCAGGCCTACCACCGTTGGATCCCATCAGTGAACGATTAATATCGCCACGGCTGCCATTCATGCAAGTGCGCCGTCTACGAAATGATTCCTCTCATGGAATCATAGGGCAAGTAATCAACGTACCAGTAGACGTTCAAGAGATGATAAAATGTTTGCCGCGTCAATTAAATGAGGACGACGTCATTAACGTTAACTTCAGACAAAATCTTGCCCATAAATCTGTCTACATCAGCAGATATATGTCCAAAAGTACAATCAAAGCGTGGCTAGATGTACTGCAAAAGTCTCCATTATATCGTTTGTACGAAATCAACGTAGATTTGTCGAGGCTGAATCCTACTGTGCCATTACTGGATGACAAACAGGATGATTTGTCTAACCGTATAGAAACTATCTCCGCTGAAAATACACCTGAATCTGAGATTCTTGCTTCAAGGCAACATACTATGATGTGGAACGAAGAAGATTGTCTCCATATCGCACCAGGACATCAGGCAAAACATTTCGACATCATTAATGACCGTCATGCAGAAGAGTTGACGTTTCCATCGATATACTTTGAAGAGCCACGTCGATTTAACATGAGCCTTTCAGTGACACATTATATGATGGCTAGCACTGAGATACGACGACAAGACAGACGCGGAGCCACGCCTCAAAAAATCTTGTACGTTGCAATGAAGTTAATGCGGCTGCGCATGGTGGACAGAATTTACAACACTTTCCGAAATGTTTCGGTAACGGAGAATGTTATGCAACGTATGTTAGAGGACACAGAATTTCTCAAAAAATATGTCATACAAAACCTCCCGTTTATGAAGACTGTGCCAAACTCCGTCCAATACTGGGATTCTCGCAAACGAGATCTCTTTGCCATGATTCGTCAACTTGGCAAGCCTACCATCTGTGTCAGGATACGTTTAAACGAAATACGCTGGATGAAACTGCTCACTATACTTCTCAAACTGAGCAATAAATATCCGGGGAAAACAGTAAGAGATCTCAATACTTCTCAGCGCTGTACCTTAGTGAGCGACGATCCGGTTACGTGCTGCATATACTTCTACAAGCTCGTTGGTTCCCTAATGAAAATGCTGAAATCCAAACAGTCATACAATCCATTCGGCAAGTACTCCGTAAAAGATTACTTCCTTCGTATTGAGTTTCATCATGATGGAAGTCAACACGCTCATATTTTACTGTGGCTGAACGACGACCCACTCGACATCGTGTCGGAAAATATGCCAAGAACCATCGAGCTCATGGAAAAATTAAGTTCCGTTGCCCGAGATGATGTGCCCAACGATTCTATCTACGCTAACCAGGTACACAAACATACTTTCACCTGCACAAAAGGAGGCGAGACAACTTGCAGATTCGGGATCCCGTACTGGCCAATGTCCACGAGCCGTGTATTGGTTCCAATGCCTCAATCTGATCGACGACGCCGAACACTACAACAGAAAGCCAAGAAGCTGCGAAAGTCTCTCGGTGAACGTCGATACGCACGCATGGATGATTTTCTTGAAGCTAATAGTTTGACTTATGCTTCATACCTCGACATTGTGCGTTCAACGTTACGCAGACCAACTCTGCTATTCAGACGAAACTTTGATGAACTTATGACAAACACGTTCAATCCGTATCTTGCTGGCCAACTCAACTCTAACATCGACATTCAGTTCATCTTGGATGAGTATAGCTGTGCAGAGTTTGTCGTAGAGTACGTAAATAAATCTGCCCGTGGAATGAGTAACCTACGTTATGAGCTTACCAAGATGATGCAAAAGCATCCCGAACAGGACTACACAGGCCAATTGAAAGCGTTAAGTATCAAGCTGCTTAACGCAATTGAGATATCAGCGCAAGAAGCAGCATGGTATCTTTTACGACAACCAATGAGCGAGACAAGTCGTGATGTTGTGTACATTCCGACAGTGTGGCCGACAGAAAGACAACGCTGCCGCAAACGTCGTCAAAAAGTGGACCGCGAAAACATCGATGGAGACAGCACTAATGTCTGGACCAAAAACATAATTCAGCTATATGAAGAACGACCTGCATCTTTAGAAAATGTATATTTGGCTGAGTTTGGTTCGTGGTATGCTAACGCTAATGATTTCGTTGACGAGGAAGATGATGTGCCCGTGGGTGACGATGAAGATTCAGAAGGTATACCTGAAGCGAGGACGTTGGGAGCACCAAAAGAATATCGCAGACGACTGACCAGACGTATCATACGTTACAAAGGCTACGATATTGATGAAAATGTCAATTATAAACGAGAGATGGTTCTACTTTACGTCCAGTTCCGCAACGAAATATCAGAGATTGTTGATCAAAATAAATTTTTGCAACTATTTGACGACAATAAAGACACGATTATGGAACGCCGTAGCCTATTCGAGACAAAATTTAACATTGAAAACGTCATGAAAGAACTTCAAGCGTTGATTATTTTGAAAAACGAAGATAAAAGTAATTTGCAGGAACAAGCCGAGGTCTGAGTATCGCAGGAGACGCCCTTGTTCTAGTCGTGGGAAAAAGTGTATAATGTGATTTATCCCTGTCTGATTAAAAACATTTGCCACATACCTTCTGTCTGTGTGTTTGTGTCTTATATTATAAAAATAGTTATAAGTTATAACTATTTTTATAAATGAGACCTTAATAACGATCACGCTTTTTGTGGGAAGCTGGCTTATTTTGCCGAGACTTGAAGCCTGAAGGTAACAAAACGGCGTTTTCACTTTGAATAACGTTAACAGATTGTACCTACTGATAAAATAATCTCTCGACTCGGGTTAATTCACCAACATTTATTAATAGGATGATGTTCATAGGTGGTTTGAACTCGTTATGTCTAGCTATATGATATAATATAATCATAAACAGCATTTTTCCTTTTCGTTGTTTATTAAAACGAAATCTAACGTGGAGCCTCGAGAACATAAAAGGAGTCCCTCTCTATGGCATTTTGTTGTTGTTTCTTAAATATTTCTTCTAACTATCAAATATGCATATCTTAATTAGTTATATCCTTGGTATAATAAGTTACTTATAATAAATTTAAAATGATACAAAATCAATAAATAATAAAAGTGTAATGTGTATTCCTAATGATTTGTTGCAAATGCCATCTATAGTTAGGTTTTGGTAAATAAAAGAAATACTTATTTAACGTGTTTGTCATGGGAAAACTAATTTAACCATAATACAAACATACATCGCCAAATGGAGGAGAAAACGCAAAGCTAATTGCAGATGTCGCTATCATCGCTTGACCAATAACAATACGCTCTCAGTTTTTAGCAATTTTTACGTAAATCTTAAAAGATGTTTACAAGTGAAAACTGCTGAATAATGTATTCAACATGGATTGTTCCGTAATTAAAATAGAATTCAAGACCCGGGGCGGTTCTTTAAAAGAAAGAAAGGCCGATCTTGTCACGAAGTAATCACATTGGATATTTTTCAAAATTCATTGAAAAAAATTTATGAGGGATGGTGATGGAATATGATAGGGATGAAGAATTTTATCAATCATATGTTAAAAGTATTAAACAAATTTTATGTGGAATATTTTAAAAATGCCCTACTTAATAAATATATTTATAAGAACTACTAAGAAAAATAAATGCCACTAATTACTTTTGACTTTTATTTTACAATTCCTTATTTAAAATTACATAGCATAACACAATTGAATCCACGGTCAGCCATAATTGCATATTTTTCATCAATAACAGCTAAAAGGGAACTTCTTTCAGTTATTTGACGGTCACCGGTAGAGCATATTCATCTGAACCGAGTACTGACGCCCCAGATTTAGGGCCCACCAATAATTTTAGTGTTGTGGTATTTGTAGCTACTAAATGTTGTTTGTTGCGCTGTAGGGTTTTTGATTTTGATATGGGTATTTCTGTACCATCTATTATCACTCTGGTAGCGGGATGATATTGCTTAAATAAATCTAGCATATTAACAACCAGTGAGCGACTAGGCCAAATATCTATTTTTCCATAATTCATAAACAAAATTTACCCATGTAACAAATATATTCCCAACAGCAGTAGTACTAATGCCAAAAAAAAATTGCCATCTCAAAATCAGGTTTATTTCTTCTTTATTTAACTAACATCAAAGAAACTGATCCATTCCACTGATGTTAATGACTTGGCTGACTCTATAATAATTATATTATTACGATACTTGCTGTGGTAGTGGGTTTCTCCCATGCGAAAACAGTTGGGATTGCAGTCTTTTTCAAATATCTATGAACTTGAGGTAAACCTAAAATGAATGCATAATAATTAGTACTTATTACATACTTATTAGTACCTATACCATATACATCATAATTTAAAAGTACTTTATGCAAACCTGTAGAGGAGTTTACACCTTTCAAATCGGATTCAATAAAAAAGGGTGCGTGTACTTATGTACGCGCGTAAGAAGTTATACTTCTTTGGCATTATTAAAAATAGTTTTTGATTGCATGCAAATAATTAATTACAATTAAATAATCAAAGACTGGAAAAGAAGTCATTATAGTCAATAAAGTTCAGTTTACATTTGAAAAATTAAATAAATAAATATTTATTATTATTCTTTTACATTAAGTGTAACATAAATTCTATTATTATTCGAATGTTGTTTTTAAATTAAATCCAATGCCGTATCATCTTCCGTGGGCAACTTCATTCTGTTAATTTTGTGTCACGGTGCGCGCGCATCGTAAACTTTCACTCTCATCAATTTTTCATAACGCGCCTAAAGAAGTATAACTTCAAAATGTTTCGCTTCCGAACATAACCTCGAAGAGTTTATAACTTTGAAATTACGTCTTTTTAGACCTTTTTCCCAGTCATCTTATGCGCAAATCCTTAGGAAAACTGTGATTGCCATTGTTATTACAACCGATTGCTGCGCAGCGAGGTATTTTTGGAGAAAAAAAATGTTTTACCTTGTGTTATAATAATAAAGTAGGGGATTTGACGTTTGTTTGCATTTGTTATGGGTCAAGCGATACCAGCGCTACCAGTGGCAAAGTTTGGCAGTTTTCTCCTCCATTCAATTTGCTGTTTCTTTGAACCCTCCTATAAATTTACCTACAGCTAGCTCTAGTCTGTAGCCACGGAGCTCTTGAACGTTGCCACAAATAAAGCCAAGTTGTTGATTTATCTCTGAGCATTTTTCCTAATCTGTGACATTAACCATATTTTAGCGTCTAGTGTAAAAGTAGTAAAAAGTAGACGTTCTCTTGCTTTCAGTCGAACATTTTTTAAATCACTTTCGCTGATTTATAAGTTTTATATTATGCAAAATAAACCTTATTTTCTCGCGTTTCTTATAATAATTGACCAGGTTAAAAAAAGTATCCCATACTACGAGTTATAAAGACGATTCGAAACTGTGCAGATCTAAGATTTTTATAGGTCTATCACAATTTATAGTGTAAAAACCGCGACATTTCGAATATTAATATTTTAAAATAATGGGAAAATTAAAAGCTTGTAGGATTTGTTTACAAATGGACCTCAGACTGGAAAATATACAATCCAACTTTTTGGGACTATATTATGAAATAATTACGGGGTTGAACGTAAGTCTTATATTATTTTTAATATCTAAAGTATTATTATTCTTAGACAAGAACGTTTTTTTAGCATATTTCTTTGCACTGTATTACTTTATTTTAAAACTTACTCTAAGAATAGTTTTTATTCGTTTTGTAAATATTGTAAATAGAGATACATACATTTTTGTTTGAAAATCTAATGCATTTTCCTTGGCATGTAATTTTTAGCTAAATGAAAACGAATTACCAGGATATTGCTGTTATCAATGTGCTGCTTTATTGAAGAAATTCTATTCATTTAGACAGAAAAGCCTTAAAGGTCTAGAAATGCTGCAAGGTGTTTTGGAGACTTATGGCAAGGTGTGTAAAATACTAATTTTTCACTTTCACTATCCCCATTGAAACCAATAATTTTTACAATTTTCTTTTAACTGTAATTAAACAAGATGTTAAACAAAAACTATTTTTTTTTAATTAAAAGTGGTTTACAAAATATTTCAGATTACAGAAGATACTATGAGAAAAATAGAACAGAAAAATTCTTGTTCAAAATCTGGCTTGAGTACTTTTAATGGTTTTTCAATAAATATTTTCCCTGAAGGAGTTGAAGAAGATACAATGGTAAATGAAATCAATGTATCTATTGAAGCCAGCCATGATTTTAAAAATGACAATACTGCCTTAGACTTGTACGACTTAATCAAAGAAGAGCCTTGTGAAAAACTAAATAGTGATGTTGATGAAACTTATGAAGATTGGTTAAGTGATGATGAGCCTCTTGCAGTACACAAGAGTATTAAAAAGAAAATAGAAAAGAAAAAGATAGTCAAAGAAGAAATAAAGGAAGAAACAGTGGAGGTATATCACAAAGAATATGTTTTTTAAATAGTAATATCTATACCTATTGGAATTAGCATTAGAAGTGCTAGTTTGGCATATACGCAATAACTACTAATTATCTTTTTAACATAAAAATAATTTTCGAAGATGGAGGAGGACGTAGGCTACATAGTCAATATATAAATAATATGAAGGCTATAGTTACTTCTTATATTATCTGACATTAATAAAGTTTGTAAGATTAGATACATATTTTTCTATGAACACAACTTATTGTCCCTTTTTATTTACTAAAGATTAAGGATATATGTAATTTTCAAACTAACAGTTACAGGCAATACTGGTAAAAGTAGAAGTGTATCTTCTTATTAAAATTCCCCATATTTCTATACTATGTGCGCTGCTTATTGTTGTGTTAGCAAGCAATTTATTTTTTTCAGGTACCAAAAACAAAAACCTCAAAATTAAAAAAATCCATAAAAGTGAATAAGAAACCAGTTAAACTTTTAAGAAAAGATGTAATTCAACCTAAACAAATCCAAGATTTCAATTTTGAGAGCTATGTCGATGTCATCACACTAACGGTAACTGTTTACTTTTGTAGATATTAAAAATAAAATTTCAATTTTCTTATTTTTATATAAAATTTATAAAACTTTTATTATTTATATTTTTTTAAATAGTGTAAAAACTAAAACTGCATTTCAAAATATATGTTTCAGAGCATACTAACACTAGTGTTTGTTGTTTGTTTTTGTTTAATGTTTTTTGGTTGATGTTATGTTCATTATTTTTTTAGGAAGAAGAGCAAAAAGAAGAAATAAGTAAACGTAAAGAATCGGAAAATTACCAAAGTGCACCATTCAAATGCGAGTTGTGTTTTAAAGTTTTTCTAGACACACAAACCTGGCAACACCATATGAAGAAACATGATGTGGTAATAACATTATCGAGCCCATATTACTTTGTACATAAGAATCATGAAATAGTCATTACTGTTCAATGTTCTTCTTTTATTAAATTGATTGATTCATCGTATAAACGCGAATCTGATGAGACCATAGGCTGAGGCTCTATATGAATTTATTATTTTATATTGAAGGTTATTTGTTAAGTAGTAATTTAAAGTTATAGTCAGTTAAAGCACGCCATACGTCTCTTAAAGGCGCCAACTGTGCAACAAGGCCCTTGTAGTCGACGCATAAAGGCTATTAAAGAGAGGAGTTCACTTTTAAAAATTGTAATTTTCAGTCGTCAGGCCGTGTGCAGTGCGAAATATGTAAGTTGCGTTTCAAATCGCAACATTGTCTTAACAAACATATTATGTGTCACGCGAAGAAGTACAAATGCAAATACTGCCCATACATTTCGCGAAACACGTGAGTATTTTTTTTAATAAAAATATAAAGAAACGCTACGGCAAAGGGAAACCTGATGTTAATGTCTTCGGATATATTGTTAAATATAGGATATATAGTGTAAAATCTTAATATATATAAATTACGTGTCACGTTGTTTGTCCGCTATGGACTCCTAAACTACGGAACCGAAATCAATCAAATTTGCACACCGTGTGTAGATTGATCCAACTTAAAAGATAGGATAGCTTACATCTCAATTTATACCCGCAATATTATTTTAGTGCAAAATATTTGTTTATTATTTAATAGTCACAATTCTAACAGATGCCGCTATGTTGAAAGTAGCATCGTTTCAAATAAGCTATGGGTGTTTAAATTGTAATTTATATGTCTATCTAATATGTATTAATTTGCCTAGTACCATAACTTCCATGACATTGTTCTAAAAAAAAAAAAAAAATGGCATTACCACCAAAAAAGCATGGTGGTCCCCATGACTGGTGTTCTCCTACCGTTTCCCTGGAATAGGTTACTACTATGTAATATAACTAAAACCTTAGCCACAGCAACGCTTAGCCGGTCTGCTAGTATTTATATATACGTATTGACCTGTTCGCCTCAAGTGTGGTGTCGACAAAGAGAGTTCTGGCGTTTGAATTCTTCATTGAAATAAATATTGTTTCATAAATGTTACTCAAATAATTTAGTTTATTTATTTATTTATTATTACATTTTAGGAGTAAAGTAAATTATGATTACAATAAAATAAAATCAGTAAAAATTACAAATCTCCACCAATGATGGTTTATGGTTTACCAGTGATGTACCAATTATACCAGATGCATATACCTGTTTTTAAGTGAGGATTTTTTATTGGCGTACAAATTTGTTTATATTTGGTACATAATTTAGTTATAAGCTGAAAATCTTAATAAATAAAATATTTCTTTTCTAATATTTTATTTTTCTCCAAATTTGTATGTCTCCTTACAGAACACAAGCGTGGAATCATGTATTTTGGCATCAAGGGGTTACGTATAAGTGTCCGCATTGCGATGAGCAGTTTTCGTAAGTTTTTAAATTTAAAATTTTAATTTTTTAAATATTAAATCAAAGCCTGGATATGCATCTCCTCATTCACCTCAAGATCGGAATTTCTGGAACTGACACGAATTCGATATAAAATGATGCGTAGTTTTGTCAACAGATGGCACCACATTCTGTTTGCATTCTTAAAATTAATTAATTTATTTATTGTTATTCGATAACTTATCCGATATTTTATAACTTAATCTGCTATTTGGAGCGGAGAAGAATCCACAAAAAAAGAGAACTTACATCGGTCCAACGGATCTTGAGTTATAAGTGGCTTAACTAACACGACTTTGTTTTATATATTTAGATTAGAAAGATACGTTAAATAATGCGATATTATATTCAGCCAATGGACGTCGTACCTCAGCCACGTGCGAATAAAGCATCCATCGGACTACATCTGCCCTTACTGCGGCTACTCCTTCGTGTCACAACACGGTCTTAACATGCACAAGAGCTTAATGCACCGCGGTGTCGCTGTATGTATATTATTTTCACTGACTTCAATTCGCTTAAATGTGTTTTAGGCGTTTTTTATTTTAACTTTTTTTATTGGTGTGAATTGTCAAAAAAAAAAAACTTAGCATAACTTTTTACTATATTTTCTGAAACAACAAAGTCCTGAACTTCCTTAATTCGTTTATAAGTTTGTGTCAAAAATAATCGCCTTTTCTTAACCAAATCTAATCAAGCTGTTTTCATACTCGTAAACTTTGACGTTACAAAAAGTATAATAGCGAATTTACAATATCAATATTTTTTTAATACATTGTCTGTGGTATGGAATATTACGATTTAGCCTAACTTAAGACTAATAAGTAATGTAAGTCTAACCCAATTTACTAAAAAGGATGTTTAACATAAGAAAGTGTCCAATAACACTACTTACAGTCTCTCTTACGACGACAATCTGTTCGTGTGTTAAATTTTTTTCACTTGCCACTGTTTAGCACTTAAGGCTAACGTGCACTAACACTAAATTTGGTCATATTATGGACAATACTCTCATTGTAGTTTAAAGTCTTTAATATTCGTGTAATTTGACAAATGAGTTATTTGGTCTTTGTTTATGTACCTAATTAGTTTCATACAATAATTTTGTTCATAGGACCTGAATGAAGACAACAAAGACCTGCCGTTCTGTTCATCCTGCGACATGAAGTTCGCATCGGAGGAGGCTCACAAGCGACACTTGGTGACAGCAAAAAAACATATACTGGACTCTGAGAAGAAGTACTTCACTATAAATTACTTTTACAACCAAAAATTATGGTGCTTCCTATAAATTAAATTTTTTATCGTATCGTTTCAGGAATGGATGTCGCGAATGCGGTGAAAAGTTCTCTAGTATTGACGAACTGCGAGTACACTCGCGTACTGCGCACACGCACAAAGCGTGTGATGCTTTGCTTCAACGGTATAAACGGAACTCTGATAGTCGCACTTGGCCCACTAAATGCCCGCATGTATGTACATACAGAATAAAATAATAAAAATAACATTAATCTTAGGGTGAGATTCAGAAACGAAACGCAGCACAAACTCCAGTCAAAATAAATCACTTTACTTATTCTTATTTGTATTCAGAAAATTATATTTTTTAAATTCAAATTTCGCAGTTATGTTATTGCAAATAAATACTAATAACTTAACTAAACTACTGACTTTTGAAGTTAATATTAATAATATTAACTTCAAAAATCAGTAGTTTGACAAGTTTCTGAATAAAATCTTGACTAGTATCTAGAGTAATCTGATTGAAACAACCATAGATATTCAGCACTTTAATTGTTGATCTTCAGAATGTTCTAGAAATTGGGTCCCTGTCAGTATAGTTATTTTGCCAAACATTTACATAATAAAGAGGTCGTGCCTTTCGAACCTTAAAGCCGAAATGACAACTAAAATTTAGATTAGATTAGTATAAATATAAATTCTTATGTATATTTCAGTGCTCTGAAGAAATAGCAAACGCACGTCAGTACTGGTCGCACTTTAGACGGAACCATCCCGATGAAGTTTATCCCGTAGAGAAGAAATATATCTGTGATATCTGTGGAAAATCATTCCGGGTAAGAATATTTTAAACAATAACTAAATGGCTATATCACAACTACTATGACTAAATTAAGGCACATATTCTGAAACATCTCTCTAACTAAAATTTGCTGTCAAGAGCTCATAAATATTTTTTCTATTTCTACTTTGATATATTTGACAGTGATCAAACGGACATTGTAACCTTTTGGAATAATGCGAAAATCCGATCCAATCATTCAATTAAATTTATCAGTTTAACAATCTGTCTGAAAGTGTTCATTGCAATCTTCACAAATTTATGGAGAGATATTTTACAAAATAGGTTCAATCAAATTTATTAAATTAAATGAATTAGGTCCATATTCTAAATTGTATCTCAAGTGACAATCTCTTCTTGAGCGATGTCAAACTTCATACAGAAAAAATGGCAGTTCTTGAAACTAGATTTGATTATTATCATTCTAGAAATTACAGACAATTGTATGAAAATGTATGATTTCTGTAAATATTTAATGTAATTGTTATTTATATAAAAAGACTGTTGTCAACTTGTGATAAAAGATATGGAGGTAGCTATTAGCGGTGGCGTAGTCTCGCACCTCCGCTTGTGTAATACAATCGGTACTCATGTTACTGGACTTCTTTCACTTTTCAGGGAAATGCCTTCCTGACCTATCACAAGCGGATCCATACCGGTGAAAAGCCCTTCAAATGCAAGCAATGTGATAAAAGATTCTTTAACCGAACTAATCTCCTGATGCACGAGAAAACACATTCTGAGCAGCGGCCTTATATCTGCTGTGTTTGTGGAAAAGGCTTCAAGAGTAAAGGGGCGCTTGATAGGCATTTCCGGGTATGATTTTAATATTAATCAATAATATTATTAATTTTTATCTAACAACTGTTTAGTATTTGTTCAAGCATGTATTTTCACCTTTACATATATTTAGGGACAAAAAATAAAGAGATAATAATAATAATAAATAAATATTTAGTATGTAAATAAATAAAATAAAAACTTTTAACTTATACAAAATCCAGATCACTAAGCTGCTGCTAACTCTATAAAAGTATATTTAAAAAAATGTTTGTTTCTTAATACTTATATTCTATTAACTAAGTATTACAAAAATCTGCAAGAAATATTATTATTATCTAATTCACAACAATCAATATGAGTATAAACAAAAAATTTAGTTGTGGGTACTTGCTGGTAGTATCTTTTTATACATTCCATAAAATCTTCTTTCAGTGTCACACGGGCGATAGACCATACAAATGTGAACTGTGCGGTAAAGCCTTCGCCCAATCCAATAGTTGTAAGGTCCATGTGCATACCGTACATCTCAAACAGCCCTCGCCATACATCAGCCGTGCTAGACTTCAGAAGAGGGTTAAGAATTTAGCAACGGACAAACAAACTGTATTATATTGTACATAAGTGTAGGATGACATCTTGAAACCTACTAAATTAATGTGTATTTTTTTTTAATGTGACATTTGCGTTGATAAGTAATGTTAGGAATTGTTTATAGTATTTTATGATTTGTGAGTTTAGTATTAGCAATGTTAGATATATTATTGTAAACAGAATTATTTACATGAACGCACAAGATGGCGCTGTAAGCAATAAAAATAATAGTGTAGTTTTCGGCAATATTCTGCAAACACCGACCTCTGGGAGATAAAAATGTAAACAAAAGACTTTGATTGTGCGCTGTATTCGATTATTATTGGTCAACCGAGTTTGAACACTGCCAAGCGCTCGCGGGTTTCATTTCAAGAAATGTGGCAATCATTTTATGTATATTGTGAAGTGGTAATTTATCAATGAATAATAATTTATTTTATATAAAATGCTGTAGAAATAAACGTTTAAAACAAACTTAGATTTTTTTTACATGCAAGTTATTAACTTGTCAGTCCTTAACTCGTCAACATGAAAGTTTAATTCCACCTCATAAAAATATTTTCTAAAAGTAAACTGTATATTTCTTTTTATGTGGCTAAAATTATGCTGTTAGACTTTTTAATCTTTTGGGAAGCTTGGGAAAATAATCAATTGAATATGGTAATTATCGTTTGTTTTACGGTGATGTATGTAACCACCATTATTTTATTAGGTATATAATGGAGATGGCTACAGAATAACATACTTATCCAATTCAATTTATTACATAGGAATAATTAAAGTTGCCTGGAAGAAATCGAGATGTTAGTGATAAGGCCTCCGGAACCTTTGATTTAATTCATATGTCTTGTTTTTACAACAGACATTTTAATGTGCAATATAATTCTATGATTCCATTTGTAAAATAGGTACTAGTTGACATAGAGATGATCAAGTCGGAAAAACGACTCGAATCAACTAAATAACTTCATTTAGTGAGCGTTACAACATTAACTTAGCGTCGAGTGCATCAACAAAAATAAAAAATCAATTCTATTATCTGTCAGTGCCGTATTTAATTAATTAGTTTATAACAATCATTCATAAAGATTGTATATTTTTATCTACTTATTTCATGCGTATGTGTGTTTTTTGTTCATTGGTTTTATTTTAAAATACTTGTTGTATTGATCTCGTGTAAAGACAATATATTTTTTTCTGCCAATAAAACATTTTGATGAATCCAAACAATCATTAAAACACTTGTTTACAATTTTGTGTACGTGTATATTTTAGTTGAAATGTACGTAGTCGGTCCCAAAGTTCTGTCATAAATAGAAATAATCATAAAAACTAAAGTACTGATCAGTTTTTAATGAGTGATATATCAATTAATAGTACATAAATTAAGAAATAGAAATAGCATAAAATTATTCGAAATGACCTCCCTTATTTTTAATACAGGCCCTTAAGCGCCGCGGCCAGTCGTCTATCGCAGCACGCACCATATTCATGTCGATTTCAGTGACTGCTTTTTTTTAAGATGACTTCAGACACTCCAAATTTTTATGGGGTTTATCACAGACCTTCCTCTCTAAGACCTGCCAAATTTTATAGTCCAAAGGATTAAGGTCTGGACTGGAGGAAGGCCAATCCTCATGTCTAATTAAGTCGATGTTTTGACGCTCAAACCAGGTTTGAGTGGTCTTGGCTTTGTGTGCAGGCGCAGAGTCCTGTTGGAACACAAAGTGATGTCCCGAAAATAGCGTGCTGGGCAGGTCTTTGACAAGCTGGTCCAAAACCGTGTCTTGATACACTTTTGCACTGGTTTTGACCCCCTTTTCGCAAAAATGAACCTCAGTTGGCCCGTAATAGGACACTCCCAACCAGACCATTACTGATGATGGATGATGTCCATGTTGCACCCTCGGAACTTTATTTCCAGCTTCTTCAGAACTCCTAGCGTACACTCTATCATTCTGTTTATTGTACTTCTCTTCAATATCGAAAAAATTTTCGTCCGTAAAGAGGATATCACGGTGTCGGTTTTTCGCGTACCGCTTTAACAAACCCCGCGATCTCTTAAGCCTTATTGCTTTTAGACGAGCATTAAGTAGGTGCCCACTCTTTCTTTTGTATGCCCGTAGACCAAGATCTTCATTTAAAACCTTTTTTACTGTTTTCCTACTGACACCCATCTGCAAAGCCATCAACTTCTGTTTTCGGACAGGATTTCTTGCTATCCGCGCCTTGATAGCTTTGATCACTGCTGGTGTCCTTGCGGAGCGTGGCCGGCCAGTTCTTTTCTTGTCCTCAACACTGGAGACTTCATTGTACCTATCAATAGTACGGTACACAAACCTAAGCGTTATATTTAAATTTTTGAGCAACTTGAAAATGGTACTCGCCGAGTGCCCACAGCGGTGCAACGCAATAACAGCTATTCGGTTTTCTTTCAATGTCCACTCCATCTTGAAAATTTACGGAAAGTGATTGTTTTTTTGTTTTAAAACAATAGTCAAACAATCAAAAATAGAATGCAATAATTTTTTTATAAAATCATGTTCGTAATTTAAAAATAATGTGCCAGTGACAGAACTTTGGGACCAACTACGTAGATTGGTCGAGTGTTAGGGTAGTAAATAGAGTTCATCTCTAAACAGTCTAGTCTTCCTAGTCTGTGCCCTGTGGCAACCATTCTTTTACTTAAATTTACATTTCTTGACATAGTACATTCCGAAAGAGACACATCAAACAAAATTGTTGTCGTTCAAAATTTCAACCTATTATTGTTGTCATTTCAAATTACATCTTTTGATTAAAGTACATAAACATAACTATTAATAAAGTAGCCGAAACTACAGGGTTGACGGACTTAACTAATTGGAGATTTAATATGTGTATCAGAGTATAAAACGACAAGGAATATCAACATTGTAGACGATGGGAAAAGTAAAAGCTTGTAGGATTTGCTTACAAATGGACTTGAGGCTAGAAAATTTACACTCGAACTTTTTGGGAGTTTATTACGAAATAATAACTGGTTTGAACGTAAGTCCTAAAATATAATAACATAACCGTAAGCATTAATTTTCTATTGTATGTTTACTATGGAATTTCAGATTAGTAAGAATGAATTGCCGGGTTATTTTTGTTATGAATGTGCTGCTTTATTGAAGAAATTCTATATATTTAGACAGAAAAGCCTTAAAGGTCTAGAAGTGTTGCAGGGTGTTCTAAATACTTATGGCAAGGTGTGTATAGATAGATTATTTTGTAATATGTGATTTTGTTTTGTTTACCTTTTAAAAATTTACATTAACTATTTTCATTCTATAATTTCTGTACTAAATAAAAAATAGATCTTCTCTAATGAAATGCTAAAAGTTGTCTACTATATATTTCAGATTACAGAGAACACCATTAAAAAAATGCAAATGAAATTGTCTTATTTCGAATCCGGTTTGAGTGTTTTTAATGGTTTTTCAATCAATATTTTTCCCGATGGAGTTGTAGATATAATGGAAAATGAAGATATGTCTGAGGACAATAGCTATGATTTCAACAATACAGATAGTTGTTTAGATTTTTATGATTTAGTTAAAGAAGATTCTTCTGAAAATCTAAATAGTGATATTGAAGAAAGTTACATAGATTGGTTAAGTGATGAGGAGGATATTGCAATAGATAGTAGTATAACAAATATTGAAAATGAGATGATAATAAACAAACAGTCAAATGATGAGTCAAACGAAGAAACAGTGGAGGTATACAACCACAAATATAGAAAGTGTCTGAATTTAATCAGTTCTATTTCCTATCTTTTAAATTTTAACCATAACAGTACTTTACCTTTAAATATTTATAATTATATATTATATAGTTGGATGTGAGGAAAGTCTTATGTGTGTTGGTCTTGTGGCCGTAGTGTGACCCTTAACCCTGAGGTGCATTTGACTTTTTTTCTATGTGCACAATTAGCACTTATTTGATGGTGTATGCAGACATTGTGAAGAAACCGGCATGTTCTAAACTCAAAAATCTACAACATCTGTCTTTCCCATCACCAATGTACCAAGGGTGTGTATCATAATAACAGCCAAATTTTTTAGCAACCAAGAACCTCAAAATTAAAAAAATCTGTAAAAGTACACAAGAAACCAGTCCAACTTTTAAGAAAGGATGTTATTCAGCCAAAGCAAATTGAAGATTTTAATTTTGAGAACTATGTCGACGTCATCACAATCACGGTAACTATTGTGCAGAAAAAATACATTTTTTATGCCTTTCTGGCAAAAATATTTTTGTTGTCTACCACTTTGCAAATAAAATTGACATTGCAGCTCATAGCATGTTTACGCAATATGTATCTTACTATATTATTGAAGTGAAAACTTCTTTAGCGGCGTTGTACATGTTTTTTGGAATGGGTAAAAAATGTTAAACTCGCGTCAGGACACGTGATCTAATCGAAAACTCGTAAGACGGATGGAGAGAAGACAGCTGGCGCGGCGTATTTAATGTAATATAAATTGTCATGTTTGTGTACGATAGCGCAATAAATAAATATTGTATTCCACCACATAAATGACAGTACTTTTATACTGATAATTAAAGCAATTCGTTCAAAATTATTCCCTGACTATTCCAAAATATCAAAAATGCACAACGTTAATATTCAAGTTTTCACTTCTGCCGGCACTCCCGGAGTGCAACCCGTCGTTATTATTTTTTTTAAATGAATTTGGATACATAAATGTAATATATTGTGATATTAAGAAATGAACATCTGACAATTAAGTAATTCTACCACAATAAATAGGTACAATAATAATAATAATATACCATCAATTTTCTTTGATGTATTTCTTAGCGGAATATTTTACCTAAAGCGTGATTTGTATATAAACCACAGACATGCTAGGCCTAGTACCATGAGATATTTATTTAAGGGTCGCCTTTTTTATTGTACTTGATAATCTAAAATTTATATATTATTTTTTGAAACACTCCAGACCAAATTGCATAAATAAGTTTAATATGTTCTTTCACCACCACTTTTGTATGATTGATCTTGAATTATATTTTTTTAGGAAGAAGAACAAAAAGAAGAGATAAGGAAACGTAAAGATACAGAAAGTTACGAAACTGCACCATTTAAATGCGAGTTGTGTTTTAAAGTATTTTTGGACCCGCAAACTTGGCAACACCATATGAAGAAACATGATGTGGTATGTTATATTATGTTCTTCTAAGTTGTGACTCTTTCGACATCATATTGTCTATGTCTCTAAATAGTAGAGGCTTGAGTCCTGACCTTTAATCGAAAAGATAGCGCGTTTTGTTCGATAGTGATTGGTCAAGAAATTTAGTCGTTACTAGACGTCATCAATTTATTCATAAAAAAAAAGGGTGAGTGTACTTATGTAAGCGCGTAAGAAGTTATACTTCTTTGGCATTATTAAAAATAGTTTTTGATTGCATACAAATAATTAATAACAATTAAATAATCAAAGACTGGAAAAGGAGTCATTATAGTCAATAAAGTTCAGTTTACATTTGAAAAGTTAAATAAATAAATATTTATTATTATTCTCTTACATTAAGTGTAACATAAATTCTATTATTATTCGAATGTTGTTTTTAAATGTCCAATGCCGTAGCATCTTCCGTGGGCAACTTCATTCTGTTAATTTTATGTCACGGTGCGCGCGCATCGTAAAATTTCACTCTCATAAATTTTTCATAACGCGCCTAAAGAAGTATAACTTCAAAAATATTTTAAATAAAAAAGATACTACATTCGCTTTCTCATTTATGATATCAGAATACATTTTACCATAACTTTATGCAAATAGAATATATTTTGACTTTCAGTCGTCAGGAATGGCGCAGTGTAAAATCTGTAAGTTGCGCTTTAAATCAAAACGTCGTCTTAAGAATCATATGATGTATCACGCCAAGAAGTATAAATGCAAATACTGTTCATACGTTTCGCGAACTACGTGAGTATTTTTTATTTTATAGCATAATGAAACACTTCTTAGTCCAGGAAAACATACAATATAAGCTACAACTGGTTAAAACTTCTCTTTTTTTTTGAAGTGAAACTTCTTTAGATTTTAAATTTTTAAAAAACTTCACGATGATGTGCAGCTTTATTGTCGAAGCAAAGGGAGAGAGTGATTGAGACCGATTGAGAGAGAGAGTGAGAAGTGCGAATTACCTTATAGAAATTCTAATTTTAAAATAAAAATTTCGTAAAGAGACTATGAAATATTAGTATTTTATGCAAAATAATTTATTGAAATCTCAAATGACTTATTGTAAGTTAAAATGCCACGTGTTTTTATTATAGGAGATATAAATTTACAAAATTAAATTTATTATTTGTATTAATTTTCAACAGTTAATATTTTAATGACAATTAAATTCATTAAATCCCTACCATATCTTCCGATCCCTCTAAGTCACGGAAATCTAAAGTTTTAGAATATGTATGAACAAGAGTTAAAAATTAGTTTGCCAAAGAAGTTTCACTTATGACATGTGTACTTTGTACGCACGCACTTTTTTCTTGTAGCATTATCTGAATGGCAGTGTGCAACAAAGTGTGTTGAATGTTTTATTTATATATATCGAAACTATTTAACAGTTTGATTGTATGTATTTCAGATCACAAGGTTGGAATCACATATTCTGGCATCAAGGGGTTTTGTACCAGTGTCCACATTGCGAAGAAATGTTTTCGTGAGTGAATATACTTTTTATGATTATCAACAAAATTTCTACATTGCATGAAATTTATCTACCATTTTTTTTAAATAAATCATTAACAAAGTTTTAGGCGGGTATTTAAATAATGAATTCATTGTAATTAAATTTTCATTCAACCTCTTTTTCACCAACAAAATAATCGAGACCTTATATAAATAAAATCAATAATAAATTACAAAATATAATCTTTATATGTCAAGTAAAATTATAAATACTACTATATTTTAACAGATAGATAATATATAGAATAGAATAGGTTAAATTGTTAAATGTACCGTCGGTACTTCTCTCGCGCACTAAATTTTTACTATTAAAATAATTATTTTTATCTTCGTCTTATCCTTGGCTAAAGTTGGCAATCTTTTTGCTAATCTTCATAGATTTATTGGCACTTCTTAACAAAGACTTGGTGCTTTGACCAATTAGTTCTATATCTCTTTTTTTCTTTGGCTATAATGTCGTCGGAGGCATTAAGTAACGTATGTGTATACCAATAGCAAAATAGCATTTGTAATAAGTATGATTAAGTACTATGTTCTTATTTCTATAAAATGTACAGCATGTTAAGGGAAGGAATTTTGTTCAACTTAATTTTTTTGAAGTTTCTGTTATGTTTATTCCTATAATTTGTCCACTATTTTTAGTTGCCATACGTTGGACAGTCAGTCAGGTTATACTACCGTCTGGCAGTATTTTGTTTAATTTTAAATCTGTGAACAATGAGAATCCACTATGAACTGTCAACATCTGTGATACCAGTCCTGTTGGTTTTTTTGTTGGTTGGGTTTTCTTCTTATTATTTAAAAAAAATTCTACAACAAAATAAACACTAATTTGTTAAAACTTATTGCCATTAAATGTTATATATAATGTTTAGTTAAAAGCTGTGTTTTCGTACAAAAAATTTCTCCGCCAGCATGGATATTGAGAGTAAGAGCAATTTCATAGTGAAGATAGGCGTGGTAATGGTGATAAGTTATTCTAATTAATAATATTGTTACAGCCAATGGACGTCGTACCTCAGCCACGTGCGAATAAAGCATCCATCGGACTACATCTGCCCTCACTGCGGATACTCCTTCTTGTCACAACATGGTCTCAAAATGCACAAGAATTTAAAGCATCGTGGTGTCGCTGTATGTACATAACTTATTTCTTTCCGACGCAAAATGAGGAGTTTTAAGTTAATCCATGTGACTGCCTTTAACTTCTTAACGGGTGGAAAGTACGGTTTCTCGGGTTTCGAATTATTTAGTAGCGACGTTGTAACACAATTTAACGAACCAATATACGTCTCTAATTGGAACCAAAGACAATTAAAGTAATAGACCAGCAATGTTCATACAAAAAAACGCGTTAGGAGTTATACTTCTTTGGCGTAATAATTTACTTCGAGCACTTTAGATGGACGTTTCCCTCTTTTACATTTTTCTTGTCCATTTTAATGGTCACTTCCAATCGAAACTATGTTTTTATCACATTGGAACGGGTTTTCTCGTATAGAAATCATTAATAGGTTTAGGTTTAAGAATAACTTTATTTCTCATAAGAATTGAAAATTCACTTACTGAGAAACACATATTTAAAACTAAGATTAAAAATTAGAGCGCACAGATGTAGGTACATATATAAAATAAGAAAACAGAACAGCACCAAAAATGTGGGTAGACATAAAAAACTTGGTCAGTCAACCAAGCGAAACACGGATGTTAGAATTTAATTTTTTTCTAGATGTGGCATTGATGGCATAGTCTGATATAACAAGTTTATATTGATTATTTTATTATTTTTCATAAGACTATTTTATTTTTAGTTTATTCCTATATTTATATATTTAGGGTATGTACAAGGTTTATAAAACATTTTTACAAATTAAAATCACCTATAGGCAGATTTTGGTCAATATCAAATACAATTCTTTAACACCGTGAGTGGTGTAAGTTTAACGTTCTTAAACATTATACATTTCAAGTGTTATCGCATTCTTGTCGATATATATATAAATATACATATTATATTTTGATCACTTATTTGTATGTAATTAATGTGTAAGTTTTTAGAAGCTTTTTAAATCGGGCATAATTTTGTTCTGCTTTTATAACTGATGGTAACTTATTATAAATTGTAACACCCTCATACTCCAAACTTCTTTTTCCATAGTTAGTTCTAGGAGGACGGGTCACCAGGTAACTAGCACGTCTTAAGTTAATGTTTCGTGTTTGTTGTTTGGTTAAAAATTTTATATTAGAATTAATTTCCCTATTTAATATTTTGCGTATTAGAATACAAGTGTAATATATGTACGTTTGTTTAATGTTCATTAATTTTGTTTCCTCGTATATCCTTTCAGTAGGCGTCCGAAATTTATAGTTAAATAAGTTTTTAATCAATCTATTCAGAGTTCTTTGGATAGGATCCAAATTACTCTTCGCTGCAGTACCCCAGACCTCAATGAGGTAGTCGACATGCGGCTTAACCAGAGAATTATAGATCAGATACCGCACTTTTTGAGGGAGACAATTTGTTATGTTTCGCAGTGCCCCTGTGAGTGATGTTAGTTTAAGTTTAATTTTTTCTAGATGTGGCTTCCAAGTTAGGTTACTATCCAAAATAAGTCCGAGATATTTTTCTTTAGGTTTTCGTTCAAGTATTTTTCCGTCTATTTTAAGTTCGAAATTATTATTTATTTTTTTATTTTTTGCTGCAAAAATAACATAATTTGTTTTTGTAATATTAATAGTTAAAAGATTTGACTGAAACCACTCATTTAACAGATTAAGATCATTTTGAGCGTCGGCTATTAGAGCTTCGATCGAGTTTCCAAAGTAAAAGAGACTTGTGTCGTCTGCATAAAGGGATATGTCACCTTTGAGACCCAAATCACTGATACTGTTAATATAAATGAGGAACATGAGGGGGCCTAATATTGATCCCTGGGGAACGCCAAAATTCAGGATACAGGGATTGCTTTCATATTCACCTATTTTTACTATTTGTTTTCGGTTCTCCATATATGATTTAAAAATTTCAAGTGCTTTGCCTGTAACACCGGTAAGTTTTAGTTTTTGTAATAATTTTTCATCGTCATCGTCAGTCGTGATTATTTAAACCAAATCATTATTTGGTTTAAATAATCACGACTCTGAAAAACACTACGCCATGGCAGATAATGCAACTTGTCGATAAAACAGAGCAAGCGCCAACTAGCGGTCCAGACTGTTTTACCGACGATTGAACATGTGTTCAGGGTGTCGGTTTTTTGTGACGGTGTGCGCGTGCATCGTAAAAATTTACTCATAATTTTTCCCTAACGCGCCAAAAGAAGTATAACTTCAATAAATATTCCGAAAATGCTGACTATAGTGTGATGGAGCCACTGATACGAAGGAATACTTGATATAATTTAGGGAAAAGTTCAAGATTCAATTATTGGGATGTTTGCTAAGACTTATTTTATATCTTTACAACTGAAATAAGATTCTATTGAATTTACCAGTATAAAAAATACGAGAAATAGAAAAACACCATCCGCATTTCTTTCTTCCTTTTACTTTGGTTTTCTTGTTATTTTATATATTGCATTGATATACCTCGACCAAATCACGGTTGATTTTACTTTTATCCAATTTGTTTTAATTAGGACCTAAATGAAGACAACGAGGATCTCCCATACTGCTCAGTATGCGACATGAAGTTTGCGTCATTTGAGGCTTACAATCGGCATATGGCGACCGCGAAAAAACATATCGTGGAATCTGAAAAGAAGTAAGTTTGCAATTAAGATTAATTTAAACTTAAGTTATAGTTTTAATGGTAGGGGAGCCCACGATGCTAAATGGGGATTTACTCGAGCGTCGTAGAGACCTATTGGGATACAAAGCTTAGATAAAAAGAAAAAAAATGTTATATGATAAATTCCTTTTCATCGGTGGGGGAAGCGGCTATAGATAGTTAAATATGTAAAAAAAACTGTTGCATGGACATCCTCGAGCGCGTCAGATATTGATAGCATCTATGCCCTACGTATTTTTAATAATGTACGTATGTTAATCTGATCGTTTGCATGATGCGGGTGGTTGTATTTAAGGGTTGAAAATTAAAAAAAAAAAAATTTATCGAGCGCGTCAGATTTTCTAAGGGAGTGTTAAGTGCACCAAAAAAAGCTCTCATTCACTAATCTGACGATTTCGATGGGACGCAAACCCACAGCCATTTTCTTAATTTGCAAAAAAAATCGCAATTTTGAAATACTCAAGCGCGTCAGATTAAGATATATGTGGTTCATCTTTATTGTTCTAAACGTACTGTCTCATAATCTGACGATTATCTAGAGGGATTCGCCTGATCTGACAAAAAAATAATAGAAAAACGGTTCACCTAAAGGGCCATCCCTGCAACTTCCCGCTAATTCCATTCCTGGGCGCTTAAAATTGATATTTTGAGCTCGCTGAGTTCAAAGAAATAACATTTCTATGCATTTGGGGCTCTCCCCGCTCGAAAGTCTGGTAGAAGTTTCATAGAACACTATTTTTGGAATTTTCAAACCGCAATAACTTTTGAATGGATGTCAAGCAATTTTCACGCGGTTGGCGGCATTCGACGCAGTTTTATCATTCTCATAAGCAATTTTAATTGATCGAACCACAAATTTCGGGTAATCCCGAAAAAACACTTTTTCGGGTTTCTTTTCATGTACGATATACTCTCGAACGAATCAACCGCTTTTGACCAGCTTGGTGGCGATCGACGTGGTTTTTCAAGCTCAAAGGCGGATTAGTTTTTGAAGTTGATCGATAAAGAAACCACTTTAAAAAAAAATATTTCTTATTTTTTTAAGATTTTTCAAAATTTCTCAAAATCTATCGGTCCGAATCGGTTCAAATTCACAGGAAATGTAATTTTGAGGGAAATATTTTGAACGCGTTTAGTAGATCCCGGTCGTTAGATAGGCATCGTCACGCATCGGCGAATTCAAGGAAATGTAGGCGTACACGCAGCTGCACGCATTTAACGGTTTTTATCGCGAATTTTTGTTATTTCGGCTTGCGGATCGTCAGATTATTATATTTTTCATTATTCTGGAATTATTTCCTTCAAAATAAAAAAAAAATTAGCTACGCTCGAGAATGTCGAGATGACGTTTTTTTGCCCACAACTAACTTTGTTGTCCCCCTGCCCCCCTGGCCCTTTTTTCCGTCAATCTCAAATTGTCAGATTAGTGGAATATACACTTTTTAGGATTGTAATTAACTCACCCTACCTTAATCTGACCCGCTCGGGAATTTCTGATGGTCAATTTTTTTTTACTAATCTGATCCTGTCCTCCTTCTCGCGCGGCCTTATATATGGCCTCATATTTTGTGGGGGGGGCTTAACCGGGGGCAAGGTTTCCCCCTATATAGTAATCTGCCGCGCTTTAGTAAATCCCGAAATCCCCTCTTGGGGCCCCCTATAAATTACTAGCAGACCGGCTATGCGTTGCTGTGGCTAAGGTTTTTGTTATATAACATAGTAGTAAACTATTCAGGGGAAACGGTAAGAGAACACCAGTCATGGGGACCACCATGCTTTTTTGGTGGTTATGCAATTAAATTGTAGCTTATGTGAAACGTTGGTACTTTCAACACAGCGCCATCTGTTAGAATTGTGACTATCAAATAATAAACAAATAATTTGCAATAAAATAATATTGCGGGTATAAATTGAGATGTAAGCTATCCTATCTTTTAAATTAGATCAAACCGCACACGGTGTGCAAATTTGATTGAAATTGGTTCAGTAGTTTAGGAGTCCATAGCGGACAAACAACGTGACACGTAATTTATATATATTAAGATTACATAAATCAAACAATTATAAATTATGCATAACAAACATTATGTTAATCAGACATCATCTTCATTTAATTCTTATTCGAATATAGGAATACATCCTGTATTCGAATTAGAATTCTCATCAAGAACAGGTTTCTTGCGTCGGCTAACGTTAGAGCGTCAATGTTTCAATTGGTTTGTGACGTTTTACGTACAATTTTAATGGTTAAATGGTTATAATGTCATAGAATATATGTCACTGGCCTTAATATATAAGATAATTAATTAAATATGTTCGACGTCGGTTGACAGAAAAACTGTGTCCAGTTTGTGTTTTCACCACACCAACTTATTTTCTATTTAAGATCATGTATATAAAATATGTATGTGTATAATAAATAAATATATTCGCATTTAAGATACAAGGAAACTAAAGTTATAGTTTTAATTTATATATTACTAGCTGACCCGTGTTGTTGTTTTGCCATGTATATTATTTATAGGAAATATTGTTTTAGTTCAATAAAAATAACTATCTACAAAAATAAAAAAATAAGGGTTGATCGTAGAGGGGTGAAAATTAGGGGTTGTATCTATTTTTGTATGCTGTATCATAAAAAAATAAAAACAATTTTTTTTTAAGAATAAACAATTTTTTTTGGGGTGGACACCCCTTATCATTTAGGGGGTTGAAAGATAGATAGTAGCCGATTCTCAGACCGAATTTGGTTTCGGAGGAGTATGGTAACTAACATTGTGACACGAGAATTTTATATATTAGAGTGTTTCAGAAATGGATGTCGCGAATGCGGTGAAAAGTTCTCAAGCATTGATGAATTGCGGGCTCATTCGCGTACTGCGCACAGGCACAAATCGTGTAAGGCGTTACTCAAGCGATACAAAGAGAAGTCGGATAGTCGAACTTGGCCCACGAAATGCTCGCTTGTACGTACTTATTTGAACTTATATCTTGATTTTAATCGACTAACGCGTGCTAGGAATATATTTCACAATAAAACAGCAACGCAACAATCCCCAATCGGTCAAAATTGGGAAGATAGCAAATTTAGATTGATAGATGTCAAAATTGTATCAGTTAAATTCAAAGATATTTTATAGAAAGCGTCGATTTGTCATTTTCATACAAATATAAATCCAAAAATACTGAGCTATACTCCCAAAGATGGTGTACAAAAACAGATTGAAATATCAATCTCTAGGAGAAAAAATTGGATTGGGATTGAGTATAGAAAGCGGCCGTAAACCAAACAACACGAATAATGATAATGTTAATTTGTATGAAAACTTGGGTAGCACTCTGTGGGCGTATTTGAAACTAAACGGAAGTGGAAAAACACGTTATATACGGATTAACTTTGTCCACCATTATACCACATTTGTGTTGTAAGAACCTGACATTCGAATTGTGATGACATAATAAAAGTTATTTTAAAAAACAAACCAATTTCAAATACCTGTCAATTCAAAAGAAAAATGCTACCTGCTCAATAACTGCTGTAGCGGTTTTGATGAATGTTAGATATTTCTAACATTATACTTCTCATTGCAATATACAAGTAGCGGCACGAAACTCTAGCGCTGACCGTTATTGCGCAGAAGTAAAACATATGGTACCTAAGGGGGGCTAGCGGAATGAAGAGTTTCGATTGGCTCTCCAGTCGCATTCCGTCCCCCGCGCGACAGTACACATGCGCAGTAATCCCCTCCACGTATCGGCCAGCGCTAGACTTACGTGCCGCTGCCTATACCTGTTTCTAAAACTTGATTTGAGAAATTAGTCTTTCAACATCAAATATTATCTAATTACAACAATTTTACATTCATAGACCTAATTTAAGTTAAAATCTGTAGAAAATTGGTAGTAATCTATTTAAACCAGTCTAAAAATATCTAAAAGTACAGTTATTCAGTCCGTGAAAAATCATAGCAATAATTCAGAGCACGTATATATTTTGTCTTGTTTTGTATCAAAAAATAAAATAATTATTACAGTGTTCTGAAGAAATAGCAAACGCGCGTCAGTACTGGTCGCACTTCAGACGGGACCATCCCAATGACGATTATCCCGTGGAGAAGAAATATATCTGTGATGTTTGTGGAAAATCCTTCCGGGTAAGAATATTTTCAACGACAGAGATATCCAGGATTAAATTAGATGTAAAGAAACTTGCATGTTTCTTTGTTATGTACTAGATGGCGCCATCAGCCATCGTAGTTGGAAGAAGCAGTTTGAAGTTTGACAAGTGAAAAGTCATCGTTATTAAATTCAGTAATGTTTGATGGTGAAATTGTTTTAAAAAGGAATTGATAATGTTAATAATAAACTTTTAATGTCGTTTCCTTGTTTTCAGGTAGGATAGTGTTATTTAGGTTTAGAATAATGTAATGAGTATAGTGTGTTGATAATAAAATAAATATCCTTGTTTTCAGAGCAACATAATTGTTTATTTGAATCAATTCCAATTATTAAGATATAAAATCTTATAAAACGACATTAAACTACAGGTAAAAAAAATATTAGTTTACGCGGAGATGTTTTGACTGAGCAACTAGCTGTGCATCATATAACACAATAATTATTGCACATTCATCGACATTTTTAGGTATTTAAGTTATAGATTATTTGGTGTACCGTAAATTAATCAATAAGTGGAGTTTTTTAATGTGAGGAAGAAACGTGCAGGCTTTTATAGAAGGTGCTGACCGCAGGCTCGCAAGTGCGTTGGCGACGTATAAAAAAAGGTAGTCGTAACGGTTTGGTAATACTTGAAACCTTAAAAAGTGCTTTGACGTTAAGATGATAGATTCTGTCTTGACGTCGGATAAAATTTAAAATATCTACGTATTTGGATACTCTCAATAAAGTATTGGATATTAAGAATATCCATAGCGCAAAATAACCTGTAATAAAATATTACTTATTTTAATAATTGTTATCGTTTTATTCCTTTCGTAAATGTTTGAGCCTTTTCTGTGTATATATATATATCTGTAAGGAAAACATAATATATTTTCCTATACAAACTTTTGTCTATATTGTATTTTATATAAACTCTTTTGTAATGTTGTCTTTGCCGTCTGATCGATGATGTTAAATTTATGTCTCTTGACATAATATATCTAAGATATTTTAATTATTTTCATTATATTATTTATATTTAATTATATTTTTTTTTCATTCATTATATTATTATTTATAAAACCTAGAATATAGGCTGTAAATGTAGTTTCTGTTGTATTCACAGAGAAACGCAGTTGCGCCTTATTTATTCCCAGTATAAGCGATTGATACTATTATATATATATATATATATTATGTATTCCATCTTTGGCTATATTTTATGTATAATTGTTTCTTGTTGTATATAATTTCTGTTAGCTTTAGGATTACGAAATAAATAAAGATAAGCCGCCGTAGCCGAATTTCGTGGAAAACAAGGAGAGAGGTCGCAATAGCAAGCACTCGTTTTATAACTTAACATAACATTTCAGAAAAACTCATTCTTAACCATTCACAAGCGGATCCATAATGGTGAAGTACCCTTCAAATGCAACGAATGCGACAAAGTTTTCTCGAACAAAACCAATCTTCAGATGCACGAGAGATGGCATTCTGACGAGCGGCCCTTTATTTGCAGCGATTGCGGTAAAGGGTTCAAGGTGAAAACGGCTTTGGATAGGCATTTCCGAGTAAGTTTTTAATGTTTTAATTAACTAGCAGTGCCCTGCGGTTTAGTTTAGTCTTCCTTAGTAAATAGATTAGATAGCAAATTTTTTTTAAATTTGAAGCCGTCAGGTCAATATCGAGATAGCGCATTTAAGTAAACGATTATTATCTTGAATTATTTCACATATGAGAGATATGAGATTATTTGGAGTGTTCAGTGTGTGACTCACCCCGGAGGTCGAAGGTTCTGGATGGATTATCTGTGTTTGCATTTACACTCGTTTCTACGATGATGGAAAACATCGTAGGGAAACTTGCCTTTGCCCAAAAAGTTGACGTCGTGTGAACAAAAGAGTGATCACCAACTTGGCTGTTAAAAAAATTACGGAACAAATGCACAAATCTGAGACCCTAAATGCTGTAGTGACATGGTATTTTATATGAGATTGATAGGAAGTATCTCATAGCCATCTGAGTCTTATAGTATTTACAAATAAAAACCTTAATTTTTGGTTAACTTAGTCTTAATTTTATGTTAACTAAATTAAAGAAATTTAAAAAGTTACATTTGGTGATTATAGTAATTATTTTTATTTGCGTAAATTTTTTTCAGTGTCACACTGGTGAGAGGCCGTACAAATGTAAAGTGTGCGGAAAAGCCTTCGCCCAATCCAACAGTGTTAAAGTGCACGTCAATACAGTACATCTCAAACAACCGTATATTAGGCGAACTCGACTTAAGAAAAGGGTCAAGAAATTAGCAGCAGACACTACTGTACTATATTGCACATAGATATTTTTGTGTAATTAGGTAATAAATGACGGTTAATTTTATAAATAACATTTGTTTCAAGAATAAATTAAAAACAAATTTAGAAAAATGAAAGTACCTGTCAATATTTATTAAAATGTCGCCGTTAGAAATGAGTTTTCCAGAAATTTGAGGACAAACATACGCTAATGAATTTTATCACTTAATCTTGGAAGCCTAAATAGATTATTACAATTGTATATTTTCTTGTAATACGTGATTAAGAATTGTTTCTGTTTGTGAGTTATATTATTTATTTTTCATTAAAAGCAGAATGTCTAAACTAAATGCACGCACTAGATGGCGCTTTGTGCAAAATATTTTTTTTTGTGTATGAATTTTATTTGCTAACAATACACTGAATACTTTTTAAATGTAATTTTTACGAAATGTGGTACTAATGTATGTTTGGTGAGATGTACGACAAAATATAATCGTATTAATAGATCACTGTCGAACATTGTTTATCAGGTAACTCAAGTCACAATCTCCACTTGAGCCCTGTACTTCAAATACGATAAATGATTGGACAACTCTTGGAACTAGATTTGTTTGAGTGTGTTGTGGAGATAAATATGAGTAATTTAACTGACGAAAAGTCGAAATATAGTTTTGTGCGCAAAAGGAATTGCTATTTATATAGAAGTATTTTAAGTTATTATTTTTTTTTTTTTTTTTTTATTTAAATGTTTCCAGATTATTCCCCGACTATATAGTCGTCGGAGGTGTTAAAAAGCTTACATAAATGTATTGGTAACCCGAATGTTTACTTTCTATTACTATATTACTACTCTACTACTACCTATTTCTTTTGACAACCCCCTGCATGACCCTCACGGCAAATCCCAAAAAGATGCCCCTCAACCTAACATTGAGCATTATTCCCTTCAAACTCGTCTCCGTTACCCTCATGCCCATAGCTTGCTCAGCGTTATACCTGTCGTATCCATACATGGGACAGTCGGTCAGAACATGCAACACTGTCTCTTCAGCTGCATCATCACAAGGACAGGCAGCACTTTGTCTAACCCTGAACCTGTGAAGATACGACAGGAAGCCACCGTGACCTGTCAACATCTGAGTGATCAATCCCGTTGGTTTCATTTGTTTAATTATCGAAAAGGCCGAAGCAACATTTGGAAGGAATAACTTGGTTATTGCAGCTGTTTCACCGTCTCGATATCTGTGATTCCATTTTTCTATCGTGTTTCCACGTAGACAGTTCTTCAAATGCGATATGGGAAATCTATTGTACACGGGCGCCTCTTCTAGATGCGCAGCTTCCTTTGCTAGTTGGTCTGCTCTTTCATTCCAATAGTTTGATATGGATGATGTTGAAATAAAATACATTAATTCACTACGTATATTATATTTATAATAATTTATTAAAAGCTAATCGTATAGAATTTTTGAGTATTTCATGTTTGCAGCTCAAAGTCGATCGGTTACATCTGAAACATAAAATATAGGTAAAAAATATTTATTTTAAACCATACTTTATTGTTTTCGAGGACACTGGTTCATAGATGTAATCAATCAGATAAAATTGTCTTTCAATATAATTTTAAGTTTGAAATACTTTTTGACGGATGCAAATATTATTACATAAGTTAAATTTTCGAGTGCCTTTCAGCAATCGTGGTAAGTTTGGAAAATGCCGTATTACGCGGCAATAAATGTACAAATTGGAAAATGGCTGCGATCGAGCTGTCAAAATCTGACATAGACGTTTAGTTGACGTAACTATTCCCAGCTCCAACTTAGATAACGATACAAATATGTAGTAGGATAATCTATTATCAGGTTAAACCTGAAATATACTCACATAGTTATTACTGCGCAAGAGCATGACGCCTCATCATACGCTCGCGTTTAGATCGGCTGACGTACAATGGCGGCAGTTTGTGATGTACTGTCCGTATGTGTTGTTGGCAGGTGTTGGACTGGCTAAAAGATTTGCCACACAACTCGCATGTGTAAGGCTTCTCGCCCGTATGCACCTGATAAATTGAATTATTTATTATATTATAATTATTACTGTAATATATGTAAAATTATAAGAATGTGCAAGAACAAAACTTTTTATACTTTTAATTTAAAAAATGTAAACCTTAATTTATCTTCTATAGTTTTTTTTTTTTTTTTTAAAGACAATTCACACCAATTGACCTAGTCCCATGCTAAGCTGGTGAAGCTTGTGTTATGGGTACTAGGCAACGGATATACATATTATAGATCGATAGACATATAAATACATATTTAAACACCCAAGACCTAAGCACAACACCAAATGCTCATCACATCGATGTTCGTCTCAGCCGGGGATCGAACCCGGGACCCATGGATTCGCAGTCAGGGGTACTAACCACTAGACCAATGAGTCGTTCCGTTGGTTACTTAATTTAAATGTCGAATTAGACGCTTCTGGGTTAAATTTCCAAAAATATGGTTTGGCTGTAAAGACTCTTCAGTGAAAGCGCCGAAGTCAAAAAAATTTGTCACTAGAATAAATTCCGTTACTAATATCTTTTATTTATTACAAGTTAAAATGACTAGAGTGTTAAACAGACATCCACTACATACATATGAAACATTAATCTGCGTAGATTTATTTATTTATAAAATCTTGCCAACGCTCGGCACACCGATATATTGGTACAAGAAAAATAAACTATTTAATGTGATTAAGTCAAATTTAAGCGAAATTATTATTTAACAAATTACCAATCCATGTCTCTGTAGCACACTTTTAGCTTTGAATCCCATTCCGCACACCGTACACACGTGCGGACGAGCTTCCGAGTGCGTGCGTCTGTGTGCGTATAAAGAGCTGCGGCTCACACACACTTTGCCACACGTCTCACACTTGCCTCCTCCATTTAGCTCGTTCGGTCCACCGACCGAGTGTTTGGCGATGTGAGCGCTTAGAAGACGTTTCTAGAACATACGGTAAATAATATAGAACCTGCAAAGAAAACTGCAGTTTTGACACCGGATTAAATTAATATTTTATTTACATTATACTTACCCAAAATCTATTAATATTATTTAAGATTAATAGATATTGGGTTTTCAAAATTCTAAGATGACTTTCATGAAATGTTAACATCTGGATAAATATTTGCATAAACTATGGTAACGCGCAAAACTTGCATATTTTTTATATTCACAAACTAGCATTTAATACTTGGTCAAACAAATTTTTGTCAAAACATATCATTAAAAATTAATGAATAAAACATCCATTCATTTTATAAGTTTAATACATTTAAACTCACCGGAAATCCCTTCCCGCAAACATCGCATATAGAATCACATCCCGCGTAATAATCTTTCTCGGGATGTGCTGTGCGGAAGTGCCACGAGTAGATGTACGCATTCGCTATCTCCTTGCCACACTAGCACAAATATTCAAATTATATAAATGTATAGTCGAAGTAAAGTAGATCAATGTTTCCCAATGTATTTTTCTTTCAATGTGCGCAATTTTTTTGTGTTTTAAATGAGCTTATAAGCTAACCAATAATGTTACACAGAAGAATAAAGACGCAAGGAAGAAGTGGCTACTTGATATTTTGTTCGTTCCTTGGTTCTTTGTAGCTTGTTACATGGACGAAAGTTCTTAATTTTAAATTGTTACAATACAAGTTTTTTAATTGCTATAAAATATATAAAGCAAGTGATTTGACGTTCAATAATGTGGGCAATTAACACTTACGAGGACCACTTAAAAGTTGTGAGACAGGAGTCTTTATCCCAAAACATTACGACTGATCAGGCACGGAAGACTGATACCACTTTAACAAAAAAAAAATGACATCCTTATTCATAGAATTAACCAACCTACTAAATATTTAGTCTCTCATGTCACTTTAAATAATATCGATTTCAATAAATATATTTCATATTATAATACCTACATGTGGACAGTTCATGGGCCACGAGCGCGGGTCGCCATTGTTCTTAGCGGGTGACGTGGAGTAACTCGGCTTTCGCAGACATTCCGGTCTCGCCCGGGTGTGATCTCGGAGCTCCTTCGGCGTCTTGAAGGATTCCCCGCATTCTCGACACCCGTATCTACCATATCAATTAAGTTATGCAATAATTTATTGAAACCGCAGAGTCTGAGTTCGATTTCCGCCGAATTCTAGTCTCGTAGGACAGAAATTCAATCACTTTATATATGGTGCATGGAAACTTTATTACTTTTTAATTTTTTATAATAAATGCAAACTACCTATAAAGGACAGTCATCGCAGCCTATAGACACCCATTTTTAGTGAGTGCGTTGCCGGCCTTTGAGGGAGGAGTACACTCTAACTTTGAATAGTTAGAGGTCGTATCTCTCAAGAAAGACCCCAACCGGGAGACTATTCCACAGTTCGCTAGTTCGCAAAAGAAAGTGAATTATACTATTACTGTTTCGTTGCGGTCTAAGAACTTTCGGGTTACGCATTAACCACGAAGGCCGTTAAAACTGATCCCTTACTTACCTATTAAGATGATTAATGAAACGGAAATGCAAAAATCCCCTATAAGAAATAAGAATAAGTTAATTCCAGTTAAATTAAAAATAATTCTACGTACTTGTTCTCGGCCGTAGCCACGTGTTTGCGTGCCTGGACCAAGTGACGCTTAAATGCTTCTGGAGACGCGAACTTCACGTCACATAACTCGCAAAATGGCGCCTCAGGGTTTTCTTCTATTTCAGTCTTTTCCTGTTCGTTTAATTCGTTTATAAATAATATAATCATTACTATTTCTATACCGCTTAGGTTAACATGCTTACAAATACGACAATTCATGCATATTATTTAGGCAATTGTTTTTAATGTAAATAATTTTAATAATTGTGGCGCTACAGCCCACACACTTATACCTTAACACACTGTCTTTTTGGTTCTATGGTATGCTTTCCTCACGATATTTTCCGTCACCGTAAGAGTGAAAGTTCATTGGTAGGTACACAGCCGGGCTTCGAAACTACAACCTCAAGGATGAGAGTCACATGCTGAAGCGACACTAGGCCTACACTGCTCTTATATAATATACGATATAAGTTTTGTCTTTTATGGTTATATTTATTTCGCCGATATTGAGTGATACGTTTTAATAATGTTCAAATATTTTTACTAATAAATGTGAATAGGTTTCGTTAATAAATGTGAAATTCAGAGTCGGATCTTAACGACAAATATGATTATTCTAAATTAAAAAGTTAACGATAACTCACGTTTACTTGGGTGTGTCGCAGACTCTTGTGCTGCAACAAGCCCATTTGAGAGACGAAGGTGTTTCCGCAAACACCGCACACCCAGTCTGACGGATGCTTCATTCGCAGGTGTGTTATATACGACATGCGTTGTCTGAAGCAACAACAAGAAAATCTTATATTGCATAAACCGAAATCATACAATGATTTTGATGCATCCGATACGAAAAATTATTATAATAATATTTTTGTAAAACTTCGTTACATTACAAATAAAACATAAATAATCAGGGATTCCACGCGCGGCTTTAGCATAAACAAGCGATTTCTTCCAGGCAACCCTAGTAAGGAAAAACAAGAAATAGTAAAGTGTTCTTGCACATTGTCAGTGTCTCGGGGTGGAATGCGGGCGCAGTGGAGAGCTGGAGCACTGAGGCGCGCCGGCACGTATATAATAACAATTAGTTATGTAAAACATTAAATTAATTTTTTTATCCAATTTATTATATAAGAAATTACATGAATTATAAAAGTCAAGATTAGGCAGGATTTTTTTTACAAGATAATCGTATGTAGTCGGGGAGCGTGTTCCACAATGTTAAAAGTATGTACGTCAATAATAAAATACTTGATCGCTTGACTCGGGCGTGAATTAAACAGTTTTTTTTGAAGTTATACTTCTTTAGGCGCGTTATGAAAAATTGATGAGGGTGAAATTTTACGATGCGCGCGCACCGTGACACAAAATTATCAGTATGGGCGCCGAGCGTGCGCGAGCGAGATGGGAATAAGACAATCTACAAGTAAAAAGAAATAGAATATGCGTGACGTTAGCAGCTATGCCAAGAATTTTGAATGACCATAATGACATTTGTAGTACCTTTTAAACAAATAAAGGAGTTTTCATTATTTTTTCAAAGAAAGTTAAAAGGTTATGAAACCTACCTAGTTATTAAATTGAATTAATAATATAATAAAATAATAAATAATAATTATAATTAATATTAATTAATAATTGAATAATATACTAAATATTAAATATTGTTAAATTATTAACGCTAAATATTTATTATTAATTATTTAATATTTGAAAAAATAAATAAAGCCAAAGAGGTATAACTTCTTACGCGCGTACATAAGTACACGCACCATTTTTTTAAATTATATCTTATTTATGGAATATCATGATTTCTAATTAAACCGTAATTGAAACCTCTCCATTATTGCTAACTTGCTTATGCATTGCAAACACTTAATAATTTAAGTAACATTTTTTTTTATCAAATCAGTGTTAAGTTGCTGTAATCCTAGAAAATAAGGTTTGAATAAATAACTAAATTATTACCACTTCAAAAGAGAAAATACATTACGAACCAACATTTGAACCCTTTTGGTTCAGTGAAGCAAAATTTATACATATATTAAACTAAAAAAAATTAGAACAACAATTACAATTTTAGCAACTTTTGATGAATGTACTTACCTAAACTTCTCGCCACAATGATCGCAATCGTATGTGACGCCTCTGTGCCATAACAAGTGGAGTTTTGCTTGAGAACTGAAAATACACATTCACTAATGATAGGCTTTTATAATATATTTGTGTTTCAGAAAAACCTCGTCTTATGTGAGTATATACGCAATAATAAGTATTTTTTAAAAGTCAGTATAAGATAATTTGTGTATTCTTGGTAATAATAATCTACCCAAGATAGAAATTTAAAAATAAAAGATATTATTATATAGCCCTTTAAATAGAGAGCTAAGTAAATAAGGAAATATATGAAATTATCTGAATGTTGTTGGTGGAGATGGAGCTGATTGTAAGAAGCCGTAAAGAGGTCCTTGCAAAAATATATAGTTAGTTTAGTATTAATGTACATATTAGGTAAATGTCTTAGATACTTGTAAATAGTGTTATTTTAAGGAATAAATGAGGATTAATTATTATTCTTTAAATATAAGAAGCAACTAACATGCCCTGAGAGATGTATGGACACTGCAAACAGTGATACTTGGTACTGTGGTACTTCACATGTCTGCTGAGGATCACCTTACTGCGGAATCGTAACTTGCATACGTCGCACTGGACTTCACCCTTGAATAAAACAAAAACTACTACTAAATAAAGGAATATATAACTTTGCAAACTTGATCAAATTGATTAAACATAACAAGCTCATCCCTTAACAACTCTAATGAAACTAAGATTGAAATAGTTTTACCTCATTGTGTTGTTTATTGTGATTCTGCCATGCGCGTGCGTCAATAAAACCTTTGAAACAGATTTCACATTTGTAGAATGAGTTCAAATAATTGCTGGACTCCTGGCGTCTACGCACCTCTTCATATTGTTCATCCACCTAAAGGAACAATTAATACTAATAATTCAGTCCTTATGATTTACACAATCTTAATAAGAATTATTGCAATGCCTTTGTGCATTTTTTCAAATCTTAAGAAAGCCTAAAATATTGACTTGTTCAAATTAATTTAATCACAATCCGAAATTGTAAAAATAAAATAATAGTTAATATGAAATTCAGGTACATACTGTTAAATTAACAATGGCAACATGCTTATATAACTCCTCATCTGCAACAGTCTTACTAAATGTGGCAGGAACAGATTTTTTATGGTCTCCTTTCTTAACACCATTTTGCTTCCGCACATTCTTTTTCTTTCTTATCCATCTCTGGGCCTTTTGTTGTTTTGCCTGAAAAATTCTATTAATTTCACAACATATAAGAGGTAAAAATGCTTCAAAGAGCCATCTTTACAGACAGGTTTTGCAATATTTATTATCATTGCCTACAGATCAATTGACTATATTGAACATTGTCAAAGAAACACACCTTACGTTTTTTGCCCTTGACTGCAACTTCCTTTTTAACTGGAACTTCAATAACTAAATTTTCCTCATTTTTAATTTTGGGCTCTTCGTCACTTGAACATGTCCAATGAAAGTCTACATCATCATTATTCTCTACACTAAACTTTTCTTCTGCGCAAGGTATATCTTCTAATAATTCATTGTCTTTTAGTTGAATTTCATTTATGCTTAGATTTGAACTTAAAAGTAAGCTTTGCCTATCAATTTTATTTATATGTGTTGATGTTATCTAAAATTTAATTTGTTTTTATTATTCCCAAAAATATCTTTAAAATAACAAATAAACAATATTTTTTTTACAATTCTAACCTTTCCACAGTGCTCTAATATATTTTCCAACACAAATTGGCTGCGAAGACTTTTTTGCCGAAAGCAAAAATATTTTTTTAATAGAGCAGCACACTCAAAACAAGCATATTTTATTAAACCTTTTTGTACCTGGAAATTTTGAAAAATTGTCTAGTTACACTTTATCATATTTTGTTAGTGTAATTCTACCGGTATTAACAGCAGTACAACATGTAAATCAACACCGACTGCAAATCATGCAATGCTTTAAGCCATTCTGGTAGAGATGTTTTACAATATGTTGTAAAAATCAAACATATATGATTTTAATTTATAGGGCAATAATATACCAGGCACTTTAGCACCAGGCATCATTAAAAATTTGATAAAAAGTAAATCAAATTTTATCATAGCTTACACTTGTTCCTGTCAGTAATTCATAACACAATCCTAAACTTTTTGGGTGTAAAACAGAAAATTTTGTATCCATTTTTAAACAAATTCTACAGGCTTTTACGCTTTCCATTCTGTACCACTAAACATATATTTCAAATACTTATAAATAATAACATATGATCACAAATTCCATTGCAATTTATTCATTGTATGATATAGTAATTACGATTATTTAAGACTTTATTTATTTACTATTTTTACAGCGCCGAGATATCAGAAAATTTTGACTTTGAAAATTGACATTCACAGAAAATATTTCAGTATAGGTTTTAAAATAATAATAAAATCAACTACAGATGTAAGGAAAACATAATATTTAATATTAATCTATACAAACTCTTTTTATATTTTATTTTTCTTCTTTGCCGTCTGATCGACGATGTTTTATTTGTCACTTGACGTAATAGATGTAAGATGTTTTAATTTTTTCTTTGTATTATTTTATTTTATAAAACCTAGAATATAGGCTTTAAATGTTGTTTCTTTTGTATTCACAGGTGAGTGAATAATTTGTAAATATATATTTTTTATTAAATGTAAATTTATAGATTTTTCTTTTTTAAATAAATCTTTTATATTCACAGAGAAACGCCGTTGCGCCTTATTTATTCCCAGTACTCGTATAAGCGATCGATACCATTATATATATATATATATATAATACAATTTTTTTTTAAAAGAGCCTCAGGGCTGGTTTGACTAATACAATATACTAAGATTTAGAGAAATCAAGCTCTTTCTGAACTAACTTAACTAAGCCATTAGGAAATCGTTATCTACTTTAGTATTTTTTCTAAAGGTGCGTACAGACTATATAACATAACATGTTATACAACATTGCTATACAACATGTTTCAGATAATGTGGACACTGAATGTTATAAAACATGTTATTGATATGTACCACAATGTTATATTGTTATATTATTGATATGAACCCAGCATCTACGTTTTTTTGTTTTTCTTTTGTTATTTAAAATTACAACACTCGCTGCCGCAGCCAGCAAAACGTCCTCTCATGTCGACATTGTGGATAGCAATGGAGAATAGGGATGTGAAAAAATAATCGATTATTAAAAAATCGATTAAAATCGATTTTTTTACGCGAATTTTATATTTAAAATAATCGATTATTTTTATAATTGAAAATCAATCATAGTCGATCTTCCCTCTGCCACCTCCCGACATTATGTCTGGTCTTTTATAACCCGGACCTCGAACCATTACGGATATTTGATATACATCGATGTTTAGAATGCTATACATTGAATACGATTCTTTGAAGATGTATTGATATACATCATCTTATATACTCGATGCATTGATGTTTTTTTGTAAAACATCGAAAGGATGATAATACCAGTTAATTTTACAAAAACTCAAGTTTGAATGGAACACTATAATTTAAAAGTAAAATAAATTTAATCAGCAGCACAAGATAACATACAATTAAAAAGACAACAAAAATACTGCAATGTGCTACTGAAAAGGCATAACTCAGCATTTATCAAATTTCACCTAAAATCTATCAAAACGAGATTAAGTTAATTTCGATTTTGATTATTCTTAAACGTTAATTTGTGTTTATAATTTCTATTGTTTATTTTTCATTAAAAAAAAAACATGAAAAATAAGATATTTAGGGTGATTATTTTGAAATTAATTAAAAAAATCGATTATTTTTTAAAGAAAAATCGATTACTTATTATTTATTTACAGCCTTATATCAGAAGTACAAAATATATACATTATAACTGTTATTTTTCTTAATCTACGATAACTGATTCTGTGTGCCTACGGGCAAAGGCCTCCCCCATTGTCCTCCATTTTTCCTTATTGTATACCAATCTCGTCCAGGTCTTAGTCTTTCCTGCCATTTCCATGATTTCATCGGCCCACCTTTTAAATTGCCTACCTCTGTTTCTTTTATGGCCTCTTGGTTGCCATATTTATTAATCGATTAATAAAAAATCGATTTTTTATGCAGAATGTCACATCCCTACTGGAGAACGACAAACGACAATGGTTATATAACATTGTTATATTGCATTGTTATTCTAATCTGTACAGTATTGTTTTATGTTATAATATTGAATTACAAGGTTACATAATGTGGACGTGTTATAAAACACAAGTTATATAATATGTTACATGGTCTGTACGCATCCTAAGGATATTAATGGCTCACGGCTGACGTTACGTCACGTCGCTGTCATGTGCAAGGCTGCTTCCGTCGTATGTGACTGACATCACAGTGACATATCCATATATGACAATTGAAACGCGCCATCTTTATTGACGAAAGGAATAAAAACAAATAATAGTTTATATGTACTATGTTTTATAGTATTATTTAATTCTAAGTTACTAGTGCGAAGACTTTCAAATCTTTCTTGGTGTCGTAATCAAAAAAGTAATTCTTAGTGTGCTGTGGTGTTGTACTCGCCATGGCTTCACGAAATTTGGATATTGTGCAACGAAGTAAAATTCTGGTGTATCATGAAGAAGGCTTTAATATAAGGCAAATATCAGAAAAGTTGGGAATAACAGTACGTTATTTAATTACCTCACCGTAATTATGACTTGACGATGTAAACATTCATTCTCTCTACCTTATATAGAAAATACCCTATTCGAAAACCCTTGCATTATGAAACTGTATTGTACAAAGCAACACAGTAGTATTAAATGTACTTTAAAATTGAATAAATGGTTTCATCAGGTAAAATAAATCTTGCAGTCATAATACCCCTTTGCCTTACTAGTAGCGAGTGTGATAATGTTTATTTGGTATTACAGAGAAATACAGTACGACTATGGATTCGACGTTATGAAGAAGAAGGTCACCTACAAGATCGACCCAGAAAGCGTCAACAACCATACATGATAGGAGAAGAGGATACCAGAAATATGTTGGCTATTTATGAAGCTCAACCATTAACACCAACTCGATTTTTCGCTCAGAAGTTTAATTGTTCTCTTCGAACAGTAAGGAGAGCTCTAGAACGGGAAGGTAAAATCTCTTCCAAAGTTATTATGACAGAAACTAATAAAGCAGCAAGGTTGAAGTTTGCTAGAGAATTTAGAGATTATAATTTTTTCAATGCAATATTTGTTGATGAAAAGAGTTTTCTATCAAGTTCACCTGGACGTCGACATCCATTACGAACAGAGAACATCAAATATGAACCCCTCAATGTAAACTCCAAAAATAAATATACTCGTATTGTAGCAAATATGTGTGGGTGGATGAGTACTGCTGGGCCTGGGGAACTTACTGATCTAAATGGCATGTCAGTGAATGGAGAAAGCTATGTAGACCTAATGAGGGATTCTATAATACCAACCATATGTACAGTATATCCAGAGCTTCCAGAAATTATGATATTTCAAGAAAGTAGTCCACTACATACCTCTAATGCTGTTAAAAGTTGGTTTCAAAATCAGTCTAGAGTAAAAGTAAATTTGTGGCCTATAAATTCTCCTGATTTAAATCCTTTTAATTATATATGGGCGACAATGCTTCAGCGATGGGATAATAATAATGAGAGGACAAGAGAAATGCTTGTTACTCACTGCCACAATGTATGGGAGTCAATGAGAGGCACAGATTTATGTGAAGGATTAATACAATCAATGAAAACACGGTGTGATGCTGTAATTGCAGCACATGGGGCAGCTACAACATATTAGAACTTTTGACTGCAGATTTGTCTGCTGATAAGTTACTGATTTTAATGCTGTTCGGAGATGAAACCTTTTGTTAGGTTTTGGTGGTTGTTCTCTTTGTCAGTATAATTCTGAGTTTGACATACTGGACACATTACTTATTGGGTGATGATTTTTGGATCTGCCCATAGTATAACAGGAGAGATAGTAAGACCATTAACCAGTACAAGAAATAAATGTTGTTATTTGTAAACAGGGTTTATTGTTGTTGTATATTGCTTATACAACACAGAAACAGCAAGCATGTCTGTTGCATAGTTTTTTATTAGTGAAAACATAAGATTCACTATGAAATATAAAGAATGCAGCAAATTAAAAAACAGTTTTATTTACATATATTAATGTTTTAATAGGACAAATGAATTGATTAAATCTTTAAGACTGCAGGAAATATTAAAACAGATACAATATGTAAAATAATTGTAAATAAAAAACTTTTAATATAAAATATGTATCTAATATATCTTAATACTGTACAGTGAATAAAAATAATATAATACAATTATTATGTCACTTTTTTTTATACTACTTTAACTAATAGCATTGATCTAATTTTAGATTCTAATTAATTATATAGCAAATTTACCTACCTTAGATCAACTCTCTTACTATTTTTTATTATTACCAGCTGTTCATAGTATTCACTAAAAAATGTTCACGTATATATTTAATATTATTTTTTTGTAAAATTGCTGTTTTAAAAAAGTATTTTCCCATGGTTACATTGTACTCATCTGTCTAGACGAAATATATAAAAGTAAATATTTATAAAAATAAGCGTAAATTATGATGGTTTATGTATAAAAATGAAATTGATTTCATCTTTATTTTAGCGGATTATTATTTTTCGTATAAAAGCGCAATTTAACTATACGACCGTAATATTACTAATAAAAACGCTACCGACCGTTAACAGGACACATTACTCTATAGACTACCTTATGCGGCTACTTTTTATTAGTTCACAATATTATTCGGCATTAGTAATTGATTTGGCTGCGCAAGCGCCTTATTCTGTCGTTCTCTGCGCGCGCGACTGACATACGGCGCAGGCTGCTTAAGGTGTACTGTACGGACGTGTAATTGACAGCTGTTGGACTGAGTGAACGATTTACCACATACGTCGCATTGATAGGGCTTTTCACCGGTGTGCACCTAAAAGGTAAGATTATTTAACTCTATATAATAGGGCTTCAACCAACTTAATATTAGGCGACATTTAAGGTTTAAATAATTCCATGAATATAAACAAAAAAACAACAGGTTTTCCCCAAAATTTACAATTATAAGTATGTACCTTTTTTTTGTTTGTTACGATACTTCAATTCATTTATTAATACAATCTTCTACTAGACTGATCTCCAAATTAATAATTTATTCAATAACCCATTTTGGTAAGTAATATATACCACAGGTCATAAATACATACAGAAAATCATCAGGTACGTCAGGTAGTTCTTTCCAAACTAATAAATATTACTAATTGAAAGTAATTTTTTAATCATATAAATTGTTAATTTATAAATTATATAATGTAATGTAAATTAAACTTATTTTTATATTGTTCCAGTAAGTACCAGAAAATTACCATAAATTAATATAAAGTATTGACTCACCCTATAATGTCTATCTAATACAGTCTTGACTTTAAACCTCATCCCACACACAGTGCAAACATGAGGCCTCTGTTCGGAATGTACAGCCGCGTGAAGCAAGAGATTCCGTCGTATGTGAAAGGCCTTACCACATTGTCCGCATTTAAACGCACGCTCGCCAGAGTGCGTTAACTTGTGGTACGATAGAAGGGCGTTTTTCTGGAAACAAATAATTTCCTACAGTTTTCTAACATTTGACTTTGATTTTTGTCACTTTTTTTTCCCACATCATTCATTAGATAAGCCTTCAGATAGACTAACACACAAACATTTAAGCTTTATCTAAAATATAAAATTCTCGTGTCACAATGTTCGTTCCCATACTCCTTCGAAACGGCTCGACCGATTCTTTAATTTTTTTTATGCATATTCAGTAAGTCGGAGAATCGGCTACTATCTATCTTTCAAACCCCTAAGTGATAAGGGGTGTCCACCCCTAAAATGTATTTTTTATGATACAGCAATACATACAACCCTTAATTTACACCCCTCAACGATTAACCCCTATTTTTATTTATTAATTAAAATCTTATGACTTGAACTCTGACCTTTATATAGAGAAAAATACACAGAAAAACCTAAAAAGTTTTCATTCCTGAAAACCAATCATTCTCAGGGGTAGCATAGCAAAATGTTCAAATCACATTTAGGAGAAACGAAGTTCGCGGGGGCAGCTAGTAATGTATAAAGTATGTATGTCACAAAATTAGACTCTAAGAATAAGTAATAAAATTATTAGATTTAAGTATGTTGTATATTTAAGTTGTCTTACCGTAAATGCTTTACCGCATATTTCACAAACATGTCCCTTTTCTATAGGATACTCAATATCAGGATGTATTTTTCTAAAATGCCAGAAAAACGAGCGCGCATTAGGTATTTGCTGTGGGCACTGTAACGAGAAAAGGTTATTTATAAATTAAAGAAATTATACCTAAATTTTCTATGCAAATAAGAAAATATACAAGAAGCGTATTTCTTGGGGTTTCGCAATGACCAAGCAAAAAGTTCACAAAAGTTATATTTAAAATTTAAATTACTGTAGTAGAAACTGAAGTATATAGAGTTTAAATAATAATTTCAAAATGTAGATGTATTCATGTTGAATATGTTTTTATTTACGAACTGTATTGTGATATAAAAAAAATTTGTGGTAAAGTATCTTTATTATTTGCAACTTGAATAAAGGTTAATTATATTAAGGTAAAGTTTAAAGGACATCATTTGTATTCCTTTGCTGAAACTTGGAAAACTGCCGACGGAAACTTCTATAAGTCTAAAAACATAAATAAATACAAAAGATAATTACAAACTAAAAAAACTTACATGCGGACACTGCATCGGATATTTCCTAGAGTCATTTTTCTTGGATCCGTCGGTACGCGTCCATGGCCGACGATCGTGTGACGTGCGCACATGTGCTCGTAACTCGTCTGCTGTTTTGAAAGAGACGCCACAGTGACGACACCCATTTCTGCAAAGTAATAACCTTTTACAAAAAAATAATTTCCAATTTCTTACCATAGTTTTGATTTCTGAATCATTTTTAAGATTTGATTTTGCCTGTGTGAGTTTTTAGAACCTCAGAGTCATGCTAAAATATGTAGTAAGACCTCTGCAGAAACGAAATCCAAATCGGCTAGCATAATTTTTATACGATTTATGAGATTATATCTCGATAGTTTGACTATCTCCGAATCCATAGATCGGGAGATTTTATTATGCGAGAAGAGGCCCCAAAATACAAAAAAGCGTTGGCCAAATACCTTACTTTTGTGTTTCTATTACAGCATCGGGAATAAAAAATGTCTGTTCTTAGATGTGTCCGGATTTATTAATCCATGGATTGTGTGATATTTATAAGTAACAGATTTAATGAACAGTCCAAAATAAAATTAATATCGAAGTTCTTCTCTTCTCTCTGCAGGTTTAAAGTTTTTAGTTTATATAGGTTTTAAATAAATATTCCAGAGAGTAGACTTACTTATTTTCATTGGTCTCCACATGTTTCCGCGCAGTGACCATGTGTCGGCTGTACGCTTCATTCGATGCGAACTTCACATCGCACAGCGCACAATACGGAGCCTGAGTATTATCTTCTATATCTCTTTTCTCCTGTAATGTTAAACAGTAAAATGGTTAATTGAATTCCAAACAACTCGAGATACAGTTTTAAAATAATTTACATTGTTTTATTATATTTATTATTATTATACCATCAGTGTACAAGTAAAGCGATGCTAACTCCTAAAATTGTTCGTTAAAACCTAACCCAATGTATTTTTATTTTCACATGGGCACTTAACACTTGCTCCTATGCTGACGGAAAACTTCGTAACTAAAAAGTTTTACAAGAGCAGTGTTGGCCTAGTGGCTTCAGCGTGCGACTTTCATACCTGAGGTCGTAGGTTCGATCCCCGGCTGTCCACCAATGGACTTCTATGTGCGCATATAACATTTCCTCGAACGGTGAAGGAAAACATCGTGAGGAAACCGACTTATGTCTTAGACCCAAAAAGTCGTTCAACTGATTTGTGTTGAGCGAAGCAAATTTTTTAATAAAAACCGACCAACTCAATTTCATTTGTCTGACCTAAGCCAAAAGCAAAACTCACATCTTGATCTCGGTGCATAAGGGACTTGTGCTGATGAAGGCCCAACTTCGAAATGAAGGTGAACCCACAAAAACCGCACACCACGTCTGATGGATGCTTTAGACGTACATGTGTCATGTACGACATCCATTGACTGTAAATGTTAGAGAATATGGTCAGTAGTACATATTATTAAGGGATACATAAACAACCAGTGTGATCGCTGTACTATAAATATCGCAAATTACAAGTATTAAATAATTACGGAAATATACTCACGTAAAGACTTCTTCGCAATATTCACAGCTGTATGTAACACCGCGATGCCATAGTATGTGCTGTTTTGCTTGATGCCTGTAATTATATCGATTATGTAAAGCAACTCTGTAAAAAAGCTAAGTTACGATTCCAATTAAATAAAGTCCTAAATATAAGCCATATTAAAATTGTATACTTAATAGGAATGTCCTGATAAACTCAAAAACTACTGAACTGAACAGGGACGGATCTACCTAAGGGCTTTTTGGGCAACAGTCCACCCGTGGATACTTTGGGGCCCTTTGCTCCACTGAAAACAATAGGCGATATTTCAAATTTTAAAAATATCTAAAATTTTAAAAATCCCATCATAAGGCTGGAATCTCTGAGGTTAATGTGCGATGCCGGATGCGCGTCCATCGAACGAAACAGGGAATTCCCCGTCTGTTTTTTCGGTCAGTGTATTTTTTCGCGAGTGAGCCCCACAAATTCACTATCCGCCCATGGAACTGAGTAATTTAGGCTATTTATTTCGAAAATGTTTTAAAAATTAAATGTCCAACAATCGAAGCGAGGACAGGACATATTCATCTAACTTCATATTTTTACACAAGATGGCGCGGGCGCATCGCTCGACTAGAATTGAAGTGGGATGGAAACAAAATGGTCTTATTGTAAGCCTGAACAATAGACTAAACCAATAAGTGCCGAAAGTAGACAAATAACAAACACATACATGGTCAATTATAAAAAAACCCTGTTATTTTATATTGTCGATTGACTTACACAGCAGTAGAGACATAGGGACACTGTTTGCAATGATACTTGGTACCATGTCGTCTAAGGTGTTTGCCCACTATATACTTGTCCTTGAAACGCAACTTGCAAATGTCACACTCCACGAGACCCTGTAAAAATCATAGTTAGCACTATAATATAGCACTTAATGTTTAATTTTTATGTTATAAAACTATCTATACAATAGATCAATGAATAGTTGTAACTGAAGGACAAGTTAGGCATCGCATTTAACTGAAAATTGTGAATATTATTGGTCTTACCTCGACATGATTTTTATTATGATTTTGCCATGTTCGTGAATCCAGGAACCCTTTATAGCATAACTCACATCTGAATGTGGCATTTTGATAGTTCTTTGACTCTCGACGTTTACTGATTTCCTCCATTTGTTCAGCTATCTATCAATAAAAATAATAATGTTTACTAAATAATTTAAGGAATATTCATTAACGAATACAAGATTAAAGCAAATCCCTAAAATCATTGATAAGGAATACATGATAACAAAATTATTACCGTCAAGTTAACCACATTGACATATCTGTGGAAGTCTTCTGGGGTGACAGCATCCTCTGGAAGATTGGTGTTACGTCTTAGAGCGTGCATTGGTCGCCCGCGACGCTTTTTGGGAGTCTCCACTTTCTTTCTTTTACTTTTCTTTGCTTTCTTCAATCTAGCTAGAGGTATCTAAAAAAATTTAAAATGGTAACTGGTGGCAAGTGAATGGTTTTTTTTAATTTTATATAGCTTACCAAAAAACTACATACTTACTCTATTACTATACTCTTAGGTTAAGATTCAGAGTCGAGATTTAGCACATAGTATGACTGCCATAATATGATAAAAAGTTTTTGATTTTAACATTATAGATTTAACTAATGGATGTCATAACCCTAAGTCTTGAGTCTCTAAATCTTACCCTTAGGGCCCAACAACTTTTGGGACAATGTTGATAGTTAAGGTCAATTAAAATATTATTATACACATACATCATCAGTCTTTTCTTCTTTCTCCCTTTTTACAGTTACAGAAACATCAACCATTTCCTTTTTAATTTTGTTCTTGTGATTTTCTTCATCACTTGGCCAATCAAAATCATTGTCATTATATGAATCTTCATTATATTGTTCTAATTTATCCAACTGATTATCTTCAAGCTTCATATAAACATCTTCATTTATAGTAGAATCTGCACTTATGCTAACATACATAGCTTTTTGAATACTTAGATTAGACGCAAGAATAAGGCTGTTTTTATCTACCTGTCTTACATCTTTTTCAGTGATCTGAAAATATAATAAAAATATGTACTTAGTTATTTTTATTAAGCTTAATATTTATAATATACAAACTCCTTCCTTTACCACTCCAAGCTGTAAAATATTAAAGTATGTATAAAAGTTTATAAGTTTATATGCATATGTCCCAAATTTGTACCTTTCCTCTACTTTTAAGTATCCCTTGTAATACTGTTTGACCGCGTAAACTCTTTTGCCTGAATAAGTAGAACTTCCCCATTTGTGCAGCACACACATAGCACACATATTCAGGTAGTCCAAGCGTCTTTACCTAAAAAAAGATATCATGTAAGAAGACAAGCAATTTTATGAAGCAAAATCACCTTCAAAAATTAAACCTAACCATTTTTCAACTCATATCTAGGAACAAAAAAAATTGAAATAACTAGAGGTCTCTCGAGTCAAAAATTAATTTCAATTAGTATAATAAAAAAAATTGCAAAAATATATATATCAATTAAAATAAACACTTACGTCGATTGTTCCAGTCAGTAATTCGTAGTAGCGTTCTAAAGTATTTGAAGACATTTTAAAAAGCTTCACATGCATTTCTAAGCAAACTCGACAAGCTTTTACAGTTGCCATTTTTAACACCATTAGACAAATTAAAAAAAAAAGAGAGTGAAAAACATAAACTAAACTTTATAAGCCTTATAAAGTTTAAATAAAAGCTTAGTTTTAAGACCAAAACTTTAATTTATTGTGAGCTTACAACAAGTGATGATCTTAGGAAATATTTACTGCAGTGAAACTTTGTATTATTCTAATCAATACAATATTACACTTTATACCTAAAATATTTCATTTATGTTTTAACTTAATTAAATAATTTATATATCTTGTTTTTAAATTACGTTGCCTGACATTTTTATTTTTTCTTTTACAAATTAATGCACAATATAGCTTACAGAAGATAAATTGTCATATAACATAGATTTAAAATATGTTTACGAAGAAGTTTTACAGATTAAAATAGATTTATTACTATTGATTTTAGTAATCTGTGATATTTTGGTAATACAGCCAATTATAATAATAGTGACCGGCCGACTTCCCAGTGGCTTTTATACGTTTAAAATAATATAAACCTTCCTCATGCATCCTCATACTTCGTAAAATTTTATTTTCTTATTTAAAAATAGATTTAGTAGATCCAAAGATTACCTTCTACAACCTCACAAACCTTACCTTACCTTTTTATAATATTAGAATAGATAGTGTGCTAGTCGAAGTCACAGAAATCCTTTTGAAATCTAATTCTTATAATAATCGAATTATAATAGTTAAGGAGCTGGCGAGCAAAATATCTAGATGATTAATTGCCCGTGTAGCAGACTTTTTCAATAGCAATAATTATCCTATAAGGAATATTAAGGACCACGTCTGCCATCATGGTAGCGCTGCGTTGTTAATTGACACCCCCTTAAATATGTAAAAAAGAGCGCTTTAAAAGTGTCGACAAAAAAAGAGTGCTATATCATTCTGCCTGCTCGTGTCTGCCTGTTTGACTGTTGTTTATATTGCTTATATAAAATACATAAATGAGGCAGACACCCAGGCCAATGATATTCCGAAAGTAGAATTTCTTGAATGTGTTATTTATTAATTTTTTTTTACTTTTTCATGTTTTTTTCGGATCGGAATTATTATGTCCGCTGGTCAATAAAAATTACAAAACAAAGACAACTAATAGTCATGCTACGAATATTCGCATTAATTAGCCATAATACTTTTCCTCAGATTCGCGGACTTCAACGAACTGTAATGGTTAAAGTCAGTAAGTAATTTCTGCCAATTTTTATTTAGTGGGTTCTTAAATCGAATGGACTCAATTACAGCTACGAGCAAATGATTTAGTAGAGCTTTTTTTTACATTTTTACATACATACATCTGACCTGGATGTCTGCCTTATTTTCTTCGTTATCTAAATGGCATTGACTATTAAGCCTAAAGGCAGACACGAGCAAATGATTTAATATCGTTTTTTTACAGATATATATTTAATATAGAAGCCCCTGTAGCTTAAAACGCAGCAACATACGATCTTAATTCATTAAGAAAATTTTGTCGTATTGGCTCTTACTTCAAGAGTTTGAGAAAGTTACTATATAACATTTATTGTAATTAAGTATGTCAAACCCCAATATATTTTTGAGTCAGACTTAAAGCCAAGTGTCGTTAGGCGTCTCTGAATAAACACCCTTAAAGTACGGTTCAAAAATTTCACTGGTTCATAATATGTTACTGTTAATTGAAAAAATCTTTAAAATATAAAAACTCCGTCAATCCTTAATATAATTCAATCACACAAAAATCTTTCAAAAATTTACACAAAAGTATAACAATTCTTTATTAAATTATTTTGCTATAAGGTTGAGACATAAAATATTGTACTTACCATTTTATGCAAAATATAAAATGAAGGGGTCACAATAAAACAACTAAAACTATATATAGATAATTTATTACAATAAATTATTCATAATTTAAGATGCGCTTACCACTAATATTAACTACATATTTTACAAATAAAAGTATTTTATTCTGAGTTTCGTTTCGGCAGTTTTACGCTTATATAAATTGTACCATACCTTATCGTCACTATAGATGTTTTAGCATGTAACAAGTGTCTGAATTTGAGACCGAAGGATTACAATACAAGAGTAAACAGTTACATTTTTATTCCTTGCAAAATATACCTTAACCCATAGGTAATAAAGTTGTTATTACAGTTGATGAGAATTCAAGAGTTTAATATGTATGCCTTGTCCTAGTAAGTATTCGGGGCGGTTGCTCTCCATGCACTTTCCTAATGTGGCTCTTGCAGCTGTTGGATTGAGTGAACGCGTGACCACAGATCTCGCACCGGTAGGGTTTTTCGCCAGTGTGCGTCTAGAAAATATATTTAATACTAGATGACCCGGTAAAACTTCGTATCACCTACATATATTTGTGTCAGAGCTTAATACGATTTTTATTAAACTGACCAACGAGATCGGACCTCGTAATACGGCTATGAAACACTAATTTTTGAAGGCATCTATAAATATATTGCCAAATTATAATTATATATTGAAAAAGGTTTTGAATTATTTGATTTAAAAAATTTGACTTATTTGAGGGTAATCAAAAAAATGCTACGTATTTTTCTATGTTTTACCTACAAAAAGGTACATCTAAATATTTACTTACTCAAGTGACCTAATACAAAAATAACAAAAATTTCAATATCACGAACAATATATCGAATTAACTTTTATAACTTTATTATATTCTTTAGCTGGCATCACTGCCTTCTAATTCCAGGTTTAGGAAACCTTTTAACAAAAATAAAATGTTATCTTTACATGTGCGTTTTTTACTGTTTGTGATGACAAGGGACATAATTATCAGTCGCCGTAAAACCACTTTTAATGTGGAGCACTGCACTTAATAAAATGGATACATTAACTGACAATAAAGTGTATGTATAGACTCGTATTGTGATAAATGTGCCCGGCCAAAAAGGTTTGCCGTCTCTGACATGTCAAAAATGATAGCTGTCAGAATTCTACGGAATTAAAAATAAGAGTATTCATTTTTTTTATGAGTCACGATTGTTACCATAAAATGTGCCTTCAATGTAGCCTTCTTCTTAAAAGCTCTATGGCAAAGAGAACATTGGTGCGGTCGCAAGTCCGAGTGCACAGTGTTCTCGTGACTCGCGCGACATCCCGCACTGTTGAATCCGCGACCGCATTGACTGCATTTGAACGGCTTTTCTTTCAAATGACTCAACATGTGTGCTTCGAGGCTGTATTTAGTCTGTGAATTGATAAGACATTTTTCGCTTTATTCGTAAAACCAAATTTGTCTAATTGTAAAATTTTAATTAAAGTAATCTTTCGTCTTTTTCTGTCAAACTATATTTACGCTGTAATGAAAATACAGATTATTTTGATGAATAAGGGGATTAATGTTTAACTGTATTGATACATCGATTATCTGGATTATTACAATAAAAAATTAGGAGACATATAGATTTTTATTGATTTAAATGATATTTCACCTACCACCTGAATAGAACCAACTAAAAAGGATATATTATTTAACCAAATCGATTAGTCGAACATAGTAGTGAAAAACATATCTTCAATAAAAACAGTCAAGTCTATTACGTTCATATATTTTTTAACGGACTTAAAATATGATGCGGCGTCTCTTGCTCCAGGTCTTCTTAAACTCAGTTTCCACTATTATTGAGTTTAAGATGGCTTTATGAAATAAGGCCTTGATAACTGTTTCTGTGTCTATGCTTCAAGCATACTCAAGGGCGGATCTGGAATAAGCTTTAGGTTTTCCTACGAAATCTGCAAAGCTATTTTTTTAATATTAATTTTAAAAAATGTGATTAAGCGAGACCCTTCTAGATCTGCCCCAAAGTAGTTTGCGGAACGAGCAGTCTTGGGTTCGATTCTCGCCTATTACGAGATTCAAATAAAGGTAAAATACCTGTAGCCGCGACCCGCAAACGTGACACACATGTGGTTTCTCCTTGACGTATTCGTCGTGTGGATGCGCTGTGCGGAAATGCGCCGACAAACTGCGGGCACTTGCTATCATCTCGGAACACTATTTACAAAAATATATAAATAAATTGAAAATTCAATTTTTTCGCACGGGTGGTCATTTATTTTTTTTTATTTTTTTTTTATTGATATGTTCTTTCTTTAAAATTGTGGAACATTTTTTTGTTCTATCGCCAATACGCATTTTTTTACACCTTGGGTAACGTTATTGTAGTTTTAGTAGTAATTAAAATGACCTATATTTATCAGTGATAATGTAGCATTCAAATGGTGAATTTTGAATGCTACATTGTCACTGATGAATTTACTTTTTGAGCCAATTCGTTACAAACATACTTACATACAAATGTTTCCTCTTTATAATATTAGTATAGATGAGGCAATCTACCCACCGACATAAGAAAATAGAGCTAAACTTGAAGGAATAATACAGAATGTGAAAAACCCTTAGAAAAAGTTGTGTTTAATACATTTCAAACATATTTACCAGAGGACACTTATTAGGCCAAACCGTAGGCCCGTTATCAGGTTCATGGTCGTCAGTCTTCAATCGGGGGTAACGGGCAGGCGCGGGTGGCGCACTCGGCCGATAGCCGCCGGCGTACCGCGATTGATGAATATGGGCGTGTTGGCGACGCTCTTCCTTACTAGCAAATGTCTCGCCACATTCCCGACAACCTATACTGGGGAGTTACCGAGACTGTCAATGTATGTAACTGTTTAAGACTTAATATCAAAATTAAAACAATTAAGTCAACGTCTAACGTCTAAACTCTAACGACCTTTAAGTCTTCTAGATAGACACCTCTTAACCATATCCTTTAAAGGGCCGGCAACGCACTCACTAGAATGGGTGCCCATGGGCTGCGATGACTGCCCTTTTTGGGCGTACCTTTGTAATTATAATATTTTTATTTTATTTTGTAAATATATTATTTTTATGTTTTTTAGAATTTAGCACTGTATTCATGACTTTTAAGATTAGCTTTTTTTTTGTTTTGTAATTGTGTAACTCGACATTATCTATATTTTTTTTAATTAAGTTATTTTTTTGCTTTTTACCCTTAGTATTTCTTTTTACTTATTCCTAGGGTTGACTGGAAGAGATCTCTTGTTACAGATAAGGCCGCCTGTTTATGTTATCTGAATGTATATGTACCAAATATGTAATAAAACAAAGTGCTAATAAATAATATTTGAAAGGGTTTGGTTTTATACTTAATCGTATCTACCCAAAACGAAAAAAATATATTAAACCAAATTTATCTATAGATTCAGATAACTTAATTAACGAGATGATAGCATCTCACAATCTAATAACGAAAATTAAAATAATCTTTCAAGATCAAAATACACCTAGACTTATTAAAACGGGAATCGAATACAGACAACTAAAATACTATCTAGTGCGATGGCAATGAATTGGCAATTATCATAAATTATTGAATTAAAAATTAAATATATTTCTATACATACATGGTCTGTGCAGTTTCTTCGTGTTTTCTCGCAGTGAGGAAATGCTTCTTGAACGCCTCCGTATTCGCGAACTTCATATTACATTCGGCACAGTGGGGCGCATCTGGATTCTCATCTATTTCTGTTTTTTCCTATTAAGTTTGTTATGTTGTTCAGTCACCATTGTTGAATATTTACTTTTATGCGTGTGTTATGCATAAACACGACTAATTTATTAAAGTATCTTATTTTCGTTATTCTATTTATAAATAACTGAATTGCTTTTCCTTAAAAAACGACCTTGAAATATTTGTGAAAGTCCAGGGAAGGTTACATCGGTGGGACACATACATAATAAAGTCGAGAAAAACACTGAAAATGTCAATTGAATTTTCCAATAAAAGCTGTTACTGGCTGGGAAATATTTGATGCATTTTGCCTTTTTAGAAATAAGAAAGACCAACGCTGAAACTTTGCCAGATGGATGCCACTAATACTTACCATTTCAATGAACTTTTAAAATCATTTCGATTTTGGCTAGGCTACTATTACTCCTCATTCACGATATTGTAGCCACACATGATCAACATTTTAGCTTAAAACCGTGAACATTATGCCGAGAGTGCTTCATTGCCATGTTTTAATGGTAACCCTGATAAACAAATGTAAAACTATTTGGTCGCAATACCTTTTCAGGAATACTTACATCATGACTCGCATGGTGATAACTTTTATGTTGCATCAGACCAAGTTGGGACACAAAAGTGGAAGCGCAGAAACCACACACCCAGTCCGAACGATGTTTTAAACGCACGTGCGTTAGATATGCGTTACGGTTACTGTAAAATTAATATTATTTTATAAAACTTAATATTTTTATTAATTTTACAAGCGAATTCTGCCCGACCATATTTGTGATAGTCGGAAGACATTACGTTTGGATATTATAGGTTATCTAGCCCAGGGTAACCCAACCTTTTTTGTGCCATGAATCATTGAATGGAACATTCATAATTTTTAATATTAACGATGAAATTGGCCCCCGTGGGACGTGGGCCCCACGTTGAGAAACACTGATCTAGCCATTACCATTATTTAAGTGAAATCTGTGAAGAAAAAGCGCAGACAAAGTGAATTACAATCGTTTAGGTCCGAGCTTCATATTTAAGTATCTGTTTCGTAATCGTTAGTTTTTGATAATAGGCAAGTAGGTAGGTTTGTGTCTGATACATGCCATCGACTTTTTTCTGAAATGCTGGTTTCCTCAGTTTAATAATGCACGGAGTCCGCCGGAAACGTTAAAGCTACTTGGCCACCACTGCTCTAGCTTGCTTGCTTCAGCACCACGCATTTTATATCAAAACAAATATTCATTTTCGCATTTATAATATGTATTACCACATAACTTACCTAAACTTTTCTCCACAATGGTCGCAAATGTATGTATGACCTCTATGCCAAAGGATGTGCAATTTGGCGTGATTTCTGGATAGATAAAGTATATATTTAAGTAATAGTAAATAATGGTGTTCATATTATAATTTATTTTTGAAACTGTATTTTGTATTTTTCCGAAGTAGCATCTTAGCAAAATTTAATAACAACAGTGATAAAATTAAACATATATTACTTGTGAATTATACAGCAAATCCTTCTTTAGGAATTAGTCAAAACCGTAGAAAAATCCGTTCGATAGTTTATGAGTTCATCGTATTTATATAGATAGACACAGCCAATGGGACTTCATTATATAAAATAAAAAATCAGTGGCACTACAACCTCTTTAGGTCTTGGCGTTAGATTTATGAATCTGTTTCATGATCATTTGTAAATCTAATAGGCAAGTAGGTGATCAGCCTCCAGTGCCTGACACACGCCGTCGACTTTTTGGGTCTAAGACATGTCGGTTTCCTCACGATGTTTTCCTTCAGCGTTCAAGCAAATGTTAAATGCGCACATAGAAAGAAAGTCCATTGGTGCACAGCCGGATCGAACCTACGACCTCAGGTATGAGAGTCGCATGCTGAAGCCACTAGGCCAACACAGCTCCATTCTTCTCCAGGCTTCATTATATAATATGTAAAAATTGGTTGTATTTTTACAGCACTTCCCACTAAATTATATAAGTGTTACTCACTTGCCGAGTGTTACGTAGGGGCAATTTCTGCAGCGGTACTTTGTGCTGTGGAACTGAATGTGTACCTGCAAACTGTGCTTTGTCCGGAAACGCATTTTGCATATATCACACTGCACTTTGCCCTAGAACAATAAAGATAACATTTCTCTTCGATTGCGGTTTTTTTTTTTTTTTTTGTAAACTTTTTACTTATACTACAAAATTTCATTAATTTAAACCACAGTGTTAAAAAAAATATTTTGAGAATAGAAGTTATGAATAAAACAGTATACCTCTTGATGTTGTTTATTGTGTGTTTCCCAGGCTTTTGTATGTATGAATCCTTTATAACAAATGTCACACTTGTAAAATGAGTTTCTATAGTTCTTAGACTCTTTACGCCTTCTCACCTCTTCAAATTGCTCTTCTGTCTAAAAATAGGCATTTTGTAATAGGAAAAGTATTTGATACAACAAGCATGTTGTTACTTTGTCTTGAACAGTACATACATTAAAAAAATAAGTTGTTTATATATAATGTTTATAAGTTAAACAATATTTTAATAAATCATTGACCTAAAATTGATTATTAAAACTAACACTTTATTCCTTGGAACCAAAATCAATATAAAAGATGAAATGAAAAAGTTACCGTTAAATGGATAGTTGCAAAATGTTTAGCAAAACTTTCACTATCAATACAATCAACTGCAGCAGGTGTTCTTTTCTTAACCAGATTACTTTTCTTCTCTTTTCTTTTGTTTATTTTCTTTTTAACCTTCAGTTTTTGTATCTTAAACAAATTAAATATACATTATTAAATGTTAAAAATTTAAACAACAACTTCATCCATTATTATCAGTAGAAAAGTAACTTTTTTTATATATTGAAGCAGTAAATGGAATCTAATGATACTGACTTATTGCAAACAACAAAAAAAAAATATAATGATTATACTATGATATTTGTTACATAAGCAAGCTTAACATACTTTATTCTTTTTTTGTGTCTTATCCTTTAATGCTATTGGATCTTGCTGCTTTTTTTCATCATCAACAGGAATCTCTATTTCAGTCTTAAATTTTAGCAATTCTTCATCACTGGGCCAATCAAAGTCCTGCTCATCTATTAATACATTATTTTCAATTTTATCATCTGTATAGGTTGAGTTTCCATCACTATACTTTAATTGAAGATCACTTTTACTTAGATTTGAACCTAACAATAGAGATTTTCTATCTATCTGAATAATATCATCATCTGTAATCTAAAGTACATTTCAGTTTAATAAATGAATATAACTGTAAATAATAAAAAAAACCAAGTGATGTATATTAATAAAGGTACATTTACTATAAAAGTAAAAAAAATACATTTAAGCTATCAAGGGGCTATATGAATACATATATTATTAAGTAAAAAAAAATTATTGAATGTTTTGAGAATTTTTTGGGGTCTTTTTGTATTTATAATCTTTTAAAAGTAACACTTACCTCACCGCAATTTCTAAGAATATTTTCCAATATGAATTGAGTCTGCAGTCCCCTTTGTTTAAATATATAAAACTTTTTCAGTAAAGCTGCACACTCAAAGCAAGCATATTTTGATAATTCAGGCTTCTTGACCTAGGTTAAAGCAAAGGCTAAATATAATTCTAATAATTCAGATATATTAATATTATTATAATAATTCAGAAATATAATTAGTATGTTAGAACAATTTTCAAACTAAGACCCACTATAGCAGCTTGATCTGAAATTTGTAGACTTGTCATTAATACTTACACTGCTTCCAGTTAATATTTCATAGAAATGCTCTAGAGAGTTAGATTCCATAACAAAAACTTTAACATTGATTTGTAGGCAAATTCTGCAATATTTAATGGTTGCCATGGTCCAAAAAATATCCTCATTATCTAATAATGTATACAATATACCTTACAAAATCTCAAATATAATTTCAAGCGATTAATATAATATTTAAATAAAATAACAAATAATTCCGTTTATTCCACTGTGCGGTGTGTACATAATATTATATTTCCAAATTCCAAAGTTGACATTAAATTATGACAAATGTCGTCTTACGTCTATTTGATAGCTCATAGCTTTATCAGATAAACTATTGCAGCATAACATCAGCATAATAAATTAATGACTGTAGTCAGTGCCCAATATTCAGTCTGTATAGTAGACGACAATTATTATAATTTTTGTAGTGACAGCTGACAAAGACAACTCATGTGCGGCAAAGCATCGCTTCTTTCAATTTTATATTGTTTGTTTTTATTTTTTTTTATTTATGCTAAGGTAATACTGCAGTTTTCGTTTCTTTATAACAAGTTTCAATGCAATAATAATAATTTAACTTAAAATGACAACTGCAAAAGTTTGTAGAGTTTGTTTACAAATGGGTGTTAATTTGTTAAAGCTGCACTCCGGGTCTTTAGATCATTTTTATGAAATTATAACTGGAATCTGTGTAAGTAATACACACTATTTCGTCCTGAATTGAAGATAAACAAAAACATGCAAAAAATTTACCTTATTTCACTTTTAACAGATGAATTTTAAACAGTTCTTTCTTTCATGATCTTAAAAACCTAGAATGTTTTATTACGATATAAAAAAATATTTTTCAGGTAGAACAGCTAAAGTTGCCAATGTATGCGTGCCAAGAGTGTGCTTTGTTATTGAAGAAGTATTATTACTTTAGGCAAAAATGTATGAGAGCCCTTATGGTTTTAAAAAGTATTCTTCATTACCAAGAAGAGGTAAATCTTAAGTTCACTTAAGTGGTATTTATTATGTTTAAAATATTGTGTTTCATATTATAAGAAGAACTTCTTAAACTGGTTATACTTATTAAAACTGCTAATACATTTACTTGAATATTTTTTTAGATAACTGAAAAAGATATATTAAAAATTGATAGAGAAGCCATACTCTTAAATACCACCCTGACACTTTCTAAAAATGTTTGCGACATAGATATTGATCCTACTAAGAATAACATTCAAAATGATGAGGTGGAAATAAAAACATTTCCTAATGTTCCTTTGGATAATTTGTTCTTCGATATGGATCCATTTGATACTGGACCAGATAAAGATTGGCCAAGCGATGATGATTTTATTGGTACAAAAGATGATGATTCTGAAGATGATTTAATTGCCTTAAGCAAGCTTGGTGTTGTTAAAGTGGTATGTAGGTACATATTTTTTGTACTTTGATAAAAAATTATTATATATTCATATGTTATTATAAAAATCCTTTATTGTTGTTAACAAGTTTTACACTGAGTAGTTTCGTGTGCCTAAAATTAATTTTTACTAACTTAACTAATAACAGCACATAATATTATTTTTTATTTTATATTAAGCTAAGTAATCACCACAACTAATAATATAATTGCATATATATATAATATATTGCATAATATAATTTATACTTTTAAGGAATCAAAATCAACTGAAAAGCAGAAAACTCCTACGAGAAGACCTAGAAAAACTTTAAAAAAAGAAAAGCCAATAGTCTCAATATCAAAACAGCATAAAATAAGAATTAGAAAGGGAAAAGGTTTTATAACTCCACAGGATATCAATTTGCCTAAAGACATTGATTTAAAGTTTGATGATAATTTTACAGTTGCGGAGACAACAGTAAGTTAGCTTTCACTTTGTGTAGAATAAATTCATTGTATATAAAACCCACGAGCAGCATAAGAGTGGCACACTCGAGCTCACCTAGTGGCTACTCTCATCCCTAAAGTGAAAGGTTATGTTCCAACGGACTTTTCAAGTGCATATGGACCACTTGCTCATACAATGAAGGAAAACATTGGGAGGAAATCTAGCATTCCAAAGACCCACAAAATTTGATAGTGTGACTGGCACAAACGTTTGTTCTACCTACTTCCCTATTAGAAAAAATAAATGATCATGAAACTGATACAGAAATCTGAGGCCCTGACCTAAAAGGATATAGCTATACTTTTTTTTTGGTTTACATAAAAGTACATGTATCTTATGTTCCTTACATAAGATACATGTATCACTTATTCCACGTCATTAAATTTGAATTTGTAGGCATCCCTACTCATCGGCAAATATTAACCTTGCTTATTGATATCACATACATATAAATTGTTAGAAGCACAGGAATTTTATCAGTGATAATTAATAAATCTTTTAAGAATACTTCTCTATTATATAATATGTATGAAATTCTTCTAAATATCTAAGAGTTTTCATTCAGAAAGAAGAGCAAATTGAGGAAATAAAAAAGCGTCAAGATTCAGAACGTTTCCGCAAAGCTGAGTTCAAGTGTGAAATGTGTTACAAATGCTTCAGTAATGATAAACTCTGGCAAATGCACAAGGAACGACACGATCTTGTAAGTTTATAGAAGTTTGACAAAAATGATTATTTAATTTTAAAAAAGGGTGCGTGTACTTACGTACTCGCGTAAGAAGATATACTTCTTTGGCATTATTAAAATTAGTTTTTGATTGCATGCAAATAATTAATTACATTTAAATAATCAAAGACTGGAAAAGGAGTCATTATAGTCAATAAAGTTCAGTTTACATTTGAAAAATTAAATAAATAAATATTTAAATTATTATTCTCTTACATTAAGTGTAACATAAATTCTATTATTATTCGAATGTTGTTTTTAAATTATGTCCAATGCCGAAGCATCTTCCGTGGGCAACTTCATTCTGTTAATTTTGTGTCACGGTGCGCGCGCATCGTAAAATTTCACTCTCATCAATTTTTCATAACGCGCCTAAAGAAGTATAACTTCAAAAATATTAAGAACCAAATAATTTCATAACCGGTTAGGGAAGTAATTTTGAGAAATACAAAAATTATAGCTTAGATTTATGATTAAAATTCGGTGTCATTCTCATGCGACATTTTTTACATACAAGGTTTCATCTTTCAGTCAGCAGGTGAGGCGGAGTGCGAGATTTGCAAACTGCGATTCAGTCGAGCGGCTCTCAAACGGCATATGTATTCCGTTCATAGCAAGAAATATCTTTGCAAACAGTGCCCTTTTATTGCCTCTACATTGTGAGTAATATAAAAAATATATTTCGTATTTATCTATCAAGTTTAAAAAAGGATCGGGCCATGCGGCCATATTTTAAACTAACGACCCGCCCGCTAGCGAGTTCGCTACTATAATGACTTTGTTTTGAACTGAAATTTGAATGAATACCAAATGTTATACATGACTGGATAAATTACAGCTTAAGTCTGGCTACTTTATCAAAAATACTTTGTTACTTCTGTTGAGGTAAATAAAATACTTTAGTTATTCACATACATGTATTTATAAAATTTATATAGAATATTGCCCTTTTGGTGCTAGGTGCAATTAACAAAAAACTATGGTAATGTATAAAAAGATAGCGTTTTCATTAATAGCAGTATAGAAGAACAAAAAAAATCCAAGTTGTATCAGCAATTAGCTGGGAAAGTGATACTCCAATTTTTAAATCGCTTTGTAAAAAATATAAGAAACCCCCCCCCCCCCCTCCTTAAATTCCGTATCCTCTGTCGTATTACCGCCAATCAATTCGGTGATAGGGAACAGCATTAATGTTGTGGGGCACTTCCGTCGAAAAGTGGTTTCGATTGATTTTGATATTGTCAAGCCCTGTAGGTCTGATATTATTTTACGTATTCATGGTAATTGACTAATGTCAATGTAATTTTTTGCATATTGTAATTGCATTGCAATAGCATTTATGAAACAATTTCTCTTTTTAGCAATCGCGCTAAGCAGCATATGTTACAACACAAGGGTGTGAAGTACAAGTGTCCGCACTGTGATGAAGTTACTAAGTATGTATATTATGTTTTTAGTAACTCAAAAAGGATCCAGTTGTTTTAATATTCTCTGTAACTTACTACTATTGTTATAGAATCTTTATTTCTGATACAATTAAAAAAAATACAAAGCACATGCACAAAAAAGTAAACAATATAAAAGAATACAAAAAAACAATAACAATGAATAATAAATCGAAGTAATTTAACAAATAACACACTGCTTTGTGTTGTTTTTGTAAAATAAAACAAAATTAGCATAGCATGTTACTATATTTTATTTTCTACGCAATTAAGTTATTACCCTAATACAATAACCAAAAATCTTATAATTAACTTAAATAAGTAAGGGTCCGGAGGATTTTTGATTTATCCTACTGATGGTAAAAATTACTACATTATTTATTACCCTATAATTCGACACCTAATTTGAGGGTATTTTTCAAAGCTATAAAGTACCCATCACAAAGTTATAAAAAAATCCTTAATTTCATATAACATAAGGAACAATTTATAATTCAAACGTGTCCAATATACGGCAATCACCGTCCGTGTCTTCGTTTTCCACAGTCCACTACACTCAACCTATTATAACATAAATCTGTATTTTGCTGTTACACATGCACGTCAAACGTCTTTTCAAGGCGCTGTGTTGGTGTACCAACAGTTACTATATATTAATTAAATAATAAAACTAAATCTTTCCAGAATGTTTTACGATTATGTAATTTGATGAATTTTGTACGTAATTACCAATAGTACTGCACTGCGTTATTTATATTTTGACATATTTACGATTATAGATCACAGACAATTTACATTACGATATTTGAAAATGCAAAGATTATTAAATTAAAATTTCGTCTTAATGTATTTCGGTGTTTTTAAGTTTAACCTTTAGTTGTGCTTATAACATGTCTTTAATATCAATATAATGAATTATTTACTTAATACCCAAATAAATTTAGCCCCTATTGTTCTTTTGCAGTAATTTAAACGCAATTCTTGGTCACGTACGCAAACGTCACGCGTCGGATATTCTGTGCCGTTTTTGCGGACTGCCTTTTGTCTCACGGATGGGACTCATTCGGCATAAGGCGTTGATGCACAGAGACCGAGATGTATGTTTGTTAATTCTTCTCACACTATCACAAAACAAAAAGAAATTTGTCTACTTAATAATGGGTTAATAAATTAATTCCTTTTGTTTCATATATTTAAATGTAATTGCGATTGTTCTTAACTTAAGGCCACATTTACTTAGGAATTTTATTTGGAGCTAAGTCTAAGTAGAACGTTTTCAATACTTTTAACTCGTAAATAAAATTTGGAAAGAAGCCAAATACACACTAATTATTTGTTTAAAATGTGGAAAAGATTGAATACTTATTGAGAAATGGAAATGAATTTTTCGCTGCATGTTTTTTTATATAATTGTATGAATTGCCGTCTGCGTCGGTACTCCGTAACTTCCAATTGTGACAGCAATACCGATTTTAAAGTTTTCGTATTAAATTTCGATGAAATTCTCACAATATTCTTAAATGTGTCGCTATCTTAGGATAGGTAAAAAAATCAACATTAAAGTCGTGGTCGCAATCGCTATCGCTATTGGGGGTTACAGAGTGTTTCGACGAAAACCAAAACCACAAATTTAGCAAGTTGTAACTATTGATATGATAAATAAAATTTATAGGAGATAACAGAGATAGAGGATAATCCGGAAGCCCCGCACTGTAGCGAGTGTGATATGAAGTTCGCGAATGAGGAGGCGTTCAAAAGGCATCACCTCACGGCCAGAAAACATAAGGATGCGACGAAAAATACGTGCGTACATCTATATATATATATATACTTGTTTATGTTAGTATGTCTCGGTAAAACTCGACAATCCCTGGACCCATCTTCTCCGGTTAAATATTTGTGGAAGTTCAGGGAATGTGTAAAGTGTAAGAAAGATGATATATAATAAAAATAAAACGATTACATAATTTAATTTTCCAATACAATTCGTTTCTAGCTTCGAAACATTTGATTGATGCCTTATGTTTTTTTGGAAAAGGTTTCACCGTATTTTAAAGATATATTATGTAGGTGATACGAAGTTTACCAGGTCATCTTGTTTAATATATGTGTGTGAATTGTTCCGTATAAACGAAACATATTTCTTCGTATCGATTCGATTGAATATCTTCATATAATTTTCTAGATACCTTCAAGTTATATTATGATGTTTTACTTTGCAATTTATTCTAACACATGTTTATTAATGGAATGGAACTGGAAATAGATCCATGGAATTCTACTGAATCCTACATATCTTTTATACAATTATTTATTCAGTATAAAGGGAGGCAATGAAATTTCATTTTCCGTTTTAATTATAGAAAAAAATCTGAAATATATTTATTACCGAAGCATAGAGCCCAGATACTCCTTAGAGCCCCTAGGAAAATTGTCCGTGAAGGGATAAATAATATTAATATATTGTATAATATATTAATACTTAAAATTATTTATAATAATAAAGTAACTTAAAACTTTTATAGGATTGGATGTCGCGAATGTGGAGAGACGTTCGCGAATAAGAAGGATCGTCGTGAACACAGTTCTATTTACCACAAACGAACACATGTGTCTAAACCCGCACCTGCCGAATGGCCTGACAAATGTCCTCTTGTATGTATATGATTCATGAATTATGTAAGAATATATATGGTTCGGGAAAATGGAGAAAAAATTTTTTTCTAAAGATATGTTGTTATATGGAAATACTATTTTGGTCTTAATCACTGATATTTTCAAATTTATGACAAGAATTTTATATCAATGAAATTGAAAAATCTTATATTTGAAGCTCTGAAAATCAGCATCAATAGGTACATTATATATTTAAATAGGGAATTAAATTAATAAACTATTTAATCACAGTAAAATTCTGTTGACTAAAACATAAAGATAAATGTTGTCTAGAAAAATTTAGCCAACTTTAAATATCTGTTAACATTATTTGAATATATATATCTATATTAAACACACCTTAAAAAATACCCTTATTTCAAAAACTACTAAACCGATATTTATGAAACTTGTACTCATTCCCAACTTGGAAATTAACTAATTTAATAAAAGAGAACATTTCCATATGACTATTCTAATGCTATTACTAATATGCCAACAATGCTACATAAATATAGCTCAAACGATAATTTTTTGAAGTTGGTTGAAATGGTACAAGTAAATATAGAATATATTAAAATATTTTTAGTGTTCGGAAGTGATAACTAGTGCGCGCTCGTTGTGGGCCCACTTTCGCATGAACCATCCCTACGAGGAGTACCCGCGGGAGAGACCTTTTATCTGTGACGTCTGTGGAATGCGAATGCGGGTAATGTGTTCGTCTTATAAATATATATTTTTACTTAGGGAGCGTTCAAGTATTACGTCACGCAATTTTTGGAGATTATTGACCCTCCCCGTGTAACGCGCCGTAACGTTTTCCTGTACCCATGTATAGTAAAATGATAATCTATGACCTACCTAGTACCTAGTAAACCTAAAAGTTACCATTATGTGGTGCGAAAATAATATTAACAATAACGCGTAATTCAATCCCCGTCCCGCATCGTATTACCCCCCTCAATATTCGTTACACAATACTTGAACGCTCCCGAATGAAAAAATTTAAATTTTGAAAAAGGTGCAGTTTTGTGGCGTACTTAACACTTAATTGAAATGCAATCAATCATCTTATTAAAATTAATAAATTAAATTATTATCTTGTTAAATTAAATTGTTGTTCTGCGCTATGCTTATACCACATTTACACTCAGCCCTTGTTAATTATTATCGTTGCTGGAAATATTGCCAGTGTTCACACTCAGCTCTGACTATCAACGCCAGTGACCTCATACTTGTGCTACTTGTACCTGCCCGACATGGCTGAGTGATTTGCCCATATAATTATTAGACACAGATATATTTTTTACATATTTAATAATAGGTCTTTTAACCCATTGGACATTGGAGATTCTATGGGATTTACAGATTATATTATCTATGCCTATATTGGCCTGCAATACAAAACTCAAAATATTTTTTATTTGAGAGTGTGAATTTGAGTGAGTTAAATTCGGCCATTTATTTTAGCTAGTTTAACGAGTTTCGAGTGCCGAGACATTTGTTATTGTGTATGAACATTTCAGTACAAAAAAGGCCTAGAAGCCCACATGTACACCCACTTAAAGGAAAAGCCCTTCAAATGCCTCCGATGCGGTAAGGGATTCAACAGTGCGGGAAATCTTGCAACGCATCATGGGTCCGTGCATTCCGATCTACGTCCGTATGTGTGTACTGTTTGCAACCGGGCATTTAAGAAGAAGAATACCTTGAGGTGTCACTTTATGGTGAGTTATATTTAAAAGTGGCTTTACCACTTCGGGCAGTGCTGGCCAGGGGTTTCAGGGTGCGAATCTCATCCCTGAGGTTGTTAGTTCTATATTCTTGACTAATACTTTTTGTACCACATTTAATACTCGCTCTTACGCTGAAAGGGAAAAATCGTGAGGAAATCGTTATGCCTTAGACGGAAATGTCGACAGCGTGTATTACGACACAGAAGCCTGATTACCTACTTGCCTATAAAGAAAAGTAACCACGAAATATATAGAAATCTTAGGCTTAGACCTAAAAGGTTGTAACACCACTGTTTTTGTTGCCACTTGTTAACATTTGTAGCAAGAAAGTCCGTACATTATTGTCTGTAACTCAATATTTAATAGTTTGAAAGTGTATTTTCACACCCGCGATTTATCTCAAATGTAGATTTTTTTCAAATTTATGACAAACAATAAAAAAAGTTTTTCAAAAAATTTTAGTATTTTCAGAAATAGTTGTGCAGCATTGAATTGTATTACTAAGGCACAAACAGTCAATAATATATCTATAATATTCGAGAATAACGTAAATATTAAATATATTTTCTAGACGCACACTGGCGAAAAACCCTACCGGTGCGAGATCTGTGGTCACGCGTTCACTCAATCCAACAGCTGCAAGAGCCACATTAGGAAAGTGCATGGAGAGCAACCGCCCAAGATTGTCTCTCGCAATAACTACTCAAACTAAAAGATCCTATGCTAGTGTAATAAACCTACCTAGAATGAAAATTAAGCAAAGATAAACTAAATATGCCAGAACTGTCAAAGTGACAGTTGATGCTCTGTGGATGACAATATTGTTCCATATTCAAAATGTAAAAGCAAAAGCGAAATTGTGGGTTTGATTGTGATTGGGCAACGTAAAACGTATCATTTCGCGTATTGTTATTTTGTACAAATCATACTTGGGGCTTTCCACGTGAAGCGAATAGATAAATTTTGATGTTTCCGATTTTAGTTATATTCGATTGAGTTGAGTTGAGAACTATACAAAAATATCATTAGGAAACTTCTTAACTAAAGTATACATTCCATTGGTTTAGTTATTTAATTATAGCTTGGTAACACTTCGTGAACTTGTGTCTAAAGTAATGCATACTTAGTCAATATTTCAATGCCCTTTAGCTCTGTTACTATACATTATACTTGAAAAATATTGTATATCTGGGTTCAAGACTTTTATATATGTGTGGGCTTATAACTGAATCGAATATAACTAAAATAAAAAACATCAACATTAAAAAAAAAGTACCGTAAAAATGCAACAAAAATAAACTCGTGACTTGCTATTACTAACTGAACTACACAAGAAAAGAGCGTACCAATCTTTTTTCAGCAACGCACTCGCGAGCTCTGACATTGAGTGTCCATGGGCGGTATCACTTTAACGGGTGAGCCTACTGCTTGTTTGCCCCCTGTTCTATAAAAATACTCTCTAAAATCGATGGTTAGACTTATGGACTACGCCCTACCTAAGGAATCCTAATTTCTGCACTTAATTTTTACAAATTATAAATTTCACTAATTTCAATAGAATTGATGTAGTACTAAAACTCTGTATTGAAATAAGAATGACTTTTGAATGAAAATAAAGTTGTATTTATAGAAAAATTGAAACTAAATAATTGTGTGTAATAATGATATATTAGTATATATTTACAAATTACTTTTTACACTACAATACTCAAACTTATTTATCTCTTAATTAAAAATATATAGGAAATGTGTTGTATTATTGAAAAATATTCATTTGACGACAATAGAAGATTTAGAAGAAGTGTTCAGGATTGTCTCTCTATTCTGTTTGACTTCTTCTTTTTCCCTCTCTTTTCTCTTCGACTTCTTCTTCTTCTTTCTCTTTATGTTTAAGTGAACACCTTCATAATGAAGTCTGCGTGATGTTTTGAATGCGAACGCTTTGTCGCAAACGTCACATTTGAATGGTTTTTCGCCAGAATGGATCTATAAGTATAAGTAAAATGATAATATTTTTTTTTTTTAATTATAATTGAAATATGTATATATTATTATTATCTATATAAACACACTAGCAGCTTAATAAGCTGAGGCGCGTGTATTTTGAGATTATATTATTATTATTATATATATATAACAATTTATATTTTTTTAAAATAACGTTAAACGGTTTTTGTAGGTACCATTTCATTTCTAAAAGTTTTATTTTAATCACAGTTTTATTAGTGTTAATTAATTAGTATTAATTACTTATTATTATTTGTATCTTCCGCTTTATACTATTGATAATTTACGATTCTGAAATATTCCCGTACATTAAGTATAACTTACCCGGTTATGTTTATGCAGCGTGCCTTTTGTCTTAAGAGCCACTCCACATGTGTCGCAAACGAATGGTCTTTGATCGGAGTGTACAACCACAAAATGATTTCTAAGAAGCGTCCGCGAGTAAAACGCTTTACTGCAAACCTCACATTTGAATGGGGTAACACCGTTGTGTAGGTTCATGTGGTAATTAAGTATGTGTCGGCTCTGAAACAAAACAGGTAATAAATAAATAAAAATGTGTGCGTGTACTAGGTGTACACACGTAAGAAGTGAAACTTCTTTATGACCTTATTTTTCGAAATATGATCTACTATATGCAACCAAACGAAATTGGTTAAATAAAGTTTAACAAAAGGCTTTTATTATCATAGACATGAATACAATTATTTCATTTTATCTTATTACTACTAAGATTATTACAGAATTTCATTAATTGTAATAGAATTATTACTATCATTCATATCGTTATTATATATTTTTGTAATTAATCAATTCGAATATCTTCGGATCAACCGTGGTAGGGACAAGAAAAAGATGGCGCGTAACCGAAAAACGTGACGATTTGCTACAAAATTTCTCCCATACGTCGATAAAGAACTTTCATTCGAACGCCGATAAAGAAGTTTGACTTCAAAAAGCAACATGGCGCGTAACGGAAAAATGTTACACTAAATTTTTTTCCAACCCCGTTAAGAAGTTTCACTTCAATAAAACACCAACAACTAGATCACTTGTACACGCTCTAAGCCTTAATGGAAATGGGCAGGTCATATTGTTAGAGCGCAAGATAAAAGATGGACTTGAAATAACGAAATGGACTGTACCTACTCGAAAGAGATGTATAGGACGACAAAAGAAAAGATGGACAGATGACATTATAGAACTGGATGAATGTTGTATTGTCTTTTATTGACATAACTTTTACACATTGAATAAAACAATTTTATTATCTGTATTTATTTCCCCGGAGTTGGTATCGACTAAAAGATGGGTTTTGGCAGAAATAGAGGACACCGTGACGACGCACGCTGTAAAGCACGCGAAAAGTCGGTTAAATTTAAAATTATGAAAAATAATTGTAAATACATAACTTCAATCCGGTTTAAATTGTTTTATTGGATGAATGTTGCTTAAGACAAAGAGAAATGGAAAAATATGGATGAGGCTTTTACCCTTGAGGGACCACACAAAAACTAGACCACTCAAAAAAAAAATTAACTTAAATTTTAAGAAAACTTATACTAACACAACTAATACTTATATAAAGGAATGTAAACGAACCAATTGTTGTATGGATTAATAAAGCTTTAATAATAATAATAACTAAATTCTACTAAAATTGTGAGATGTTATGTTATTCTAGACTCTAGAATAAAACAACAGTATTAATCTCATGTAAGGGACATTTTTTTTTGTCTTTTTGAGAAAATAAAGTCTTTAAACCAAAAATTGTGAGTAGAATTCGGTTTTATTATTACCAGGCTATCGGTATGAGCAATAACCTAACCACCATTTAAATTATAATTGTTGAATGTTTTAACAATTACAAAATAAGAGTTAAGCAAACTGCTATCCGACAATAAGTTAGGCTTCGTTCTGGCACCAAGATTAGTAATTGGTGTTTTCTGTACTTTTCGTTTTTACAAGGTATTAGGTATTACGTATTTACAAGGTTTAAAATAATAAATAAATTAAAAAAAAAGTCACAAAGCGCACTGCCGCACGCATTACTTCCAGGTTATCTGCGTTTAGGGATGTGACATTCTGCATTAAAAAAAAATCGATTTTTATTAATCGATTATTTTTTTAGCATGAAAAATCGATGAACAAATAATTGATTTTTCTTAAAAAAATAATCGATTTTTTCCCAATTTTTGAATTAATTTCAAAATAATCACCCTAAATATTTTATTTTTCATGTTTTTTTTAATTATAAATAAACAATAGAAATTATAAACACAAATTAACGTTTAAGAATAATCAAAATCTAAATTAACTTAATGTCGTTTTGATAGATTTTAGGTGAAATTTGATAAATGCTGAGGCCTTTTCAGAAGCACATTGCAGTTTTTTTGTTGTATTTTTAATTGTATGTAATCTTGTGCTGCTGAATAAATTTATTTTACTTTTAAATTATAGTGTTCCATTCAAACTTTGAGTTTTTGTAAAATTAACAGGTTTTATCATCCTTTCGATGTTTTATAAAAAAATATCAATGCATCGAGTATATCAATACATCTTCAAGGAATCGGATTCACTGTATCGCATTGTAAACATAGTTGTATATCGATTATCCCTAATAGTTCGAGGTCCGGGTTATAAAAGAACAGACATAATGTCGGGAGATGACAGATAAAAAATCGACTATGATTGATTTTCAATTATAAAAATAATCGATTATTAATCGATTATTTTAAATATAAATATCGCGTATAAAAAATAGGTTATTACTTTTTAAAAAATCTATTTTAAAATCGATTTTTTTATAATCGATTATTTTTTCACATCCCTATCTGCGTTGTTAGTCTTCCAAATGACTAATTAAGGATATATAATTGTCTCTTACTTTAAATCCCTTCCCACAATGCTCGCAAATATATCTTCTCCTAATGGTCATATATGTCTTCTCGGGATGCTGACGACGATGGTGCAACCAATTTTCCTGCTCGCTGTACACTAATGCATCGGGACACTGAGAAAAATATATATTTATAATATATATAATAAAACGCTAGATTTTTTTTTATTAAGTAACTTTAAAAAAGGAGCTAATTAGTGTGACTAAGATGTAAGGGCGATTAAAAAGAGTGGCGGAGAATTTAATGCCAGTTCTTCTCTTCCGTTCTACGCCCTTGATTTAAGAGCTGGCAGTAAATGTAAAATTAGAAGCATTTCGTATATACATTTTTTTTTGACGTTCATAAGTGTACATTGTGTTACCTATATGAATAAATGACTTTGATTATGTATTGTTGGATTCCAACGTCTATTATAGAAACTAACAACAGAACTAAGTATTATACATAGTATAAAGGTGTGGACGCTACCATGAAAGAGGAGCAGAAGCTACTGGTGGCGGAACGCAAGATATTGTATAAAATCCTGGGGCCGACAAGACGGACGTGGAATGGAGAGGCCGAATAAAAATAGTCGGTAAGCCCTATAAGGCTTTAAGCTAATTAAAGGGCCTACTACGTTGGCTTCTTTTGCCGGCCTGTTAGTGGGAGACCAGTAGGTACGCCTAGGTACCGCTGGATACACAGTAAAGAAGGACCAGCTGCAGCCATTGCAATTGGGAGGTAACACAGGACGGGAGTGTCGGAGGCTAAGACACTTTTTGGGTGGAGAGCCAGTGGACTGTGGAGTCAGTGAGTGTAATATTGAACATATTCAGTGATTTTTTTCTGCACTTTCCCAATGTTGTGATAGCAGCGCTACAGATATTGAGAACTACATTGAAATTTCATACAAAAGTGTCGAGATCGGGATCTTTATTGTAAGTTACAGAGTTAGAAATATCTGCATTTTAAAAAAGGTCTCGAAAATGCTTTTATTTCTTTTTCATATTGTTTTGACTCTTAGTGCTTGCAAGTTTAAAAAAATTAGATATTAGTAAAACTTACGTAATGACATTTCACTGGCCAAATAATTTTCTGGAGTGTATTGACCGGACGCGTCTTCGGTAAAGTTATTTTAGCCCGAGGCTTGTTCGACTTATTCTGGGATTTATCCGTGGATGCTTTTATCATAATAATCGGTTTTTCAATGCGTCGCGGACGTCGTTTGTGAACTTTCAATGAATGCAAGAATCTCTCTTTTTTAGTCGAAAATCTCTCATCACAAGTGTCGCAGCTGTATCTGTAGAATTCATAAATTTAAAAATGCTGCGTTGTAAAAAACGTAAAAATATTTAAAATATACAATTAGAACGATTTTTTATTATCTTGAACGCAAAATTGGGAATATAAACTCTAATGACCTTCATTTACAGGCAATGTTGCCGTTTTGTTTTATACTTACGCAAAAAGTAAGAAAATATCGTAGACCTTAAGCCAAAGAAGCGACAATGTTACTTTAATACATGATTTTCTAACCATCTAAAGACTTGCTCTCTACACGTTGACTATCTTAAAATACAAAGACCACCTTATAGGTAATAAAAAAGATATTACATATTCTGTATATCGTAAAAATTTAAATATAAATGTTTTAAATCAAAGACCAAGTTCCTGAAATAACGTATCATATTCCTTGGGGAAGAATAAGATGATTACCTTACAGAGAGATTAATCCTCATTCAAAATATAAAAATAATATTCCATTTATAAATTGCTATTAAAAGGTATAAGTAACGGTCAAATACAAAAGAGGCTAACTTGAAACTGTTGTTTCCTTATCATATAGTACATATTTAAGTAAATGTTTTCACGGTATAACATTTATGTCGTCTCCACATCGAGAGAATGCGATGAGTTCGTTCTTTTTAGTCTTCTTTTCTTTTTTTTCGCGATTATTCCGCCAGCGTACGTCGGTATTCGTAACGGAATCAGCAGCATAAGTATCCGCAACGACATCCGTAACGGAATCGCCTCGTTTCTTTGACGGCACGTTGTGCTCCTATTTTGGCCAGTGTTCATTTAGAGTAATCAAAGGTGCCAGACGAGACCTATATAAATATTCTCTAAATCAGTCAATAAACTAATTATTTAAAATGGTGTCGTGTCACAGTTTTCGTTGCGCATACTCTGCGAAAGCGCCACGTTCCGTTTTAATGCGACTTTTTGCGCGCCATCCGGTAGCTACAGGCTCGCGCACATGTAATGACTTTCGTGCGCACTAAACGTTACCCGTAGTATCGCCGCTTAAATTTTTATTTTTAGACACGATTTCTATTTCTATTTTTTATGAAATGCATGACAAGAATTGTATACGCCTAATTTCACCCGCTCGTGGAGATCAACCCCTATTTATTTATAAATGATATATATGGCAGTTTGCCCGTCAGCTGTCTAGTTGTTTTCAATCGAAGTATCCCCGTTCCTACATTTGTAAACGCATCAATCACACGGGAAAAAGCAGTTTACCGACCATTTTAGGGCGGTTCATAATCTCATCATCTTCCGAATATGACTTATTAATTTAGAGTAATATATTCTCAAGATTTTTAAATAAATTAGAACTTTTAAAAGATATAATTATCTGACCTAATATCAATCCACTTTGAGACTAAACGTATATTTCCTTATAGTATGTAATATTTAAATAAATCTTCCTTCACGGTATCAACATTTAAGGGCGTTCTGTACAAGCGATTAGGAAATCGTGACCAGTCCGCGACTTTTTATCGTCGGGTAAAAGTCTCCCCACTTACGAGCGATGTATTCCGCCAGTACGTAACGTCGCTAATAATCTTAACGGAATAACAGCGTATTCAACACCGACTCGTTTTACAAGAGGGGAACCCCCGCGATTCGTTACATGACACGTTGTACGCTCCTTAGATTTTTTAAATCATGAAATGTTTCATTTCACAGTTCAAGTGGGTTGCCAGACAGACCAAATAAGTATTGTCTAGAGCACGTCAATTAAAATAATTATTCAACTATTCTTGTGAGTTGCTCAACGCACGTCGCGCGCTCTGTGCGAAGAGCGCCACGTTCCGTGGCGAGTGCGCGACGTTGGGCGCCACCAGTGCGACAGGCTCGAAGCGATGTAATGACGTTTCGCGAACAGCACGTCAATACCCGTCGACATCGCCGGTTAAGATGTGTCGCCGTGTAGAGACTACGGTTTCTATGGATTATAGTATTTTAATGCGTGGCAGGACGATTTTGAAAGTCGTTGGTTTACATCGCTCGTGGAGACAACCCCTTACGTAACATTACGTGCTCTACATATGTTCCAGTGTGCTTCACAGTTGTAGTATAAGAGGACATTGTACGCCTGTCCCATTTGGAAAAGTTATATCACGACGTGTTGTAGTGCATGCCGTTTTACTTTATAATTTCGTCATCTTTCTACATATATTATTGATTTTAGTTTTTATTATTATTATTTATTACTTGATATCATATCGAAAAGTATTAGAAACTTTTGATAATTTTAAGAAAACGATACATCTTATAGTATGATGTAATACATTATAAAGTGTATATGTTCAAAATGAAAGGTAAGATAAATTACAGACGATCGCGATTTTTGGAAGTTGTGAGGTGCTCTCCATGGTAAAATACCGTAAAGTTTTTTTGATTTCCAGTAGTAAAACGTTTCTATGAAAACCCAAATGACTCTGTTAGTACCTAATCTAAGACTTTGTAGTGTTAATTTCTGAACTCGAAAATTCTTGAAAAATTCAACAACCAAATTGGTTTTTATTTATATTTTTTCAAAAACCCCCAAATTTGGTGAAAACTTGGTTTAATATGTCCCATATACACTGTAATTTGTTTAGGAACACAAATATATAAAATTCGCCATTTTTTAATCTTTCTTTTTGTGCAAAAAAGGCTAGCCTTTATATATTACTACAGTAAGATCTTCGTCAGAAGTGCCATATGGCGTTGAGTGCAGTATCTGGGAAGCGTGCGAGCCCCTTCCCACTATAAACTGCACGTGAAGATCCATAGAGAGTAAGGACGGTTCGGATGAGCTTAGGTCATAATACGGTTTCTATAAAGACTGTTAGGGTGCTTTTTGACATTGTGGACATTTTGAACACCTCTATGAATAAAGTGATTCCTTTGACTTTGACTTTACAATAAACACACCTAAATTGTATCGCACTTATAATACAAGATAGCTTTGGTAGTCATAAAACGATTGTTGTATTGAACCATACTTAAACACTAATTCAGTTGTATTTTGTATTCATGAATGCCGACTTTAGATTACACAACTTGTAACTTAAACCATCTTGGTTGTGATTATTTTTATGTGTTTGTAATTGTTCCTGAGTCTTGAAATACATGTGGCAACTTGTGTAATAGAACTCGCCACGGTTCTTACAAAATTGTGTCGATTTAAAAATTTAGCTATTAAGTGCAAGATTTTCGCAGGGGCCATCTAAAGTTCTCTACCGTTTCTACACGAATTTTAGGGACTTTGAGAACCCGTTCTGGTCACAATTTTATAAAACCCCCCTCCTGATGTAGTATTTCTTTTTTACGTTCCGGCAGTGAGTGTACACTTGTTAACGTATGCAAACAACCGACTTTCGACTTTGAACGATAGAAAAACCAGCAGCTAACTCGCGATCGACTTAAACCAATTTAAATCCTGTACTCATTCAAAATGATTGTGTGAATTTGAGTGTCTCACTTGCATCTTACAACGCCGCTGTAGATGTATATTGTACGTCGCAAGAGGGATTATCGACTAGCGAGAATCTCAATTTTCATAAAATCGATCGTTCGTAACTATTAAAATGTGTAATTCAATCAAACTTTGTTTTAGTATTTTAGAATTTTAACATGTGACAATCATAAGTAATGAAAACCCCCATGCCTCTTGACACACTTGGTGTACCTTCCACCATTAACGTGTTACGTACAACATTTTGGCCCCTAATATAAAATAAATCAGCGGCGCTACAACCTCTTTAGGTCTTGGCCTCAGATTTCTGAATCTGTTTCATGATCATTTTTTTTAAATCAAATAGTTAAGTAGATGATCAGCCTCCTGTACCTGACACACGCCGTCGACTTTTTGGGTCTAAGACATGTCGGCATGACGATGTTTTACTTCACCGTTCGAGCAAATGTTAAATGCGCACATAGAAAGAAAGTCCATTGTTGCACAGCCGGGGATCGAACCTACAACCTCAGGTATGAGGCAGGCTTAAGTCACTAGGACAACACTGCTCCTATTTTCTATTATATTTTCATTAATATACATAAATAATATTTTATATTTCTTAATACAATTTATTTGCACATGCTTTAACAGGCAAACATGGCGTGCTTAATACTTAATAACTCTTGCTAACTAACAGAATTGGAACAAACTATAAACATGTGATTTGAAAAGAGAGACAAGTTTTTTCAAAATTACACATCCTAGGAAGGGCAGGGTTTGAGCCTAGCACGGTTATGCGGAAGGGAACGGCAAAGGGTTTAGCAGGAAAATGAGGAAGTAGAGTTTGAGAAAAAAATAGTTATTTTTACCTAACTAGCTAATAGAAGCAATAGTCTCACCTGATCATGTTGCACTGCATGCTTTTCTTGTCCACGTATATCAATAAACCAAGAATAGCATATCTCACATTTATATTCAGCCGATTTGTATTTTATAGATTCTTTACGCAATTCCATTTTATCCATTACCTCTTGTTTCTTAAAAAAAACGTGTGTTTTATTCTTCTACCGCGTATACATCGTATTATGTACACGCGGTAGAAGTTATACTTTGGCGTAACACGAAGAAATCTCTAGAAAGTTTCTAGAAAAAGCGACACTAACAATAGAAAAAACTAAAATGTTGACTATAGCTAACTTCAGGGTGTCAGATTTTTGAGACGGTGTGCGCGCGCATCAAAAATTTACTCTCATCATTTATCCCTAACAGGCTAAAAGAAGTATAACTTCAAAAATTTAGCTAACAATTATTTAACAAGTGGTGCAAACATTTATTTATATAATCTTTTTTCTACACAAAATCAAAAGCGGGAAAAATTTGGGCTTGACATTTTTCAGCACCAATCAAATATAAGTTATGGGTGTGTATATCTCAAAGGGGGTACAAAGCCCACCTTTCCAGAGATAATTTTTTATTAAAAGGAAAAAAAATATGAATATCAGAGGGAGGATCCCTCTTCAACTTTAGCTTTTTGCTTCTATTGCTACCAAAACAATCCGAACGCATATACTCTCTGTAGATAATATATAAATAATAGCCTAAAGCCTTATTATCATTACTTCCTTTTTTTTGCCTGCTTGTGGAAAGATAACATTCGAATTGCTTGGTGCAAAAAAAAATCAAGCCATGCATTTAGTTTTACAAAACTGGTTAGTAACAAAAGAGACATATTAGGTGTTGCTATAATTCCCTTAAGCTAGTCTATAGTACTTATAACAATTATAGACAAAGGCACATTTGTTTATGGTTCAAGTGCAAGTATTTACTGTCAAAAATTTATTTTGTCTTGCATTTGTCATCTATATACCTGTAGTGACTCTAAGCATAGCTAGCAAATGAACCCTTATATTCATCCATATATAATATTTTGTCTAATCATTTCTATTACACTGCATTTATGACAAAGGAAGCTTACTGTATAATATTTGATGGTAAAATATTTATTGAGATCTTCTGTATCCTTCTTTGTTATTCTTTTATCACCTTCTACTGACATATTTGGTTCCGATTCTTGAAGCATAATTTGTTCAAATGATTGCTGGAAATGCAATTAAATAAAAAGTTTTAGTCTTTGGTAAATATTTCATAACTAGCTATCCCGGCAAACCTTGTACTACATAATAATTGTCTTGATTGTGATAGTCAACCAAGTATTAATCACAAAAGTAAATTATAATGTCACACTATAAGTAAGTGAGGGTACTTTTCCCATCTATCAATGGTACCATGTATCATTTTACAGATTAAGAATATAAAAAAGCAAATTAAATAATAACTTTATTATATATTAAAAATAGATTTATAGCTAGCAGAAGTTTAGTCTTCATAATAAAAAAAACCTTTTATTTAAGGCTAATTAAATAATCAATAATTTGAAATCCATTAAAATCATTCTACTGCTCCAGCCATCAAATACTTGACAATATTTATAAGTATAGACTTAAATTTAATTTAACACATATACACATAAAATTAAATACCTGCTCCTCCATTTTTTCATCCAATTGGTCTGCATCTTGATCATCTTCAAGGATTTCAATTAATTCATCATCTTCTGAATTATTTACATCAATGGGATCACTAGAATCATCTTGCACTTCACAAAAGTAATCATGCTCTAACTTTACAATATCCTCTTCCTTTATATGATTTGGTAGATCATAAGTTTTTCTTAAGTCAGCTTGTGGGTCATAATTAAAACTGACATTCTCAACAATTTTTAGACTTGAGGTTAGGCCAAAACTTTCTCTACCTATGTCCTTTAAGTTTTCTTCTGTTACCTATTATAACATATTATTATACTACTTGCTAAATTTCACTGCTTTACAATAATTGATAAAATATAGATATTGGTTTATAATACCTCCCCATTATTTGATAAAAGTGCTTGGAGCACTGCCTGTCCACGGAGGCATTTTTGTCTAAATACAAAGTATTTCTTCAATAGAGCAGTACACTCATAACATAGATACATTGGTATTTTCAGTTTTGGCAGAGGCTGTAAGAATGCAAAACTACAGTTAAGGAAAATAATAAAATATGTTTAAATAGGTCAAGAAACGCAAAATAAAAAAGACAAAAACTAAATGGTATGACGTTTTCCAATGGAGACTGCTTTGAATGATTAAAGAAATCAGAAATGTTTATTTAATCAAAAGTGGAATAAATAATAAACAATAACATAAAAATTTACAGTGAATATAAAGTATTATTTATAAAAAAAAAATTAAAGAATTTTAACTCACATTTATGCCGGTTAATGTCAAATAGTAGAAAGCCAAGGTATTTGACGACAAATTATGCATAAATCCATCCACTTCAAGACAAATTCTACAACATTTTAGCGATTCCATGTTGAGATGTTCGTGCGAAAATTATTATTCAATTTATGTTTAGGTAATTAAAGCATCATTTCGCCTTGACCTTAAATATATAATGTATCAATAATATTTAAAATCTAAAACCTAATATTATTTATTATTTAAAAACTTAAACGGCAATGTCAATTTGGTTATGGCCACATCACGCCTCATGAGTGTGGCGTACAGTGTTCACTGTTCCGAGGTATCCGTTGATACATTTTGTCTATGCGGTTCGCTTCCAGCCACACTTAGCCAAGTCTTGGTATTGGACAAAGGTACCATATAACTAACTTAATTTCGTCACCTAACGATACAACTGAGCGGTCAAGGACCAAATTGCTTATTCTTTATTATAATAAGTTCAAATCACAAAATAAACGTCACCAATCACCTTCCATACGCGACGACCCATCACGGAACACGGACAGTCGAAGTTGGAACACTCACAGAATGACAGCAGACACTAGACAGATATATTATGTACAATATACTAAACAGAATATATCTCTAATGCTACGATCATATAGTGTAGTGTGTACTGTGTACGGTTAATGGCGTGTGCCTAAACACCACGCTGAACAGGACCACAGAGTGAACGACGCCGCGTTTTCGCTCGTTGAAGACAGAGAATAGAAACCTTAGAATTAAAGTAGTCTGTGCTTCAGTTTATAATCTGATCGGAATTTTGTTTCCGTGAAAAGCGTTCAACGATCTTAAAAGATTTGCAAAATTTGATTTAAATGTGTTATGCCGTTTGGTTACCATTAAAAAAAAATCGATTTTACTAACCGCGACATACTCCGGGTTTGAGAAAAATATCTTTTCGTGACCTACTAACCGCTAACGCATAACGAATTGGAGGGAATGACATTAGCTCGCACTAAATTTTCATACACGCCTACCGAAAGTGATTTATCCTTGTATCTTAGTAATATAATAAAGCTGAAAAGTTTGTTTATTTCATTGAACGCACTTATCTCAGAAACTCATAACAGGTCCAAATGTTTTTTTTGCGTTGGATAATCCATTTATCGAGGACTATAACATATATATATTTCCTAGATAGCTATTTCCGTTCTCCCCTTGCTTGGAGGTAAGAACGGAAGTATCAAAGTATAGAAGTACAATAATATATATATATTTTTTTTAAATATTATGGCAATAGTAGAAGTATATTTATGTATTAACAAAAATTAATATTTTTAAATAGATAAACACAGAATTTATTTATTTCAGTTTTATTCGGGCATTAGTAATAAAAGGTCAATACTGTATCGTTAATAGAATTTATTGCAATACATTTCAATTGGGCATTTATTTTATAGTTTCTGCAAGCTTTTTCTTACGTGAACGATCATAAGGATTAGGCAGTTTTAAGTGAACTGTTTGGTAGTGAATATTACGTGTAGTGCTGAAGCCGAAGGACTTTCCACATTCTTCGCACTTGAATGGTCGCTCACCTGTATGAGTCTGAAAATAAACGACATAAATATATATATATATATATACGAATTGCTTTTCTTTTTTGATAAGACTAGAGATTGGAGCGATTTGGCTAATTTTGATATTGAAATATTCACGAGGTTCCGAGGTTTAAGCTGTGAGAAAACTTATAAGCAAAGGAAAAACAACAAATAAATGTTCTAATAAAAACTTTTCGTAGTTAGAAATTTAAAAAAACGTCACTTGGTTGTCAAATATATATAGGTATTAGAAATGTGTCTAGTTCATAGCTGTAGTATGAGTTCCGATGTTCCGAGTTTAAAAAGAAAATTCCAATTTCAATTTTCGTTTAAAAACTCTGCCTGTTTAATTATAATGTTTAAGCAATAATAAAAACATAATAAATATATAGAAAAATAGTACAAACAATGGAAGAATCTAAATCCAAACCATGAAAGATGACAGATTTATATAATTGGTATGTATAAAGAAATTAATTTTGAATGTGTACTACCTTTTGAAAAAAATCAAGGCATTTTGCATATATTATCAACCCACCTCCCCATCGTTAATATCGTTAAATCTTGTATTTTTTTTATCCGTGGCAATACTGAATCCTTACCCGTTGATGTTTGACAAGAGCGCTGTTTAATTTGAACGTCCTTCCACAGAGCGAGCACATATGAGGTCTCGTATCTGAATGGACGCTTTTCTGGTGCTTCATCATCCCATCACGGTGACGAAAACCCTAAATAAAACGTGTTAATAAAAAAGTACTTAACGGACTTCCAAAAAAATATTATTTATATTATATTATATATTCGACCTGTATGTATGTTTTTGTTGATATTATGTACAATCTATTTAGGATTCCAAGAACGTGTTCGGTTCGGTAGTTTCTGAGATATGGGTATCTCAGAATTATGTAAATATAGATAAACACTATTTTAAAAAAAAGGTTGATATGATATAATAAATATATATATATAAAAAAGATGGCAATAAAATATATTTTTAGTGGCTGCGTTGCCGGCTTTTGAGGGAGGAGTATAATCTTACTTTAAACAATTGGAGGTATCTCACATGGAAGAGCCCCACCGGTTCGCTAGTTCGCAAAAGAATGTGTCTTGTGCGGAAAGTGCGGACGAGCCCATCAAGCCATCAAGGTGATGCGGGTGAAATTTTGAATTAATACGGCTCGTAAGGTGTTCAAACGAAGCAGGAGGGATCAACCCAAAAAACTCATCAGAACACTCACCTTGCCGCAAACACTGCATTTGTGCGCGTATTCATTACTGTGACTCGCTTTATGCGACTCCAAACCAGCCTTTGTCTGAAATATAACAAAAATCAATAATTCAGCCAAAATAATACTCGAAAAAAAAACTGTATTAATGTGTAATATTTTCAAAATAACGTGATACAGTCTGATTTGACAATTTTGACGAAGGTCGAAGATCTTTGCTAATCTTATAACAATAGTCAGTATGAAAAAAAGTGATAATGAGAGTATAATATGTATAAAACATGACTTTAAAAACTTTATGGAATAGAAACACATTATTACATTGTTTTTATACGTCTGTGTCGTGACACAAACGGTCACAGATTAATCGAATCGACGACGACATAGCATGCTGGTAAATAATATGTCTTCACCTGTCTAATCCTAAAACTTTTTGGAGTCTAATTTCGTCGGAGACTATTTTTGGCCGAAAACCATTACATTTATTTGTGTAGTATAAGAATAATAATTAAAGCGTCAAAAAAATCGACGTTTGTTTAAGTGTTTACACGCTTGGTACGTCTCAGGGTCTGGTGCGACGGCATCATAGCTTTCTACGGTTTCTTGAAATTATAAATATTTAATTTGAATCTTTAAAGCGTATTGGATTAACAGAGTATTTAATAAATAATCGGAAATGGTTTTAAACTCTTGTCAAAAATTGAACGCCTATTGAAAAAAAAGTAGTAAGTACTACTTTTACCCGGATTAATTCCAAACAATCCATTTACATAAAAGTGTTGTAATTATTATATAACAGCGTTCAGTCCCGGCTTCGCACGGCTGGATATTTTATGAAATATGTAAGTTTGAAATTTGGTATAGGGCCTTTTTTGTAGATACTGATGTCTTATTGAAAACTGTAGTGTATCTGTGCACATACTCTTTTGTCTATAATTTACGTGATAAAGGGACTTTTATTGGTATTTTTACACCTATATGGTGTAAGAATTGTTCAAATAGGTCCGGTCCAGTAGTTTTGGAGCCTAATCAATACGAACAAACAAATAAACAACTATAGTCCATCTTACCGCAAATCCCTTTCCGCAATATTGACACACGTGGTGGTCCCTAACAGGATATTTCTTGTCAGGGTGACGCTCTCTATAGTGAGACCAATTCGCCATTGCATTCGGTATCTTTTCTGGACACTGGACACAAATATCAATATTTTAGTCAAATCTGGCATATAATCTTGTACGTGGCTATGTAGCTTAATTCCTTATGGAATCTTTCGACCTATATAAACATAGAACATTATATCTAACATTGTAATTATTATTTATTAGACGTTGTCACGTCAAAATAGTTATAAATTTAATTTAATAAAGAAGCTAATAAAACGGCCGTTTCCCTTATATTGTTTAGTTTATAAAACTGATACAAAGGAGCAACATAAACGCGCTGGTATTTATTTTAATAGTTAATAAATAAATAGTTGACTAATTACGAAAGATTCTCAAAAAAATAATACATGTTTTTAAAATAGAAGGGAATAAGTATATTAAATGTCAAAAAATTGGTTTTATAGGGTCCAATTAGCAATGCCGAATGCAATATGGGATCCGGACTTCCTCCAATGGCTGTAGTGGTAGTTAATGAAGATCACTTGGTTATCAGCGAGAAAAGGGGTAGTCTTTACTTTTCCGTTACTTCCCACTTTTCATTGTGTCCTTCTTCGGAACCTTACTGACTGGGTTTAAAACCCCCGGTCATACATCTCATCACCGGAAACCAAAACTTGGCAACTCGACAAAAACGTTAAAAGGTAGATTGGTACTTTTGAATAGATGAAGGTACGAAAGGAATAATAAAAATAATATTTTCAAATCACAATACGTGCCATCCAATGCTTTAGCGTTACCAAAAATAGTACTTACATGAGGACATTGTATAGGCCAAGTGCAGTCTTCTGGGCCAAGCTTAAGATCGCGCTTATGCTTGAGTCGCGCATGATCACGCCTGTCATCATTCGTCGAGAATACTTCTCCGCATTCAAGGCAACTGAACCTTCAAACAAATCGAAATATCGGTTAATAAGTTTTTGAAGTGAAACTTCTTTATCGACGTATGGGAGAAATTTTGTAGCAAATCGGTTACGTGCCATGTTGCTTTTTGAAGTCAAACTTCTTTATCGGCGTTGGAAAAAAAAATTACCGTCACATTTTTCGGTTACGCGCCATATTTTTCTTGTCCCTACCACGGTTGATCCGAAGAGATTCGAAGACATTAATAACAAAAATATATAATAACGATAACAATGATAGTAATAATTCTATTACAATTAATGAAATTCTGTAATAATCTTAGTAGTAATAAGGTAAAATGAAATAATTGTATTTGTATTCATGTCTATGATAATAAAAGCCTTTTGATAAACTTTATCTAATTTAACTTTATGTAACAAATTTCTGTTAAGTTGCATATAGTAGATCATTTTTCGAAAAATAAGGTCATAAAGAAGTTTCACTTCTTACGTGTGTACACCTAGTACACGCACACATTTTTTTTTTAATGAACCCTAACATTTTATTACAAAAACTAATTATTAATCTCCTCTGATATTGTTCTTAACACCTTAAGTTCTTAATTACCGGCGAAAGAAAAGTTTTTTTAGGATGGTATAAAGACGTAAAAATGAACTCGGATTTCTCATTAACAACGTAAATACAGGGAAAACTTACTGGTTTGTGATATCAGCGTGCTTTTGGGATGTGATCTTGTGTCGTTCGTAAGCCTTTACATTCGCGAACTGAATGTTACACAGTTCGCAGCGCCGTGCGTCCGCTTCGCTCGAATTTTCCTTCAATTTTGAACTTCAAATTTACTACGTTTAGGGTGTCTTGACTGTTTGGTAAACTGTATAAGACTTAAAAATCGATAATTTTGAATGTATCAATGTTGGCTGATAGTTTTCTCGACTCTTTGCCGCGAAGCGTATCCCCCATAACTATGATTTTAGAATGTACTTTTTACGGTTACGGTACTTACGGATTTCTGTTAATTCTATTAAAAAAACATTGTATAATATTTTTGGTTGAAATTTGGCAATACATAAGCTGTAAATTAATAAATAAATGTATGAGCAAAACGCATTATTTTACGATACCTCGGACAATGGAATATTCAATTCAATTCCATCCAATGTTTAAACCATTTTCTCTACAAATTCAACTGTTTGAGTATGGGAACGTTCAACTAATACGTAACGAAGTTTTACCTCTTGTAAAACGTTACGATGCGGGGCGATATTTTACACCACATAATAGTAACTTTAAGTATAAAGAGGCACTCGGTGGTCACGAAACGTTTTACTATTGGGTACGGGGGGGAGAAAGGTCAAGAATCTCCAAAAATTGCCGGACGAAATACTTTGTTTGTTTATAGAACAAGGGGACAAACAGGCAGTACGTTGTCGGACTTTTAATTGGTATCTTGTTCTTAAGATTTGGTTAAATTTACCTCCCATGAATAAACTCTTTTAAGAATCTATTAAAATCGTAATCGTAAATATTGTATTTACATACAGCATACATTGTAAAAAATTACAAACAAAACCGGAAACACCTAAGACATTACTTACATTTCGATGTTTCGCCTTTTTATGCCGATTGAGGCCATGTTGCGTAACGAACGCGGCGCCGCACAATTCGCACGTAAAGTCCGCGGGGTGCTTACTGCGTAAATGGTTTAAGTACGTTGATTTATTACTGAAAACAATATTTCAAACTGTTTTAAAGACATCAACAATATCTTAAAAGTAAAAATACCGAAGTACACTACAAGTGTAGTTGTCCAAATCCTCTCCTAAAGGAAATGAGAAAATCCTTATTTGTAACCTAAAAATGTACGACACATTTGTCTTAGAAATAAAAATGTTTGGCCAAGACCCATAAGGGGTTACAATGTATGATTATATGAATGTATTATATTATTTTATTCATCTTTGAAATTTAATTAAAAACTTTTCGTTAAGTAAGTAGAAAGCATTATCTTTGGAATCGCAAGGTAAATGACAAATCTTAGCAATCCAATTATTGTGACCAAACGATATTTAGGTAAGCAACTGCGATATATATGTGTGTGTATATACCGATATTTACAAAATTGTGCAAATAATTTTGGATAGAACGGCTCAAAACTTACACATGCACTTCCTCACAGTGTGGGCATTTATACTTCACCCCTTGATGATAGCGAACATGTAATCTTGCTTGGTAGCTGAAATATATAATATTGGTGTATAATGATATATTTAAGTCTTCACATTTCACGTGCAAATACTCGTATGGAAACTTAGACATATCGAGACGATCGTTTTTGAAAGTTCAGCCTTGCTATTCTGTAACTCACTTTTCGAACTCTCACTGCGGTTTTCACAGCGGCGGTCGCGCTCAGACCAGTCGTAAAGCAGTCATTTTACGATTTGGCATTGTGATAAACAATAAACTACAAGGTCCTTCCTTCAGAAGTGAGTTACAGAATCGCGAGGCAGTTAAGGAAACAGTCCAACTACCTAACTAGTTTAGTAGTTTTCGCGATATGGGTTTATTCATGTCTGCAGTGGACATAGTATCTGGGTAAAGAAAAAATTATAACGTATATTTATTTATTTTCAGTTGCATTACGATTTAATTTTTAATTATATTTCATAATTTAATTTCCCTTTATTCAAAATAACCAAAAAGCATCAAGCGTCAAACTTGTGAGTAAAAAAATGATCTTTGTTAAGTATTATGCATACTTACAGTGAACTAAGCACTCTAGGACAGTTTCTGCAGACATAGCGCCGTGGATGCATCGAGTAATGCTGGCTAAACTTGCGTCGGGTCTTGAAACGCAGCTTACAAATGTCACACTCCAAACTGCCCCGTGACTATAATAATTTATTTGTATAATTTTAAACTACATAAATCTAAATTAAATTACGGTTAGATAATTTTCAATTATATCGATGCCTTATCTATTACTAAGAAACTAAACATTTTTTATTCACAATTCATACTAAGAATTGAATTATGAATTTAGAACTCTAAAATAGATTTTTTATTCTTACCTCGTCATGTTTAACTGCATGGTTTGAAGCAGATTGTTCATTCAGGAATGTCTTACAACATTTATCACATTTGTGTTGAGATTGCCGGAACTCTTCAGATTCTCGACGCTTTCTTAACTCTTCCAATTGTTCTTCTTTCTTTAAGAATTTTTTAAAATTATTTTTTTGCTATTACTAATCGCCGTTACTGAAGAGATCTTTAGTAGATCCCTTTACCATTATTCACATTGCTAATGAGATCAAAAGATATTAAAAATAATAAGTAGTTATCAGATGATACAGTCCATTCATTACTTAATGTGTTAGTAACAATAATACCTTAAATTATATTACAACATTTCTGAATAGAAAAATTACTGAATCATAAGATTTTTTTAAAAGCTAGTAGCTCAGGCTTATATAATTCCCAATAAAAAGGAAATATTTATATCCAGGAATTAAGCCATACCAACCAAGCTAGATAAGTAGTCAGTATCAATATAATATTCATATATATTATGTAGATAGAATAATTACCGTCAAATAAATAAATATAACAAATTCCTCTAAATCCTTATCATGAATAGTAGGTATGTTTTTCTTTGTTTGCTTGATTCTTTGAGATCTTTCTTTTCTTCTTAATCCTATTATTGATTTTGTCTTTACCTTAAAGTTAAAATAACTTTATAAGTGCTAATGTACTGTTAGGAAATGTGTTATTTAAAGTGGAATTATTGGCATTTGCATGCAATGCAATGCTTAATAATTAACTTTTACCACATTGTACTTAGCTCAGTTTCAGTAACATTTATTTATATACCATAATTATATAAGTAGCCATCAGATTTTAAAACTCAATGGGATTGTTTTACAGTGAAAATATATTTTACCTATATTCTGTATATAAAAAGATAGTTTAACAGAATGATACATACTTTACTTTTATTTACCAAATTTACTAACTTCTGGTCATCATCTGAAGACTCTGTACCTTTTAAACTATCATCACTTAAATTTAATTTAATTTTTGTTTGTCCATTATTTTTTATTTCCAAATTATCATGCTTTTGTAAATCCCTTCCTGAGGGAATACTAATTTCTTTCTTTATATCTTCTATATCAGTAATACTAAAGTTATTTCTAATGAAAATTTCATTCTTTATTGGGGTTTTGACAAATTCCCTTTTAATGCTCAAGTCATCTTCACTAAACATAAATGTTGCAACCTTTTCATGGTTTATTTCATTTTTCATTATCTCTGCAATTTTTGTATCACATGTAGCTGAATTTATGTCAATATCTATATTAATCACATGATGAGTCATCCCCATATTGTTAATATGATTTTTCTGAATCTGTGTTATATCTGCTTTTGTTACCTGCAAACAATAAAAATGTATATTTTATAAAATTAGAGTTGTTTATTAATAATTATGTAAACTTAAACTGAAGTAAATTTGTTAAAAACAATACCTGTCCTTTTTCAATGACAATCCTTTGCAACATACTTTGAACTTCTAAGCATTTTTGTCTAAATAGAAAATACTTCCTCAACAAAGCGACACACAAGTAGCAAGCATAAGTTGGCATCTTATATTCATATAGAGGCTAAAAAAAACCCCCAAAAATGCTATTAAATATGACTACAAATTTCCACTGAGGATATATACTGGGTTGGTTAGAAGAAACAGCTATTAGTAGTAAGGCCGCCTATTTACATTATTTGTCTTTTTAATATAATCTTTCCTCTGTATTGTGATGTAAGTAAAGTGTTAATATTTTAACATATTAACTGGACACAAAGTACATTTATAGTTTAATAACATTACTGAAACTATTTCAAACAACTTTAACTACTGTTTACAGTAGTCTTCTACTTATCCAGGTGATGCTCTATCATGACATTTTATGGTGTTTTAAGTAGTTTGTTGGTCTCAATACCAAATGTGGCAAATTATACCACTAAAAATAACTTACATCTGTTCCCGTTAATAATTCATAGTAGTATTCCAAAGAAGTTGACTGAATAACATTAAGTTTAATATCAGTAGTAAGACAAAGCCTGCAAACTTTTAAGTTTTCCATTTAAGTGGTTTTAGTTACTTAATGGTAAGTTTTATTTTTATAAATTTTTTATTCATTTATTAAATTTTAGTTATAGTAAAAATGTAGAATCTTTAGTTCTAAGACTTCTTAGTTAATTAATAAAAAAAATATCTTTTGACTTTTTAATTATTTACATTATGAGTTCCTAACTCACCACAGACTAAATAGAGACACCACAGATGAACTAAAAATGCTATTAAAGACTACAACCACACCACTATGGTAGAAATAGAGAATCCACTCTCGCAGTATACATTTTTATATAAAACAGGGCTTGCATCGCAGTTTAAATACCAAGTCGACTAATTTATTCAGGCCCTACTTAATAAAATGACCTAAACACATCCATATCGCCATATCAGTTTAATGCTGGCATTTTTAAATATTATTATAATATTGCGGACCGTGACACAAAATTAACAGAATGAAGTTGCCCACGGAAGATGCTACGGCATTGAACATAATTTAAAAACAATATTCGAATAATAATAGAATTTATGTTACCCTTATTGTAAGAGAATAATAATAAATATTTATTTATTTAATTTTTCAAATGTAAACTGAACTTTATTGACTAAAATTACTCCTTTTCCGGTCTTTGATTATTTAATTGTAATTTATTATTTGCATGCAATCAAAAACTATTTTTAATAATGCCAAAGAAGTATAACTTCTTACGCGCGTACATAAGTACACGCACCCTTTTTTTGTACCTATTCCCGTGGGGATTCACAATAAATAATAATAATAATCCCCGCTCTGCAGCACAAAATATATGGATTGAACCTTTACAGCAGCACCCCACAGTAGAATACCGTAAGACATAACGTTGTGAAAGTAGCTATGATATATGATATATAATGTCCTGATCAGTTAACTGTCGGATTTTCTTTACTGCATATGCCGTTGAGCATATTCGAAAGAGCCTTTATGTGTGGGGCCCACTGGAGTTTACTACTATACTATACTGTCTATTGTTATGCCTAGAAACACAGTCTTGTCAACAAAGTTTAGTTCACTGTCCTCACTTTTCAGTTTACCAATATCTCGCTTTACTCTAGTAGTTGTAAATCTAATACATTTTGTTTAATTCTCATTAAGTAGTTAGTTATTTACATTTAACCAGTTTACTATACGAGATAGATTCGTTTACATCGTCCAATAATATGTTTTTCCTATTCCCTTTAAATAGAAGTGAAGTGTCGTCAGCAAACAATATGTATGAAATCTTCCCACCGGAATTGATTGTGGAGCGACCCTAAGTAAAAGCATGACGTCTCAACTCAATATCTGATTTCCCAACTCCCAAGACCCAAACCATAATCTTTTTTTTTTAAGCCAACTGGGCACAAGGTACTTCGCCAGTGTCGTGTAGATGGAGAAGGCACGAAGGAGATTGATAGGTGAAAACCATAATCTTGATGTATAATAATATACAGTATGTTTATTAACAGGGCCTGATTAACCCTTAGGCTAATTAGGCTGAAGCCTAGGGCGCGACGATCTAGGGGGCGCAGGTGCGCTGAAATCGTGTCTTTGCGAGCATCATCCCCTGCATAATTCAACTACACCGAGACAAAACACTAAATGAACTGTGAACTGAAAAAGCTTGGGAGTCCCTGATTTTAACAATAGATGTTGAAATTTAAAAAGCGCGCGTAAAACAAACACTGACTTGTCATTCAAATCGATCGGTGGTAGAGCGAGTGAGATGGCAATAGCACAGCTCGCTGCGCCCGGTGAAACGCATCAACGGTGCACGGGGACTCCCCGGTGGTTAACATATTTTGTAGTTTATATACTTTTCTGCGTTACATTTGTCTAATAGTTCGTTCGTCATAACATAGCTCGCGTATATTCGTTTTAGGTGATATTTATTGTCCTTTCGTAAGTGTTACTGTATTTTTTTAAGACTATGAGTGGTAATGAGAATAGTTTGATAGTAAAAAAGCCAAGTGGAGCAGAATACAGAAAAAAAGCAAAAGAAAAAGAAAAGAAGCTAGAAAACATTTTAAAAAATACTCGTAAACTCGAAACATTTTTTACAAGCTCTGCAGAAAGGAACGAAACGGTGACGAATAGTGCAGTATCTTCAGCGATTTCTTGCCCTGGTCCCTCCACCGCGGACTGTACTGTATACGTTTCTCCGTCCAACACTAGCCCTACAGTAGCAATAAGGCCGATGATCTACTATGAAAACGAAATTATAACAGAAGAAAAGCCCCCGTCAAGCATTCCGTCAAGTGACCCTGCACTATGGCAAGTAAACAATGAATTTCGAGATTATATTGCTAAAAAAGGACTGCAACAAAACGAAGAAATAGATTTTTCCAGATCAGAAAGGCAGTATAAAAATCAAAAAAGATTTCTATCTAAAAACATGTTCGAAATGAAGCTTGTTAATGGCGAAATTGTGAAGAGAAGCTGGTTAGTGTATTCAGAATCCACAGGTCACGTGTTTTGTGGTCCTTGCAAGTTATATGGAGGAACATCCGTATTTGCCAAAAGTGGATTTAATGACTGGAAAAATGCTAACCTAATAACTGATCATGACAATTCTCCGGATCATCGTAAATGTTTGGGACAATATGTATCAAGAGGAAATTTTTTACAAAGAATGGATACCCAAATAGTCAAACAATATAATGAAGAAATAACTTATTGGCGAAATGTATTACTACGTGTAATAGAAAACAATAAAGTTTTTAGCTTCTCGTGGGCTTCCATTTCACGGTCAAAATGAAGTTATTGGATCTGCACTAAACGGAAATTTTCTTGGCTGTATTGAGCTTATATCTAAATTTGATCCTTTCATGGCTGAACATTTGGTAAGATTTGGGCAAAAAGTTAGAGGTTCTTCATCCTACTTGTCATCCTCTATAATCGATGAATTTATTTTACTGCTGGCTGACGAAGTTCGACTTACGATTGTAGGAGAAATAAAAAAGCAAAATATTATTCGATAAGCATTGATTCTACTCCAGATATTTCACACAACGATCAGTTGACATTTATTATTCGTTATATTTTGCCTGACGGAGAACCTGTCGAACGCTTTGTTACATTTTTTACCCAATTGCGGTCATAAAGGTGAAGACATGGAGGAGGCTGTTCTTACGACCATTAATAAAACTTTGGAACTTGATATTATAGACTGTCGTGGCCAAAGTTATGATAATGCTAGCAACATGTCTGGTCAATACAAAGGTCTTCAGTCAAGAATTAAAGCTGTAAATCCTCTGGCTACTTTTGTTCCTTGTGCAGCGCATTCTCTCCAACTCGTGGGATCAGCTGCCGCGGAAAGTAGTGACGAGTCAGCTGCTTTTTTTACACTGGAACAACAACTTTACAATTTTTTTTCTGGACCTACAAGAAGATGGCAACTTTTAGTATCCAAATTAGACGAAGAATCGACGGTACTAAAAAATCTGTCAAAAACTCGATGGAGTGCGCGAGCAGATGCAAGCAAAGCCTTATACAGTTCATACAAACAGGTTCTGGAAGTATTAAACTCTATTTGCGAAGATAAAAATCAAAGTAAAGAGACTAAAATAGAAGCAAAAGCAATTTTAGAAAAAAATGAAAACTCTTGAAATTGCAATAATGTTGTGCTTTTGGAACTCTGTGCTCGTCAAGTTTCAAATCGTCAGTACACAGCTACAAGGAAGTTCTGTTGATTTATCTGACGTAGTAACTCTTTATGAGACTTTACATGCTTATCTTGATACGTTGCGTAACGAAAAAGAGTTTGAAAATTTTGAATCAGAAGCAATTAAGAGATGCGAAGTGACCAAATACAAAAAAGACGTAAGAAGAAGAAAGAAACCAAAACTTCATTTTGATGAAATTAAAACGGGGCACATTGAGTTAGAAGGGAGGCGATCTTTCATTGTTGATAATTATTATGTACCTATCGACTGTCTTAAAAGTACACTTAAAAAACCGCCAAATTATTTATAATACAGTAAACACAACGTTTTGTTTCTTATGGAAACTGCATGAACTAGACGACAATGAATTTATTAGAAGCAAATGAGTTAAAACAACTATATGCCACTGATTTAGGAGAAACCTTTGCAGAAGAATGCGTCCATTTGGCGCAGTTTTTAAAATCTGACATCGAGGCCGAGCATTCTATTTTCGCCAGAACCCCAAAGGGTCTGTTGCAGTTGATAAAAAGTTTTAATATTTCATGCATGTTCCCGAATGTGGAGATAATATTAAGAATTTTTTTACAATGAATGTTACAAACTGTAGCGGCGAAAGATCTTTTTCAGCTCTTAAAAGAGTAAAAAATTACTTGCGCTCCACACTCCGCCAGCAAAAACTTACAGCGCTCTCGCTTATGTACATAGAAAGTGACTTTTTACAAACTATTAAATTTGAAAATATTGTGGAAAAATTTGCAAACTCTAAAGCAAGAAAAAGGCCTTTTGTATAAGCTTTATAATAATTAGGTAATTACTGTAATTTTCAAATAAATCATTAATCATTAGAAAAAATGTTTCACTTGTATGATTCCTCTCGTCTTTTTTAAAGATAACAACATAAGTGTAAATATTTTAAAATCACTTAAGTCGAAGCAACATCACATACTAGATGACCACGTCCATGGTTGGTTTAGACCGACCGTAATACACCTGTCACCTGGCGGGGGCGCATCCTGGTAAATAGCCTAGAGCGGTCAGAACTCTTGATCAGTCCCTGTGTTTATAGTATGAAAGCTCGACTGGACTAATGACAATTGACAATCTAGGATTAGATTGACAATTATAGATGAAATGTCCGTTTCCTTCAACATAATTGATAATGATAGGTGTTGAAAGTTTGAAAGTTAAAGTTTAGTGTTTACCGTAAGTTCAATGTTGATAATATAACCATTCGTCAATAGTGTATACTGTATACAGTTTATGCTCTTAGATTGCTTAGTACTCTTCTTCTTACTAACAATATTATTTCATCTCCTTGAATATGTTGAATAGAGGTAAAAAAATACAATAATTACAACTAACAGGTGATTTTAGTGCTATTATGGCAGTCACTGCAACCGATGCGATTCATCCACGTTTCGTAAAGAAACCATTATTTTACAGTATGGGTAGAGTATTTCGACTTTATTTGAAATTTCTAATTAACTAATAAAATATATTTTCGAGCAAACAATTTATTTATCTAAAAACTAAGCGGTTAAAGTGTTATCATAACTCCTTATCAATAATGACGCGCGAAATTTCTACGTACTAATTATATTATGTATTATAATATATGAGTACTTACTAGTAAATTTTATGTTCCAGGACTTAAAATAGCTTTAGTTCAGTTATCAGTAGGTAAAGATAAGAGTAAAAATGTGGCTCAAGCAGTAAAAAAAATTCACCAGGCTAAAGAGAAGGGAGCACAGCTAGTTGCACTGCCTGAATGTTTTAACTCTCCTTATGGAACCAGTAAGTTAAAAATTGCTTTCATTATTTTATTTTACTAAATATGTATGTTTTGTATGAATTGAGATTTAACAATGTCTGTTTTTCTTATGAAGCTTTGGTGTAATTATATTGTTTTTTTTAATTTCAGAGTACTTCAATGAGTATGCAGAAGAAGTACCATTGGGTGAGACAAGTAGTGCCTTATCCCAAGCTGCAGCCGAGGCTGGTGTATGTGTTGTAGGTGGAACAGTCCCAGAGAGATGTGGAGACAAACTTTATAATACTTGCACTGTGTGGGATATCAATGGAAAACTAATAGCCAAATATAGGAAGGTGGGGTTTTTTTTAAATTACATATCCAAGAATCTATGACTAGATTTTATGAACTTATGTCACATATTACTGTGATTCTATTCTTTAAACTCCTTGTGATTGAGAATTAATATTAATTGTGGAAGTATAAAATACAAATAAAGCTATTTTTTCTTAATACTAATTCTATGTGGCAAAGATATAAAGATATTATTAAGAGAATAAGAAGTCCATACTAATTTTACGAATATAAAGAGTTTGCGAAGTTGATCACACAAGGGACTAATAATTTCGAATAAAAAAAATATTTATCTATTGTAACGAGGAAGGCATAATAAAAAACATTGTATAACATAAATGGTTCATAAACTGGAAGAAAACTTATTTTAAGAGTTTCTTTTTTATAAGTACAGAGTTACTTTAGTATAAGTACAATAGTACCTGAAGTTATGTAAAAATAAATTTGACGAAATTATTTCTCTGTGTATTTTCAAAAAAATATACCGGCAGCATATGTTCATCATTTAAGGTTGAGACTTTCTTATTGTAATTAAATTTATTTTGAAATAATAGTTTTCAATGATGCTTTATTTTAAATACGTTACTCATATCTAGAATTTAACTTTCGACACATCTTACGAGATATAACAACTATTAATAATGGACGAGTACCGCGCTCGCATTCATTATTTACACGGGTTTTAACGCAGGTAAAACGAAAAGCTAATATAATATTACACATTCATCAAAATCCTTAAAAAACAAGCATATCAGAACAATTTACAAAAAAATGAATAAGAGAGATGTTTTCTTGTTTCTAATGCAAATTAATTTTTTAGATGCATTTATTTGATATAGATATTCCTAACAAAATAACATTCAAAGAATCAGAAGTATTAAAACCAGGAAATGAGATAACCACATTTGAATGCAATGGTGTGAAAATCGGCTTGGGAATATGTTACGATCTTCGCTTTCAAGAGATAGCACATCTAATGGCCAATGAAGGTATTAAGTCTTTTTTTTTAAAAGGACAATTACATGTCTAAATTTTAAACTATTATTTCCCAACTTCATGGGATAGTGTTAACAATATTTTATACAATTTATATGAAGGTTGTGGCTTACTAATCTACCCGGGTGCGTTCAACATGACAACGGGGCCTAAACACTGGGAGTTGCTCGGGAGGGCCAGAGCGACTGATCAGCAACTCTGGGTGGCTCTGGTGAGCCCTGCACGGGATGCAAATGCGGAATACGTGGCTTGGGGACATACTACCCTTGTAGACCCGTGGGGAGCAGTCGTTGCTAAACTTGATGAGAAAGAGGATACTCTTGTACACACTGTTGGTGAGTATTTTGTAATTATTTATTTTTATTTTTTATGGCTCTTGCACGATTTGTGCATTAGCCAGCGGCAAGTATAGGATTTTTTATAATTCGTGCTTGTCTTTAGAAATTCGACCGTGTCCTCCATGTATTTTGTAATTTCTCTAACTTAATTTGACGTATCATGTAGCGTGTCAACGATGTTGAACTAGAGATCAGTTGGCCAATCACAATCAAAGGGAACGCCGTCGTTTTGTTTTACATTTTCACACACATTTCCTATTACTAGAGTCGATTTTGACGAAATCAAGCCCGTTGTTTTACTTTGAACTGGTTGTGGTTATTAAATGCAAGGATCTAAACAACATGAACGTGACAACGTCGTAAGAACTGATGGAATGGTTGCATTTAGTTATTTTGATTAGATTATTTTGTATGGATATAGAGAAGGAGGTAAATGGAAATCACAATTGAATTGATCAAGTTACATTTATTTGTACGCATAAATACAATTATGTCAATAGAACGCCGCAGAGCGAGGTAACGCCGCATGAGTCATGGTTTTTTCGTGCGTGCAGCCGGCTCCATCGAATTATAAGACGTCACGTCAATAACATGTAAAATAACTTGTTTTAGATTTATCTATGCTTGAGGACGTAAGGGGCTCTATTCCTATCAGGGTTCAACGGAGGACCGATATCTACGACACCGTGCGTAAATCCTAGTCAGCATTGAAGTGCCATAGTGCTTTAACAATATTTTATGATACAATTGATATTGGTAATGCTGATGAATGATATTGCATTAATTATCATTAGTAAATATTGTATTGTTGGAATATGTTGTTTATAGTACGCAGTTATATTCCGTAAACCAAGTTAGAGTTAGAGGTAATAATAATTAGAGGGGTATTTTAAATAAAAATGTTGGTAATTAAGGTAATATGTAGTTTGTTAAATGTTTTTAATTTTATTTTAAATGAACATAATATAGATTTAAACAATAAAGGTTAAATCGTGTAAAAATTTTCTCAAATTTTGATATTCAGATCTGATTATCGCCAGTTCTATATGTAAAGAATATGGTGCGAAGATATTCGATATATGTATATTGTTTGATAAATATTTTTATTACAATTTGCTTGTATTATTTATAGCCACGTGCTTTTCAAATAATTCTAAAACTGTACTCCCGCATCCCCAGAATAAGGTAAATCCGCTTCCACCTAAAAACATAAATAGGTAGGTTATAAAATAATTTATATACTCTATGCAAAATAATTATAGATGTAATAGGTAATTAATGCATAGAGTCCGACAATTGATTACCCGATTATCTTTAATTCAGCTGTTTGATTTGCTGACGTACGTCGTTTAGAAATTTTATAACACATTGAAAAGTTGCCATTGTGTGGCGTCAGACTTATAAAGTTAAATAAAAAAAAACAAATATTTATTAAGTATAAATGTAGTAAATATACTTCATTTTTCTAAATATAGAATGAAAGATTTATTAATTTGATCATAACCTACGTAAAAACATTTCTAAAATTGTATTGTTATGCCAACAAAAATTAACTTTCCTAGAGCTCAAATCACAGACTACAATAGAATAAGGGTTACATTACGTTACTTACATTTAATTAAATAAACATGAGCGCTTTGCAACTGTATTTAATAATGGGTTTATATATAGTGTTTTCAATAGTCTTACCATGACCATAGTTGTGAATATACAATTTTCCGTTTATCCTCTCAGCTTCTGCGCGAACTTCATCTCTGGCTGGTCGTAGTCCAACAAAGTATTTTTGTATGTTCGCGGTCTAGTCATACAACAATAACATAAATAAAAAAAATATATTTTAAGCGTTTTACAAAGATTTGGTATAGAAAATAATTCTGCTATATATATATATATGTTTTTTTTATATAACGGGGCCAACGGGCAGGTGGCTCACCTGATGTTAAGTGATACCGCCGCTAATGGACACTCACATTGCCAGAAGGCTCGCAAGTGTGTTCCTGGCCTTTTAAGAATTGGTACGCTCTTCTCAAAGGACTCTTAGTCGAATTGGTTCGGAAATACTTCAGTGGGCAGCTGGTTCTACATAATTGTGGTGCGCGGCAAAAGCTGCATTAAAAACACTTAGTTGTGGAACATCGAGGTGATACGGGTGGTATTAGGTACTTATTATGCCTCGACGTCTGATGATGACACTCAGCTGCAGGTGTTAACCAGATTGAAATCCTGATTAATACAGAGAGAAACCACATCTAAATGCATCGCCAAGGGATCAAGCCGCTGAGAAAGTCACTGGTTGTCGACGATTTGAATGGCTCTTCATTGACCTTATCAAGAGGAAAGAGTTGGTAATGGGCTCTCGCCCAGAGGTGAGAACAGTACTCCATGTGGGACCGAATTTGCGCTTTATATATTGCAAGCGGTAGCCCGGAGTGAAGTACCCTTTTGCCTTGCTTAGCACTCCAAGCTTATTAGAGGCTAATTTAAAATTTAAATTTTCTATAAATAACCTCGAAACTGAATTCGATATTTCAACGCTCAGTATACCTACCGATGCTAGCTGAGGCTTTAAGGAGAGTGTCTTCGAAGAGAGGAGTAGCGACAGTGTGTTTTCTTTTGAAAAAACGCGCGAAAATACGTTATATTATAAAATGAACTATAATAATTGTCAAAGTACTTACTTTTAATGACGGTATTAAATTGTGGCAGCCTCTTTCAATAAAATCTGTGTCATCGTTATTCACCTCGGTACTGTAGTTGTTCGCTTGACCAGTACCGCCAAGTACACAAAATGTGTCGCTGTAGTATAAAAAAATATGACCTAATATATACACTTATACAAATAAAGAAAAATATTCGATCAGTTTGTTTGAGTACGCTAAAAGATTAAAAATTATATCACCATGGAATTTACAATAATAACTTATGTTTTAATTTATTGTTATGTTTGTTGTTATGATTTTCTATTAGTGACAAATTTTAAAACCCCTTAATAATATCCATTAAAATGCAGTAGCTCTATTAGTATTTATGGGTCTTGGTCTTAGTTTGATCGAGTTTTAAGTATAAGCCTTGTCAGACACGATGTTGACAAGTTTTCATTGCGGGGATAGAAAAATCCACTAAGGCCCTTTCTCCTCTGCTCCGGTCCGACGTCGGATACCGGAATGAGTCATGAGAAAAATATCGGAAGGCCGGATTGCGCTTCTCAACTATTTCCGATCTGACAATAATCGATACTTGTGTATTTATCGTGCAACACTTATATTAACTAAAACCCATATACTTAATTTTATTAATAAAACGGAAGAACGGCCTAAGCCTTATTTCCGTTCGGACTCTGGCTATGCCTTAGTCACTAAGGCCTCCGAACCTCTAATTCTGCCTTGCGATTCTGTTACGTCATTCATTTAATTCATTCAAGCAGTAATTTTACGATTTGGCATTCTGATAAGGTGGGAGCTTGTAGTTTATTGTTTATCAGAATGCCAAATCGTAAAATGACTGCTTTACGACTGATTTGAGCGCGACCGCCGCTGCTCTGATTTTATGAATGGTTGAAACTTACTTTGGTATTATATAGTGACCCGAGCATTTGTCTTGGATAGTGTAGAACACCCAGGGCGCGTCTACCTATACAAATAAAACGGCTTAATATAGCACATTAGAATAAAACTTCTTTAACGGATATAAATCGTTAAAAACACTACTTTTCACAATACCTTAAGTATTTGTCCCCTTATTGGGTGCACTTTGTCATCGGGGACTACTTCCCGAGCTCCTAAACCCGTGCAATTTATAATAACGTCATAATGCCTTAACATGGAATCCGTCAGTGATTTCACACTACCTTGCTTTCTTGTAACTTTCAATTCGTCTAATTGTTGTTCGAGTCGTTTCAAAAGAGTGGATGGATTAACAACGAATGTGTTAAATGTGTTGCCAGCTCTGTAAAGGTGATGTGTGCATTATTTACAAGAAAACAGAAAAACATGCATAATATCATGTAGGGGCCTCCAGTGCTTAACACACGTCGTTGACTTTTTGGGTCTAAGACATGTCGGTTTCCTTACGATGTTTTCCTTCACCGTTTAAGCAAATGTTAATGCGCACATAGAAAGAAAGTTCCATTGTTGCACAGCCGGTGATCGAACCTACGACTTCAGGTATGAGAGTCGCACGCTGAAGCCACTAGGCCAACACTGCCGTTAAGGAAACAATTTGTCTAATTTGAGTAATTCATTTAAAATTTTAAATCATACAAGTTTTAATCGCAACTCGCGAAAATTTTTGAGGCTCGTCAATCAAGAAAATAAATAAAATACATAATTATTGGTTCATCAAGTTTCTTAACACAAAAACAAAAGACATCGATACATACACATACTGAACAGAAAAGAGTTTATTAAAATACTCCAACTGTTTGCTGTCCAGCTCCACGTAACCAAAAACGTGATTGGTCCACTCTGGCGCTGAGTGTGTCCCATCTCTATACATCGCGTAAACTGGTTGTAGACTTATACCATAACCACCTTGCCGCCAAAGATAAAGAAGTTGACCGTAGGTTTCGATACCCCATTTTCTATAAAAGACAAGCTTGTAAGTAACCTTCAAATTTCAAGAGAGAACTTTTGTATGCCAGAAATAAAGAAGTGCTGTCATATGCATAAGTAGGTATAATTTTTAGTACTGTCTGTCTATTTTAATATCATTATGAGAACTTAGCTTACCTAATCAAAGCTTCTGGTGTTTTTCCACAAAAGTAAGGGTACCAAAGGCCTCCTGAGCCATCCCCAGTAGTGTTTGGGCTAAATTGCGCACCTAACAACGTTACCTATAATTGTAGGGAGAATTGGAAATTTATTCATTAGTTAAGTCTACTCTAAAACGAAAATAAAATGTATTTCCAATAGCCGTTATTAAACAGTAGCCGCTACTTTTTAGATTAGTGTACTAATTGTTTAAGAAATCGGTTACGTATGTATTTTGTAATTACTTTTTCTAATCGTTTGTAAAAACGATGAAAAGTAGTCTAAGTAATCTGCCATCTTGCTGTTACAGACTTATCATTATCTATGTGAGATAGATTTTTGAATATTATGATTCAAAAGCATATTTTGTATTAAAATGTAGATTTTCACCTTTTTAAAATATAATGTAAACGTGTCTTCGACTAATTGCATTAGTATTCTTGGAAATCGGTATTAACGATGTTAACATGTAAATTAATGTTCAGCGTTTATTGGTAGGTGTTTCATTTGTCTAAAATCTGTATTTAGTTCTGTATACATATATCGACTTCTAATTTCCTAACATTCAATCTCCTTGCCAATCGAGTTAAACAATATTTGTGCTCCTATAATCAGTTTTAGCTAATGATAATATTGATAAGGCGAGACTGTTAACCCCGAGGTCGTGTATTCAACAAATGGCTGTGCCCCAACGGCTTCCTTCTTCTATGTGCGCAATCTACACTTCACGTCTGAGACCCGAAATTAATGGCATGTGTCAGGAAAAAAAATCTGAACGGAACTTCTACTTGTCTATTTAAAAACAATGTATTACTATCACCGATATATAGCACTTTTAAACTATGGTGGTACAAATTTTCCGTATTCTGTAAGAAAAGATTAACTTACATCATAATCCGGGTATTTTTCTTTTATTTTCAACGCACATGTTGTGCCGTTTATCCCAGCTCCTAACACAATCACCTTCATTATAGACCAGAACAAAAACGACTAGCACAGAGGTCATGAACAAACAGTATAATTAATAATATGCAAACAGTGCCTCTTATCAAACAACATAGTGATAGTGAGAAATGAACGATTAATTATATAAAACCAAATATATAGCATAACAAACCTGTAGTATCTTTTTATTAAGAATGGTTAACAAGTATGCTTTTTTATAAGTTAACAAAAGCTACACCACCTTAAACCGCCACCACTGCTCACCACCGTTTGAAATCAAAAATATTATTCTAGATTTTATAATAGATGGTTCTTGGGATCATATTTTATTTTTATGTATTTATCTATGGATAAACTGGGTTTGTATGAAGCACACTGGTGCAATTTGCAGAGGTTCTTTTACGCAGCATATACATACAACCAACTAAGACTGCATTAAGATACAGAAGTTTTACAAAATGTATGAATTGGTCTCTAAAATGACCTGAATGTTGTTGACGTGGACGTTTGAATCGCCTCGTGAACCTATATATATCTATAGTAGGTATGCGTTTAGGTAAAGTTTTACCAAGTTTAACTGTATTACGCGAACTCTAGATTCATTCTTGCAGCTCATACTTATTTCATTTCAGTAAGGCAAAATCTTTTATACAAAAACAAGTTTTATAAGTTTTTGTCGGCAAAATTTGCTTCTATTTTTACAGTTTTCATAATGAGAATCCCCCCTCATTCTTACCATAAGGTTTACCCTTACCCTTATGTGATACAAAACCTTTTAGATTAGAGCAAACTCATGAGCTGTGGAAAGCCGCCGGTTACGAAACTTTAAAGAAAACCCCGCAATTTTTTAAATTTATCTAGTCCTTGCATCTGTTGTCGGTAGGTTGGCAGCGTCGAATGCCAAATAATAATAATGTAGTACTAGAAGGTTGGGCCAGTCACCAGTGTCAGCGGCCTTTTTTTAAATGATTTAAAAAATATGATCATAAAAGTGTACTATTAAATTTTTTGTAATATAGTCCTATAATATTACTCAAAAGTAGTTCTTGCAAGAATTCAATGCTATTGTCTAATCAAAATATAACTGTTTGACAATATTTATTGTTAATAGTCTATGATTGGTTCGACTGAGGAGTACTGTACTACTTTATTCTGTTCATTAGTTAAGTCTGTAGTCTGTGACTTTGTTTGTGTACAAAACTGTTGTACGAACTACGAATCCACCTAAATACCAACTATTTAAATCTAAGGCTTGTTAAATTAAAACAGGTTCAATAATATTAAAGAAAAATCATGAAGTAAGAATTATTGCTTATAAATAGTAATCCTACCGTAATAGCAGCGAATCATAATACGTTTTTTTTCTAGGTTAACTGTAGATGGCTTACTTGTATACTTTCCATACGATTATATTTATCCAGAGCAATATGCATACATGCTGGAATTAAAGCGTGCATTAGATGCTAAGGTAACTTATTTATTTTAAACAACACATTTATACAACAAGAGGACTTGGTAAATGTTTGCTCCTAAAAGAGCTTTGAAAGATTTCATTCTACTATAATAATATGTGCAACTGAGAACATATAATCACTATGCATCATTTTTTTACCTCTGTTTTGTAACAGGGCCATGGACTGTTGGAAATGCCTTCAGGGACCGGTAAAACTGTGTCATTGTTGTCACTTATTGTTGCTTATATGATACAAAACCCCCATCATGTAAGGTGAGTTATCCAAAATATGATGGGTATGTTTAATAATTTATCTATTTGTTGTTTTCTGATTATAGCCCCACTTGCTTCACCCATGTGAAGTTGTATTTATGGTTTCCTATGTACTATTATTAACAATTTTTTGTAGACTTATAATATAATACTGAATATTCATAAGCATTTATTTACTCTAAATAAATAATACAGCATAACAAAATACAGTATGTATCTTTACAGAAAACTTATATACTGTTCCCGAACTATTCCTGAAATAGAAAAAGTTTTAGAGGAATTAAAAAATCTATTTAAGTACTATGAAAAGTCACAGGGAGAGAAACCTAATCTTACTGGAGTTGTTTTAAGTTCTAGAAAAAATATGTGTATACATCCAGAGGTAAATTACTATTAATACATTTTATTTTATTTGTGTCATGTTGTAATAAAACAAAATGTCAGAGTAAATCACTCAAAAGTGATCTACGGATATATTTTATAGGTTTCCCAAGAAAGAGAAGGCAAATTAGTTGATGGCAAGTGTCACTCTCTAACTGCAAGCTACATCAGAGAGAGGCATGAGCATGATATAAGTGTTCCTATATGTAAGTATTATTTTTTGGTGACTGCAATAAGGAACATCATTTAATGGGGTGCTTTGGTTGATATTTTACTCTAAATTAATATAACATTTCCAATGATGTAACTACATGTAAAAATCTATGTTTCTATTTAGATGGTATATATTTGGCTTATATTTTTTGTTTTCAGGCCAGTTTTATGAAGGTTTTAATACTGAGGGAAGAGAATCAATGCTACCATATGGAGTGTATAATGTAGATGACCTAAAACAATATGGAGCTGATAGAAACTGGTGTCCTTACTTTCTCTCTAGATTTGCGGTTTGTATTTTCAAGTGTTTTTGTTTTAATTGTGTTTCTTATTACTACAATAAAATGTGAATTCCTGCAACTCTCCAATAGGGCATAAGGCAAAGACATCTCCTATGTCTGTTCCATGTAATTATTGTAATTACATGTACTTGTTATAGGCAAGGTTCTTATAAAAACAAGCCAGGGGGTTTAGTCAAGATGCCTTAACTAACTAAATTTGTATGAAAATTTGTCTACACAAACTGTCATTTTCATACAATTTAAGTTTTCTACTTTCTACATACACTACTAAGGTATTTTAACTAAATCCCCAGGACCTCTCAATAAAACTTATAAACCAAAAGATAAAGGGCTTTTCATAAAATCTAATTGGTGTTTTGGCTTTACTTAACCTAAATTGTCCACAGATAATTCATGCAGAGATAGTAGTGTATTCATATCACTACTTACTTGATCCAAAGATAGCAGAAGTGGTATCGAAAGAGTTGAATAAGGAAGCAGTAGTTGTCTTTGATGAGGCTCATAATATAGACAATGTATGTATAGACGCGCTCAGCGTCAAAATCACTCGCCGTACCATAGACAAAAGTACACAAGCTCTACAATCCCTAGAGAAGTCCGTGGCTCAGTAAGTACATATTATTATATGCTAAAAACATACCATCCGAGAATCACGTGAAGTAACACGAGTGATGAGGAAAAAATATTAAATGGATTTTTATTGTTATAGAATGAAGGCAGAGGATAGCACTCGTCTAGCCGCTGAGTATGAGGCATTAGTTGAAGGATTACGGGAAGCAGCCCAAGCAAGAGATACGGACACAATACTCGCGAATCCCGTATTACCTGACGAGGTTTTGGATGGTATGACATCTAATAAAAATTAAACGAACTGGTGCATATACCAGGTGATGTTTTTTTGTTGAATTTTCAAATGAAATCTTTAATATGATAAATATGAAACAAACTTCATCGTTTTCTTTTTGAAAATATATCTATGGCATTAGTTAATAGGGTGCATTAGGAAACAAACGAAATATTTTAAATTTCAGAAGATGTTTTTTATACTTATGATTTTCAAAATCTTTGAGTTTTATTTTAATGACTAGGTTTCTTTTTATTTAAAGCCATCTTCAGTATGTAATACCACTGTCCTAACACTGTGACAGCTTTGTATAGTCTGTGTTCTTTCTTTGTTTATAGGAGTTGTAAAGAACTGTATGTGATGATCCGTTGTAACTAAATTTGAATTTTATACAGAAAAATATTGACTATTTTATTAAATAAATCTTTTATTATAGAGGTGGTCCCCGGTAACATTCGCAATGCTGAGCATTTCTTGGGTTTTTTGAAGCGGTTTATCGAGTACCTCAAGACACGTCTCCGCATACAACATGTTGTACAGGAATCTCCCGCTGGTAACATTAATGAACTTATTATTTTCTTTTACAATTTTTTCGTAAGTGCTGTTTCTGTGACAAACTTAACAAATAGGCGTTAAATTAATATTACAAGTTTTTTTAAAGAAGAATTACTCCTAAAATACGACTGGTGTTTTGGTATTTTTACAAGGATATATTTAAGTACTCGCTTAATTAGTTTTATTGTTATTTTAAAAACATGATTACAAATTACAATTCACCATTTTAAGCTTGGGGTTTTTTTAATGTAACATTTACATACATACACGTTTTGTATGTAATGTGTTCAGTATTTTAAAATTATTGACTTCAATTCTAATTTATTGTACTTCAAATTTATCAATATTTAAAAACAATACATCAACGCAGGTTTCTTGAAGGACGTGTCAGCGCGCGTGTGTATTGAGCGAAAACCGTTAAGGTTTTGTGCTACGCGACTGCAGTCACTCTTGCGCACGCTACAGGTGATTATTACCTTTTATTACTTAAAAAAGGAACAGATTTTCAAAGATAGAATACATCATGAAGTAAAAACTATAGAATGAAGAAATTAGTTTAATATATTTTAAAACAATTAGGAAGCGTTCAAGTATTAAGTCACGCAATTTTTGGAGATTATTAGAAATTTGAATTTGTCGTATGTTTTTTTTCGAAGGACTTAAAAAATTATATTTAACAGGTATCTGACCCTTCTCACCTCGCGTCCCTGACGCTTGTGACTAATTTGGCTACTTTAGTGTCTACGTATACCAAAGGCTTCGTCATAATCATAGAGCCCTTTGATGATAGAACACCCACTGTGTCTAATCCGATATTGCATTTTTCGTAAGTATTTTTTTATAAATTGTCAGATACAATTTAACATTACCATCTAGCCTAACTTCAGACTAATTAGTAAATTAAAACTAACCTAATTTACTAAAAAAAATTAACATAAGAAATTGTCCTATAACATTATTTACAATCTCTATTAAGGGGATGACACTCTCCTCTTGCGTCCTTTTTTTTCAAATAAGAAGGGGAAGAAATTTTTACAAATAAGATCAATTTAGTCTATTTATTTTAATTTATTATTTTGTTCCGAAATAGCCACAGACACATGATCGTGTTTTGTTTTTCGGAGAAAAATCGTTCTAAACCCAAAATTTCCTCGCAACAATCAATCTAGTGTTTCTCAGTGTCAAAATTAAGAAGATATTTGGAGCCTTGGTATGAAATCTGAATTTAATAATAGAATTTTTATTTTTTCAGGTGTATGGATTCTTCAATAGCTATGAGGCCGGTGTTCGCGAGATTTCAAAGTGTCATCATTACTTCTGGTGAGGCAATTTTTTATATACATATGTAAAATATATAAATTATACTGAATTAACATTTACTGCCACTTGTCAAATAAAGATAGTAAAAAATTAAAGCAATTTTAATCGCCTCATGTCTAAAAAAAACGGATATTTTAATGTTACTTTTTAAACGTAGAATAACTTTGTGGTATTTCAGGCACATTGTCCCCTTTAGACATGTACCCGAAGATCTTGGATTTCCATCCTGTTGTAGTGAGTTCCTTCACCATGACCCTCGCACGGCCCTGCTTATTGCCCATGGTAATACACTATGCCTCTATTTTTTAATTCTTGCTTAATCATTATAAATAAATTAAGTGAACAGAAACACCAAAGAAACACTAAGGAGTTTGGCACCTTGGTTCCAAAGTTAAATAAAAAAAAAACAATGTTTGTTTTGCTTTACGTGACAGTTTACAGACTGACTATTGTTATACATTGGGCGTGTTTGGCCGAAGTAAGTACTTACTAAACTTAGTAAGCCAGTAAGCATAAAAAAATTAAAGTCTTACAAGCTGACTGTAGCGCTTTTCGGCCAGGACAGACTTACTGGCTTATTAACATAACACAAAACACCGGTTTATGTCATATCCCGTACATAACCTCATAGACTGAATATAATTGACAGTACTAAATTTAGGAATATAATTTAATACCTGTGAATAGTTTCAAATGGATAATTTTATGAGAAATATTTTATTGGATATTTTATTGTCCGTTTTGTTTACATCAACAATAAGCAAAATGGCGTCGTATATTAAGCCATACTTACTGCGTTAGCACTTATTTTGTGTCCCGGCCGAAAATTTTGTAAGCATAGTAAGTGACTTACTAAATTTAGTAAGTACTTACTTCGGCCAAACACGCCCAATAACGCTTGTTTTTTTATATTTATTACAAAGTATTAATCTACAAAAATCACAATCTTGTCTATAGGTATATGAGATAAATAAATGCCAGTAACCACATTTTTATATTATTTAAAAAAATGATTTTAGGTAATACTAATTATTGAAAACATTATTATTTAACTTCTTAATATTTTTGAAGTGAAAACTTCTTTAGCGGCGTTGTACACTTTTTTGGAATGGGTAAAAAATGTTTAACTCGCGTCAGGACACGTGACGTGATTGAAAATTCGTAAGACGGATGGAGAGTAGACAGTTAGCGTGGCGTATTTAATGTAATATAAATTGTCATGTTTGTGTACGATAGCGCAATAAATAAATATTGTATTCTACCACATAAATGATAGTAATTTTATAGTGATAATTAAAGCAATTCGTGCAAAATTATTCCCTAACCATTCCAAAATATCAAAAATGCACAACGTTAATTCAAGTTTTCACTTCTGCCGGCACTCCCGGAGTGCAACCCGTCGTTTTATTTTTGTTTACAATGGAAATAAGAAACCATTTATTTATAGAATTGATTTCGTGTCTAATATATAATGTGTGTAATATATTATGAACGAATTTGTGGTTTTATTAAAAAAAAAATTGCAATCTCACGTCGCTTTTTCTTAGAATTGATGATTATAAATTTTCAGATAGTGTCAAAAGGCAGCGACCAAGTTGCAATATCGTCTAAATACGAGACTCGAGAAGACGTCGCTGTCATCAGAAACTATGGACAACTTCTTGTTGAAGTAAGATATTCTTACCGTTGAACGAGCTTTACTCTAGTTCCTTTATTCGTAAACGTGAATACGATAATTGCAGTTTTTGACGGAACGTATAGATTATTAACGTATTGATTTAGAGATTTATTTAAGTGAGATGAGACTAAGAAAAATACTAAGTGAGTCGGCATCATCCGGACACGCATTTGTTGGCGCAATCGTAATATTTTAAATTAGTGTTGCCCAAAATCGGTCTTGGTCTTGTTCTTGCGTTTCCGCAAGACCAATAACGCCTTATTGTAGCAATACCAAGACCAAGACTGAAGCCTGCAAGACTTGAGCAAGACAATACTAAAGCCTGCAAGACTCTTGCGTCTTGCAGTTAAGACAAACTGAGATTTGGGCGTTATTAAGTAGGTATTTGGTTTCAATCCCGATTTTGAGAGACGTTCCCCAGTATTAAAACCATTGGTATCGTCATAACACTAAACGTGCCGCTTGTCTGAAAGAGCACTGAAAGGTATTGTATTGATTAAGTAGGGAAGTACTTATTATATTTCAACAATTTATTAATATAGGTAGCGTGTTAATACTCACAAATCTGTTACCATCATCCCATGTGATAAAATTTACCCAGAATAACTTTCTAGCAAAGATCATACCTTGTAGGTAGCAACTAACCTATAATAATATATTATGCTTGTTTATGTCTAATGTGCAGATCTAACGTTAGTACTCGTAGGTTGGTATGTGCTTAAAACTATAGCCAACCAAATTATATAAACATTATGTAGGTACCTACTTATGTTTCAAAGTTTATATTATTCTTCTATTTAGCAAAATTTAAAACTAACTGCGAGTCGAGTAGGTCTAGTAACAGTTTCTACGGCAGCCAATATTATGGTACAGACGCCAGCACATCAAGCTACTACAATCTGTCAAATTTCTTTAACAGATTTTCAACTTTATCGCTAAAGAATTAAGGTTCAAGGTTGATTGGGAAAATTTGACGTTCTGCGAATAAGCTGTTGGTCGGTCGATGTATTATATACCTACTTATTTGATAAATACCGACAAAGAGGCCGCGGTTTGCAACGAGTGTATCACAGCATTTGAAACTGTTTGAGCGCCGCATTCGCCGACAAAGAGTCCGGAAAGAGGCACACAAAATTGTTACCTATTTTGGTAGGGTTGGTACAGGAGGATAAAATGAAATGACCTTGAAGATGTCTCAGCAGTAGGTAGGGATAAATTGAATGCTCTGAGTTTCTTGTATTTAAATACATTCTCACACTGGCTCGAATTCGAACACTACAGCGTTTAAAGCTGTCGGGCGAGATGATAATTAATAACTAAGTAGGTATTGCATCTATTGAATTGCGAATATTTTGATTTTGAAATAATCATTGTTAATATCGGTGAACGATATATAGTGAGTGATATACCTAGGTACTAAAATGTGCGCAGCATAATTGAAAAGTGTTTATGCCATGTCAGTGCTTTCCATAAGTTTATTTTAAAAAAAAGCTCTCAAGTAAGATTTATAGTTTACCATTCAATTTAGATTTAGACGGAGTACTTAGGAAATTAGTAGAAAAAATATTCTATCGTGGATACCTAGTTTTTAAAAAGTTGATAAACGTTGTGTTTACTTAATTTTATTTTTCTGTGCTAATGCCAACATTGACAACCCTACCAAAAAAGGTAAAAATTTAGTCCGCTCCTAGACTTTGTGTCCCCGCCGTCGCTTTCATGTCAAAGGTCGCCGCCACTGCCCATGTCCCAAAGAATAAAATAAGTTTCCGGGTGCTCAGAACGGACACAAATAGATTATGTTGTCCTCGCAAGGAAGATTGTAGTCGTAAGGATAGGTAGATATTATAAAAATTGTTGTAAGTAATAAAAATATAGTTTATATTATTATTACCTATAATACCTTTTTTTTAAAGGACATTGCACTGCAAAATTGGAAGTGGGTGATTTTAACCAACTTGAAACGTGGAAAAGCTTCAAATATGAGCGACGTCATATTGCTTTACGCATTTTATTTTAAAATCACACACTTCCAAAAATCGAGATTTGCAGTGTCGATTTACCAACTTCTATCGTACCTACTCTAATCTAATAAATAATAAAAATAATCGTCGTTATTTTTCTAAGGAATACAATTTTGTTGAAGTAGGTACCTACATCGTTTCTCACTTACACATACTTTAACGACTGTACCTACGTAGCAAAGCGCGCCAATTTCCTAAAAAATGTACCTACGCACACTGTAATGAAATCTGCTAATCTCACACGCACTTCCTTATTTTGGCCGCATAGGTAGCATAGGATAGCCCGCCAAACTCAATTTTTTTTTGCAATTTGCAGGCTAGGGCTAGATTGTTGATTAAAATATTATTCGCGCTGTAAGACGTATGTAGTTACAGAGTCAACTACATACGTCTTACAGCGCGAATCATAATCTAAAATCTAAACTAACGTGTTCAATAAATAGCAATAGGCTAATAGGTATTTGCAAGTCTTGCGAGACTCTTGCTGCAAGATCAAGACCAAGACTGAGAGCGCAAGACCAAGATCAAGACCAGGTGTATTGACGCGAGACCAATACCAAGACTGGTCTAAGTCTCGTCTTGGTCTTGCATTTGGGCAACACTATTTTAAATGTTATTTTTCTAAAATTTTGTTTTTTACCCAATCACTGGGTCTGTCTTAACAGTATCGTCTATCCATACAATTTGAGTTAAATGTTGAATTAATTACAATCATGCAACGCAATGCTTATATTATAAAAAAAAATTAAATTAATTTTTTTAAAGCTTCAATTATTTCGGTTTTTGAAACAAATCTTTTCTGTTTTTAGCGTTTGACTTTTTTAGTCTAATGGTTGGAATTATTTCAAGGAAAAGAAATTGTTGGCGCCATAATGTTTGTTTTTTTACATATTTTCTTGTTATTTATTATATGAATGTCAAACTTAAATGGTTTATCGGATACATTATTACAGATTGTATTTATTATTATAGATTACAGATTCAGATCACGTTAAAATTGTATCTCTGGTTCGGGAATAATGTATCAAGAAGCGACTGAACAAAATTAAAAAAAAATAAGAAAAGAGTCGAGTATTTATCAGTTTTCAATAATTTTCAGATATCAGCGTGCGTACCCGATGGCGTAGTGTGTTTCTTCACTTCGTATTTATATTTAGAAAGTGTCGTTGGCGCTTGGTACGATCAAGGTAAATATCTCACGTTTGTGTTTTTTTTGTCTATAATTCTCCATTTGTTGTATTAGTGAAATTTCAAAATTTATATTAATTTAAGCAATACAAAAAGAACTTGAATAACGTTGTATGGGGTTTAAATAAATTTCTCATTTACTTTTATAAATATTTAATTCCGTTATAATGAAAATTTCCGATGATAATATTAATCATAGGTTTTTATCAAAATCGAATAAAAATGTATGTTTTTCCGATATTGTTAGAAGATTTAGATTACAATTTATAAAAACTAAATCTGCCTAATTGCACTGCAACTTTTTTTTTATTTGCTCAATAGTAATCCTACAGCTACTTATTAAACAATATTCAAACAATTACACTGTACACAAAGGCCAAAAACGGAATACACATTTAAACATACACAAAACACAGTTTCACCTATACGAATACAAATAATATACAAATATGTTATTATAATAAATTCTAAGTTTTAAAATTCATTGTTCATTATCAATTAAATATACATTATTTAATACAAAGGAAGAATTTTTAAATTATTTAAGTTTTCTTTTAATTATTTTTTAAACATTTTTTACTTACATTAAATATATCTATTTGCTGGTAATTTGTGTTATAATCTGAAGGTATACGAGGTATACATGACTGAGTTACGTAAATAGTTTTTATTAGACCGAGGAATTTTAAATAGTTGGGTTTGCCTCGTATTGTATGAAGAAGGGGTGTGAAATAGTAAAAGCGACAATAAGTCAGGACAGTCTATTTACACTATGATGAAAAGAGGTAGAGATTTCAGTTAAATCGGTGCAATTTGACTTTTTTTAAAGCTGAGTGTAAGAATTGTTACAGGTGTTGTGGCAAGTCTCCAACGACATAAACTACTCTTCATCGAGACCCAAGACTCTGCAGAAACGAGTTTCGCTCTCATCAATTATATAAAGGTAATACGCAAAATATTTAAACTGTCCAGACGTTATCGAATATTTTAAAAATAAATTCAAGGATTTCTTACCATCCTAAATCCAGGTTAAAAAATTCCATCATCAAATACCGGTAACGCGCCCATGGGCTTGTCTTGGCTATATTCAAACTTCATTAGAAAATTTTTGACTAAGGCAAAATAAAACAACAATTTATCCATATTAAAACTATACTGTCACTAGAATAAATTTGGTGATACTTCAATCAACATCATCAACATCTCGTAATGGCCTCCTGTTTCATAACCATATAAAATAAGCAATTTCTCATAGTTTATAAGGATCTTTTATTTATTCTCACTTAATTACGCATACAAGAATTGAGCAATATTAATAATGAACTTAAAACTTACTAAGCGATCTGGCAGGCAACCCTAATTAAAGAACGGAATAACTATAATACAAAAAAGTCGGCAAAAACAAATATAAATAAAGATATTAACTTATATTAACCTTTTTAATATGTGGTATTATTAAAAAGGTTATGAAACAAATATGTATATATAGAAATATGAATTGTATAAATGTTTAAGGCGTGTGAGAGCGGCCGCGGAGCAGTGCTGTTGTCTGTGGCTCGCGGCAAAGTGTCGGAAGGAGTGGACTTCGACCACCATTTGGGCAGAGCTGTGCTTATGTTCGGGATTCCTTACGTCTTCACGCAGAGTCGGATACTTAAAGCCCGACTCGAGTATTTGAGGGATCAATTTCAGGTAAATATTATATATAAAAATATTTTGATTTCAAAGATCGAAAATTTGGGATTTTAGGATCATAGACCTAAACAGTTTAAACTTAAATCTCCTAATCTGTTAAATTCTCCAAAAGTTCCGTTATGATATGAATAAATGTTTTAGTTTACCCATAAAGCTAAGAGAACTGCACATACATTAATTTAAAAAATAGTTTAAATCATAAAGTTATATTCTTTACAAGAATTTTTGAAAATAATTTAATTAATTTGGATTGTTATTACTATATTATATATCTACTTATTTGATTATTTCTCACGAATTTCTTTTTATCACTTATACATCATTACATGCCATTTTATTTAGTTAATTTGTGTTACGAATGATTATTTTTATTAAAGAACTAGCAGTGCTCTGCGGTTCCACACGCATTAAGTCGGTCGTAGCACTCGTAATTTCATACAGACCCATAACTTTTTTGAAAATATTCTATAACCTATGTTCATCAGGAATAGGGTTCTAATGGTGAACAGATATTTCGAATTTTTGCAAAGACAAAGTTCGCGGCGATAGATAGCGTAAAATTACAATATTTTATCATAATGTGACGTGACACTTTTGCTTACCGTGATTGTTAAAAAGCACTCAATATGTCAAGTTATGTAAATAATGAAAACTCGTAATTATATCCTTTATTTAATTTTTTACTTATAAATATAAAAAAAATTATAAATTAACTAATTTTTTTTTCTCTGTAGAATTAAAATGATGTATATATTCAAGAAAAGCTTTATATATTTATTAATGTATCCGTTCGATAGATACGCGAAAACGACTTCCTAACGTTTGACGCGATGCGACACGCCGCTCAGTGTGTCGGACGAGTGTTACGGTATGTTTAGAGTTTATGCCTATTTTATTACATACAGGAAATTATTAATTATCAAACAGCTTTTTCTTATTAATATTGGAATATAAGTTTTTTCTAATATCGTGTGAACTTCTTCAAACACTAGACCGAATTATATATAAAGATATTTGCCTTGTACTTTACAAAACGTCAAAAAACTAATAACACTTACATATTTTGTTGTATGCTTTTAGACCCGAATTTGTGCAACGACGGTAATTTAAAAATATTTAAAAAAAATTTTTTTTTAAATTTTCAGTGGTAAAACAGACTACGGTGTCATGATATTCGCGGATAAGCGTTTCAGTCGCGCGGACAAGCGAACTAAATTGCCAAGATGGATACAGGAACATCTTAAAGACTCTCTTACTAATCTCTCAACTGAGGAAGCCGTGCAGGTAAAAACTAATAATTTATTTACAACGAAACTTACTATTATATATATATGTAACGGATTAAAAGTATCCAAATACGCCTCTTCACTTACTAACAGGAAAATATAGTTACCTAGTACTTACCCGTGAATGTCTCAACAACCGTACGTTAAAACCCCGGATTTGCTTGATTTGATTTAATAGATTCGAACATTTGCTCGTTCGGTGAAGATATTATGCTCAGGCTGCAATTTCCCCGTACTTCTAAAGTTATTAATTCTTTTTTGGGGAAAGGGATACTCTTCTTTAATAAAATCCCAGAGGCTCTTTTATCTCTGCCTTTCAATAAATTTAAGAAATGTATTAAAGAAAAGCTGTGTAAAAATGGCTTACTATAAAGTCAACGATTATCTAGTTGATAAAAGGGCCTGGGACTAGTGCTAGACAGGCTACCTCTAATTAATTTGCGATATTTGTTTTAAAATAAGTGTTGTTTGATGATTTGCTATTTTAAAAGAGTACCGAGAGTTTTTTACGCCGGCTTTTTCTCTCGGCCTACACCCTCTGTCTTCTTTGCCGATGAGTAGGGATGCCTACAAATTCAAATTTAATGACGTGGAATAAGTGATTCACGTATCTTATGTTCCATAATAAACATTTTATTTATCTATTCTCTTCTTGTTAAAAATGATATGATACAATATGAGATTGATGCATATAGTGATATACAGCTACTGGATTAGTATGTTTTTAAGATTTACTATTCCTGACTATAACGACTTACAACACAACTACTAAAGAACTATGTTTGAAATTTTTTTTTATTTTATTTATTATTGTTATCGACAGGCTCTACAATCTTATTATCTACGAACATTATGTTTTTTGGTCCCACAATTTTACTCATCTGATATTTATTACTCAGCTTCCCAACTTAAGATAATATTACGACTTGTGCTTACAGATCTGCAAGCGTTGGCTCCGACAAATGGCCCAACCCTTCACTCGCGAGGATCAACTGGGTGTGTCTCTGCTGACCCTACAACAGCTTCAGAGCAAAGAACAGCAGGAGAAGATACAACGAGCGGTAGTACAGCAATGACCGTAGTGGGGGCATGGGACGTATCTAAGAGTTCCCTGCTGGCAAGATATGGACGTGAAGGGGCGAGAAAGTCTTTGCAGGTTAAATCGTATGTGGTTAGGCCAGTATATGAGCAGTAACTAGACTTGGATTGCCTAGCAGTAGCAAGACTCGAAAATTGTATTACAATTTTATGTATTTGTAAATGTGTATTTTTACAATAAATGATATCATACACGGTTCTTTTTTTAACGCAACTGGACTGATTCTGGATTTCACAAAAATAAAAATCATTTACACACATATATACATATATTTTATTTAAAGTGCTTTACACTGTTACATTCATGAGAATAAACAACAGCGTGTGCGTGGCACAGGACGTTTGAATGAGATAATTAGATAATTCAGTTAAAACTCAAAACCGCAAGAAAATCACTTAAACAAGTCGTCTATTTTTAACAATATTTAATGTTTCGTGCGACAAATATTTTTTGAATACAATATTGAACAAAAACATTTTTCCAAATTAGGAAAACACATTTAATCGTAATATACTAAATAAATGCAAATATCTTAAACTAAAAAAACGAACCGACTTATAAAGTACAAAGTGAATGTTAAAAAAGTCACTGCACTTCATAAAACTTTAACAATTAATTCACATTTCATTCAGCAAAAATAAAATATATTTAATGACATTCAATAACAAAAAAGACAATAAAATAAGTATTTTGAGCCTTTCTCTGTAGCGTAATAATGAAAAAGAAAAGAATGAAAAACAGATTGTCCGTCTTATGTTTCCGTTAGTGATAATAAAGTCTGTTAGAATGTAAAATGAGAGACGAAATGATACGTGTCGCTCGAATATGATTGGTCAAACGGAAAGACAGATCGCATCGCGAGTCTGTCAAACGAATCGCGTATCGTCTGTCATTTTGAATTCTCACTCCTAATGAACACAATAAAAAGCCCTGAACGAATGGTAATTTTATATAATACTTGCATTAACTTAACTTATTAAAAATTGGAGCATTTTTATGCATAACAAATAACATAAGTACACAATAGGCTTACAATATGCAGCCGCCATTTAAAAAATAACAATTTAATGTTAACATTCTATGTATTATATAAATTCTTTAAAAAAAAAAAATTTGTTTAGACTTGCACATAAATACGAAGCAAAATTAAACCATTTTTTTCGTAATAAAGTTTTCAATGCAACGCAATCTGTTTTGAAATAGACACTCCTTAGAACAGACAATGTAAGAAAAATCCCGCGTTTTTGAGAAAAAAAAGAGTGATAATTCTAAAAACCGTCACTTCCCTCAGGTACTTAAAAGACCCCACGTAACAGGTTGTTTGATGAATGTATAGGACTGTGTGTGTTGGTTTGAGTTAAATTTACACGAAGAAAACTTAACATTGTAACCTGTCAAGGCAATGATATTAAATATTGATAATAACTTCGCCGACAGGTATTCAACATATCTTATTTTCTTGGTATGTACTAGTAATGAAACACTTATAGGGAAGATTTAAGGTAAAGGTCGAGCGTTAAGTCTTGACTTCCGTATGTCAAAAATGTGTTTAGACACACGGACGCTAGTTCGCGCTAAGTCAATAAGTTCGACGATTCGGCCAAGACATACATATATATAAAAAAAAACAAAAATAAACTTTTGGCAATAATTATATAATTGTACCTTTAATAAAATTTATATTCCGTTGTCAAACGAAACTAATTAATTGTACTAGCCATTAGAGTAATGTTTCATTAGACACCGATTGGTAGCGGTATGACACTAAGTATCAACTTTTTTACTGAGGATCGAGAAAAACATTAGCTCACGCTCCACCACGTGACCATTTACATACAACTTTGTTTGGCCTTAGTGGGTTACGCCTGATGAAAGATGGAGTTATTAGATATTTACTAATTTACTACTAGACGGGACGTTTAGAACTTAATTCATTGGTCGTTAGGTTGTTTCTGTATGGGCCTCGGTGGATTGTGTCTCCTACGGCTTTGCAAAGCGGCAAGTAGCCCGCGTCCGCTTGACGCGCACAGTTCCGTGCCATCGCGAGCGCCAGTCACACGGGCACCACCAGCTAAACCATTAGTTATGTGCCTGCAATATTTTAATTTTTATACTATTTATCGTCTAAATCTTAGGTATAAGATTTAAAGTCGAGAAGTTCCGGGTGGTCACATAACCAACTTTTTAGTTTGACATACGGGGGTAAACAATCTTAAAACCATAAAGGTTAACATTACATAAATTCTAAAAGAAATTAATTTTTTTAATATATATTTTTTAATAAATTAGAACTGGAAACTATTACAGAATGTACATTTAATATTATAATATATAGATTATAAAACAAAATGTATTTATTTCCGTAAGCGTAAATCTAAAAAATAATTTAAATACTATAATAGAAATTTATCCTTTTGTTATAGAGGATAGATTAACTGTTATCTGGCTTCGGCTAAGAGTAGAATTAGGACACATTACTTATAATTCAATTCTTAGTAGGAGTAAGTTAATTGTAATATTTAATTGAGTTTGTATGCAGTTTTTTAATTTTTATAGTGTCCTGGTCGTGTACGCATCTTGTAGCGACGGCTCCGTTATGATATTTTCGTATGTACATAATTTGTTTTTTTAAATCAAGTTTGTCTTAACTTTGGGGTCCAATCAAAAAATCCTATATTTATAATCAATAAAAGATGGATCAAGCAGAAAGACTCTTGTGTTGTTAAATATTCGATCTTGTAATTCAAAATCAATAAAAATAAATTGTGCGTGTACTAGGTGTACACACGTAAGAAGTGAAACTTCTTTATGATCCTATTTTTCGAAAAATGATCTACTATATGCAACTTTACAGAAATTCGTTAAATTAGATAAAGTTTAACAAAAGGCTTTTATAATCATAGACATGAATACAAATATTTCATTTTACCTTATTACTACGAAGATTATTATAGAATTTCATTAATTGTAATAGAATTATTACTATCATTGAAAAACGTGACGATTTGCTACAAAATTTCTCCCATACGTCGATAAAGAAGTTTCATTTCAACGCCGATAAAGAAGTTTTACTTCAAAAAGCAACATGGCGCGTAACCGAAAAATATGACGCGTAACGAAAAAATGTTACACAAAATTTTTTTCCAACCTCGATAAAGAAGTTTCACTTCAAATATCGATTTTTTAATTACCTGAGCATATGAAAGGGTATGTGGTTATTGCTGATCCAGTCTAAAGGCGTGGTTGCCTCTCCAAGGGCCGCTGCACCTGTTATCTTTGAAGCACCCGCACACGAGAATATCATTACCACACGACTGCCCTCCTATTACAGAAAATAATAATTTTATTCTCAGAGTACAACCGTAACAGAAGTATATAATCACATTAAATAGTTTGTCGATTTGATTATAACTACTGCTACTACTAATTAATTAAACATTCACGGGCACACTGTTAAAAGAGTCGGCCTCCTTTATCATAAATAAATATTTGTCTATGTCAATGACTATGCCCACAAAACCGTTCAGTCTATTTAGTCGGCAAACTCTTTAAGTCGCTTCAGTTGACACACACATCACAATGTATGTAAATAATTAATGAACTGCATAGATTAACAGACGTTTTTAATTGACCGTTGAGTGAAGGGCTGTCTGCTTCCTATACTGTCAGAAATAGTTAGTCTTTTTGGAAATATATTAATCTATTACTGTTTAATATTGTGTTGTTTTTTCTGTGTGTATATTATTTTTGTGATATAAAAGTAAATAGTTTTACAGAAACTAACCTGTTTTGCCTTTTGCAGTTTCTTGATAGTGTTTTGCGTAAAGGGGTAGCTGCCACTCGCTTGTGCCATTTCCACACTGTGCAAATCGTCCGCCTTTACTATAAAGTACCTCGAATTGCTTTCACCGTTTTCTGAATATTTCTCTATATTAGCTAGCAGGGTCTTTCCGTTTGGAGACATGGGACTCTTTGGCCCACTAAACGACTGTGATGAGAATCCCTGTGGCATTCCATCATTCCTCCAGCCGGGTCTTTGGCCATTCCTATAACCGTAGCCCTGATAGAAACTATTCGCAAAGTCGTTCTGGTACTGCGGGTAGTATTTTTGCTCGTGCCGATTAAACTGTTCGTCCTCTCGCCGCCACATCGGCGATTCGACAGTCAGCGGTTTCGGCCGCTGGCCTATGCCGGCGGGTTGGTGTAAGCCCACGTTTTTCTCTTCAGCTCCCAAGACGTGGACGACCGCGTTTAAGATTTGCTCATCGAGTGGCGTCATCGGTTTCCCTGGGTTGGACATTCGGCGAATGACTAGCGCACATAGTTTCTGACGCAAGTAATAAACGCTTATGGCGTCTGATGCGTCGGCTGTGAACGCCATCCAATCATCTAAAGTCAGGACTGCTGTATCTGGAGACGAGTTGTTCTCGTCTGCCTCACTATCTGAATCGCTCGACAAACCTGGCGGATTAGCTCTTTGCGTTAGCGCGCCAGAGGGCAGTCTTAGAGGCCCACTAAACAAAGCGACCGTAAGGGGAGTCACTAATGTGTTGCATCGGATAAAACAAAATCTGCCCACACGAGAAATTTCTTCAAACACCACCCAGTCCGTCGGTAAACTTTGTACTGATTTTTGAGAACCACTCACTCCGCCACCTCTGTGTAAAGTGGAACTGGGATGAAATGCGACTTTGACTTCTTTCGAAGTCCTCAGCGTACAGGAATCCCTATCTACTCTCGCGATGGACGGGTACAGTCCGCTAACCAGCACCGCTTTCACTACGTGCCACTTTTCAGAGTTCACGTTGACGTCCTTAATGTCACCCGAACCTCGCGCTTTAACAAGACCTAGAGCCCTTAACTGTGCCAGTAACTGCGACCGATAGCCGACAATCATTTCCATAGTAGCCCCGCATATAAGATTTTTGGCACAAAACCCCTTTTCAGTGCCGTTAGCCCTCGCAGACTGCCACGCTTGGAATGCCCTCAATAACGCCATATGATCCGAATAGCTGTCTGCGGCGAATTCTTTTCTCGCTAAGCTTCCCTTCTTCCTATTTTCTGGGTTCATAGATATCTGGAACGGCTCTTTATTCGACAAGCTGCAAACGATGGTCAATATCGGGTCTAAACATTTCATGACGCACGCGTAGAGCAACATTTTGCCTAACTTTGGTTCGACCGTCAAATCTAATAAATGCTGGCCGATTTCTGTCAAATCTTCCATAGGAGTGAGAGCACCGACAGTCTTGAGTAGGGTCACGGCATTCCTCACGGCTAAAAATGAAGGCGGCTCCAAAGCCTTCGATAGGAAATCCGCGATAGGAGTATTTCCAGGTGCTAACAATTTTGTGTGGAGGCACAGCTCCTGTAGAGGAACCCTAAGAATTTCTGGAACCGAGTTGAGGGGTAGAGTTTGGAAGCGACGTTTGGAGCACATGTGGAAGCTATGGCCCGGCTTGGTCCGTCCGGCTCTACCGGCCCTCTGCTGGCAACACGCCCTCGAGGTCCACACGCATTGCAGGGAACAGACCCCTCCATTGGATTCATAATACTTTTCTTTGACTTTACACGAGTCCACGACGTATACGACGTCGTCTATCGTTATTGAAGTTTCTGCTATATTTGTTGAAATAATAATTTTCCGCGCATTCGGGAGCGGGTTGAAGACTTTTTTCTGGTCCAAAGTCTGCATGTTACTGTGCAAGGTGAATATTTGATATTTTAAAGCACTCATTTCTGTGCAGCTCTGGATCATGTCTCGCAGAGTAACGATGTCGTCGTAGCCCGGTAGGAAGATGAGTATACTCCCTTTCGCCATGTTAAGGTGGATATGTTTGACTAACGCCAACATAAGATCGTGGTCTATGAGCTCCTCTGAGAAGGAGTGATGGTAGACATCTAAAAGGAAGTTGTCCGCCGCCGACTCTTCTTGTTCGTTGGATTTGGGTTCCTCGATCTGGTTGAAGCTGACGAGGCCTTTGGCACATTCTGAGTGACCGCCTTCTACAGCGTAGTCATAAGCTGTTTTACCATTTTTATCTTTAAATGTTGGGTCAGCACCTGAACAGAAATATTGACGATTAAAATATATATATAGCTCTACCACTTTATGTTTTTTTAACAACAATTAATTAGGTTAAACAAATTAATTGTGAGATTAAAATATATATATATAACATCTAATATGTCCGTGATTTTTCTCAGGAAATAGGTTTTACTGTAAATTATTTAAAAATAAGTCGCTAATCGAGATGCAGCAAGTGGAAACCTGACATACCGAGCCTCAATATCTGATGCGCAGTTTGCGTCAGACCCCTTGCAGCAGCAGCGTGAAGGGCCGTCCTTCCACAGGCGGAGTGACGCGCGTCTACGCTTACACCTTCTGATAGAATCATGTACAGCACTTGGCTGAACGAGTCCTATAAAATAAAAATAAGTTTACATATTATTGATTTCATGCATTTTATACATTGGGGATTGTTCAAGTATTATGTAACGAATTTGGGGGGAGGGGGACTCCCTCTTGTAAAATGTAACGATGCGGGGCGGGTATTGAATTACGCGTTATTGTTAATATTGTTTTCGACTTTCCGGTACTTTGGTAGATATAAAGAGTCACTGGGTGGTCACGAAACGTTTTACTATTGGGTACAAAAATTGTTACAGCGAGTTACATGGGGAGAGGGGTCAAGAATCTCCAAAAATTGCGTGACGTAATACTTGAACGCTCCCTTGGATGCGGCACATTATTATTATTATTATTACATAATAATAAAGAATTGTAAATAATGTTTCGGATACAATAAAATTTTGAAAGATAAATAAATGTACATATAATGTATGAGCGCCTACTTTAGGCTTTAGTTCAAATTTTAGGCTTCGCTCAAATACTTTACGCCTTAGATTACTATCTATACCCAGTGTATTATTTAAAATGTGTTTAAACTTTCTTTTTATTAATACGCGCACTCGCACCAGATTAAAGTTATATCACATGACTTACCAAACTACCCTCATTGAAGCACTCGTCCAAAAATTCATCCATATCAGCTTGCATTGCTGGATCAAGATTATCTTTTTCCTCTTTAGTCCCGCTCTCTTCTACTACATCACTTTGCTTTTGCCCTAAAATTATATTTGCAAAACATTTTAGAAAACTAGGAATTGAATATGTTAAGTCATAATATTTCAAGGCTATTAAAAATTAAACTAGAAAAAAATTGTACCTACCCTCAAGATGCGACCAGTAGCTTTGTCCAGTTTTAAGCTTCCCTCTAAGCTCACGTTCCAATTGTGACATCTTCTTGTTGGTGTACTTGGTCAACTTTAAGACATCTTCTAAATAATGCCTTTGAACTTCGTGTAAACGCCCAGGTATACTTATCACTGGACATCCATTGAAATACCTGAATTATATTGTTATTTAAATTACTTCTGTTCTTGAGGAGAGGTTTCTTAACTTTAATTTGACTATCCTAGCAACTTGCTAAAATTATTATGTCTCTAGGATATAAACACTAATTGTACCACAAAGAACGGTTTGGTGGCCATTGATACACAATTTTTTTTTTAAAGACAATTCACACCAATTGACCTAGTCCCATGCTAAGCTGGTGAAGCTTGTGTTATGGGTACTAGGCAACGGATATACATATTATAGATAGATAGACATATAAATACATATTTAAACACCCAAGACCTAAGCACAAACCAAATGCTCATCACATCGATGTTCGTCTCAGCCGGGGATCAAACCCCGGACCCATGGATTCGCAGTCAGGGGTACTAACCACTAGACCAATGAGTCGTAATTGTATACTAAAATAATAAGTCCTGAGTACATACCTATACTAAACAAAAATTTAATTTGTATAAAACAACTGAGTGCGACTCTCATACTCTCTCTCGTAGGTTCGATCCCCGGCTGTGCACCAATGGACTTTCTTTCTATGTACGCATTTAACATTTGCTCGAACGGTAAAGGAAAACATCGTTAGGAAACCGACATGTCTTAGACCCAAAAAGTCGACGACGTGTGTCAGACACTGGAGGCTGATCACCTACTTGCCTATTAGATTTAAAAATGATCATGAAACAGATTCTGAAATCTGAGGCCAAGACCTAAAGAGGTTGTAGCGCCATTTTTTATTTTTTTATTTTATAAAACACCTGAAAAGCACCTCGTCATTGGAATACATTTATCTTAAAGGAGGTTAATTTAATTTCCGAAATAATGATACATACACAGGGCCTGATTAACCCTTAGGCTAATTAGGCTGAAGCCTAGGGCGCGACGATCTAGGGGGGCGCAGGTGCGCTGAAATCGTGTCTTTGCGAGCATCATCCCCTGCATAATTCAACTACACCGAGACAAAACACTAAATGAACTGTGAACTGAAAAAGCTTGGGAGTCCCTGATTTTAACAATAGATGTTGAAATTTAAAAAGCGCGCGTAAAACAAACACTGACTTGTCATTCAAATCGATCGGTGGTAGAGCGAGTGAGATGGCAATAGCACAGCTCGCTGCGCCCGGTGAAACGCATCAACGGTGCACGGGGACTCCCCGGTGGTTAACATATTTTGTAGTTTATATACTTTTCTGCGTTACATTTGTCTAATAGTTCGTTCGTCATAACATAGCTCGCGTATATTCGTTTTAGGTGATATTTATTGTCCTTTCGTAAGTGTTACTGTATTTTTTTAAGACTATGAGTGGTAATGAGAATAGTTTGATAGTAAAAAAGCCAAGTGGAGCAGAATACAGAAAAAAAGCAAAAGAAAAAGAAAAGAAGCTAGAAAACATTTTAAAAAATACTCGTAAACTCGAAACATTTTTTACAAGCTCTGCAGAAAGGAACGAAACGGTGACGAATAGTGCAGTATCTTCAGCGATTTCTTGCCCTGGTCCCTCCACCGCGGACTGTACTGTATACGTTTCTCCGTCCAACACTAGCCCTACAGTAGCAATAAGGCCGATGATCTACTATGAAAACGAAATTATAACAGAAGAAAAGCCCCCGTCAAGCATTCCGTCAAGTGACCCTGCACTATGGCAAGTAAACAATGAATTTCGAGATTATATTGCTAAAAAAGGACTGCAACAAAACGAAGAAATAGATTTTTCCAGATCAGAAAGGCAGTATAAAAATCAAAAAAGATTTCTATCTAAAAACATGTTCGAAATGAAGCTTGTTAATGGCGAAATTGTGAAGAGAAGCTGGTTAGTGTATTCAGAATCCACAGGTCACGTGTTTTGTGGTCCTTGCAAGTTATATGGAGGAACATCCGTATTTGCCAAAAGTGGATTTAATGACTGGAAAAATGCTAACCTAATAACTGATCATGACAATTCTCCGGATCATCGTAAATGTTTGGGACAATATGTATCAAGAGGAAATTTTTTACAAAGAATGGATACCCAAATAGTCAAACAATATAATGAAGAAATAACTTATTGGCGAAATGTATTACTACGTGTAATAGAAACAATAAAGTTTTTAGCTTCTCGTGGGCTTCCATTTCACGGTCAAAATGAAGTTATTGGATCTGCACTAAACGGAAATTTTCTTGGCTGTATTGAGCTTATATCTAAATTTGATCCTTTCATGGCTGAACATTTGGTAAGATTTGGGCAAAAAGGTAGAGGTTCTTCATCCTACTTGTCATCCTCTATAATCGATGAATTTATTTTACTGCTGGCTGACGAAGTTCGACTTACGATTGTAGGAGAAATAAAAAAAGCAAAATATTATTCGATAAGCATTGATTCTACTCCAGATATTTCACACAACGATCAGTTGACATTTATTATTCGTTATATTTTGCCTGACGGAGAACCTGTCGAACGCTTTGTTACATTTTTACCCAATTGCGGTCATAAAGGTGAAGACATGGAGGAGGCTGTTCTTACGACCATTAATAAAACTTTGGAACTTGATATTATAGACTGTCGTGGCCAAAGTTATGATAATGCTAGCAACATGTCTGGTCAATACAAAGGTCTTCAGTCAAGAATTAAAGCTGTAAATCCTCTGGCTACTTTTGTTCCTTGTGCAGCGCATTCTCTCCAACTCGTGGGATCAGCTGCCGCGGAAAGTAGTGACGAGTCAGCTGCTTTTTTTACACTGGAACAACAACTTTACAATTTTTTTTCTGGATCTACAAGAAGATGGCAACTTTTAGTATCCAAATTAGACGAAGAATCGACGGTACTAAAAAATCTGTCAAAAACTCGATGGAGTGCGCGAGCAGATGCAAGCAAAGCCTTATACAGTTCATACAAACAGGTTCTGGAAGTATTAAACTCTATTTGCGAAGATAAAAATCAAAGTAAAGAGACTAAAATAGAAGCAAAAGCAATTTTAGAAAAAATGAAAACTCTTGAAATTGCAATAATGTTGTGCTTTTGGAACTCTGTGCTCGTCAAGTTTCAAATCGTCAGTACACAGCTACAAGGAAGTTCTGTTGATTTATCTGACGTAGTAACTCTTTATGAGACTTTACATGCTTATCTTGATACGTTGCGTAACGAAAAAGAGTTTGAAAATTTTGAATCAGAAGCAATTAAGAGATGCGAAGTGACCAAATACAAAAAAGACGTAAGAAGAAGAAAGAAACCAAAACTTCATTTTGATGAAATTAAAACGAGGCACATTGAGTTAGAAGGGAGGCGATCTTTCATTGTTGATAATTATTATGTACCTATCGACTGTCTTAAAGTACACTTAAAAAACCGCCAAATTATTTATAATACAGTAAACACAACGTTTTGTTTCTTATGGAAACTGCATGAACTAGACGACAATGAATTTATTAGAAGCAAAGCAAATGAGTTAAAACAACTATATGCCACTGATTTAGGAGAAACCTTTGCAGAAGCGTGCGTCCATTTGGCGCAGTTTTTAAAATCTGACATCGAGGCCGAGCATTCTATTTTCGCCAGAACCCCAAAGGGTTTGTTGCAGTTGATAAAAAGTTTTAATATTTCATGCATGTTCCCGAATGTGGAGATAATATTAAGAATTTTTTTGACAATGAATGTTACAAACTGTAGCGGCGAAAGATCTTTTTCAGCTCTTAAAAGAGTAAAAAATTACTTGCGCTCCACACTCCGCCAGCAAAAACTTACAGCGCTCTCGCTTATGTACATAGAAAGTGACTTTTTACAAACTATTAAATTTGAAAATATTGTGGAAAAATTTGCAAACTCTAAAGCAAGAAAAAGGCCTTTTGTATAAGCTTATAATAATTAGGTAATTACTGTAATTTTCAAATAAATCATTAATCATTAGAAAAAATGTTTCACTTGTATGATTCCTCTCGTCTTTTTTAAAGATAACAACATAAGTGTAAATATTTTAAAATCACTTAAGTCGAAGCAACATCACATACTAGATGACCACGTCCATGGTTGGTTTAGACCGACCGTAATACACCTGTCACCTGGCGGGGGCGCATCCTGGTAAATAGCCTAGAGCGGTCAGAACTCTTGATCAGTCCCTGTACATACAGTAGACAGCAGCAAAAATCTTACCTGGAGAATATCTGCGTGTCCATAGTTGCAGACATGAGAATGACTTTTAAATCTTTAGTGCGCAAGGCGTCTCGTAATGCGATCAGCAGAAAGTCACTAAATTTATCTCGCTCGTGAACCTCGTCTACGAATACGTGTGTCACCCCTACACAAAAGTAACCAATATTTATGAGATCGATGAATATGCAAGTAGTAATATAATATGTTTGCTTTAAAACAATTTTTTAATTATTAAAGTACAATGTGTCCCGAACAAGGAGATTTCAATTCAATTTAAGTACACATCACTGTGGTGAGAGCGCTGCGCGCGCAACGCGCTGGTATGAGCCAATAGACCAATAACAGACTTTTTCCATTTTGGCGCTATTTCGTACATACGAATTTGAGTAATATTTTGTTGGATAAAACTTTAGTAGCAAAAATGTCAAGCAAATTTTCATCGGTATCGTCACACCGATGAAAATTTAACTCCACCTGACATTCTAGAAACTGACGAATAGTTTTTTGCCAGAAAAATCAAGAGAAGCGTACGACAAATGTTACCAAGACTTTATGACTTGGAAACCTATAGCCATGAGATTGCATAAAGTAGTGTATGCAACTGCATATAATTAGGTATTAAAACACTCGTGTAATCTTATTTTGAACTACACTCATGTTTTAATACCCTCTATTATATGACAGATGCATAAACTACTATTATTATATACTGTCAAATTGCATATCGTCACTGTAGAATGATAACGTCATAAGTCAAAAAACCATTTATTTTTATTCTTAGACTCTTATGTCATTTAACTGGTAAAATCATGAAGTAAGGACTTATGTTATCAATAAATAAGTCCTTTTACCATCCAAAACTATGGACAAAAACACATAATAATTTTTTAACGAACATTGACGAAATGAAACATTTTAGTTTTTTTTATATATGATAGGGGGTCAAACTAGTTTTAGTGAGTGCGTTGCCGGCCTTTAAAATCGTTTCCTGTAATGTTTGGTTGTCTGGACATACGAGGTTATCATTTTACAGTGACGATATCGGGTAGATTTAGTTTAGTTTACCTTTTTATAAGTGGCTTATTTTTTAAATTCTAGCAAACACTTAATACCTAGGTAATAAAACAAAACCTAGTATAGTGAATAGTTTCACTTGTGCATATTTATAGCTTTACTTCCACATACCAGTAAGGGCTTCATCACCCGCCATCAAAGTCCTAAGCAAGACGCCATTAGTGCAATAATGCAACACTGTACGCGGGCTTACACGAGACTCGAGCCGAATTTGGTAACCAATAGATTGTCCTATCTTCTCCATACGCTCGTATGCTACCTGAAATAATTTATAGCACGTAAGTATGCAAGTCGTTAGAACAATAAACGTCGTTTAGGCAGGTCCTATGCTGCGAAGTGATTAACGCGGAAACTTTTCTAAAACTTTCCAAAATATTTAAGTCCGTGCCAAAAATAAAATAAAAGTAAATCGTACATTCGTAAATTGTACTGTTTTATCTATATAACTCATCTGTCTTTTTTCATCACAGCATAAACACAATTTGACAGACAGAACTAAAGATTACTTTAAAATTATGCACTTAGACCAATTTAGGTTTTATCAATAATTATACTATAAAGTGCTTGAGAATAAAACAGGTTGAGGGCCGGAACACATTAGAATGTTATGCAACATCTTTTGATCCATTAAAACATAATTGTTACAAAGTCTCTTTAAGCATCGTCGCTTATCATGTCTATAGATGAAGACTGTAAAGTGCAAGGTGTGCAAAAATCCCGGCAGATTTATATTTTTAAACACTTGGTATCATATGAATACCATAGAGTGTATTTAACAATTTCTACATGTCTACAACTACTTTATAGATAAGTAAGGTAAGTTTAAATACCCGCTCAGCAACAGAAACAGCTGATATACGTCTGGGCTGCGTGCAGTAAATCCTGACAGGTTGTTTCATCTCCTGACAGTGCTCTAACACTAGCTGTGGTAGTTGGGTTGTTTTGCCACATCCTGTTGCTCCCGCAACTATTATCACCTAATTAAGCAGAAAACTTAAGTTATGTTTGTAAAATGCATTACAAACATAACTTATGTTTTCTGATAACATTAATATATAGATAATTTTAGAGCACATTTAGGAGATGTACTTTATCAAAAATCTGATTTTTGTCTAAATAAATTTCAAAATGTGCTGTAAGCCCTGAAATGGTTCCCAACCTTGACATCGCCTAGTGCTTGCCTTGTTACTCTCACACTATTACAATGACTGCAACACAATATTTTGTCATACTTTTGAATAACTTATTTTCTGCAAAAGGATGCTTTGAATTTTGTCTCTACAACTATAACTACACTTTTATGGAACTATGCTTCTATTGTACTGTATATCAATATGCAAAAGATTTAAGAAAAATGTGCAAATAGAAGAGCATTTTAATATTTGGTCTCTCTTTTATTCCTATATCCTCTCATTACATTCACATTCCTATTACAAAAGAATATTTGAATATATTAATAGTAAACATCTTTACCTGATTAGAGTTAATTGCATTTATTAGCTCATGTCTTTGTTCATAAACTGGTAATTTTTCTCTAAATTTAATCAAGTCAGGATTATATGATGTGCTTGGAACCTACAAACACAGAAATCTTATCACAACATGAAAATAATATAAAAATACAAATTTAGTTCAGGATCTAAAACCATATATAATCAGAAGACTAAATTTTATGATTTAAAGGATTGGAAAGTACATTATGACAAATATGCATGACCACATATACATTAAACATCATATTATTATTGCTACAACTATTGCTTTTTCAACACAAGTAAATTTTAAAATAAAATAAATATTTACCTGAGCAACACCGTTATTCAATTGTCCCATACTTTTATGAGCTAATTGTGGACTCCGCTCTTTCTCTGGACAACAACTAAGATCTTCCTTTTCCTTACTTGTGATTGGGAATGCATTAAACAACTCAGTGATACTACATCTCATATTAGAGTCTAAAATCAATTTGGCATCATTTTGTATTATTGTTGAACCAATTCTTTTATATATTGTTATGTAGCGGTTAACACCTGAAACATTTACGAAATTTTAAGTAAATAAGTTGTAAGTAAAATAAATAAGTCATGAGTCTTCTAAAACAAAACAAAACAAAAAAATTACCTTTCCCGCGTGACTTCGATTTGAGACCTAATTTTGCGACGGTCTCATGAATGAAGCCTCTTTCTTGGGCAGACAGAAAAGACGGAAATTTTAGTTCGGTCTCATTCTCATCACTAAGAAACTTATCCAACTGTATTTTTAATGCTATGCTGACAGATTCAGCTATAGGAAAATGCTTATTCCCTATGTTACGTTTACCCCTTTTAGAACTCATTTCTAAGATAATTATTAATTATTGCTTTTCAAATAATCACATTACATCTGTGCATGAAATTAGTGATTTACAAAGGTTTTAAAGCCGATTTGGAAAATCTTTGCTAAATGTTAATTACAGAAAATTGTTTGTTTTAAAATAGAAACCAATAAAAACTAAAATTACAGTATAAAAAGAATTACATATAAGTTGAATAGGCAACTGATACTTGACACTTGACAGTTGACTATAAGTGTACAAAATTTAAAAATAACATATATTTTTTCTATTCGTCATATGTCTTAGGTCATGTCGTCATGCCTCAAAGTTATGTTAGGGTTAGTATGAGTGTATGTACGAGTCTTAGTGCTAGTAAGAGTGTATGTCAAAAAAAAAAAAAAAAAAAAAAAGGTGCGTGTACTTATGTACGCGCGTAAGAAGTTATACTTCTTTGGCATTATTAAAAATAGTTTGGCTTTGTTCCACCTCCAGTTTTGATGTTTCACAGCGATAAGATGACAACTCTTTTTTTGTATTCAATTTAGTGCACTTACACTGATTCATCAATAGTTTTTTGTCTCTTGTCCTTATATTTGCTAGATTAAATCAGAAAAATTACATGTTTTGATTAAACAATGTGGTCATTTTTTTAATCAAAACATTACTCGATAATAATAATACATACGGATAGTTAACCTCAATTGTATTGAAGCACTTAGGAAGGTTGATGAGCACAGTTTTTTTTTCACAAATATTAATTAGTATTGGTTTAAATATTCAATTTAAATCACTTCTGATTATAATTCAAAAAGCATTGCTAAATTTCTTTGAAAAAATAATTAAAACTCCTTTATTTGTTTAAAAGGTAAATGACAAATGTCATTATGGTCATTCAAAATTCTTGGCATACGAACTTCACGCATATTCTATTTCTTTTTACTTGTAGATTGTCTTATTCCTATCTCGCTCCCGCACGCTATAATCACACTCCTAATTTTGTGTCACAGGTGCGCGCGCATTATAAAATTTCACTCTCATAAATTTTTCATAACGCGCCTAAAGAAGTATAACTTCAAAAAGGGGATTCGGAAGCAAGAGTCCACACTCCACACTATTAGTATGCCTTATGTATACCGACAGGATTTGAGGATTTCCATTAGTGGGTGGATTAGTAAGCCCTAATACATTTTGGTATTTAAAAATTGTTACGAATCCTGTTTATTGACGTGACAACGTCTTATAATTCGATGGAGCCGGCTGCACGCACGAAAAAACATGACTCATGCGGCGTTACCTCGCTCTGAGGCGTTACCTCGCTCTGAGGCGTTACCTCTCTCTGAGGCGTTACCTCGCTCTGAGGCGTTACATTTAAAATTGACATAATTGTATTTATGCGTACAAATAAATGTAACTTGATCAATTCAATTGTGATTTCCATTTACCTCCTCTATATCCATACAAAATACCTATCAAACAAATAAAATTTAATTTTTTTTTTTTTTGAAAAATGCAACCATCCCATCAATATTTTTTTATGACGTTGTCACGTTCAACTATCGTCAGTAAACCGACTTTACGAATCCTGTTTATTTTTACTTGTGTTAAATATATTGTGACTTACTGGTGTTGGCTTCCAACTATCCACACTAGTAAGTAACATCTTCAGTTTCTATACTAATAATATTGCAGGAATTTCCATTTTCCACACACACACTGTTGTGTGTGTATTAATGTAGTGAAGCTATGTCATTATTGAAAGATCAAAATCTTATTACTCTGAACCGATTTACGTATTAAGGAAGGATTAGATTATTAAAGGTTTATCTCGATATAACTTCTAGTTTCCAGAGCTATATTTTTACAAATAAGCATTTATCAACATCAAAACTATTCAGTGTCTTTGTTTCATTGTCTGCCCATCAGTCATGTGTCAAATTAAAACCCAATTATGGCTAATGTACAAACTGAAAAAAAGCGCGGGAAACGTTGGTCGTGGCGGGAGTGTTTTTTCTTGTGAAATTTTTAAATTTAATTTTACTTGTATAAAAGATCAGTTTGTATATATTTGTATGTAGTAATTTAATTTAATAGTTTAGTTTATTCATTTGTGTATATATTCTACAGTATCTGGTAAGTTTGTATACTTTTTCCTCAAGGCCTGGAGTCAGGCGAAAAAATGGACGAGCCCCGGATATCGGGGCTCGCCCCCGAGGTAGCTTGTAATATTATTATAGAAAATAGATTTTCTAAACTGGACGAGTCAAGTGTAGATACAGATGTGGATCAACGGAATGACCGAAAAAGAATGCGACTAGGTAAAATTTGCAAACACTGCAACAAAAGGAAAAAAAGATTCGATCCGACGCGTCGGAACAAACAAAAGGACACTGATTGTTCGTGCCAAATACCGGAAATTGAAATTCCCTCAATATATACTGGGCTTAAGAACGCTAATGCTCTAGATAGTTTTCAGAACAAAGTAGACCGTGTAGATACTACAACTGTTAATACCCAACAGCACCCATCACCACCATCAGATGTTTCTCAGTCTATAAAAAATCCTATAGGCCGAACGTTTTATGAGACCTATGACATAGGGCCATTCGTAGTTCATGCGCAAAAAGTTTCTTCAGATACGGACATCTCCTCCCTACACCCCGTCCACTTTGGGTATTTCCTCAAGAAAAATTCTTTTAAAAACATAATTAATGGTAGCATCAAAAGGATAGGCAGAAACCGAATTTCCCTATCATTCTCAGACTACAAATGTGCAAACGAATTTATTAATAACCCTTGCCTGGCAAGAAATAATTACAAAGCTTTTATTCCCTCATTTAATGTGACCCGAATGGGCCTGGTGCGAGGCGTTCCCGCGGAATGGTCTCCCGAAGAGACATTAGACAACATCTCTCTGCCTGTAGGCAGCGGAGGAATTATAAAAATTAGACGACTAAATTATAAAGTACGTAACAGCAGCCCTCCTGAGTGGAAGCCATCTCAGACTATTTTAATAACTTTCGATGGTCAAACCCTACCTAAACATGTATTTGTCTGCTACAATGCCCTGCCCGTGGAACTTTATGCATATCCCACTATTCAGTGCTATTCTTGTTGCCGATTTGGTCATACTAAGTCTAATTGTAACTCTCGGCCCCGCTGTTACAAGTGTGGCCATGGCCACACTGGGGACACATACAACATACAAGATGATGCCGCGTCTTGCTGTCTATGTTCTGGTCTACACTTTGCTACAAACAGAAAGTGTCCAGAATATGAACGGCAGACTAAAATTAAATTGTATATGGCTCAGAAATGTGTATCTTACGCAGAAGCAAATAAAGTGTATGATCCAGTTTCAAAATCTTTTGCTGATACAGTTAAGTTTTCAAACATCCAGAATACTCCTAATTCTCCTGTCCCACATGGATCGCCTTCCTCTCCCTCGATTCCGTCGGATAGTAGATCTTATAAGAAAACAATATTTGCTAAACCAACATCCCCTAAACCAAAACGACTGGGGTATAACAAAACAGAACACTTGAATTTGATAAAGGACTACGACGCTCCAGCTCCTTCTAACGGGGTCGCTTTAATAAACAGTAACGTTAACAATAAGGACATAATCTCTGATTTAATCCAATTTCTTACTGAAATTAAATCCAATTCTAACTCTGACAACAACGTAACTGAACAACGTCGCCAAACGATTGCTTCCATAACTAAATTAAAATCCGCTTATGCGTCACGAACGCGAACAAATAATCCAGTGGAATTGCAGAAGCGCTATCTGCAATAAAAATGATTTAATCCATTTGTATAATAAATTTGAACCATTTGTCTCAACTCTGTCGGAAACATGGCTTCGCCCGGAATTGACTTTTCGAATTCCAGGTTAGGTATGTTATTCTCCGACAGCACAGACCTGACGGCTATGGTGGTGTTGCCATAGTAATTAAAAATTATCTCCCCTATTCCTTATTTTCACTTCCTCCATTCGGAGATGACTTATCAGTCATTGCTGCTATTGTAAATAAAATTTGTATAGTGTCTATTTATTTTTCTCGTCCTAATGTAAATATTTTTACGTCAAAATTTAATGCGGATATGATGTAGGTGATTTAAATCACATAATGTTTGTTTGTCCTCGGCGCGACCGGTCGGCTCTTCTCGAAGGTCTCATTTCCCTTCAAATTCCGTTCCCTTCATCCATATCAAGTTTACTTTCAACTTTACAACCCATATGTATATAAACTTTTCGCAGCTTTTATCTTAAGTAATAATATAAAATTTTAGACAATATGAACGAAAATATATAAATATGTTTTCTTACACTCCTTTTGTATGTAGATTTATAAGAATTGATCTTTTATTTTATAGTTTAATTATTTTCTATTCCTAAATTCCTTTCCAGTCGATAATTTTATGTTTTTACCCGTTTCCCTGTTTTTGACCCTGGGCCACAATGCACAAACCGTGCGGGCCATTTAAAAAAAAAAAAAAAATGTACAAACTTTCAACTGCCAAGTAGATGTCTTTCTCTGGATTTTGTGAACACATGTTCATGTAGTTCGAGTAATTGTATTCCTTTAAAACATATTATTTATTAACTCACATGGTAAATAATAAATATGCCGAAATTAATAAAGCATCTTGTAGTTGATACAACAGCTTTCATCAAAGCTGAAGATCTTCAGGAAATAGCGGAAAATATCTATACAGTCCAAGAAGTTGTTGATGAAATCACAAACGATCGACAACGGAGAAAACTTGTAGTTTTACCGTACGATTTAAAAGTTAAAAATGTGTTTATCGAAAGCATCAAATTCATCACAGAGTTCTCTAAAAAAACTGGTGATTATACAAGCCTTTCAGCAACTGATATAAAGATAATGGCCCTTACTTATCAGATGGAGAAAGAAATCAGTGGTATTGAGCATTTAAAAACTGAGCCAACAATGCAAAAAACTGTAAAAATTACGGGTTTATCTGGGCATACACAGGACACTAACAAGAAGGATGACATTATCAAAAATAATAATGAAGCTTTACAGGATACAACTAAAGTAGTAGAAGAGCACAATGATGAATCTCCTAAAATAAAATGCAACGAGGATGATGAAGACAGTAAATTTGCTCATGAAATAGTTGAACAAATAAAAAACATGGAGTTGACTGATGAAAAAGAGGCCGAAAACATTATAGTGAAGGTAATACTTTAAATTACTTAAGGTTTAGAATGTATAGTTTGTTCATAACATATATTCTATAGTAGTTTTTATATGTTCTAGGTTGAAGAAAGTGAGTCAGATGAAGCAGAGTTTACAAGTGAAGATGATGATGATGGCAGTGAATGGATTACACCTAGTAATTTAAAAGAAAAGAAAAAAGAGATGGACCTTGGTGAATTTGAAGAAAAGAATGTTGATGTAGCCTGTATAACATCAGACTTTGCTATGCAAAATGTGCTTAAACAAATTGGATTAAATGTCACAGCAGTAGATGGTAGAATCATTAGACATCTACGTACTTATATATTCCGCTGTACAACTTGCTTTAAAACTACTAGTGTCATGACCAAATTATTTTGTCCAAAATGTGGACATGCTACATTAAAGAAAGTAGCTGTTAGTGTTGATGAAAAAGGAAACCAACACATACACATTAATGGACGAAAGCCCTTATCAGGTAGAGGCAAACGGTTCAGTTTGCCAACTCCCAAAGGTGGTCAGCACTTTCAATATCCTATATTAACTGAGGACCAGCACATACATAAGAGATTTGCTACAAAACTAGCTAGAAATAAAACAAATGCATTAGATCCTGATTATCTTGCAGGGTTTTCCCCATTTGCTATGAAGGATGTTAATTCAAAATCTGCTGTGTTAGGAGTAAGAGCGGATAAGCAAGACTTAAAGTATTGGATGAAAAATTACTCTAAGGATAAGAAGAAATAAGAAATCAAATTCATTAAGTTTTTAATGATTTTTATTTTAAAAATATATTAAAAAGTATGTTTTTTACCTTTGTGCATTTTAATTACTTTTAAAATTATATTACTTAACTTGCCAACTTAGAATCAATAAATTTAAAGACTGAATCCATAGATGCATAAGATGACATTTCGTGTTGTGGATGACCTGAAGAAAGCGGGAAGTTAAAAGATTTTCTAAACATAAGTTAAGACATGTAAGTGGGATTACCTGCTGATAATCTAGTGATTTCAAATTCCGGGGTCTTCATTGGTGTATCCAAAGGTGATGTGTTTGATATCCAATTAATTGAAACCTGAACATATTTAATAAATATAAAAGACTAGCTGTACCCCGCCAGGCTTCGCTGTGGCACATTGTGATTGAATGGTTGAGAATGAGAAACATTTCATATAAGTTTAATTTTGCAATAATTGTGAAAAAAAAAAGATAAAAATAATCCTTGATGCGGTATACATATTATGTATCATGCTAAAATTTGTGCTCAATCGGTGCAGAACTTTTTGAGTTTTTGAAGCATACACAAACCAACATAATATTTTTATATATATAATTATGTAGCTTTTATTCTTTAAAATGTGCAATCAACAACAGAGCCAGAACATTCTGGATATTTTTTGTATCTTTGGCCCAAAAAAAGGAAGAAAGGGATGTAATAAGATATCTGAGTATAGGAAGGACATTCTGTTAGCAATTAACTATTAAATGCATATATTACGTTTGTAAGTTTTAGTTTATGTAAACTTTCAATAAGTAATAATTAGACAATGGTTGTAGTTTTGTGTAACATGTTTCTTTTTTTCTTGTGTGGCCTTGTTGGTGTGGCTATAAATAAATAAATTATCTTACTTTTCTTAATGAGTCTGGAATTATTGCTTCTGAAAATGAATGAACTGAATCTGTCATTGCTACTGCCTTGACTCGATTCTCAAAGTCATTCTTAAACTTTTGAGCTAGCATTACTGTAAGAAGTCCACCATAACTATGAGCTACAACAACAATATTTTTAGCTTTTGTGCCTGAAATATATGTTTTCCAGACATACTGGGCATGTTCTTCACTTGTGTTACTTTGTGGAATATCTTTATTTCTTTTATAATTCTCATTGGGATTCATTATAAGTATGCCAAAATTACGTTTGATGCCCATTTGGATGTATGGGATCTGTGTTCCCATATCTAAATTATTATTGATGATGAGTCTGTAAAATAGAAATTACATACAAAGATAGGTTGGTGATGTATTTGTATCATCTTGCTATGGAATTGTACTTATAGGTAGGCACCACTTCTCATTAATTAATAAGATACTACATTGAGACTGTAATGTGGTCACTTTGTAGAATGACTTGCTTGCAAGCACATAACTTTTAGCATAAAGTAGACTTTTATTAACCATAATAGTTTCTGTGATTAAATATATTCCTATTTAAAAAAAGTGTTAAGTGAATATAAAAATATTTTGACAAATTAAAAAAAAATTAGGTTTATAGTTTACTCTTGGATAAGAATGTTACTAAAGTAATTTATCTATCAACATTATAGTAATACTGTGGTGACTTAATATTTTGTAGGAAAAGGTCTAACAAGAGTTGTGGTCAGATGTGTATACCTGATAATAAATAATTTGACAATCCAATACTGGAGTTCATGGACACATTAAAAAAACTTACGATCTTGCCCACTGGCCAGCTCGAACGGCACCACTACCTTGAATTAATACCATAAGAGTTTTCTGTGAATCATAACCCTTTGAAGCAAACACAAAAGTTCCATTTTCGCCAGCATCTGTAGGTACTGGTAACCTTAATAGATTGACTTTGTTTTGTAATAATTGATATACGTATTCTGTCACAGCAGCTCCAAGTTTCTCGTAGTGAGCCTGGCATTCTTTTTTGATCACTACTGATTTGGTACTGAAATGGTTCATTTGTTAAATTTCCATCAACGCCGATTTTCCTTAATTCGCCTTCTGTAATAATATAGGAATTAAAATTATATTTAAGATCTAATCTTAGTTTTCTGTTTATATACTCACCGGTGTTAAAATCATAGCCCAATTCGAGTATATTTTTTATTACATCCATTTCTTTGGCCGTATTAATAGCTCTGTAAGGTTTTCCTGTTTTAATAACGTTTTTCAACATAGATGATTTTTTTGTTTCCTTACTGCTTTGCTTTAAGCTTTAGTCACGACGAATATTTTAATTTTCTTTCTTAACTGTGTATAAACAAACTTCAAAGATACTTTGTGGTTTTAACGCTAAATTAGTATGAAGAGCAAAGTTGAAGACTCCCAACTCCCAAGTCCTAACCTAGTGTCAAGTGTGTTTGATTAACACCAGTAATAAGCTTTCTACATACCACAGCAAAATGTATGCATCTATATCTTCTATATATTTATTAAATGAGGAGATGTTAAACTTAAAGTAAAAAACGTTGTAACCTATTTTATATACATACATCCAAAGTTTTTTGAATTGTCTTTGGCCTTAGCAACGGCTTTTTGTTTATAATTTGATGCTGTCACAATTTTTACATAAATATTGTCTGTATACAGTATACACAAAATTTTAACTGTATACACTATACGAGTATTTCTCTTCAGTGATCAGTCTTCAACGAACCCTCGAATTCCTTGAAAAAATATATGGAACTGGGTTTTGAACTAGCGGACAGTTTAAATTTCTCTGTAAAACTGTACTCCATTACCTAATCAAATGCTGCTGCCTTTTTCACATTCCTATTTTAAGATATGGGGTTCCATCCCCACACATGTATATCAATCTTTTAGATGTATTAAAGAAAGAGAAACTTAATAATTTCGAGAAATTTTATTTGAGATACATGACGTTTGTGTTTCTGATTTACGGATAATTTTTATTATCGCAACGAGTCGCGTCAACAACGAAACTTTTATATATTACTCTCCATTATTAAATATATTACTCTTAGCGAAGACCAATAATTACTTCTAAGACATATATGGCAGACATATTTCTGTCGTTCACATTAGCAGAATCGAAACAACTGATGGAAAATGGTATTTACATATATGTCGGTAGGTGTTGTTTTATTTGGCACACATCACATACAAAACAAGAAATCTTATTAATAATTATTTATCAGAACAAATATGTCATGATTTTCACGTAACAAAAACCATAGGTATTTTATTTTATATATAAGTCAAATAGAATTGTTTTTCAATAATTATTACTAAGTTCATTGGTAACTTGAAGAGGCAACTTTTGTGATGCATACATCTATTTCATCAAATGTACAAATCTCTTAAAAATTTAACATTAGTAATAAAAAGTTTCATAGGGGCATTTATGTTTGATATATAAAAGTAAACGTTATTTAAGGAAAATTTATTTAATTTAATAAGTTAAAGGTATTACTTATAATGTAAAAAAATTATATAAAACATAAAAAATACATTAAGTGAACACTAATTTTTTCAAATTATTAAGTTCTAATCATTATACCAATCTAAGAAAAGAAGAGTAAAGGACATGACAAGTAAGAAGAATAATATATACACTCGTAATCCTGCGTTTCTTTGAATTGCCTGCTTAATTTGATCATTTGCATCTTTCATTGTTTCTGTGGTTCCTACTACAGTATTGGCAATGCGATCGATATCCTGCTCTTGTTGTAAAACCTGGAGTTTCAAAATCATTTTAAACTTTTTACACAGATAAAAAAAATAAAAATGTTGTTAAAAATAAAATTTTATGGGTTACTATATTTAATTTTTTTTAATTAAGTATTTTATAATGATGTTATATTTATGTTTCCAAAAATTGTCATAAATTTCTGTCCAAAAATTGACATAGATAAAAAAATTATGATTATGATTTTTTTAAATTAAATCAGGTATATTTAACATACTTCAAATGTTTCATATGATCTAGTTTTGTAGTTTTTGAGATATCCACACATTTCTTAAGGGTAAAAAATAAGTAAATATTAAATTATAGTGTTAAATATTCTAACTATGTCTAATCTTATAGGTTAACAGCTTAGCTTAGTTAATATATTGAAGTATACCTTTTCAGTAAATATTTCTTGCAACTCGGCTATATGTAAGACTTTGCTTTCAATTTGTCTCACTTCTTCCGTCAAACTGTTTAGCTCATTAAGGAGTAGGACATTTTCAGATTCAAACATTTGCAACTCTTCAGCACTTAATTCACCTTCATCAGATAAAACTGCTATTTCATTCTCTGATAGCTCAAGTTTTGTTTTTGTACTGTCAATTTCTTCCAAATCAATTTCATTCTCTTTTTCAGCTCCAACAGTGAAAGGGTTTGGTATGGAAGATGTTTTCTGTGGCACTTCTAAACGTGAGAGTTTTCGCATATCTAAGGCTCGCTTTACACGAAAAGCTTTTAATTCACTATGTATTTTACAGACTGCTTTTAAATAAGTATCTATAAGATCAATCACTGCATCCATGTACTCTCGCATCTGTTGTGATACACCTAATTTGCGGTTATCACTCCTGAATTCTTTAATAAGATGCGAGCATGTATTGATGATTCTTTGAGCACCTGTGTCTATTTGATCACGTTCATACTCCGTCATTTCATTCTCCGATATGTCATTTAAGTAGTTTAGATACCTCTCTCTATGCTCTAACAAGAAATCTCTTAGTTTTGTTATTTGAGAAGTAATGTCCTTTGCAGTTAACATAAAACCATTTTTATTAGATTTTTGCCGCAAAATAACTTTCTTCTCTTCTGGAATCGGACTTAAAATACCAAAAGTCTTATTTCGTGTTTTTACTGTTTTTATACATGCTTTAAATAAGGGAGTTATGTCCATTTTGTCCTATTAATTGTTTTATAATATATCAATTCTTTTCAGTTCTTATTAAAAATCAACAAATTATCAAAGCACAGATTATGGATTTAGAACACAGACCTCAGCAAAGTTTAGTTTAATATCACAGAATAAGTAAAGGCAAACATTAATATCGCACTCGGTTAATCTGGCAAATGAGACGGAAACCGCGGCAAATAAGAAACGAATTATGTTCTATTTAACTATCCTATTCATAGTGAATTGTTAGGATAATAGGGTATAGTTAGTAATAAATAAATAGTATCATGAAATTTCTCAAATTAGTAGTAGATTAAACTTATTTTTGATTCTGGCACTTTTTGGCATTGATAGAAATTTTAAGAAATTAAATACCACTAATTACTAAAATAGCTAGCCCTGTTGAGAAGACTAAAGTTATACTTTATTATGTATTATTATATATATTTTACCTTATACAGCGAAATCAAAGGCCGAATCCCAAAGATTTTCATGTTCCCTTTTTTACTTATTTTGCCTAAATTTTTACCAGTCCAATGACATGAGTTATAATTTAAGCTTCGTTCTGCTATCGCATGCTACTCTCTAATTTAATATTATTCAAAGTAAGCAATTTTTCATGTTAACGATATTGTGTCATAGAAGTTTCATTTATACAGGGAAGCCAAAAAGTTGTGGATCAAACGCTACTAAGAGAAAGATGGGGTCATCACTTGCAAAAAATTTCTACGGGAGGTCCTTTGCTCAACCTTGCAGAGTTATAATTTATTTTGCGTTTTTATAATAAATTGACTTTTTTTTACTTATTCTTATTGAAATTCGAAAAAATCTACATCCGGTTTCTTTTTTCATAATATCCACTATATTGGTACTCACGAGTCGTTGCACTAGACATGCTATTTATGGTTGTTTATTGGGTGTATTGACCCCACTGTGAAAAAAATACTCTACCGAAAAGTGACTGAATTACAAGGTTTGGCGCATTTAATAGGGATTCTGAAAAGGTATTACACATGGCCATGAGTGGCTCTAATTTCTTTCTAGGACGAAAAAACAAAACAACGATTGTGAAATAATTGTTGAAATAAAACATTTTTTTTTACAATATATGTAAATAAAAGTACACGGCAGCCGTTGAGCTAATCACATTCTATGCTGCATGGGCCCTCTCCGCGAATAAAAAGATGACCAAGATAACACTAATTAGAATTCAGAAAAAATATCCAATAGTAATAATTTGAGTTTGAGTTAGCATACCTTACGGTATGGCACGATGCGGCACTCTCACTCACACGACTTCTTCCACTGGATTTGCGAGTAAGAGAGGTAGCCCTTAATACACAGTCAGGAAAGGAGGAACTTATGAAGAACACGGATTACTCGACTCGCAGCCTTCGCCCTACTGAAAGCATGCACCCAGCAAAAAGCCAATGAATTTATTTCGTGCAAGTCATGAAGAGTAGAAATAGATAAGTCAAGGCAATGTCAGACACATACCACCGGCAGTAGAGTTGATGGAAAAGTGGGCGCTGCCGTAGTAGTTATGAGGGGACAGACAAAAGCCCGAAGTAAAAACAAACTGGCTAGTTACTGCGCAGTCCATTAGGTGGAACTGCTCCGAATGCTTAACGGACGTTAGAATCAAACATTCAGTGAACCTAAGTCATCTCAGGGTGATTGGATTTTTTAAAATTTAAAGTTATTTATAAATTAAAAATAACGCCTATTGATTTTAGTGGGAAATGGGGGGCCTTTTTATCCACGGGGCCCTGGGCTGCAACCCACTAAGCCCTTAAGTAGAATCGCCCCTGATAATAGGGTGTCCTAATATAATATCTATTAACCTTGGACCTTTTACCTTTAACAGGTTTGTCCTTTTATTATTACCATCAAGATCGAGTCGCGCCAATAACAATTTTGAAGATTATGTTCGTTTACACCGTAAACGCCACGCCATCTAGTATCAGTTAGATATCTGTGGTCACCATTGTCAATTATTGTGTAATTGACATAAAATAATACGGCTTTGTCAAGGTTTGATGGAGGAATGAGAATAATTCAGACAAATTCCTTTTAACAATAAACATTAAGCAGTACTTGTATAATATTTTATTAGTTTCTTCGTTTAAATAAGATTGTATAAGAAATCTAGAAGTTGGTTTCTGAGCAATGACTTCGTCAGCTGTAGTATCAAAAAATCATGTACATTCAATTCCTCTTTATATCTTGGATGACATTTGCAGGTAAATAACTATATTTCAAATCTTCATAAAAATATACACTTCTACTCTATATAAATTAACTAACGTGTATTGCCTTAGTCGTTTCATCATAAATTTACCAAAAGAAGAGCGTGCTGACATGGTGAGATTATGTTTCCAAATAGAATTAGCTCACTGGTTTTATTTGGACAATTATTGTACAAATGATGCTGCAAATCCTTGTGGTATTACGCAATTCGCAGCACATATTTTCCAGGTAATTAAATATATTTTTCTGGTTTGTATAAATCGTTGTATGTACACATTTACCAAAGAGACAAACATCCATTTCTGGAATAGTAGCTTTGTAATAATACAGAACCTGTTCTTCCTTATAATATTAGTCATACTAATGTTTTTATTTTGGTTTTAGCATGTTCCTTTTTTACAAGAACATAACAGCCGTATGGATGAAATACTGGACACCTGGAGGCAATATAAACAAAGTGTACCAACATATGGGGCAATTATATTAGATTCTGATTTGTCACATGTGCTTTTGGTACAATCTTATTGGACTAAAGCTTCATGGGGCTTTCCAAAAGGCAAAGTAAATGAGGATGAAGAGCCATGGACTTGTGCTGCTAGAGAAGTAATTATATTTGTAATCTTTTATAGTTTTGATCCCATGAGACTCCGTCCTAACTTTATATAAAAATTGTATGATATTACAAATAAAAGTGTGTGATCTTAGGCTTTGGTTAAAGTCTGTACTTAATTTGAAAAGTGATTTTGTAGTTAATATTAACAGAAATAGACATGACTGTCAACTAAATTGTAATCTCAATGCTTGTTTTCAGGTCTTAGAAGAGACAGGGTTTAACATTAGCAATCTTATCAACAAACAGGACTACATAGAAACATCAATACATGATCAAATTGTCCGCCTTTATATTATTGGTTATGTATCTCGAGATACTAAATTTCAACCTCGAACACGAAATGAAATAAAAGCATGTGAGTGGTTTCCTATTGCTGATTTGCCTGCAAACAGAAAAGATATGACACCTAAAGTAAAAATGGGTGTAAGTCCTAATGCATTCTTTATGGTTTTACCATTTGTAAAACGCATTCGAAGGTGGGTAGCAGAGAGGAATCCTAAAGTGTTCTTTCGAAGAACTAGACATAAGTCAATGGGGGAAATTGAATCAAATAATAGCAAAACCAAAACAATTTCACAAGGTCTTCAAAATGAAATTCAAGAATATCAACAAAATGCTGGGCCACCTTGTATCAATGGACATACTAGTGTCAAGTTGAATGGGAACAAGAAAAATGGGAAAATGGCTAAAAGACAACTCTTCACTCCACAAAATGTAAATGGGACTCCATTCTCTCCAGTACAGAGTTTGAGCTCAAATAATGATGATGACATTTACAGCACATATTTTAATTTTATCTCTCCCTCTTGGAGCAATTTTAAGTTTGACAGAAGAGCAATTTTAGATTGTTTGACTTGAAAAAAATTACAATGTTAGAGAGAACAAAATCTCACTATTTTACACTATGCAATGAAATTGACGAAATTATTTTAATACATTAATGAATACACTGAGATAAATTGAATGTAAAATCAAGCTATTGTTTTATTAATAGTAAATTCATATATCAATTGTATTACATGTGTCCTAAAAATTGAACTAAACTTTTGTGCCCTTATTTTATCTTCAGTGACAAAGTACTAAATCTAAATAGGTTATTCTGCTGTCACTAAACTCCTTAAAATTAGAAACTTAAATTATATTGTAGGTCTTTCATGAATTATATTTATATGACTGCAGTGATGCATTAACGTATACCTACCAAGGTGCTGTAGTTGTGCTAGCTGCTGGGCCTACTTGTTATTAACTATCAGTTCTTTATTTAACATCTCTTATCAAAGGTTAAGGAAAAGCAAAATTTTGTAAATTTGCTTATTTAAAAGGTATTTATTTGAGCTATATATTAATGCACTTTGCCTAAGGTACTCTACAAACAGAATAATTAGTTAAAAATAGTTAAAACAAATAAAAAATAATCTATAGTCAATTTTATTTACGAAAATCAATAAAATACATAATTAAAATAAATTATTTACAAATTCATCTAAAATATGCCTAGTACAAATGTTTAAACACAAAGCTTATTTACATGAATATGTTTCTAGACCAGCTTTTTTATACTATTAAGAAATTTTACCGGGCACTCAATAAATTGCTTGCTTGCATACTACAAAACAGTGATTGAGCCAGTCTAGTTTCCCTAAGCATTTTATGTTGACGTTGATATATTTCGTTCCTTCTACTGCTTTCTTATATGTAAGACCAATATGAACACCGAATAACTCATATAATCACTATGCCAATCACGCTTAAAAATATTCACAGCATTCAAGCCCTATAATATTGCTTTTTTCTTTTTTGTGATAAAATAGGTATTACATAGATTTCGTCATATACATGCAGTATTTATCTGTGGTTTAAGGACCTTTATGAAGATAAAACATCTGAAGTCGACATCCAGGTTTTAAAAATTAAGGAAAATATAGTATTATACATTATTTAACATGTGATTTCATAATAGAGATTTTTTATATCACAATAGGTTAACAATACTTAAGGTTTATATCTAATGTAATAATTCCGAATATGAATATATTTCCATAACTTTTAAATCGTCTATTACCTATGATAACCGATCTTACTTGATGGATCGTTAACGTAAACACCTAGTTATCAAATTTACTTCCTACTTATTTATAGAGATTTGGTTTAAAATAATACAAATTACATATATTGTTATCTTACATATTTTTATATAGGAATATTTAAACGAGACCACAAACTTATTCATTTCGTGCTGTAGGATTTTTAACGAGTCGAGTCGAGTCTATTACATAATACAGCCTACTACCCAAAAATGCAAATTCTAACTGTAATATTAGAAATAAAAATCTATTTTAAAATTTTGACAAACTATTTAATTAATTGTATGATTTTTAATTAGCTGTCCACATGTGTCCAAATATAGAAGGCACTCTACAATATAGACAAGATACGTAAGCATATTAGATTATAACGCGCTTTAGAACTAAATAGTTTTTACTGGTAATAAATAATTTGTAGCATAAAAGAGTACCCAGCTTAAATATTGATACAATAATTGGTTGTTTGGTTACTTTTTAGTAATTTGTTCATAGTCAATATAAATTAAGTATTATAGGAAATAAAGGTATGTCATAAAATTAGGCTATTAAATAATATCATTTTACCACGACCTAAAGACCGTCGTCGTCCATATCTAGCACCACGAACTGATACTTCAGTCAGTCCTCATTGGTGAATCTCGTACGAGTGTTGGTCTGCCTATACCTCCGGAACAGCACAAAGGCAACACCAGAGAGGGCCAACACTATTGGTACTCCAAGGCCGATTGAAATAATGAGGATTACGAAGAAAGAAAATCCGTCTACAGGAGGTGTGCCATAGCCCATTGTATAAGACCTGATGAAAAAAAAAGTATTAGTAGAGTATTTCATTATAAAGAGGTAAAGCTTGTGAACAAGTGTTTGGAAATCTATAATACGCTATATACTAACACGAAAAATTAAAAGACTTTCACTTTGTGGTTGTGGTAGGGTTTGCAAAGTCGGAGAAAAAACAGTCGAACGAAATCGTTTCTTATGAACGCTACCTTAACGGTATGATTGAAATATGATTGGGTTCTACAGAAAAGTTGTCGAACTTGATAATGCCTACTAAAGCGGCAGCATTTGTCTTTTAGGCATATTACGTATATAATATAAACAAGTCTGTCTTTCGCGATAAACTTAAAAGTGAATTTATTGCTGCTTTCACCAATATCTAGAATTATACGTGAGAAATGATTAGGTATATATTTTTTTCAAGTTACGGGTCGCGATTGCCTGATGTCGGGGCGTGAAGGTAGGTATAAATCTATAATTTGCGTAATGGTTACGAAAGTCCTCACATTTCATTGACCTGGTTAATTATTATTTAGAGAAATAGGTAATAAAGTCTATACTCCTGAATAGTGAATGAGGTATATTTTATTGCAGGATTCATTTTGGTCATTTAATTAATAATTTTCTCGTGATCAGTTATTAATTTCAACCTAAAACAAGTATTGTTTCGCCTGAAATCGAACGCTGTATTTCCGATTATGTTAACTGATAAGTACCGTAAGTTGCTCAACTCTCTGTTTATTGACTCACTCCTATCTGAACCTTTACCGTATAATGTAAAATCGAATAGTTAACGTATATATATTTATGTTTGTATCAAATACAGCAGCGCTCCGTCAGCATATTTGAAACTAAACAGATGCATATAACTTTTAAATTTAATTCACGGAGTAGTGTAATAAATGTATGGAAAATTTATAAGTTCGATCTATCAAAAACTGATATTGTATTGACGTATACAAATAATTAAAAGAAGCGGCAAATTTGTCGCAGTAAATTTCGCTTCGATGTAAATGTCTTACGTATCTCTAAGCAGTTGTCTTGAACGCGCGTAAGAAGTTATACTTCTTTGGCATTATTAAAAATAGTTTTTGTTTGCATACAAATAATTAATAACAATTAAATAATAATCAAAGACTGAAAAAGGAGTCATTATAGTCAATAAAGTTCAGTTTACATTTGAAAAGTTAAATAAATAAATATTTATTATTATTCTCTTACAATAAGGGTAACATAAATTCTATTATTATTCGAATGTTGTTTTTAAATTATGTCCAATGCCGTAGCATCTTCCGTGGGCAACTTCATTCTGTTAATTTTGTGTCACGGTGCGCGCGCATCGTAAAATTTCACTCTCATCAATTTTTCATAACGCGCCTAAAGAAGTATAACTTCAACAAATAACTTACCAAGCAGTGTAGTTATGTTGCTTGTAGTATCCATCCCCGCTTTCACCGAACGAGACAAACATGTCTTGTACTAGAATCATCTGGGCCTCTTTGAAGAATAAGCTTAGCGTGCTGTCACGTGGCATAATCGTTCTGAAATATGTACAATGATTTTAACTACAATTTAAAAAAAATCTTATATCAAAAACAACTTAATTTAATTAAAAACATACGTACTAAGAGTATTTACTTTATAAGTGGGTTTTTTACGAAAAACAGAAATAATATGCAAACTTTGTTAGTAAAAACCTTACAAAATTTTTAACGAAAATTATCGATGGTACAAAAGTAATTTCAGGTTATACAATAAAAAGGGTATTTTATAGCAAATATGATCCTTATACACTGTTCCTATAACTGTTTTGACTCGACTAGTATCGTAACTTAATTGATGTTAACTTCTGTGATGATAGTTTAAAACGAAAATTTTAATTAAGTCTATGTATAGGTACTCGTGCATCGTGCAATCGTCCTTGGACGATAAACATGTTTATAATATGGTCTATATTATGAATATTCAGAATATTCAACATATTCATTTAAATATTACTTGATGTCCTTACATTTATATAATATTATAAATAGAGTAATTACCGGTTAAATTGGGATACGTGCGCAATGGTTGAACTGGCAACATTGCGTTTTGGCGACGTGTAGCTCACAGGACGAAACTGTAGGTATCCACCTTCCTCAGTGTCATAGAGCGATGGCGTTTTAATTTCTATTATCTGTTAATGTAATCACATTTTATCAATTTAAAACATTACATTCAAATGCAAATAATAAATAGTATTATAATTTATTTTAAGTATTGCTATTTATATTGTAATAAAGATTCAATAATTAATAATTCAGACTTCAATCATGCAAATGCAGTACAATGCTGTTACCATTCTCTTAGCATTCTCAGAGAATAATTATAAGATTATTTTAAGTAGAAGCTAATGACACTATTTTTGTAACCTGTAACAAGTTAGTTTATAGACAGCAGTACACCAATACATTATCTCTAGACTTACCTCAAAGACTCCAGGTGTATGTTCATCATCCAAACTTTTGCGCATTATATAGTGCATTGTATCAGTTGGTTTGTCCGTACTAGCTAAGACAAAGTGGAGCGCGTATCTTGAGGCATTGAATGACGTTGTAAGGTTAACCAAGCTTACATCTATAAGTGTTGAGTTGGCTGTATGTATTAAGTGGGGCAGTTCCACCGCATAGTCTTTAAATGGTAGAAGATCCAGCTACAACATTTTATTCAATTAATAAAATGTAAAATACAGTAGTATTCCAATGTAAGTACTTGACTTTGTCACGCATTATAATGTTATTAAATGTTAAAGATGTAATTGATTTATTATCTGTTCAGATTTAAATTAAATAATTTAAAATGATTCTAACAAAATACCTTAATACTAATAAGAGCATCATTATTATTTCTGTTACGAATTTTTCCTGTCACATGCACCATAGCCTCACTGTTTGTCAATATACTCTCTTGAAGCTCCCACGAAATTCGGTTAAGACTGTATTCCCTTTGAGGATACTGAGGGTTTATGTACCCAGTGTCATGTATGTCATCATATTCATATAACTGTAGAAAATAATGAAATAGATAATATTGAATTAATATTTTAAGAATCTATACTCTATATTAAAATTCAATACTGCACGAAACCAATTAATACAGAAAATAATCTTTTTATTTATAATTAGAGGCCTGTTCAGCAGCTCAAGCAATATATCTTGCCTGGATGAAATCGCTTGTTAGCGATAAGCCCGCCCGTTGCCTTATAACTTAAGTAACCTGCTTTTTTTATTTTTTGTTATCTAATAAAGTGTAAATAAATAAATAAAAAAATATGTATAGGAAAGTTAATTAAATAAAAAAACTACTCAACTTTATGTGACGATAGAAGTTAAATTGGTTACAATTTTGTGATCCACCTACGTGTGTACTGTCATTACAATAATATTATTTGGTAAACATATGAAATTGGAGATTTGTATGAAAATTAAAAAAAAATTAATATGTTGCTATTTTTATAGCAGTTCGTTTATCCCTTTACTGTAGAAGTCTGCTGGAAGGGAGACAAAAAAGCCAACGAAAGCGAAAAAAAAACAGCAAATCTAACAATAAATGACTGAATTTAAAATTATATTAACACAGCTTTCAAATAACATTTATTTGAATTTAGCCAATCCATAAATAATTAAATTCTTAAATGCCAGTTATACAATCTCCAATTACTTAGGTAAAGACTTAAGACATATTATACTTAAGATTTAAATCAACTACTAAAAATTAAAAACACATTCCATGTTTACATTCTAATTAAAATATAAAAGATGTAAAAAAACTTATGTATATGTTTTTATAGTTTGATCAAAAGCAGTAGCTTTGTAGTAGCTTCTAAGATTATATTTGATATTTTTGCTAGGCTTTTTATGTTAAAGGTGATATATATAACAATGTTTTCTGTTCATTATATGTCTATATATATATCTTTCGCAAGTTGATGCAAGTGCAAAATAAGAAAGAAAATCCTACTGTTTCATCTAGGAAAGTTGTAACTCTGTAAAAATCTGCTTTAATAATTATCTTATATTCATCACATTCATAATTATATATAACTAATGTTTTTACTAGCAAGGTATGATGGAACCATTAATACTTGGGAGTATTCCATCACAAAGCTAACAATAATTATATATTTTATTTATAATTATTTACCTATTCAAAATTTAAACACAAACTACATTGATTTAAAAAAAGTACATTAATTGACAATGGAATAATTTATTTCTCCTTTCTATTATGTGATAGAAATAACATATATGCATATAGGCCAACAGCAACATTATCAGTATTTATGATTCAAACAACTGTATAAACACATATGGTTATGATTCATTATGGATCAAGTTACATAGAATATGTTATCTACAATATTGTTTTATATAAATTTATGTATAATAATTTAATGGTACTTTATATAAATTTACAACAATAATCAAAAGATTCAGAGTATTGATTTTTTTTAGAAAGATGTGTGATTACCCTATGTGTGTGTTAATAATTTTTTGAGATATAACATGGCGATCTGCCATTAAGGGAAAATATTCTAATTCTTAAACATATGATTTACATACCTATGATTAAGATTTTTGATTAACTATAAAAGTAATGAGAACTGTCCCGTGGTAAGGTGGTTATAATTTTAAAACTTACTTTGTCAATAGTGGCAGCAAAAGTATACCATGGCTTCTCAGTCCAATTAAAATATATTGGTTTATTTTCAACCCACTGAATATTTAATGATGTATTTAAGCTTCCAACAGAGAGCAACACAGTGGGCAGGTGCTTAGTAAAATCCCAAATCTGATGTAAGACATCAGACTTTCCTTCACCACGTATATACACTAGAGTTGTAGTATTTGATGAACAACCTTGACATCCTGGATTTAAATGAGCTGATATCTGAAATAATAAAGCCAATTTAATTAGATTTCAGTAACTTAATAATTAAATATAAAAAAGTGTTTAAAATTGTTTTAGGTTCTAAATGAGTTAACTAAATGACAATTATCACAATTGAATACCAATGTTTTACATGAATAATAAAAGGTATAAGAAATTGGAAACAAAGGCAGTTTTGACCTTCATAATAAGGTTTAGCAATAAATGTTGTTTACCTTTCTATCCAAGCCATTTGTTGGGGAAAAAAGGCAACTAATAAATAAAATTGCAGATATCACTCTTATCACAGAAGGGAACATTATATTTATTTATAACAGCAACAGTAATTAATTTGCGTAAAAGTTAACACAATCATAAAAACAATTTACACAATAAACATGTCAGCGCGTGTGACATATGAGAATGCAATTATACGTAATACCTAAGAAATTGATATGCTTATCGTAATTGATAAATAGTTCTAAAGACTCAGTGTTGTGTCTAAATGTTTATGATTTTAAACGCGGAAATGAAATTATTACATACAACTATTTGTCTTGTGTGCTAATAACAGTTTGACTGCTGAGTGATGACAGAACAATAATTGTGATGTCACAATCAACTGGAAATTATAGCGATAGACTATAATAATATTTGATAGATTATATTTGTTAATCCCGTTTTAGATTAACGCTTATTACATCCTGACGAATTTTGATTTGTACGAGACTGCCCACGCCAGAATCCAGATAATTATAATCGTATTTGTACATTCAGATTTTTGTGGGTGATATTTAATATTTAAGTATTTAAACCAACTTGCGTTTGAATTAATCGAATGATTATTATATTTATTAGAATTAGCACTTCCCTTAAGGCAATACTGACCGCTTTCCACCCTTAAGGAAAGGATGATAGGAAATATAAATTATTAATACAATTTACAAAACAATAATTTATTAATCCACAGATTCTTCTACAACATATTGTTTTTTGCGCGCCCCGTCGTCTTCACTGCGTGGCGAATGTTCTCGTTTCTCCTGCTTTTTACTTTTCTTGTTTTGATTTTTAACCGCCTTCGACATCTTTTCTTCACCAACACTGTAAACACAAAAGCGTGATATTGATGTACTGAAAGTAGACAACGGAGTAGAAACTTTTCTGTGTCCGGTATTAGTAGATTATGATTATTAGGCAGATTAATATACAGGGGATACCTTGTACCTGGTTAAGTACCTCCACCAAATATGAGCACCATATATATATGGCCGCCCGTCAAGGATAAAGGATCAGATCAGTAAAAAAAATTAATCGTCAGATTAAGGGAGTGTGAGTTAATAACATGCTAAGAAGTGTATATTTCACTAATCTGAAAATTTGCAAGTAACGTAAAGAAAGGGGAGGGCTCCCCACACCGATGAAAAGGTTTATCTTATATAAAATTCTTGTGTCACAATGTTAGTTACACATACTCCTCCGAAACGGCTTGACCGACTTTTATCAAATTTTATATGCATATTCAGTAGGTCTGAGAATCGGCTACTATCTATTTTTCATACCCCTAAGTGATAAGGGTTGTCCACCCCTAACATTTTATTTTTTGGACGAAATTTTTTTTTTTATAAAGTGCCATTAAAAAATACATACAACCCTAAATTTTCACCCCTCTACGATCAACCCCTATTTTTATTTAACTAAAGAAATGTTTCCTAGAAATAATATACATACATGGCAAAACAACGTTTGCCGGGTCAGCTAGTATCATACAACATTTTTTTTCTTATAATTATCTAAGGTTCGCAACCCAATAGGTCTTTTTTATCAATTTATAATGTAAAACTTAAATAATTATGCCTTCACCGCCAGGTATCGAACCATACATTTCCGAATTGAAGCTTTGTTCTTGAACCATTAAGCCTTGAAATAAGGTGCGTGAGGTAAATAAAAAACCTTTAGTACCACAGATAATCTCACACTTAAAACTGTGTGTAAATGTATGAAATAAAAAACTAAAGGTTGTTGTCAATCAATGCCCTTTTATAAAAAAATCACTATAACTGGATTTAATTATATCTAAATACAGCCAATAAACATCGTGCGACGTGCGTAGATGGCAATAAATTTGATTAAATTTTTAAAATCACCAAATTTGAATGTAATTGTGCCAGTGTTTTTATTTATTTATTTGCTTATCAGCATTCTTACATCTACTTATTAGGTAATATCTAAACAATAATAACATTAGACACAAACACCAAAAAACGGAATACACATTCAAACATAAATATAAAACACAGTTGACGATTATTATCTACTTAAACAAAATAAAAATATATAATAAATTTTAAGATGCATTGTTCATTATAATACATATAATATAAAAAAGGAGTAACAAACTATATCTATTAAAGGATACCAGAGAATTTTATATTATTTGTTTAAACATTTTTTAGGGTCTGTTTCACAATGTACGGATAAGTTCTACATAAGTTCCAAATTTGCTATTTATAACTTATTGGGAGGATAAACACTATTGTTGAGTTTCACGACTGTCAGATACCGCTATTTGTCACATAAAGTCCATCATAAGTTAAGAGTCCGATGAATGTCAAACAGCACAATTTATCTTCCAAATAATTTGTGTTGCATAGCTATTTGGTACTTTATCCTTACATTGTGAAACAGACCCTTAATATATATGTTAGATATATCCCGGATAATTTGTGTTATCTCAGTCATGTATCGTATATCTGAAGGTATACTATACATGACTGAGTTACGAAAATAGTTTTTATTAGAATGAGGAATTTTAAATAGTTGGGTTTGCCTTGTATTGAATGAAGAAGGGGTGATATGAGTTTATTCACGGGTATCATGGCAACCTTAGAGTGTGACCATGTGTAGGCCGCTTTAGGGCTTAGGTAGAAGTGAAATGAGCGGAACCGTTGCTATATGTAGCTCAGACATTAGTAAAAAAAAAAGAATTACATAATTATTATATATCAAAAAAGATTTGAATTTTTCGAAATAAGGACTTACTTTATAGAGGCTCTAGATCCAGGTCCCCAATATCGTGTAGGATTAAACTGGAATCGTAAAGCACCATTTCGTCTACTTGATGGATTAGCATCAGTTCTCTCTGTTAAATCTACTGTGTTCTTTATATCCTGACTTAAAATGTATTTGGCTGTTGCATCTGATTCTAATCTGTAGAGAAATAAAGATTTATTTAAAATTTGTACTTTTTAGTAATTGTTAAACACATTGCCAATAGTTATTTTTTAATATACCTGGGCTGTTTTAATAAAAATTCTTAGATAAATTATTTCTATTTTTAAATTTGAAAAGAGATACAAATTTTTTAAAGTTCTTAAGTATCATCATATGTCATCAGTGGTCATAACAATGGTAGATATTTGAAAGGTGATATTTACTTAGATGCTTTAACAGGGTGAGTTTTCTCCCAAGTTCTGATAATGTCCCATATGATGTGTGCGGGCGCATTAGTCTTTATTGATAATTTAGCTGCATGCGAAAATGAAACTTGGTACCCAGCATTTAGTATGGCAGACCTATAAAAAAACTTGTTCTTTAACTTTGATACATATAAGTACTCACAGTTTAAAATAAATACTCAAATAATAATTATTACAAAGTTTGTTATAAAACTTTTTTATTTTCTTTTCAAAGATAATTTGCCCCCAAAGCAATTGTTATGCTGAAAAAGACAATACCTCATTCTCAACATAGGCATAGTCTCCAAATGTACTCTCCCAAAAAGTTTATCCAGGATATAATATAAAGGCGTGTCCTGCAACTCCTCTTGCACCATAGACAAGATCCCTTGAATCCTCTTAGCTGTGCCAAACTTATGAGAGTTTTCTTCAACATGGTTTAGAACCCGAGAAACAAAATCAACATTATGTATTGGTGCTGACCAGATGGGACCACCTAGCTGTAAATAATATTTTTGTCATTATATTTAAATTATCTTATTTTTGTCATTAGATAACTTATACAAGGTAGCCCTCAATACTATGGCTCTCAGACTCATACATCATCACATCTACACAGATTAAAAGTAATAAGAAACATTCTAGCTAATAATAGTCATGTATAGGCTCTATTTACTCACATGATGTCTCTGATTGCAGTGAACACAGAATTCACCAACTGGTGGTACACTTGGCAGAAAACTCTTCACTTGATCTGGATTTTTTTCAGTTGGGTTTGGTTTAAAAGCACCCAGTGGTTGCAGTGTTAAATTGTCACACCCCACACACTGGTATACCATTGAAAGTTTGCTGTGAAAAAGAGTTATATGTTAATCCTAGTTTATGGGTGATTCAAGTAAAATTTAAACAAGTGAACTTGAACAAGTACTATTGTCTATTCTTATTTATATGATATAAATATTGTTGTTTATGTGATTTATGTTATTGTTAGCTTTTAATTATTGAACACTAATATGTAAATAAAATTATTTAAAATTACCTTGTAGTTTTCTTACAATGAAATGCACCAGAGTAGATTTTGACAAATACTCTTATATAAAAATCAGCCGATATGCTCAGTATAGGTTCTATAAACCTACTGTATCTGTTTGCATGGTGCTCTATACTTTGAAGTAATATCCTTAATGCCTGGAAATGTTATATTTTTAATAAATCTAGAATTCTACTCCTAGGTATTATTTATTAATCAATAGCTCTCTTCCGCTCCATGATACAGATGTTTGTTTAAATGTGTTTAGTAAAAATACTAATAAATCATATGTACTATGTAAAGATATTTCTATAGGACACAAAATATCTCAATGCAGTTGTCTAAGGTGAATTAAACAAACAGAAAAATGTATTTACTTTACAGTATTTTCTCCATTAGTGTACTATAAATTGATTAGTTACAAAATAAATATCTATTTACCATTTCATGACAACACTTGGTTTTTAGACTAATGGCACCATATTTAACATAGCATGTTTCTGGCGAGTTTCCAGCCAAGACAGCCATATCTGTTGCAGTCACAAGCAATAACCCACCATCTTGTACACTCTGTACAGCTGAATCTAAGAATATGGAAGGGCATCCATATGGATCCAGATCAATTGCTGTAAATCTTTTTGAATGATGTTTGTGTTTGTACATAAGCATGCTGAAATTTTATGATATAATATTGTTAATGGTTGATACTTGGAATTTTTTAGTATAGTAGCCACAATCATAATTTATTTTTTGTTGCAAATTCGCTAAATACTATAGATTTCTCAAATAAATGTGGTGTTAGTTTATTGCTTTTCTTAGATATCATCAAAACAATAATAAATATCAACAAGTATTTTAATGACTAGATTCTTAGAAAGTTTGGATCAAAAATAAATCAATAATTGAAAATAATTTATTTCTTACCAAGCATCATCATGACTTGTTTCAATAACATTATCTACACTGTTATACACAATGTTGTCCTTTATAGTCTCTACAGCTTGCTCTGACAAATCATTTGCTATTATCTTAGTGACATTTGATACTTCTTTTGCATACCTGATGCTTCTGAGACCTGTAGCTGATAATGCTTCTAGAATTGTAACTGGAATCTAAAGAAAATGTATGAATTTAGTAAGTTCATATAATAAACTCTAAAGGCAAAATGAGAGTCATACAAAGGTTATATACACATAGACATGTGGATTTTAAAGAAATTTATTTTTTATTTTATACTGAATTGAAACAAGCATTTTTCTTTAATCTTGTAATATGAGTTAACACCTTATTTACACATACATCATGACTGTCTTCAAAATCTATTCCCTCTGATTTTAATTTTTCACACTTCTTAAAAGCTTTTTCTTTTCTATAATCGTTTATAAAAACGGACAACACAGCAATACTCAAGTCTCTGTTAAACTCCTGAACTGGGTTATAAAAGACCTTTTCAGAAGACACGCGTATTTCTGCTTGGCCTTCAATTATACTTTGTTTTCCTATAATATTTGATGTATCCATATTCATAATCCTCTGTAATCAAATAGTAAATAAGCTGATAGTAAATATTCCTTTGCTTTAGGGTTACTTTATTCTTCAGCATTAGTAACCTTAACATAACCCTCAAAATATCGAAAAGAGTTCATACATTTAGAAAACATTATTTGTTTTACATTATCACTTACTATTTCTTAAAAAATACTTTTAAAGAAGAATCATAGTTTTCATTTTTCAACATCAAAAATAATAACATCATAGAATAAAATACTCTGAAAACATTATTCAACAGCACAGAGAATAGACATTAAAATTCTAATTAGCTAGGGATGTGAAAAAAAATCGATTATTCGATTTTTTTATAATTGAAAATCGATCATAGTCGATTTTTCATCTGCCACCTCCCGACATTATGTCTGGTCTTTTATAACCCGGACCTCGAACTATTAGGGATATTCGATATACATCAATGTTTACAATGCGATACATTGAATCCGATGCTTTGAAGATGTATTGATATACTCGATGCATGATGTTTTTTTGTAAAACATCGAAAGGATGATAAAACCAGTTAATTTTACAAAAACTCAAGTTTGAATGTAACACTAAAATTTAAAAGTAAAATAAATTTATTCAACAGCGCAAGATTACATACAATTAAAAAGACAACAAAAATACTGCAATGTGCTACTGAAAAGGCATACACTCAGCATTTATCAAATTTCACCTAAAATCTATCAAAACGAGATTAAGTTAATTTCGATTTTGATTATTCTTAAACGTTAATTTGTGTTTATAATTTCTATTGTTTATTTTTAATTAAAAAAACCATGAAGAATAAAATATTTAGGGTGTTTATTCTGAAATTAATTCAAAAATTTTGGAAAAATCGATTAATAAAAAACTCGATTATTTATTAATCGATTTTTCATGCTAAAAAAATAATCGATTAATCAAAAATCTATTTTTTATGCAGAATGTCACATCCCTACAGTAATTACTAATATTCCAAAATATCGTAGATAGAGTATAGAACGTCATATATATACCATAATCCGTCTACGCAATATATACCTTTCTGTCAACTATTGCCATAATATTAAAAAAAAAAACCTTTCTGTCAGGTATCTGTCAACTGTAAACGTCATCGTAATTTACCTATCAAATCCAAACTCACAGATTCAGCAATCAGCAGTAGCAAATAGAGAGCACTCGACTTAAATTTGATGTTAACTATAAGTCAATGACTGACAATTGGCATTTTAAATTTTAACTTCACTCTCGTCTCTCTGTTTAGTCTTCAAAGTTCAATATAAAAAATTTGAAGAATCTGGAAATATAACCTATTACTTTCCTATAAAATAAATAAAAGTATTTTAAATGAATGTGTATTTTATCGATTTTAAGTCCCTAATCAAAAAAGGAAAGTAAAAATGCACACGGCCAGTTATTTAATGCGAAATACTATATTATTAAATCCCAGTATAAAATATTCAGTCCGTTTGACTCGCAATGTAACTAAAATTGCATCACAATTACAGTGTAAGCCGGGACTTTTAAAAAACGTATACAGTAATGGACTAAAAGACTCTCGAGCAACCAGCAGCTTAAAGGGTTTTATTACTTTTCCTCAGGTAACGCTCAGTTTTTTTAGTTCTTTTTGTAAATAAACCTTTTAAAAAACTTGAACAAAAAAAATATTACATTGTGTAGCGCAAACGCCTTCCTTAATTAACCTTCAAGTTTATTAACTTCTTGAAATTTATTTCAAATATTATCAGTATGATTAACAATTACATTACACAAAAAAATTCAGATGAAAAGAAATCCTTGCATGTATAAAGTTCGTCTAATATTATTATCTTCTGGTTTTAGACTATACAAGTTAAACAGTATTCAACTGGTAACAAAAATGAACCCGAAGAAGAAGAAATTGAAGAAGTTAAAGAAGAAACCCCTCTATTTTCCAGTCAACTCCCAGCAACTGTGGCAGTCCCAGAAGTGTGGCCACAAGTGCCTGTTATAGCTATTAATAGAAACCCTGTTTTCCCTAGATTTATTAAGTTGATAGAGGTTTGTTTTTAATATATATGTATTGTCTTTAATTTAAAAGTATAGATTGAAGATTTAAAAATATATTTACCATAATAATAATAATAATGCTAATATGTGTGAAGATTAAAAAATGTCATAAAATATATATTTACATATTTTAAATAAAACAAAAATAAAGAATATTCATTCCTAGATTCTTCAGTTTGAAGGTTTTCTCTCTTGTGTTGCTGGTTAATAATAAAATAAATATAGTTTAAAACTTTTTATGAATTTATTTCAGATTTCAAACCCAGCTCTAATAGACCTTATTCGACGTAAAGTGAAACTGAATCAACCATACATTGGTATCTTTCTGCGTAAGAAGGAGGATGATAAAACTGATGTGGTATCAAATTTGGATGACTTGCATCAAGTCGGAGTGTTTGCACAAATACATGAAATGCAGGATATGGACTTTAAGTTGAGGCTTGTCGTCATGGCACATCGGAGAATTAAAATTACTGGACATTTTATTGAAGATGAAATTGAAACTGGGCCAGCTGGTATGTATTTTATAGATTTATCAAATTATCTTGAAGTTTGGAGAATTATTATAAAGTTAACTATCTAAAGTTAAAATTAATATAAAAATTTCTTCTTACTTTAAAAATGTTGTATAGAATGAGATGAGACTAATTGTATAATAATTAATTTTTGGTTTCATTTCCGAAATGCGTGTCATTTCAGAAATGAAGCTTAAGTTTCCTATATTTAATACGGAATTTAACGTTACCCGTGAAGAGACAGATGCTGAAAGACGACGTAGAAAGTATAGAAATTCCCGAAAAAAGACTGATGAAAAAGAGGTAAAGGAGACCAAAAAACTGCCGCCTGATCAAGTTATAATGGTTAAAGTTGAGAATGTCATGCATGAGAAATTTAAGCAGAATGAAGAAGTGAAAGCATTAACACAAGAAGTGATTAAGACTATACGGGATATTATTAACTTGAATCCTTTGTATAGGTAAGCTTAGCACTCTTATGTTTGATTTACAGATTTACATAAATAAGACATTGTGATGATGATTGTAAATATTTTATTCCGTAGTATCTTTATATAAATAAATCAAATTAATAAACTTCTAAACAACTGGACTGATTTTCATTTCATTAAATTTTTGTGTGTCCAAGCAAATTTGAGAATGGTTTAGATTTACAATTAGATTATTTATTTGGTGTATGTACAAGGTCTGTCCACTATTTTACAATAAAATACTAATTCACATATCCAATGGGTTTTAGTTTTGCTATTATATTATACTTAGTCTTTGTTAGTTATTATTCTTGTTGTATTTTATTAGTATTGTTCTGTAGTAGCTTTCATATAATAATAACTATTGGTGAAGATTTGTCTTTTAATTTTACAGTTAGCTTTAGCCTGTTTTTATAAGGGTATGATATATTACAGAGAGTCATTACATCACATGTTAGCTCAAGGTCAGAGAGTGGTGGATAACCCTGTGTACTTAAGTGATTTGGGAGCTGCCCTCACTGGGGCAGAACCAGCGGAATTGCAGGCTGTGCTAGAAGAAATGGATGTATGTACAGATCTGTAATATTTGTTTTAGCAGAATTTTAATATATTTATACTGATGTTTATGTTTCACTTCTACTAGTTTTTAATCCCAACTTAAATATTTTTTATTTACTAACTTTTCTTTTAACTAACTTGCTAACTTAAAAATTATCTCAAAAACAGTCTCAGACTTCATTGGAGGTCTTAAAGTTCATCCAAACTTGATTGTAAACAATTTTTAGATTCCCAAGAGACTTATGATGTCCCTATCTCTACTGAAGAAGGAGTATGAGTTGTCTAAATTACAACAGAAGATTGGCAAAGAGGTTGAAGAAAAAGTCAAGCAACAACACCGGAAATACATACTTCATGAACAGTTAAAGGTTTGTGCTTACACAATATCTCATCTACTATTGTCTTTGGCTTACGCGAGTATTACAAATTATTATAACTATCTATTTAAGAAGTTTTATTTATATATCACATGGATTTACTATTCTAATACAGGAGTTTCAGTTTTCTACCTTTTACATTTTTCCGACTGTTTTTATTAATGTTGTACGCCGATATTAATAAAAACAGCGGAAAATATATATTTAATCTTTCTGTCAAATTGTTATCAATCATAGACAAAAAAAAACAATCAACGACGCAACTCTATCTAGAGCTATGTCATAGTGCAAGGCAAATTTTTATGAACTTGAATAATAATACCTATTGGCCACCACCACTACTGTGTGGAATGAGAACCATTGTGGGGTTTTCTTTTACAGCTGTAAACTATTCCTTTTAACATTACGTAGACAAAAACGCATACATTCTATGCAGCTATAATAATTTGTATATCTAAAGGTTAATAAAATTTTAGTCACCAACGTTATTTATAATATATTAAATATTTTAGGTAATTAAAAAGGAGTTAGGTCTCGAAAAAGATGATAAAGATGCAATAGGCGAGAAATTCAAAGAGAGATTAGCTGAAAAGACTGTACCAGAGGCTGTGCAAATTGTAATTGATGAAGAGCTGAACAAACTTAACTTCTTAGAGAGCCACAGTTCTGAATTTAAGTGAGTTTTCAGATGAAATCTACACCAGTATTTTAATGTAACACTTAAGCGGGCCATAGACGGACCGCATGTTGCAGTCAAGACCGACTGCAATATGCGGTCGCCGCACGGCGATCTGCAGTTTCCATACTAAATTCATATTCGCAATACACGGACCGCTCGAGCAGTTCCTGAGCAAACCGCATATTGCAGTCGGTCTTGACTGCAACATCCGGTCCGTCTATGGCCCGCTTTAAGCTATTTAACATCACGTCGATAGGAAAGGAGCATCAATGAATTGTGTTCTTTTGAGAACTTCGCTAAGTTGATTTAATAATAGCAATATCGAGAATGTTGTCAGGGATTCTAATTGAAAAATGTTATTAGTTTTATGAAAAAGGCTATCAAAACAATTTTTTTAAATCATATTGGCAACTACAGTCAAAACCGTTTATAACGACATCGTTTACAACGACCTATCGGTTATTACAACCAGATTGTATGGTCCCGTCCGAATCCCTAGTAAACTATTCAGTAAAGAAACCGCTTATAACAACATCGGATACAGCGACATATCGCTTACAACGACGAAAGTTTATCGATATTGATCGGATATAACGACCAACCGCTTCTTGTCTCAGTAAAACAAAACAATACAAACGATTTTAAATTTTATTTATAAGCATTGAATGAATATTTAGGCATATTATTACCTACGCACTTTCTCCCAACGAACAGTTTCAGCCAACAACGATTTCCGAGGCTCTTAACGCTGTAACGATTTTGCAAAAATTTGTTGCCTTTAACGAACAGTTTGATACTGGTGATACTCATACCTTGAGGAGTATGAAACGTAAAATGCAAAAAATATTTGAGACTGGGCTAAAAAAAACAGACTGACTGATTACTTTTGTACCTAATTATTTCGTAATAAATATTTTTGTTTCTTTTTTGACTCGTTTACATATTATAATATTAACATACCATATTATAACCCATACCTACCTATTCTAGATCGATAACTATGTACATACATATGTACTGTACTTGTGTATATGACATTGCTTATAACGACTATCGGATATAACGTCGGCAACTATACGGTCCCTTCAATGTCGTTATAACCGGTTTTGACTGTATGTTATTAAAGTCCAAAGTCAAAAATCATTGAATCATATAGGTAACACAATGTACACTTATGAACGTCAAAAAAAAGAAATGTATATGAACTGCTTCTACATTACATTTAGTGCCAGTTCTCAAATCAAGTTTATTGTGACAATATAAAATAAGTCATTAAAACAAAGAAATATATAAATTAAGAACCGATAAAAGATAACATCGCTACTGAATTAACACGGGAAATAGTTCAAATTATTTCTACGCCAAATAAATAATGATATATTATTTCTAAAGTTGTCACCGACTTATATATAAAAAATTTCAGTGTTACCCGTTGTTATCTCGACTGGCTGACATCTCTCCCCTGGGGTATTACGTCGGAGGAAAATCTGAAGCTGGAAGACGCACAGATTATTCTAGATGAAGACCACTACGGCATGGAGGATATCAAGAAGCGAATTTTAGAGTTCATTGCTGTATCACAGCTCAAAGGCAGCACTCAGGGAAAAATATTGTGTTTCCATGGACCGCCTGGTGTTGGAAAGACTAGTATAGGTACATAGTATTTTTTGTGTGGGCCTCAGAAATGTGTATCTAATCGTGAACATTTATTTTTTCTAATATTTAAGATGTTCAACCTTCTGTGCATGACACGACGTTCTTAAACGAGTTCGATGTGGAAAAAAAATACTTTTTTACCGGATTGAATTTTAATTAATTATTTCGCATATATTAAAATTAATTCGCGTGCTTTACAGGGTGCGTAGTCACGGTGACTGTCGGAAAAATTTAAAATTATGTAAAATAATTGTAAATTTATAATACACTACATAACTTCAATCCGGTAAAAAAGTTTTCTTTTAATGTGTAAAAGTTATGTCAAAATACTATGTCAAAAAAACTTATACGGAAAGTTGCGTACGTGGGCCACGCGTTGCACTATGACCGCTACCACTTCCTTCAATTAATTATAATGGGGAACGTCCAGGGTAAACAGTTTGTTGATAAAAGGAAGAAATCATGGCTTCTCAACGTTAGGGAGTAGACGGGTATTGCGTCTGCGGAAGAGCTGCTGCTTCTGGCACAGGACATGCTTCAAGAGAGAGACAGAGGTTGACCTCAGCCACTGAGCCTTCAAGCCAGTCATTTAGACTAGTCGAGGATCCTTTAGGTTGGAGGAAGTGCTCACCATTCTTCCTCCAAGGTTTCATCTATATTCAATAGCATTATGTTGAATTAACATGATAATACTTTTCCAATGATATTTAGGTATACATTTACCTATAAGTGTGTTTTTCCAGCTCGGTCGATTGCGCGCGCGCTTAATCGTCAATACTTCAGGTTTTCTGTGGGTGGAATGACGGATGTGGCCGAGATTAAAGGTCATAGGAGGACGTATGTGGGAGCGATGCCAGGGAAATTGGTTCAGTGTTTGAAGAAAACCGGCACTGAGAACCCATTGGTTCTAATTGATGAGGTGGACAAGATTGGCAAGTGAGTTGAAAGAAAGTAATCTTTTACATCTAATATATAAAATTCTCGTGTCGCGGTGTTTGTAGTTAAACTCCTCCGAAACGGCTTGACCGATTCTCATGAAATTTTGTGTGCATTGGGTATGTCTGAGAATCGGACAACATCTATTCTTCATCCCCCTAAATGTTAAGGGTTAAATTATTATATATTAAATAAAAAAAAACCCTAAATTCTTTTTTTAAATTTTTAGATAAATTTTATTTTTTTTATTTTTTTATGATACAGCATTAAAAATACATACAACCCCTAATTTTCACCCCTCTAAGATCAACCCCTATTTTTAATTATAAATGATATGCATGGCAAAACGACGTTATATATACTATTTTAGCCGTTAACGAACTGAAGATGGGATAGCGCTCGAAATTGTTTTTTTTTTTTACGAATTAATCGACTTGTTAGCACGCTCAGTCAGATACCCAAGACACATAATTTCGACTTCTTAACTAACTGCGCTCTTACCTTTTTGCTTTTTTTTTTTCGTCGGGAAATGTGTTACGCTCCCGCGGCGCGGTTGCCTGACGCCACCAGCAAGATTGTATATTATAAAATTCTTTTAGAGGTAACAAAGCTAAATATAATAAATATTTCGTGTTATATTTCACTAGTTTTTCTATAAATTGACAATATTAAAGAATTTTCAGCGGCCCGACAGACGTTATCCTGTACTCTGTGTAAAAGTTTTTCGAATCCACTTGAACACTCAATAAATTTCATCAAAATCGCTCCAGGTTTAGGAGTTTAATTACAAACACATGCAGAATATTTGTATATATAAATAAAAGTATAGAATTTGGTACAATCAAAACGTGATATGAAATCCAATAACTTTTATAAAATTACTAGCTGACCGGGCAAACGTCGTTTTGCCATGTATATCATTTATAATAAAAAATAGGGGTTGATCGTAGAGGGGTGAAAATTAGGGGTTGTATGTATGTTTTAATGCTGTATCATAAAAAAATAAAAACAAAAAAAATATCTAAAAATTAAAACAAAATATTTTAGGGGTGGACTACCCTTAACATTTAGGGGGATGAAAAATAGATGTTGTCCGATTCTCAGACATAACCAATATGCACACAAAATTTCATGAGAATCGGTCAACACCGCGACACGAGAATTTTATATATTAGATGGTGTAAAAATAATAGCTAATTCTGATTTTTAGAGGAGTTCACGGGGACCCCTCATCAGCTCTTCTCGAACTTTTGGATCCTGAGCAGAATGCGAACTTCTTAGACCACTACTTGGATGTTCCTGTAGATTTATCAAAGGTCCTTTTCATTTGCACTGCGAATGTCGTCGATATGATACCAGAACCGCTGAAAGATAGAATGGAACTTATTGATATGTCTGGTAAGTTGTTTATTAAGTTACACCTGTCTCTTTTCTGCACAGCGTAAACACAATTGCATAGAAAGAGCCGAAAGAGTACGGGTAACGGTGCAGTTAGACTGATGAGAAAATGTTTATCGAATCAAATATCTTCAGAAACATGTCTCAAACAGCAATCTAGTCCTGGGTATTTAAAAATGGTTTAATAGATCTAGAGAATGTATTCACGGTTTCGAAGACGGAGGCTGAGGCCCGTTTAAAGGCCGGCAACGCACCCACTGCAAATAGGTGTCCATGGACTGCGATGACTGGACATGGACCCTTTTTGAGCGTCCCGTAGGCTCGTTTGCCGTTTGTTTGTATTAAAAAAAAACAATTGTATACAGAAGTTCGCGTCTTTATTATTTTCAGGCACCAAGACTTAAGATATAATACTTTGAATTGTTAATTAAATAAATTTTAAACTACTCTTTTGATATCTTCAGCTATAAAAAACATAAATTATAATTATGTTTTATTCTTTAGGAATCTATTTATCGTTACAGGTTATGTGGCAGAAGAGAAGTTGGCAATAGCTCAACAATATCTGGTTCCGACAGCACAAAAGAACTGCGGACTTAATAACGACCAGTTAGACCTGACCTCGGAAGCTCTGCACACTCTTATTAAATCCTACTGCCGAGAAAGTGGTGTTCGAAATCTACAGAAACATATTGAAAAGGTAAAAAAAATTAATTTATTAAATATAAATAATAATGTACTTACTACATATATATATATATAACGTCAAATTTTTTAATTGTAAAAATGCCTTATTAACCAAAAAGTATTCAAAATGGCTTGAAAATTTTTTGAAAAACGTAATATGATTTGTATGAAAAGCCTTAACGTTCTGTGATCGTATTTGAGACTTAACAAGAGAAGAAGACTTAAGAAGCAAGAACTTTGTAGCATTCGTATAGTAAACTGTATAGTTTGTATGGAAAAACAATAGAAAAGTTTGTGATATTATAGAAACGAACACGCACGTATACGTTTCTTTACAAATAATAAATATTTACAGATCGCCCGGAAAGTTGCTTTCAAGATAGTTAAACAGGAGGCAGATAAGTTAAAAGTGACTGATGAAAATTTATCGGATTTGGTTGGCAAACCTACCTTTAAACATGATCGGATGTATGATATCACACCCCCTGGCGTCATCATGGGATTGGCTTGGACCGCAATGGGTAAGAGATTTTACGTAGATGTATAGATGTAATAATAATAGTCAGTCCTAGATTCTGCGGGTACTAACATTACGATGACGTCATTCCCTGAACCGCGTTGTTTTTGAGCTGAGCTGAGCTTATATAGTGGTTACACTGGTTGTACCACAAAGAACGGTTCGGTGGCCGTCGATACACAATCTTGTACTTGAATTACATACCTCGTTGTAGTGTTTCTTACTAGGAAGAAAGGCACACAATAACGTTAGCCGTAAGGATTTGGAGAAATTGTTAGTTTGGGAACAAAGACGAGGTTAGACAGATGCTGTACCTTGCGTTACAATAATAGTTCACAAAACACTCACTATAAAAGTCTAAATTGAGGTCGTAACTATTGACAAAAAATTAACGAACAGTATATATAAAAATGCATCTAACGTTACCCGAGTAAATCTCAATAAACACTAAAGACAAAAAATGTGAGGATCGGCAGAGTAAAAAGATTTTTGAGATCACCCTCATAAAATTAAAAATATGTATTTCGAACACTGGTCATGAGAGGAAGCACATACATCAGTATTGAGAATTATTGTTAATGTAATTTAAGAAAATGTAAATGTTATTCTAAGATTCTTATAGATTCATATATGGGCCTATAAATTAAACAAAATACTAAGTAATCTGTAAGATGAGTACACACTCTTGTCTGTGTATGTTCATATTACATTTAGTAGTAATTATATATTGAGTAATTTTTTAAATTAAAATGTTATTTACTAATGCAAGCTTTTTATACATAGAAGAAATATTGGTTAAGAATTTGTTTCTTACATTATTAAAACCGAATTAAAGAATGTGAAATACGCGTACACACTTCTACTTTCACCCTTCGAAGGACAAAAGCTTATCAAGCTTCAATATATCAATATGAAAAAGGTTACTATTTATTACTTTTGCAGGTGGCAGCACTCTGTATATAGAAACGGCACTCCGCAATAAGCACCATGAAGAGAAAGCCAGTTCCGGGTCCCTGGAGCTGACTGGACATCTTGGAGACGTTATGAAGGAGTCTGCAAGAATAGCCCTTACTGTCGCCAGAAATTACCTGGACAAGCACAGCCTTGGCAATACATTTTTGAATACTAGGTTAGCAATTTCTTACATATTTACTAGTAGGGCTCTGCGCCCGCGTTAGTTCAGTTGAAGCGTTATTATAAAAAATAGTGCGTGTATACAAAGTACACATGTCAGAAGTGAAAATTCTTTGTAAATTAATTGTTGAGTAATTAAGCTGCCCAAATCCCATAATTTAATTTTGCCAGTCTTTCTACATTAATTAATGATACTAATAAAGACTAATTAAAAACCAGAACTAAAATTTGTTGTTGTTATGTACATATATAGAAATACCACCATAAATATGGTAACAATTACCAAATAATATAACTAATTCATTATTATCATAATTGATAACTTATGTCCACATTTTCTAAAATAGCCAACTGGGTCTTAGCAAAAAAGGTCTTGGTTCTGTGCCCTTATAAAATACAAAACCAAAAAAAAAAAATTGGTAATTTAGCTAGTTAATAAATATTAATGATATTGATATGTATTAAAAACACCATCGGTGTTCAAGTATGAATAATTGCACCACAATATTATACTAGCACATCTTTATTAAAGAAAAGAAATCGACAAAAACGCTGCACATCTTCGTGATGTTCCGTAAAAAGGTTACCCTCATGAGCCTAAAGAAGCCTGTCTATTCAATTCATGTTTATTATCATTCTTAACTTACACCTATCAATTATATATATTTTGATCAGAAACGTACTTCGATGAAATTAAAGTCCAAAACGGTATTAGGTTTACACTCGAACACATTTCTTAAATCATGCTACATAGTCGATTCAACTAATTTAAGATAAAATTAATGATGATAATATGATTTTGTTTATTTTAGTCACCTACACCTCCATGTGCCAGAAGGTGCGACACCAAAAGACGGACCTTCAGCCGGCGTAACCATCACTACAGCTCTTCTATCCCTGGCCCTAAATAAATCTGTCAAATCGCAACTCGCTATGACAGGGGAGATTTCTCTTACAGGCCGAGTGCTGCCAGTTGGTGGAATAAAAGAAAAAATTATTGCGGTGAGTCGTTGTTTTACACATAGCTAAATTGAAACTGAACTATTATAAGTGCTTGATAAACGGTATATATGTATTTTAATATAATTTCAGGCAAAGCGTGTAGGCGTTACTTGTGTAATACTACCAGAGGAAAACCGTCGAGACTACGATGACCTTCCAGACTTTATCAAGAAAGACATTGAAATACACTTTGTAAATGACTATCCAGAGGTCTTCAATATAGCCTTCGAGCAGGTCTGATTTTATGCTAGTATAATGTAGTTATACTCGTATTTATAGAAACATGATACGCGGGGGACAAAAAGAAACGGCTTATCTCAACTTTACTACTAAATGTACAGAGACTGTACTGATTTATTAGATGCATAGAAGTATGCTATATTTATTATTTTCTATAAGATAGTAAGTGGGAATAAAACCTGGTATTGGTAATTTATCACAAGATAAAATAGTAAACCAAAAATAGAACATTTCTTTTGGTCATGGAAAATGAATGTAAAATTTTTAGACTGTAAAAAAGCATTTGTTTGTAACTAAAGGTATTATAGTTGTACTTTTAATGGTATATTATAATTGTTATGGAATAAAATGTGGTTATATAAATATGAAATGTAGTTTGTATTTACCTTCCACTATATTTATGTAAAATTTGTTCTAAAATCTTGGTGTATCATCCTTTGTCATACATCCTTGTTTTTAAATAGGTATTCATATATGTTATAGGAATCATGTGAAATAAGTAGCACAAAATACCTTGATGGTGAAATTCAAATTAAGACCAATATGTAGGTAAAAACTGTAATAGATACATGTCTAATATTTTTTCTTTTAGAGCGATGACCATAAAAATGTATCTACCCAAGATGAAGAAGCAATCACATTTCTTTAAAAGAAAATAAAGTAATAATTAAGTTACTTTTTAAAATAAATAAAAAAAATATTAAAAGATTTTTATTTCACATTTTATAAGCCTTGACCAATTAAATAACTTTTTTAAAATAACAACTTCGGTGAAATTTAACATATGATTTTCTTACTTCTACTATTTTTTCAAATGTTTCCTTCCATCTTCTAAGAGTTGCAATAGTATAGGATACACAACATCATATGTAGCTATCTGATTTTGTCTTATGTGATTTTGATATCTTTGTAGGGCTCCTGCTACAAACTCAAGCCTATCCCTTTCATTCTTATGGGTTTCTAACCACTGCATAAGCTTTTGAATATTCCAACCTGCACAGACATGAGGAGATACCAGCTGTGATCCAGCATGTGAAAACAAAAACATCATTACTAAAGAATATGGTAAAGATGCTCCTTCATACTGACTCTTTGCTATATCTTGTGGCGTTTTTTCTAATAGCAATTGCAAGGCCTTTAACTGACGATAATGGTCACCCAATTCAATTACATCACTGATCAATGGGGATAATGAGGCCTCTATCTGTTTACAGTCTACTTGGAGTTTGGCTCGACCATATGCAGTCAATGGTCGAACATTACATACATGGTGAACAAACCTCTCAATACATGCTTTCGAAATTGTCATACTGCACTCATTTAAAGCATACTTTTCTTGGAACATAGACAAGTAAATATCTTTGCAACGTGAGACAAATTGTTGTAACTCTTTCATATATGGAGAGCATGATAAGGTTTTGTTGCTTGGATCCTCATTTCTTAAAAAATCCTGTTCATCATGCAAAGTCATCAGAATAATGAAGAGAGAGTTTCTTATTGATTCTGCAAATAACTCAAGAATAGGTAAGCTAGATATATCTTTTAGGCTGTTTTGAACTATTTGAACACTCTCTGGTGGGAGCATTGCATTCATATTCACAAGCACTCTTTTTATCTGTGATGTAAAATAATATAGGGCATTACATAAATCAGCATTTTTCTGCTGTGAACTAGTAGGAGGTTCAATTATTTGAGCAACATCATTATCCATAGAAAGTCGTTGCTCAGTTTCCATATGCATTTGTTTTATGCTCTTAGCTACACTGTAAGCTAGACTTATGCTTAACTGTTTATCACCTAATGAAATACTCAAAGCTTCTGCTATCACTCTAACAGCATTGTCTATTTGATCCATATTAGGAACTTGATTTAGATGCCACATACTTCTCACAGGTTCCAACAGTTTTGCTAGTGATTTTGATAAGAAAGAATTCTCCCATTTTGTGAAATAGGAACGATTCATTTCTAAATTCTTACATTTAAGTTTTGAAAGCAAATCATTAAAGCATTTTAATAACTTTGCATAATCGATCTCAATAGATTGGCTAACATTTGATGGACTTTTTTCTAATTCAACACTAAATAACAAACAAAGTTCATTCCAGAAATTCTTTGCAATATTTCTAAAGTTACCAATAGCATGCAGCTCACTTACTACATTTTGTAGCATCACAACTTTAATGCAACTTTTATATATTTCACCTTTAAACAGCTTTTCAATATCCTCCCAAAGTTTTATTTTAAAATCCTGTGCATTCATTATATTGGCTTTACCAGGTGCTATGCGCCCAGAACTTGATTTTTTAACCTCAATTGATACCATTTGAACATTCAAAGCAACATTTATTTCTTTCTGTAACTCTTTTAAAATATTAGTTACTGTATTAGCAATCTGTTCACCTGTGCATTGCAAATTGTGAAATACTTTAAAACATTGCAATAAATTTGTTTTGTCTCCATTAAGAAGGCTTATTTGAAGCATGTTCGTAGAATTGTTAAGTAGGTCCACTCGCTGCTTCTGTACTTGTTTCAATACATCATCAAGTAAATGTATGCCTTCAAAATCATAGTCACCAAATAATTCATTCAATTCAAACAGAAGCATGGCTTTCTTAGCAGGATTTTCATTTATAGAACATAATTTTTTCCACAAAGATAAGATTTTCAAAGCATGTCTTAGTAAGTTACACGTAGTTTGAACTCGTTCGAGCATACGTGTTTGATTCTCCAGCGACTCGTATGACGCGTGCACTCCCTCAGCAAGGCCTTCTGCGTCACGTAGATGTGATTCTTCTTGGATTTTTACGGCATCTAACATATTTTCTAAATCAGATATATGACTCGCCTGCGTTAGTAAATCATTATGTTTAGCTAAAACTTGACATTCCAAACTTTTTGTGAGCTTATTAATGCCTTCACTGAGTTTTGTTACTTGGTCCGAAACTGATATATTCTCGTCAGTTATTGGTCTAACACATTCTTCAAGAAATTTACTGTAAAACTCATCATTTTCAATTTCGGTGCAGACGTCCATCGAGTTCATTTTGGACCAATAATTAATTAAATGTATTTTTGCTACTCAAAAAAAAACGAATTAGAATTAGAATATCTTTGAAGAATTTAGAAGTTACATATTATATTAATGAATTTTCAAGTATATTAATCAATTTTCAATTTTTTACTGTTTATATGAAAATTGACAATGGGAGAAATAATGATGCAAGTTGTCACATAGCGTATTGAGAGGTCAAATGATAACCATATTACTAATCTGTGCCAACAAATAACCCCGAGGGTTATGGGAATTGGGAACTATCAACTAGCGTCTGTTTGGGCAGTATGATTCTTATTTACTACGGCGTCATTTCATTTATTTAGAAAAATAATTTGTATATTGTATATTGTCAACAAAGAAGAAAATGGTCACATGACGAAGCGTGAGCTAATAATTAAATACAAAAAATCTCTAAGGTCGTAGGTTCAATCTCTGGCTTTGCACCAATAGACATTGTGTATACGCGCATCTAAAACTCGTTCGTACGCTAAAGGTAAAAATCGTGAGGATACCAGCATGTCTCAAATCTAAAAACAAGACAATGTACCAAGACTTATTCACTAGTGCCACATGCGGTTACAAATTCTTAATACAATAATTGCAAGCAATAAAAAAAATCCATCTAGGATCGATGGATGATGAGAATATTAAACCTTTGAAACGTTTTAAATGATAATTGATTGTGATTGGTGAATAGCAATCTGACGCGCTTTAAAATAATGGTTACATAAACGCAGAGAGGGAGATTTATTCCTTAGTATCTAAATCCGTAGAGTCGTGCGAGTCGTCTGAACATCAATCAATAAACCTCCTTGCGGCCGGAAAGACTATGAACGTCTTAATATCTTCTGAGATCTTTCAATTCGATTCCCGAGGTAAAAGTTATTATTTAAAATCGGTGTAGTTGTATTTATGATGAAATAAGACTATCTGTCATCTTCTTTCCTTTAAAGAAAAAGATCACTGAAATTTTCCCCCGTCTGACGCGTTTTGGGCTTCAAAAGATAACACAAAACTAGTACAAATTGTAATAGTCGATCTACCTTTTACTATGTGTTTATTTCATTCGGGATGCGTGATTGTTGTTATCTCGCATTGCGCGATGTTACGTCTTCTCTATGCTGGCCTACGGCGTAGAATCTTGGACGATGACAGAGACTATGTCCAAAAAACTGGAAGCGTTTGAGATCTGGGTTTATCGACGTATGATTAAAATATCTTGGACAGACCGCATACGAAATACCGGTTGTATTTCTGCTGGACAGAATGCAGATGAACAAAGAAGTGCTTATGACGGTTAAGAAAAGGAAAATTGAAAGAAGACAAAACCTTAGAATATAAGGTTACATTTGATACATTGACAAAAAGACACTAACAAAACAGATTGACAATGACATCAGTTTATGGTTAATAGATTCATGTAAGAAGTTTACATCATTCTCCCGCACTATTTTAAAATATAATCTTTTAATAATTCTGGTATTTTACGGACGCGGCCAGATCTACGAATTGTTGGCTACGGCGGTGATGATGATGGTAACTCGGTGCCAGATCTACGAAGTGTTGGCTCCGGCGGTGATGATGATGGTATCTCGGTGTCAGATCTACGAAGTTTTCGCTCCGGCATTGGTGATGATGGTAGATCAGTCTCTAGCTCTCTGCTATTATCAAGTAGGTACTGTGGTACTTGATAATAGCAGGGTAGATCTGCGAATAAATAATGACTATCATAACGTCACAGAACCACGTACGGAAACAAGACCAAAACTCATAGAAAACGTCTTGTGATTGATTACTCTCAGACAATTAATCGTTACACAGAACTCGACGCGTACTCTTTACCAAACATTGAGGACTTAGTTTCGAAAGTGGCAGTGAATATATTTTTCAGCCAATAGACTTGAAAAGCGCGTACCATCAAGTACCTATACTACCAGAAGAAATAAAATTTACCGCTTTTGAAGCGCTCGGAAATTTGTACTAGTTCAGGCGTATCCCTTTTGGAGTAACAAATGGTGTTTCGAGTTTCCAACGAACAATCGATTGGATTCTAAGGAAAGAAAAGCTTCAAAACACATATGCGTATCTTGATGATATAACTATTTGTGGCCGTACTCTTCAAGAACACGATCATAACATAGAAAGTTTTATGAATGCCGCAAAGAAATACGGTTTAACACTGAGTGTGCTAAAATGCAATTTTTCTCAAGAGTCAATTAATATTCTAGGCTATAATATTCAAAACCACATAATTAAACCTGATAGTGAGCGACTTAAGACACTGATTAATTTACCTGCACCAAGCGACCTTAAGAAGGACACTCGGCACGTTCGCACATTTTTCTAAGTGGATTCCAAACTTTTCTGAACAGTACCACTCATTTGCTAATACGACTACTTTTCCGCTCACAAGCGAGCAAATTAAATGTTTCGAAGGCCTGAAAAATGATATCGCAAAGTCTTTTAGACATGCACTTGATGTAAATATACCTTTTACAGTCGAAACTGACGCTTCCGATCATTCCATTGCAGCAGTACTTACGCAAAATTCTAGACCAGTGGCGTTTTTCTCAAGAACTTTGAATTCAAGCGAACAAAACCATTTCGCCATTGAAAAAGAAGCGTACGCCATTGTTCAATCATTGAAGAAATGGAGACATTTCCTTATCGGTAGACACTTTAAGTTGGTAACTGACCAACGCTCGGTTTCTTTTATGTTTAATATGAAACATTCAAGTAAGACAAAGAATGAAAAGATTCAAAGATGGCGACTGGAACTTGCTGTTTTCAAATTTGATATTATATACAGACCGGGGAAAGAGAACTATGCTGCTGATGCACTATCCCGAGTTTGTGCCACTGTAGAAACACGTACTGCAAAACTTTTCTCGCTGCATGAGGCTCTTTGTCATTCAGGGGTAACGAGAATGTTTCACTGGGTTCGCTCTAAAAACCTTCCCTATTCCATTGAAGAAGTCAGAACAATGACAAAATCTTGTGAAACCTGCTCTGAAGTAAAACCTAGATTCTTCCAAAATATTTTGCTGTTAATTTAGCTTATTAAATTGAAATAAGACAAAACCTTTAAAGAATATAAGGTTACATTGACAAAAAGACACTAACAAAACAAATTGACAATGACATCAGTTTATGGTTAATAGTTTCATGTAAGAAGTTTACATCAAAACTTAAGTATTTTTACACTGATTACTGGCATACAAGAAGTTGCCTTAGCAACAATCTCGTTTTAAGAAATATAAATAGTTTGATTAAAAATGTCTTATAAAAAAAAAGCTTTGTATTTCTTTAATATTAACAAACACCATAAATCCTGATCTATCTTTCATATCGACTAATTAAAACTTTACATGGTAGCAGAGCGTTGAGTAAAAGGAATAAAAAAAAAAAAAGAAAAAGCGAAATAAAAAAAATGTCGATCGCAAGAATAGATCCCCTAACAAAAGAAAACTATGATACATGGGTAATACAGGCTGAAGCAGTCCTAGTAAGAAACAAATTATGGAAATACATTGAAAGTCCTTTAAGTAAGGATCCAAGTGCAGCTGAAACAGAAGGTGACAGACAAGCCAGATCGGAACTAATTCTTATGATTTCTCCCTCTGAGCTTAACCAAATTAAAAAATGCCTATCTGCAAAAGCCGTTTGGAATAAACTACAAGACATTTACGCTAGCAAAGGACCTGCCCGTAAAGCTTTTTTACTGAAACAACTAATCCTAAATAAATTAGATGGACATGAGATACAAAGTCATCTAAACAAATTCATGGATATAGTTAACAAACTGGCAGACATGGACATAATTATCAATGAAGACCTTTTAACAATATTAATGCTATACAGCCTCTCGAAAGAATACGAGAACTTCAGAGTCGCTATTGAATCACGAGATGTTCTTCCTAAGCCTGAAGAGCTTAAAATTAAAATAATTGAAGAATATGAAGCTCGCCATAATCACAATAAAACCAATGACGACGAATCTGAATCCTCTATTCAAGAAGAAGCTTTATATGCATCGTGTAAAGTTTGTAAACGAAGAGGTAATATCTTTAAACACAAACACCATAAAATTTGTTCAAACTGCTGGAAGGAAAATAAAGGTAAACATGCTAAGAAATTTGATTCTTCTCATAAAAATAATTACATAATGCAGTGCCTTTTTACAAATAATAAGAAACTTAAAAACAACATATGGGTATTAGACAGTGGTTGCACGTCTCATATGACTTATCAACGAGACTTATTTAAAACAATAGATAGTACATCCAGAAAACTTAACTTTGCGACGGACGAGTACACTGCAGAGATAAAAGGTAAAGGAATAGTTTCCTTTATAACTAAAAATGGCAACAGTAAGGCAATAACGCGCTTACAAGACACCTTATACGTACCGAACCTTTGCACCAACTTACTGTCCGTAAGTAAGATGACAGATGCTGGTTGTTCTGTGCTATTTACTAACAATAAAGCAACTGTAAATAACCCTAAAAATGGAATAAAACTAACGGCATATAAACAAAAAAGACGGTCTTTACTATGTGAAACCAGATCAACATGAAAGGAACTATTTGGTCACTAATGATAAGGTCACAAGTTCTCCTCCGAAGGAATCAACGACTTTATCAAGTATTAATGACTGGCATAGAAAACTGGGTCATATGAACGTAAAAGATCTGAAATATGCGCGTAGACATGAAAACTTAATTGGCTTAAATTTTGATGCATCGGAAGATTTGAATGACTGTGAAGTATGCATACAAGCAAAACTGCACCGTGAACCTGCTCCACGTAATAAAACAACTCAAAGAACAACAGAATGTTTACAAATCATTCACAGCGATGTGTGTGGACCTATTCAGACGCCCACCATACGCGAAAATAAATACTTTGTTACTTTTATAGATGACTACAGTCGATACTGTAGAGTTTATCTAATGAAAAATAAGAGCGAAGTACTTGAAAAATTCAAA